GATATTCGAACTCTAACGTGACAATGCGTGATGTCTCTTGCGAATTGTCACATGAATTGTGATGCAGTTGTAAGTTTGACATCATCAGAATCATTATGTCAAGCACGACGTTTCTTCCTCATCCTCATTATTCATCATTTTCTGATGAAAAATCGAGTTCGAGTTGGCCGAAAATCAGCGACTCGGAAAGGCAGGACAGAAAAACCGAAAAGTTTTCAACATTAGCATTAATCCATAGTTCAGAGAATTCGAAAGATGTAGTGAAAACAACAGGAAAATGATATGCTTGCCATACTTTCTTCCCACTCTTCCTCTTCAATTTCCAGTATCATTCCCTCTTTCTGTTCCGCCACATACACATAATTCAATTATCAAACGTTTTGTACTACTTGTAATAGCTTTATGACTACTGCTTATTTTTTGGAAGAGCAGAAACTGCAGTAATCAAGTGAACTCTGCTCAATATGCACGATGTTCCTATTTCCCTAAGGTGTTCGGATGATGGCTGACCTGATGAGAACTTGTAGTGAACGTCATAATTACCGGGTTGCAAATGACTAGGGAAATGAAATGCTGAAACTCAAATTGCATTGTAATCAAGCGCATTCTGAGAAGAAAGGAAGATGTGAACTCAAACTCAAACTCACAGTTGAACAAGAAAAAAAAAGAATTCGTAAGAGGATCTCAAAATTCAAAAACACGATCGTAGACATGGCTGATCGAAAACGGTTGAGCTTATATACTAAATGGTCAACACTTGACGCTATCAGTTGTTTATCCAAGGTAAGCATGTCATGGGAGCCTCCAGAAACGTCGATTCCTTCTACGCAAATTACTTCACCCGCTTATCCCGCCCAAAAACCGCTAATCTAGCCGGGCGGAAAAGCCACAGGTTGGCTGCATCAGAAACTCTAAAATTGGCGACGTGTTGTACCTGATCATCCGGATTTTCGAGGGCATGACGGAGGTGAAAGAACTAAAAGGAAAGGGCGGCGGGCGGAGAGGAAAGAGCAACAGTTGATTTCGCAACCGGACTGACGGAACTACTGATAAAATGTGTGTAGTAGAAACAATCACAACATAAACTGCGAGGAGAAGTTCCGAACGATCGGCGATTGATAAGAAAATCGAAAAAAAAGTGTGATGGTTGACACTGGCCGAATGGGGTGAGACCCAACATCAGTGGTTGTGAGTTTTTTTCCGGCTATATCACAAAATCGAATCGATAATTTCTTAATTTCAACCTACCATATCTCTTTAGCAAAACATTTGGACCAGGAATAAACAAGTTGCAAACAAATCTTTAATCTCAACGCAACTCCTCCAATTTTTGTTTTGAGTCTTCGAACAAGCAGACCGTAGCCACGACACGACACATTCTAGTTTTGAAAGTAAGAAAAATGGCAGAAATGGGAAAGATACTCTCAGTAATGACCTTTTTCAAGAGATAAAAGATGCGAATGAATGGAAAAGGGAAAGGAAGTGAAATACAGTGAATGTCTCGCAGATTCTTCTGATCTTGTTGTGTTCGCTTAACTCTAGAACATCCCTAAGCTCCGCCCTGAATGTCACATTGCCCGAGGTGAGCAGCTTGAAAGGATTGCTTCAGTTTGACATCATCGGTTAAGTAAACATGGAGGAAAACACCTTTCAAAGTGATCAACCTCCGTCTAAAATCTAAAATGACTTTCCATCTTTCCATCACGAAAATGAGTTCTGACCATGCATCAAAGAGCAGATAACCGACAGCGGCAGGGCGTGACAGTAAGACGCGGGGGGTTCAAAAGATGATTACGCAGACAAACTGGCACCGGAACTGCGAGTAGAGACATTTATCCGCGGCGGACTGCTGCGACGGGTCATTAATCGGAACCGTGAAGGGGAGGGAACACACAGCTGATAAGAGATATGTTCATCTTGAGAAACGTCATACTTTATACCCCCCAACAAATCCTACAGTACTACCACCACTAACAAGTAATTGACAATGATGATTAGCTGAGAGAAAAAGATGAGATGATGGGATAGGTGCGGCCCCCAGAGACGCCACGCATAAAATTTCAAGTAGACACTGGCTGATTTGAAAAAGAAAAGCAAAATGACCTTCGGCGCCAAAATCGGGAATTTGCTGTTGTTGATTGTCGGGAACGCAACACGATGCATGGAGGAAAAAAGACGGTGCGGTGCGGTGGGCGTCGAAAGATGCGTATAGTGCTTTTTGATCGGTTAGCTTGGATTAGCTACCATTCACAATGTATCAAATTAAACGGGGCTGGGCTACGGGAGTAAAGGACGCTTGAGTAGGTCATAACGTGCGAGTGATCGGAACCAAGAACGCGGCTTCGGCAACACACACACACACATACACTGATCACCGTTATGACATGAGGGATGAGCTGAGAAATCGAGCAGTGTGTGTGAAACTGAAGAGAAAAAGGTCGGGTAGGACACGCTACTCAAAAAAAGTTTGCGGGTGGAATGTGTCTCCGATTTTACAAGCGGCAAACTAGAAAGCATTCAAAAATCATGTACTCATCTATCTACAGTACTCGTCAAAGTAAATTTTCCTACTAAATACATGCAAAACTTTTAACTTCTCACCTAAAACAGGTCTTGGTAACGTCAATTCCTACAAAAGCGACTTTTCTAAAGCTCTTCAACTTGTGGCCCCGATTTGAAACACTTCGATATCATTTTTTCGACACGGGGAACGGACACATGCGAAATGAGTGGTGGTATTCGATAAACTTGTATTGTGTGCAGTGTGAGATGCTCAAAGTTGTGTAATACAACATGAAATGTGTAAAGAGCAAAATGAAGATGGAGAAGAAAAGCAAGGAATGAAGATGGAAGGGTAGAAGTTCTGGGATATCCATGGGATGCGAACGCATGAAAAAATATGTTAGGAAGTGTCCATGACGCCCGAGAGTAAGAGCGAGTGGCTGATCACTGGCGGATAGACGCATTGATTGCGTCCGCCAAAGTCAGTTTAAGAAGTTCCTGCTCAGTTTTTACTTGCAGATGGATTATAGAAAGCATTAGACAGACTGTTTTCCACAACATCCGGTGGATCCAAAGTCATCTGTCCAATCACGTTTTTGAGCAAAGTGTACAGTAGAGTTATGGAGATTGAGACCAAGCAGTCTTCCCAACTTTTAAAAACTTCTCAACTAGATTCTAGAGAAAACGTTTCTCGGAATAAAACAACACAATTATGTGAAATGTGTGTTGTCTGTGTCAGTGTAATACCACAAGAGCTTCGTAGAAGATTGATGGAGCGAGTTCACTTGGTAAACTAATTTATATCAGTTGACAGGCTGCTGCCATCAAGTCTCGCAGAATGCGATCATCGAAGTTCACGGCACTGCCGACCAAAGCTTTACGAGCGCAACAAGGTGTAATTGATAGTTTGACCTGTGGTGAAGAACACGAGGACAAGGAAACGGATGACGGATAGGAGAAAGAGGAAAAGAAGTGAAATGTTGTACTCAAACACAAACGAACCTGAGCATGCTCGGGCCCTGTCACCGCTCAGACGTTCACAGATGTCTCGGATTCATAAACACGAACGGCGGACACTGACGTTGACGACAATTAGAATCTAAAATCACAAACGCTTGTGGCGGGACTCGTTCTTTTTTTGCCTTTCTTTCCTCCAGATTTCTCGGAGCATCTGGCATGAGCTCCCACTCTCCGTCTCTCTTTCCTCGAGTTTTTATGCACGTTCTTAGCCAATTCATTCGGAAATCCACGAGTTGCAACACCAACTGGTGCCATAAGACGCCGAAAAAAGTACGGTTAAGTGAGTAGGCCGCTCTCTCATTCATTTTACACCTCAACGCAATGTGATTATTTCGGGACACTGAATGGGATGGAGTGTGTTGATGGATGAGCATGTGATCGGCCACTCGGGATCACAAAATGGGACGGAAGTTGGAAACTAGAGAGGAACACTCAAAAATACGCGAAACTCAGCATAACGAATCAATTCAAAAAGTACTATGAAAGTGATTATTATGCGTGCCGACGGACGCAGTGGGAAATGGAAAAGAACGCAAAAAAGCGAGTGAACTATTCAACGAAATATGATGCCTCCTGCCATCCTCCTTTCTGTTCGTCGTGTCCGGGGCGCAATGATTTTTGATTTTTAAGGTGTAGTAGTAGTCATGCGAATTCCGAGTTCCGCTCCGGCGTAATTGGACAGCATCACCTGATGGCTTCATCACGGGTCAAGAGCACTCCGGTTCCTAATGAACAGTGTTCCGGTCACTCCAGAGCTGATTTTTCTCACGGGATTATATGCATGTCCTTTTTTGTTTCAGGTTCTCTGATTTTGTCGATATTGAGGGTCCTGTGAAGAATATTTCAATAAGTTTCGAACGGATGAAGTTAGAGTTCCGTTCTATTTCCGCTAGAATGTTTACGCTCCATTTGTTTATACAGACGAGTAAGAGTGGTTGGAAAAGAGACTCAGACGGGGTAGTCGACTGCCTCTTTCCGGGCAATATGTCTACTCTCTCTTGCGGGGCTGCGAACGGAGGTCTCGTGGTGTAGTGGTTATCACATCTGTCTTACACACAGAAGGTCGGCGGTTCGATCCCGCCCGGGATCATTTTTGTCCTTTGATACTGCTCATCATTTTAAGATGTTTTCTAAAGTAAAATTATGGTAGCGCGGAATGAGTAACACGTTTTTTTCTTTTCTCATATTTAATAAACGGAATATCCTCATTTCCTTATCTGATTTGCCGAAAAACCGTTCGCGACAACGCGGGTCCCATTGTCAGTTGTTTTGTATCCGATCCGGTTTTCACTCTGTTCTCAGTAATTATCCTCAAATGCGAAGAGAACAGCGAGAAACGAGGGAGGTCTGAGTGACTAAGGTGACAGGAACATATCTGCAATTTCCATCAAAGTGAAACGGTGTTCGGCGTCGGGCTGATATGGCGTACAAGCAGATCAGTGAAGGCGGTCTGTGAGTGTGTACGAAGGAAGGAAAGGATGGATGTGGAAAGCAGAAGAGGAACGCTGGAAGCGCAGAAGATGTCGTCCAAAAGATCGGACAAGTGGGTGGAGACGCAAAGAGAAACCCTCTATGGTAGACCGGTCTCGTCTCCGCTGCTGCTGTTGCTGCTGACTGTCATCATCGGCATCGTTGTTGGAGGAAACAGACGACGCGCAGTTGTGGACATGTCGTCGTTCAGAAGCCACGTTTACCTTCCTTTTGTCCTTTTCTGCACAGTGGTTCCGCTCACACAACAGGTAAGCGTATTTTTGTGTGGAACCTGTTTGTTAAACTATTTTTGGCTTCAACGAGCCTTCAGATGTGTTGTCTGTTTTCTGTCTTCTGTTTTGTTTTGTTTTTTCTCAGTTTGGCAAGCACGAAATTACAATTTGTAGTAGAAACGAGGAAGTTCCTAGTGTGCGGATGCCCGCACTCCTAACCTTGCACACTATTTTCCACCACCCTAACACACTGCCAGACCGCTTGCTGGGTCTCCGGCGCCTCTCTGGCACTAGCACATAAGCCCGCCACGACCTAGGGGTCTTCAGCGATCTCGTGGTGTAGTGGTTATCACATCTGTCTAACACACAGAAGGCCGGCGGTTCGAGCCCGCCCGAGATCAAACCATTTTGCCTTTTTTCAGGTGCTCAATGAACACAATCAGAAACTTGAATGGATTGTTGGCAAGTGGAGATCAGAATTTTCCGGAAAGGTAGCAAATCTGAATTCGATGGATATGTGAGACCAAACACGTTTGTTCACAGATATTCTGGCCGACAGTTCCCACAATGACATTCGGCGAGGAATTGGTAATCAATGAGGCGCCGATTGCCAAGTCTGCCAACGTACAATTCTTGAATTTCTCGTAAGTTTTCTTTCGGTTTGGTCGACCTTCAGATTATTCAACTTTCAAGTAGCATTTGTAACACTAAAAAGAAAGTGAAAGTTTCCCCACTTTTCTCTCATTTTCTCCCTCCAAAACTTCCTTATTTGTCCGATGCTATCAGTGACAGATAGTTTCATTAGTGTTTTTTCTTCCTCAAAGCAACGGAAGGAAAATGTTGAAAGAGAACGTGTTTCGCGCGGGATCAGATTGGGATTTACGATCACTTATCAGATTTCTGACCCAAACTAATCGGATGTTTGATCCCAAAACTTTTTTTTTGCAGAGCCCGCGCGTGGTCTCACTCCACAAAAGACCATTTCCATGACGAATGGGGATTCTTGACGGTGGACCCAGCCGGAAACGCAACCCTCATGACCACCGGAAACAATGGTAGTTACTCTATCTGCATGATCTGAAATTGAAATTCAATCGAAATTCTAGGATTCACGACGTATGAGGTTGGCACTGTCTCGCCGAACAAACTGGTTCTCACGTTGAAGGATATCGGCCGCATCTCTTTCTCTCGGGATTTGCCCGTCGAGGACGTGAGTGTTCTGCACTACTGTTCGCCCGTCGGAAACGACACTTTTTGCAGTTGAGAAGGACATTCATCCGCCATGACGATCGTTACATGGAGCAGGTTATCGAGATGAGGACGGCGACTCATCCGAAAGTCGGCTACCTCGAACACACGCGAGTAGTGTACACCAAACTCAAGTGATTCGGTTTGAAACGGATTTTTCATAATGTTTATGTGTTCTCTTTACGTTTGCGATATGATCAGCCATAATATATTTGATTTTGAATGTCGTACCTGCATTCTACTGGACAATAAAACTCGCCGAATGTTTCTTTGCTCAGAGTTCAAAAATTCGAAGATCTTTCGTAAACCCGTCCCGTCAGATGGCTAAAGTTTAAAAAAGCTACGAGACGCGTCTCACTGCCACTCACAATATCTTTCACTTTCGTTTTTTTCAACTGATTAATGATAGGCTGAACCGAATTCCCGAGACATTGACGTAGGCGGCTGACAGACACAACGAACTCTTTGTTCCTCAGCGTTTCGCTCCTCTCTCTGTTCCACAATGTTTTATTCTTTTCGGAGGACCCTGCAAAGTGTAATAAGAGCTTGGATTCCTGTAAATTTTCTGGTAACGCCTCCTAAAGTTTTGTATAAAAGAGTGTTCATGAGCAAAGAAAAGTCAGAGCTCAGCCATGATCAATCCGCACTCTTCCTTTCTCGTCACCCTCATTCTCCTCGCCACTCTACTTCTAACGTCTACGTTCGCCGAGACCATTTACGTCGATGGATCCGGTGACTGGTCCGGCATGAACCCTCTCGAGTATCCCGTATAATTGCTTTGTTCCATGATGGATCAATACATTAGAATCGGATAATTTTATTCTCTTTTGAATACATAGTGAAAGAGCAAGTAATTGAAGAAAGATTGTTCATTTTTTCACGGATTTTTTTTTGATTCCATCTTGACGATTGTTTGAAGGGTACTTGGAAAACACTGAGCAACACTGAAAAAAGTAAAATACAATGCATTCTAATAAATGGCAAAATACCTGTTTATGAAGTTCCATCAAGCTCCGAAACGCCTCTTCATTAGTATCCGCATTCATTAGGTTTTGAACAATTTCTCGTACGTGATCTTCTCCTAGTTCTTCGTCGATTTCAGCAAAATCTTTCTCAACGGCGTTTTGCGTCATAACTAAAGATATATTGACTTTTTGCTTTTTAGAAGTTTTTTCCCGAGCCGCTTTGTGTGGCATCGGCAATTATCCCACATGTGACGAAAGCGGGGCCTGAATGGATTGCGAAAGCTCTTTTTTTTCAACTATTGAAAGATTGTTTCAAAGAAAAAAATAATTTTTTAGATTACTTTATTGAGAAAGCGCCCAATATGGGTGAATAATACTTTGCTGCTAAATAGTGAAAACATTGAAAATAATGTTTGGTTCTCAGAAAATTGAGAAAAAATGATTATTCAAATTCATCATTCGAAGATCTATTCTTCGGCGAGTTGAGACGATGAGCCTGCCGCGGCGGATGTGGACGGACCATTTCCATCGTCGTAATCCATCGGTTCTGAAAATAGGGTACATTTACGATTCAGTCAACCGATCACAATTTCTACCTTGTTTTGGTTCGGACGTAGATGGTTGATCCGAGTCATCAGCGGTGTCATCGTCCTCAATCAATAAAGTGTTACGGAACAGCGCGGCGAACTTTGGCTGAATTCCGTCAAAGTGTTGGAATTGCATCGGAGTAACGAATGGTCCTGGTGGTGGAAGTGGACTTCTCTTGTCTTTGGCATCCGGATCTTTGGTGGTGAGACGAGACAGAATTCTGAAAAAAAACGGATATGTGAATTGACCAGCAACAACGACTATCTACTCACTGTCTTTCTGTCATATTCAGACGTTCGGTGACTGGACGCAGACTGGCCACAGTTGCTGGAAGTCTGGACACATCAGACTTCATATCGCTAAGCAACTCATCGAGTTGAGCCAGGACCTTGTGGAGAACGGTGTTAGCGTTGCGATTTCCGCTGCTGCTTTGTTGGGCAATGGTGGCGTGCGCTTCTGCGGTATTCTCCATATCCATGAACCGCTGAGCCAATCCTCCGACGTTATCAGCACTCATTTGAGTCTTCAGACCGGCAGCACGACGAAGTTGCTCTTCAACAACCAACGATTGCTCCAGGAGTTTGAAACGACGTTGAAGGAATCGATTCTTGGCCTCGGAGAAGTTTGTTCCGCCATCCTGTTTGAATGGCTCACAGAGGATGGCAAATCTCATATCATTCGCGATTTCGTTAAAGTTAATTTGGTAGCGACCATATCCATGAACACAAATTGCCGCCAACAGCCAGTAATCGTGTCGACGATGCCATATTTCGTATTCCTTTCCTCTCCTGGCAACTCTCTCTTCGTTATCCCAAAGAGTGTGGAGTTCAGTGAATCCTCCGTCACAAATGTTGAACTTGAACGGCGGACGAGCGGCTTTTGGCTTGGCTGGTTGTACAGTTTTCTCTTCTTCTGGAGTCTCCTGTCTGATTTGTGGTTGATGAAGCTCGCTCGGACTCGCATCCACTGATTCCTGCTTGATGAGCGTTCCTTGCGGCACTCCTGCTAACGCTCTCTCGGTCGCCCGCATTTTTGCTGCAGCCGCTAACACCACGTCCTGCATTTCCGGCATTGACCACTCTCCATTTATCTCTTCAAACTCTTGGACCTTTCTGCGTACCAGACTCAGCATTCCGATGCGAGCGAGCACTTGCACTCGGTTCATACCTTCACGTGGACAACCGTCATTGAACGTTTCGCTGTTGTCGGCTCCTGGCTCACACAAATGACGCATGAACAAGGAAGCGTAGGCGCGGAAAGCTCTTTCAGATTTTCCTCTGAGATCACGGATCAGCCATTGTGATTGATAGGCGTCCTGCGGTGGGATTCCCCAGCGCATGATGGCATTGTAGAAAGATCTTCTCTGACGAAGGGTGAAGCCGAGGACCTCGACCTGACCGTTGACCTTAGCAAGAAGAGGCGGCAGTCTTTCGGAGTTTTCCTCACGACGACGTTTCCTTTTCTCGTCGTAGTCATCATCAGAATGAAGTGGCTCTCCGGAATCCGATTTGTATTCTTCGTCGTCATCTTCCTGGTTTTGATTCTAAAAATGATGATGAAATTGCTCTTTTAATGACTGGACAAACTCACATTCTGGTTGTTCCAGTCTTGTCCCATGTTCTCACTGGCATAGTTGACTTGTTTGCGAACACGTTTTCCCTTTCCAAGCTTTTGAGCCTCAACTTCCTGATCCTGCTCGTAATGATGCTTGAGAAGTTTCTCCCAATAGTCCGGATCCGGTTCCTTCTCTCCTTCTTTCAGAACTTCAACGTCGCCTTCATCTTCCTCTTGCTCATCAGCCTCCTTCGTTGTGTAGGTGGCAACTTTGAATGAGCTGAGGTACTCATTGGTCCAATGTTCCTTCTTGTCTCCTTCCGGAGCTCCTTCTTCGTCCTTATTGCGATCGAGAAGGAAGTCAACCGCCGCGTCATCCCACACAATCTCCTCATTTGCCTTCTTTCCGCCCTCTCCATCGGCAGCATCGGAAGTACTCGGCTCATCCTCCTTGAACAGTTCCTCGGTTCCCCAGCGGAGAACGTCGTCCAATTCACTCTTGCTCATGCTCTTTCCTTCTTTTCCTCCGAGCCCAGCACGAACAACCAAGTGGGTCAGCAACATCTTCTTCTTGGCAACTGAAGTGATTCTCTCCTCAACAGATCCTTTCGTGACAAAACGATAGATCATAACCTTGTGCTTTTGGCCAAGACGATGAGCACGAGAGAACGCCTGGATGTCGTTGTGAGGATTCCAGTCCGAATCATAGATGATCACAGTGTCAGCAGTGGCCAAATTGATACCAAGTCCTCCGGCGCGAGTGGACAAGAGGAAGATGAACTGTTGAGCTCCCGGAGCATTGAATCTATCAATCGCATTTTGTCTCATCTGGCCAGTAATGCTTCCATCAATGCGTTCGTACTTGTACTGTTCATAATCACAGAAATCCTCAAGAATGTCCAACATCATTGTCATTTGGGAGAAAATGAGAACACGATGTCCTCCATCTTTCAGCTTTCTCAACATCTTGTGCAGAAGAACAAACTTTCCAGAGTTCTTGATGAGAGCGGTTCCCTCGTATAGCCCGTTCTCTCGCTTCGGCGCTTCCAGACAAGCTTTCATGAAAAGATACGGATGGTTGCTGCACTTCTTCAATTCCATGATGATGTTGATGAGTGACATCTGAGTTCCGCCATTCTTCACATTCAGCGCGTCAAAGTTTCGCGTAAGAATGTTCTTATAGTACTTCTTCTGCATCGGGCTCAATTCGACACGAACAATCAGTTCCGATTTGGAAGGCATTCCAGTGAGCACATCAGCCTTGAGACGACGGAGCATGTGAGGACCGAGCAACGAATGCAGCTTTTGAATCTGATCCTCTTTGGAAATCTCGGAGAACTCGGAAGTGAACGCTTCAAGCTGGTTGAATCGATCCGGCGCCAAGAAGTTGAGAAGGTGGAACAACTCTTCCAGATTGTTTTGGAGAGGAGTTCCAGTGAGGAGCACGCGGTACTGGATGTTGTAGTCCCGAAGGTTCTTGAAGAACGTCGATTGATTGTTCTTCAGACGATGAGCCTCGTCGACAACCAGAGCTGCCCAATCAATGGAAGACAGGATAGCTTTGTCCATGTTGATGCACTCATAAGACGTGAGCAGTACGTGGAACTTCATGTTGTCTTGGCTCTTGATCTTCGACGCCTTCGGACCTCCGCGAACAGCTCCATCCACAAACGAAAATTCATGCTCACGGATAACCATACGAGAATCACGGTCTCCAACATAGGTGACTACGTAAAAGTCCGGGCACCACATCTCCGCCTCACGCTCCCAGTTGATGATGGTCGAGAGTGGAGCGGCAATGAGGAACGGTCCCTTGCTGTGATTTTCCTTCATGAGAGTGTACAGGAAAGTGAGCGACTGCACGGTCTTTCCGAGACCCATCTCGTCGGCCAAGATAGCGTCAGTCCCATTCGACCAGCAATGACGGAGCCAGTTGATTCCCTCCAGTTGATACGGATGAAGATTTCCTCCGGTTTCGGTGATGTAGTCAGGTTGCTCCTCATATTTCTTGCGGATCTGAAAATGAAACATAAATCAATCGTTTTTCCAAGAAGCTATCACTCACATCGACCTTTTCCCGCTTCTTCTTTCTGGACGAGAGATCCTCCTCCTTTGGCGGCAGACCCTTGGCTTCCCGATTTTTGGCAATCAACTTTTGCACATTGCGTGGCACCTCATCATTGAGCATGCGCTCTCTATGCAGCCAATACTTGATGACAGCCTCCTCGTAGTTGGCAATGTCCGTGTCGTCTCTCTCCCATGTTGCCTGCTCATAAGAGAGCTCTTTCCACTTGATGAGGTAGTCCTGCTGCGACTTGGCGTACGACAAATGGTTGATGACGCGTTGGATTTGCATCCATTCCGGCTTAACCCCGTACTGGTAGAAGCGCTCTCGTAAATCATACGGATCATGATCTGCGTGGTGGCGTGAGAGAGTGCATTCCTCGAAGATTGGTGGTGTTTCGGAATCAACTTTGCGCCAGTACATGCGAAGGAGCTAAAAAAAAAGATAAACATGCGAATAACTGGATTGTTATCACTCACCGCTGAAAAGTAGACATCCATCATGGTGTCAGAAAGCCACTGACATTGCCAATAAGACATGTATCTCCATTTGACAAAGAATTCGCGCTCGCGTCTCGTCTCCATCTTCCGCGGGGGTCTCAAGAAAGCAATGTCCTTGGACGGCTCCTCTCCCTCCTTCGGTTTGTACGGTTCCGGATACGGAATCTCTTTCCATTTCCAGCTCAAAATCTTCTCGACTCTTTGAGGCGGCTCCGGAAGATTACAGCGAGGACACGACCAGTCGTCCTCGGGAATTTCAGTCAGCGGTGGGACCAAGCAGTAAGCATGGAACGAGCTTGTGCAAGTGTCGCACAGAAGAAGATTCTCGGTCTCCTTGCAGGTCCGACAGTACTCCATGTTCTTCTTCTCCGGTTCCTCTTTCACAGCTTCAGGACCGAATTCCTCACAATGAGGGCAACTCCACTCTCCTTCCGGTGCTTGCTCCATAGTCTCGTCAATGCAGACGGTATGGTACGCCCTGACGCACGTATCACACAGTACCAGCTCCCCACCTTGCTTGCAAACATCGCAATGTTCCTGATGTTCTTCTTCCTCTCCCTTTTCCTTCCGCGCTCTCTTCGAAGCACGAGCCGTTTCCAGAGCGTTCTTACGCTTGTCAGCTTTGGCGGCAGCTCGATTGGCTCGTTGCTCATCCTTCTCACGGTCAATATCATCCTGTTGCTGCTCGTGTTGTTTCATGAGCGCCTCAAATTCCTGGTCGCTGTCCTGACCCTCTCCATCCGAGTCGTCGCGACGCTTCCTGCGAGTCGAAGATCGAGTTTTCGGAGGAAGCTTTTCGTAAATCGGAATCATCGGTGCCTGCCGGACCTTAGGCTGCTTTTGGATGGGCTTCCCATTAGCAGCCATATGGTCTTGGAACTCCTTGTACTTAACTTGGAAAAGCGGGTACATCTTGGCGATGATAGTTCCGGGATTGGACTGCAAGATGACCGGCTTGATGAGACTTGAGAAGATCTGAAAAATACTGAAATACACACACAGTTGGATAAGACGCATACCTTCAAATTTGTCACAGTTTGGAATTCTTCTCGGTCGTAGTCGATTTGAACGTCGACCAGGCCGATTGCATTGGAGATCTCCGCGCTGGTCGAGTTGTAGGGGTCCGGAATGTCCGCCTTCTTCTTGTTCGCCTTCTTGCCGCCACGTCCTTTCTTCTTCGACGACGGCTTCTTTTTTTCCGAAGTGGAAGGTCCACTCTCCTCCATTTCAACATCCTCTTCCTCGCCAACATCCTCCTCGGGATCCTCGACAGGATCCGCATTGACAGAGTCATAGTCCATCGATTCCTCTCCTTCTAGGAGAATTTCGTTGTCCGCAGACATTTTTCTTCACTTTTTCAACAATTTATGTGGTTTCTTTACCTGTAAAAGTCAATATTATGAATCATATAACAACAAGAATGAGGCAAGGAACGACAGAGGAGAATGTAGGAATCAAAAAAGGCAGGAGAAAGTCATATGATATGTTGCAAAACCCTTTTTGATGGTGTTCACTGTTCTTTTTAAAAAACGGGCCCAAGATCATAGTTGAATTATAAACTGCCAAGCGGAAGTCTCAAAAGAGCGCGTTTGCATTGAAATGATCGAATAACGTGGCCGCGACGGTGAAAAATTTGCCGCGCTGCCTGAACTACGAGAGAAAAATGATAGAAATGCCAAATTTATAGAAATGATATGTGTAAAGTAGGTCATGGGGGCAAAAATGAGTCGATATCGCTAGTACGAGATGACCTAACAAGCAAAGTAACGCTACGCGATTGCTGCGAGATAGTAGGCAAGAGTGAGAGAGGCGCAAAGAAAGAGGAAATCGAATATGTCCCCGCGTTGTCCCAAAGTGTCCCCATTGCAGTCCTTTGCGCGGGGACACGCGGCCAACGGGTTACTGGGGGGCGCTCGTTTGTTTACCACAACCCGTCGTCGTCGGTCGATAAAAAAGACGGCCGTGGGGCAAGAGGAGACGGAGAAAATTGCTCGATGCCGGCAAAGCGAGGAAATTAGATAAGCAGACGTGTGAGCTGATGAAAAAATAAAGCAGCGCCGCACGCGTTTATCGAGAAAGAAAAATAATGTGAAAAAGGTATATTATGGCGCTTTCTTCAGAATAATAAATGTACATCCGTCATATTATGAATAACAAAGGCCGAGTAATATTTGGATGAGAAAACCAAGAATCGACTCGAACTAATCCGACACAGCGTTTTCGAATATAAATGAGAAACAGACGGGGAAGAGGGGAAGGGGGGGAGGACATCTTTTTTTCGTCGCAAGAACAGAAGGTCGTTTTTCGTCGGATGGGTGGCCGTGAAAAGGGATATTCATTCAAACGGGACAAAGACGGGTGTGTGAGAACATGCGCCATGCACACGACAGCACGCTCGTATAACGAAAAGCCGTGACGCGGACAGCCATGCAAAAACGAAATGAGATTTGGAGATTCACATTTTGATGAATGTCCTATTCGAGTGGAATTATTGGAAAGCCTGATATCCGCAGCAAAGCACAAATGACCTCATTTGCGTTTGTTTGCTCGGTTGGCTTTTCGTCGACGGAAATGAATGTCGTTAATGGGTTGACGGCTCCTAACGAAGCAGATGTATCCTATCGGAGAAAATGGGGAAAGAAGGAGTCTGGGGGTTTCGCTTTGATGCAGCCCAAGTCGCGGTTCTTGAAATGAAACATGTGAGGGAAATGAATAAGCGTTCAATGACTTTTAGTATCAAATATCTTAAAACGGTGTACATTTCGTTGTCTGAAACTTTGGTAATATCTTATCTAGTATCATCTAGGAAATGAATAATCCTGAAATCTGCTTAAAAATGAGAATATTCAAATCAAAAAGAAAAATCCTCGGCCTTTCCAGATTTCTTTGCGTTCGGCACATTCTTCTGACGTTGCCAAACATTCACAAAATAGCGACCTGCATAGAGCAAGGGCCTCAGCAAGCAAGCAGGGAAGAGTTTTCATACCTGAATTTTCAAGGCCATGACCACAACTCTGACTGCGCGCTGTTCCGTTCACATGCGTGTTTGAGAGTTGGAATTTGGATAGCGAATGTGGCAGAAGGATTTCGCACTTGGAAGTAAATCCTACATATTCCAATAGATCTCGCCGAGAGTTGGAGAAGAGTTTGACTTCTTGCATAGCATTTTTGGTAAGTCAGAAAACGATTTATTACGCGTGTTGTTGCCTTAATTTCACCGTGAAAGCGTAATGGAATTTTAAACTTTAGTGTTTTTTTACTGGTTTTTTACTGCTAAGTATAATACGAAGGGTGAAATTCTACTTTTCTTGTGACTCTCCGAGAAACCCCGGAGGCGGTAATCCGGCTTTTCACAGTTCACTACTAGAGGTAAGTTATCACTTTTCTATGATACGTTGAAGATAAGGAGAAGAGGACTGCTGGTTAACGCCAAAAAAATTGCTACATATTGCCAAGAATTGTTCCGACTATCACTGGAACGGTTATTGAGTTACGGATAAGAAGATACTATGTATTGTTATTTTGAAAATGTGAGTTAGAAGGCCCACAATCTTATCAAAACTGAAATCGACACTTCAGATTTTTCATCAAACCCGCTAGCTTGTTTCTATCTTGATGGGATCGTCACGACACGGCCCGGCAATTCATACAGTGGCCGAGAAAAATGCGTGGATTAAATACTCAGCCCAGCGATTTCGCTGCTGTGGACTTGCGTACAACGGTGTATGCAGATTCTGCATACCGTAACCCAAAAATATGCGGCTAATTAAAAAAAAAATTATTGAAAGTACAGAAAAAGCCTCAGAAAGACGGAAAAATGTGCTAATCTCATCGAAAGTATAGGGAAACGTCGAAAGTATACAAGAAAACGTGATTTTGACAGTAATTGCAGAAAATTTCGACTAGAATTGATTTTTTCAGTTACACTTCCAAAAATACATTTTTCGGTATCTTTAGACGTTCTATGTGTAAAAAATGTTAAAAGTATATAATAAAAGAACGAAAACTACGAATGACATCAAAATATTAGCGGAGATTCGTTGGAAACGCCGGCGGAACTCGAGGCGAATTCATGAACGGAGTGCCCCTAGCCATAATTAGCCCTAAATTTATTAATTTGTGGAGAATTTTGTCTTCCAATTTTTATTATATTTGAGGGGAGAGTTTCCGGCGCATATCCTTTCGATGTAGAGCATTCACATGCCAGCGTTCTGAATTGACGATAATCAGCGTTCTGACTTGTTGATGAGAGTATTGACTCCACGCAATAACCGGATCGGGACCATACCTTGCAGGCTTCTTGGACTTGGCTTGAAACATCTTTGATCCACGTTTAGAGGCTGGAAAAGCCGAATTTTTGCAAACATTGCGGCCTTTTCGGCCTCACACCCTTATATCTCGGGAAATTTATGAAAAACCGAAAAAAAAGTTGAGATTTTGATCATAGAGAGCTCTGATTTTTTGCCAAAAGTTGCTCACTATTGTATTCGATAATTTGAGCCAGGACTCCAATCGATGTAAGGTTTCTGAAGACGTCACGGAGCTGAATTATCGATTTTTAGTGAATTTTACAAAAACTTCGATAAAAAAAGTTGAGATTTTGATCACAGAGGGCTCTGATTTTTTGCCAAAAGTTTCTCACTATTGTATTTGATGATTTAAGCCAGGACTCCGATCGATGTAAGGTTTCTGAAGACGTCACGGAGCTGAATTATCGATTTTTAGTGAATTTTACAAAAACTTCGATAAAAAAAGTTGAGATTTTGATCACAGAGGGCTCTGATTTTTTGCCAAAAGTTTCTCACTATTGTATTCGATAATTTGAGCCAGGACTCCGATCGATGTAAGGTTTCTGAAAACGTCACGGAGCGGAAATCTCAATGTTTAGCGAATGTTACAAAAACTTCGATGGAAAACCTGTGAAAATTAATAAAAACGGAAGTCAAAGTAAAGAAGTGTATTAACTTCAATGACAAAACACGAATGAATCACTTAAAACTGCCAGAGAATCTTTTATAGCAGATAATCCAGTTCGTGTGTTGAAAAAACACACGTGGCCGAAGTTTCGCAAGGCGCAAAATTTTCTCGGCCAATGTATGAATTGCCGGCCCGTGCACGAGTAAGAATCCTGGTCAAAGAGATGCAATAAGGATGTCATTAAAGGTGCGAATTCTCTGTTTCTAGAAAATTTTGGACAGTCCAATACAAAATGTAACCCTTCTAAGATGATTGTATGTGTTTCAGGTTCATTCCTATCAGGCTTGCAAAGTTTCATGCCGCGCTAAAGATTTTGCTAGCTCGATCCGGCTCAGTTGGCCCGGAAGTTACACCTTTTGGTGGAATCGTCAGCGCGGTGTCACAAGTTGAGAACTGCGATCAGCTGGTTGTGTGGAAGCAACACGAAAGACACAAAGAGTGAGAATTTCTTGTTGCTAGCAAAATATAAACAATTTATTTTTCAGCACAAGACTGGAGTCCTTCCCGGACGGACAAACGAAATAAAAAGCAATTGCCGAAATAAAAAGAACATGAGCGTTCCTGTTCGTTACTGTCAAAGAAACCTGAAATCTTGGTGCAAATTCTTCGGCTCGATAACTGTTTATATGAAAGTGTATATTTCAGAACGGTGCGACAGAAATTTATATTGTGTTGTGAACGGGAACACAATGAATAAAATGCAATGGAGTTCCTGTCACTCTATGCTTCAAGAGAATTTCTGGCCGACAATATCTAACATTCTTCTTTTTATTAATTTTATCGCATTTGTATTGTATTTTTCTGTTGCCCCAGCTAAAAAACCTGGGGTTCCGTTATCCATGTGGACCAAACGCTCATGCCGAAAGATGTGCCAAACTCACCCTCACCGACCCGCCGGCGGGCCTGATTTTACCCACGCCGGTTGGCCTGTGTGGTATGATTCTCGCTTTGGGTGCGAGAGATCCTGGATTCGATTCCCGATTCGGCCCATCTTTATTGTGCGCTTTTTTCCAGATCCAAGACTTCGGGTACACATGGTTCAGACAAGACATGGCTAATCAGAACTGGAAAGCGAAACTTTTAAAAATATTGTGGCACGAATTTTTATCACTCTGTCGAATTCAGCTGCAACCCAAAACTGTTTGATCGATCAATCATATTGTTCTTCTCTCACGCTTTTTAGTTTTTTGTTGTGCATTAACTCAGCATGATGGAATGTGAGAAAACGATGCAAGATGATCAAAGCTCGGCATGCGCGATGTGTGACCCAACTGTAGTTTGAACGCTTCGGAGAATCTGCGCACATTCCGGTACATGTTTCGTTTCTTCATTCTTGTTGTTGTAAACAGACATCAATTAACAAGATTCGTATTTTCTCATTGCTACTGTGAACATACATTGTGGTTTCAGCCAAGTCGGTCGAGTTTTCACATAAACAGTAGTTTTATTCTGCACCTTTGTTGTTGTTGGGTGTTCTTCGACGGTGACATCTGCAGCAGAAAAGAGCCTTATCAGCAGAGAAACCTCTAAAGACGTTAGGTTCGATTTGGAAAATTTTTATTCGATAAGAGACCCCCCCCTCCTTTTTACCTTTTGCCATATTTCTAAAGTTCTACCGACTCGTTAGTAGATCCTCGTCCAGGGATCTAGACTATCAAGCCATTGCTTACTGACCAAAAGTTGGGAAAAATTTTTTTTTCAAGTAACTGACCAAAAGTCGCCGTGATATTTTTTCTTTCTTTTGAAAGGTGTATAATCTGTTTATTTCGTATTAAACTTTTTGCGGAATGCTACCTCTAATTTAGTGACGTCAAAGGTTTCATCGTACAAGTGGGACCGTCTCTTGGGGTAATGAATTCACTCATAGCATCAAGTGGAATGAATTGAGCATGTTTTGGCAATCATTTTGATATTATAACTTGCCAAGTTTTGTCGATTCGTCAGTGAACTACACTCACTGAAGTACTATTGACAGTGCATAAACGTTTGCAGCCGTGTCAGGGCAGCCGTGATATGTACCTCATCAGCAGCAAGTGCGCTGGATAGAGCAATCCAAGAGGATCATTTTTATACCATAACTTGCCCCTTTTTCACTTTTTTTCGCTTAGCTGGACTTGCTGACTTTACATCAATTCGTTCACATTTTAGTACGAAAAGCAGCAAGTCTAGCGCCGTAGCCATGACATATACATACCCAGCAGCAAGTGCGCTGTGTAGAACAATCCTAGAGGATCATTTTGATACCCTTACTTGCCCACTTTTGACTATTTTTCGCTGAGTTAGACTTCCTGACTAAATCTACCAGTTGCAACTGGTCGTTCCAAAAAATTACCAGTTGCAACTGGTAGATTTAGTCAGCAAGTCTAACTCAGCGGAGAATAGATGAAATCATTCAAGTAAGGGTATCAAAATGATCCTCTAGGATTGTTCTACACAGCGCACTTGCTGCTGGGTATGTATATGTCATGGCTACGGCGCTAGACTTGCTGCTTTTCGTACTAAAATGTGAACGAATTGATGTAAAGTCAGCAAGTCTAACTCAGCGAAAAATAGATGAAATCATTCAAATAAGGGTATCAAAATGATCCTCTTGGATTGCTCTATCCAGCGCACTTGCTGCTGCTAGAATATTTTCAACATCCAGAGTGCTGCTCGCGGAGCCAAAGTTGGAAAATCAACTTTTCCAGTGTTTTCAGAAACATCCAGAATTGTGCGCGCTAAGGATTTTTTGGGTCGATGAACACGTTCCCAAAAAAGCAAGTGAAATTAATCAGCATTCATCCGACGGCACGCATCTGAACTCAGATAATTTTTAGCAAGGGTGGGGCACGCGAGCGGCAAGTGGACAGCAAGTTGCTACGGTAGCATAGGATGAGCATGTCAGCAGGAAAAAGTGGGATGGGAAGGAAGCAAGGTTTTTGAGCGGCATAGAAGCAGCCACGGTAGCAGGGTTCAGCGCGTAGCATGCACGGAATCGGCACCCTTACAGCATTTTGCCGCAGAAAAACGGCATGCATGCCGCTTCCAGTCGGCACCCATGAAGATTCTTGCGGCCGCGCTTCTGGCTGTTCTCAGACTTAAGATGCGTGCCGTCGGACGAATACAATCAGTATTTCACTTGCTTTTTTTTGGAAACGAGTTCATTATAATGTAAACTAACTAGGGTTGGCAGCGGGGCGCCCCTCGCCCCCCGACCGGTTTTTTTCCAAAATCGAGTAGGAATTTTTTTGAAAAAGTTTTTCTCAACGCACGTTGATAGTGAATAAACTCATTAATCTACTAAATTTTTTTCAGAATTTTAATTACACTTTAAGGGGCCGGGGGGCGAACGAGGGTGTGGGGGCGCGGGGGCGCCCCGTTGCTAACCCTAAAACTAACAAAATGACACAAATAAGCACGCACGAAACAGCCATATTTCGAAAAAAGCTAAATTACTAAAAGCTAGGTCAAAATTCATTTTAAAAAAGACCCTGCTTAGAGAGGCACTTGCTGACCAGCCGGACCTCGCTCACTGACCAGCAGGTGCTTCAGACCATGGGACTTACTGACCACGGACCCCCCTGAGAGTTGGTCCTAGATCCCTGCTCCGCAATCATCTTCCCGAGCACAATGCGCACGGTGACGAACCCGATCTGCTGTTGCTCTGCGCGACAGCGGACGGCGAGAAAGAGAGCACGCTTCTGGAATTGGCGGTCGACGGGCAAGTCGAGGTCGAGCTGGTGTACCTTCCGAAAAATGAGATACGAGGAGAAGGCGTGGATCGCGACGATCGAGCAACGAGAGACGATTCTGGAGATTAAGAGGAACGTGGCCGAGACGCAGAACAAGACGGAGGCGACGAGGGAGTCGTACGTGCCGTGCAGGAAAGAGTTTTTTTGGAAATTGCCTCCGTTAGTTCTCGAATATTATAGTTCTCCTAGTTCTCGAACTTTAACTACTTTCAGTTTTGGCCAATCTTCCCGTTCAACAAGAAGTTGAGCCAGTGGGCGCAGAAACTCAACGTCGACGAAAAAAAGATTTTTAAAGAGATGAACCTCTTCCAAATCGCTCATCTTGTCATCAGTACGGACAGGAAAAAGCAAGCAGAAGACTCGAGTGAGTTCATTTTTTTCGCCTTTTTTTTGTACCGAGTATCAAAGTTTGAAGTTTGCAGGCGGGATCCCTGTGGAAAGAGCTTGTGGAGCTTGTGAAAGCAAAAGATGCTGCACAAACGAAAGAGTTTATCGCGAAGAACTGGCAGATGAAGATCGGAAACTATACGAGCCAATACGTGGTGAATGCGCCGGAAGTTCGGGCGGATCACAAACTTCTGTGGACCGGCCTGCCGCAGGGGCCGAACAACAAAATGAACAGTCTCGTTGCCATTAAGGCCGTCCACGAGTACCGAATGCTCGCCGTCCTCCTCAAAACGCCTCCGCAATGCTTCCTCGAACCGTACTACGAGGCGAAAACGTCTCCACCGCCGGGAACAAGGATCTCCTACCGGCACTACTGTCTGCTCCATTCGCGATTGGCTTGCGACAGTCTCGGAGGCCGAATCAATGAATTGAGTGCGGCGGAACAGCAAAAGTTGTTCGACATAAGCTTGACAATGGATACCGATGAGCCGGAATCCTGGCACGATATGTTCGTGCTCCTTTTTCCTTGAATGGCGTCGCTTCTCGCCAGATGCTAAGTTCGAAGAATGATTCGGTTCTTTCACGTGATAAACTGCCCTTTTGCCCATTGACATAGTGTTCTCCATCTCCACTTTCCCACCATTTCTTTCTAATTCGTCGTGTCGAAAAATCCGAAATGAATCCGATGAATCACTGGAATCCGGGTTGGCAATTCGCAATGAATGCTCAGCAAAGAGCACACGCCGGAGGGAACCGAGCTCTTCAGCCGGCGGCTCCGGCTCCGGCTCCTCCTGCTCCGCTGGTCCCACAGTTGCCGGCTAGACAGCCAATCGGACAAGGAAGACGAGTGGCTGTGGCCCAGCAGCAACAGAATGCGGTCCCGAATCCGAATCCGAATCCGAACAGACGGAATAACAGAAATCAGAACAATCCGGTTCGCAGAGAGCATCAGCAAGTTCGTCAGGAACGTCATCTGGTAGGACAGTCTGAAATCAATGAGCCAATATAATAGGTTTCAGAGTAGAGATGACGTGGAGAGACTTCAGACGATTTCCAGAAAGAACCAGCAGACGCGCACCGCTTTAGAGTACGCCAGCCGAGAAGATCAGTGCTGGACGGACCTGATGAGTGAGTGCCCATCCCAAGTGAGAAGGATTATGGTAGTTTGCAGACACCCTCAACACCCAAAGCCATCAGTTCACTCCGAGCACTCCCAACGGCGGCCCTGACGCCTTGATTCCGAACGATCAGGAGATTTGCTCCAGTTTAAGAACTGAGAACCAGTACGAGACGATTCTGAAAACCCGCGAGCTGCTTGTGAACTTTGGAGCCACCGAGTACGACTTGTCGAGAGCTTTAAACAGTCTGGAGATGCACATGAGAACGAACGCGTGCGAGTTCAATGAGATTGAGGACGTCTCCAGTGATCTGATGCGGACCGCCGGCAAACTGAGCCACGAGATCGAGGAGCTCGAGCAGATTCTGCGTCGAATTGACAATATCAAACTGCAATGACTTTTTGTGCAAATGAAGACGGGCTCTTTGAAAGTTTCATAATATTTATTAGGAAAAGGCTGTAGAAATACATTTAAAAGTTGAAGTCGGATTGAAAGAAGTTGGTGAGGAGAACTGAAGGAATGATTAGACAGGCCGATTTGTGCGTGTAACGCGAGAATTGACACACCTGTGCACGTCTGAAACATTCAATTGTTATGGTTCTTATTCTGCTTGCAAACTCACAAAGTGCTCGGCGGAATGCGCCTCCCTCCTACTCTATCAGATCCTAATGACTGACACTTCGAAAAGTGGCAGTCACTGCTTGCATCAAGAGTGGGAAGTTTCTTGACTTCTTCGTCATCATCTCCTTGCCCTCCTGCTGCTTGTCGTCGGCCTCTTTCTGAATGCGCGAGTTCTCTTCGCGGATGATCTCCTCGTTCTCGAGCATCGTCTGCAGTGCCTCCTCTTGCAGAAGCACCTGTTGTCGGAGCTTCTCGAGCTCCTGCGACACCTTCTGGATCTCGTCGTCCTTCTCGTCCAATTTCTGGTTCAGCTTTACCCGCTCCTCCTCGTACAGGCCGATTTGTGCGTGTAACGCGAGAATTGACACACCTGTGCACGTCTGAAACATTCAATTGTTATGGTTCTTATTCTGCTTGCAAACTCACAAAGTGCTCGGCGGAATGCGCCTCCCTCCTACTCTATCAGATCCTAATGACTGACACTTCGAAAAGTGGCAGTCACTGCTTGCATCAAGAGTGGGAAGTTTCTTGACTTCTTCGTCATCATCTCCTTGCCCTCCTGCTGCTTGTCGTCGGCCTCTTTCTGAATGCGCGAGTTCTCTTCGCGGATGATCTCCTCGTTCTCGAGCATCGTCTGCAGTGCCTCCTCTTGCAGAAGCACCTGTTGTCGGAGCTTCTCGAGCTCCTGCGACACCTTCTGGATCTCGTCGTCCTTCTCGTCCAATTTCTGGTACAGCTTTACCCGCTCCTCCTCGTACAGGCCGATTTGTGCGTGTAACGCGAGAATTGACACACCTGTGCACGTCTGAAACATTCAATTGTTATGGTTCTTATTCTGCTTGCAAACTCACAAAGTGCTCGGCGGAATGCGCCTCCCTCCTACTCTATCAGATCCTAATGACTGACACTTCGAAAAGTGGCAGTCACTGCTTGCATCAAGAGTGGGAAGTTTCTTGACTTCTTCGTCATCATCTCCTTGCCCTCCTGCTGCTTGTCGTCGGCCTCTTTCTGAATGCGCGAGTTCTCTTCGCGGATGATCTCCTCGTTCTCGAGCATCGTCTGCAGTGCCTCCTCTTGCAGAAGCACCTGTTGTCGGAGCTTCTCGAGCTCCTGCGACACCTTCTGGATCTCGTCGTCCTTCTCGTCCAATTTCTGGTACAGCTTTACCCGCTCCTCCTCGTACAGGCCGATTTGTGCGTGTAACGCGAGAATTGACACACCTGTGCACGTCTGAAACATTCAATTGTTATGGTTCTTATTCTGCTTGCAAACTCACAAAGTGCTCGGCGGAATGCGCCTCCCTCCTACTCTATCAGATCCTAATGACTGACACTTCGAAAAGTGGCAGTCACTGCTTGCATCAAGAGTGGGAAGTTTCTTGACTTCTTCGTCATCATCTCCTTGCCCTCCTGCTGCTTGTCGTCGGCCTCTTTCTGAATGCGCGAGTTCTCTTCGCGGATGATCTCCTCGTTCTCGAGCATCGTCTGCAGTGCCTCCTCTTGCAGAAGCACCTGTTGTCGGAGCTTCTCGAGCTCCTGCGACACCTTCTGGATCTCGTCGTCCTTCTCGTCCAATTTCTGGTACAGCTTTACCCTGCTCCTCCTCGTACAGGCCGATTTGTGCGTGTAACGCGAGAATTGACACACCTGTGCACGTCTGAAACATTCAATTGTTATGGTTCTTATTCTGCTTGCAAACTCACAAAGTGCTCGGCGGAATGCGCCTCCCTCCTACTCTATCAGATCCTAATGACTGACACTTCGAAAAGTGGCAGTCACTGCTTGCATCAAGAGTGGGAAGTTTCTTGACTTCTTCGTCATCATCTCCTTGCCCTCCTGCTGCTTGTCGTCGGCCTCTTTCTGAATGCGCGAGTTCTCTTCGCGGATGATCTCCTCGTTCTCGAGCATCGTCTGCAGTGCCTCCTCTTGCAGAAGCACCTGTTGTCGGAGCTTCTCGAGCTCCTGCGACACCTTCTGGATCTCGTCGTCCTTCTCGTCCAATTTCTGGTACAGCTTTACCCGCTCCTCCTCGTACAGGCCGATTTGTGCGTGTAACGCGAGAATTGACACACCTGTGCACGTCTGAAACATTCAATTGTTATGGTTCTTATTCTGCTTGCAAACTCACAAAGTGCTCGGCGGAATGCGCCTCCCTCCTACTCTATCAGATCCTAATGACTGACACTTCGAAAAGTGGCAGTCACTGCTTGCATCAAGAGTGGGAAGTTTCTTGACTTCTTCGTCATCATCTCCTTGCCCTCCTGCTGCTTGTCGTCGGCCTCTTTCTGAATGCGCGAGTTCTCTTCGCGGATGATCTCCTCGTTCTCGAGCATCGTCTGCAGTGCCTCCTCTTGCAGAAGCACCTGTTGTCGGAGCTTCTCGAGCTCCTGCGACACCTTCTGGATCTCGTCGTCCTTCTCGTCCAATTTCTGGTACAGCTTTACCCGCTCCTCCTCGTACAGGCCGATTTGTGCGTGTAACGCGAGAATTGACACACCTGTGCACGTCTGAAACATTCAATTGTTATGGTTCTTATTCTGCTTGCAAACTCACAAAGTGCTCGGCGGAATGCGCCTCCCTCCTACTCTATCAGATCCTAATGACTGACACTTCGAAAAAGTGGCAGTCACTGCTTGCATCAAGAGTGGGAAGTTTCTTGACTTCTTCGTCATCATCTCCTTGCCCTCCTGCTGCTTGTCGTCGGCCTCTTTCTGAATGCGCGAGTTCTCTTCGCGGATGATCTCCTCGTTCTCGAGCATCGTCTGCAGTGCCTCCTCTTGCAGAAGCACCTGTTGTCGGAGCTTCGAGCTCCTGCGACACCTTCTGGATCTCGTCGTCCTTCTCGTCCAATTTCTGGTACAGCTTTACCCGCTCCTCCTCGTACAGGCCGATTTGTGCGTGTAACGCGAGAATTGACACACCTGTGCACGTCTGAAACATTCAATTGTTATGGTTCTTATTCTGCTTGCAAACTCACAAAGTGCTCGGCGGAATGCGCCTCCCTCCTACTCTATCAGATCCTAATGACTGACACTTCGAAAAGTGGCAGTCACTGCTTGCATCAAGAGTGGGAAGTTTCTTGACTTCTTCGTCATCATCTCCTTGCCCTCCTGCTGCTTGTCGTCGGCCTCTTTCTGAATGCGCGAGTTCTCTTCGCGGATGATCTCCTCGTTCTCGAGCATCGTCTGCAGTGCCTCCTCTTGCAGAAGCACCTGTTGTCGGAGCTTCTCGAGCTCCTGCGACACCTTCTGGATCTCGTCGTCCTTCTCGTCCAATTTCTGGTACAGCTTTTACCTGCTCCTCCTCGTACAGGCCGATTTGTGCGTGTAACGCGAGAATTGACACACCTGTGCACGTCTGAAACATTCAATTGTTATGGTTCTTATTCTGCTTGCAAACTCACAAAGTGCTCGGCGGAATGCGCCTCCCTCCTACTCTATCAGATCCTAATGACTGACACTTCGAAAAGTGGCAGTCACTGCTTGCATCAAGAGTGGGAAGTTTCTTGACTTCTTCGTCATCATCTCCTTGCCCTCCTGCTGCTTGTCGTCGGCCTCTTTCTGAATGCGCGAGTTCTCTTCGCGGATGATCTCCTCGTTCTCGAGCATCGTCTGCAGTGCCTCCTCTTGCAGAAGCACCTGTTGTCGGAGCTTCTCGAGCTCCTGCGACACCTTCTGATCTCGTCGTCCTTCTCGTCCAATTTCTGGTACAGCTTTTACCCGCTCCTCCTCGTACAGGCCGATTTGTGCGTGTAACGCGAGAATTGACACACCTGTGCACGTCTGAAACATTCAATTGTTATGGTTCTTATTCTGCTTGCAAACTCACAAAGTGCTCGGCGGAATGCGCCTCCTCCTACTCTATCAGATCCTAATGACTGACACTTCGAAAAGTGGCAGTCACTGCTTGCATCAAGAGTGGGAAGTTTCTTGACTTCTTCGTCATCATCTCCTTGCCCTCCTGCTGCTTGTCGTCGGCCTCTTTCTGAATGCGCGAGTTCTCTTCGCGGATGATCTCCTCGTTCTCGAGCATCGTCTGCAGTGCCTCCTCTTGCAGAAGCACCTGTTGTCGGAGCTTCTCGAGCTCCTGCGACACCTTCTGGATCTCGTCGTCCTTCTCGTCCAATTTCTGGTACAGCTTTACCCTGCTCCTCCTCGTACAGGCCGATTTGTGCGTGTAACGCGAGAATTGACACACCTGTGCACGTCTGAAACATTCAATTGTTATGGTTCTTATTCTGCTTGCAAACTCACAAAGTGCTCGGCGGAATGCGCCTCCCTCCTACTCTATCAGATCCTAATGACTGACACTTCGAAAAGTGGCAGTCACTGCTTGCATCAAGAGTGGGAAGTTTCTTTGACTTCTTCGTCATCATCTCCTTGCCCTCCTGCTGCTTGTCGTCGGCCTCTTTCTGAATGCGCGAGTTCTCTTCGCGGATGATCTCCTCGTTCTCGAGCATCGTCTGCAGTGCCTCCTCTTGCAGAAGCACCTGTTGTCGGAGCTCTCGAGCTCCTGCGACACCTTCTGATCTCGTCGTCCTTCTCGTCCAATTTCTGGTACAGCTTTACCCTGCTCCTCCTCGTACAGGCTGATTTGTGCGTGTAACGCGAGAATTGACACACCTGTGCACGTCTGAAACATTCAATTGTTATGGTTCTTATTCTGCTTGCAAACTCACAAAGTGCTCGGCGGAATGCGCCTCCCTCCTACTCTATCAGATCCTAATGACTGACACTTCGAAAAGTGGCAGTCACTGCTTGCATCAAGAGTGGGAAGTTTCTTGACTTCTTCGTCATCATCTCCTTGCCCTCCTGCTGCTTGTCGTCGGCCTCTTTCTGAATGCGCGAGTTCTCTTCGCGGATGATCTCCTCGTTCTCGAGCATCGTCTGCAGTGCCTCCTCTTGCAGAAGCACCTGTTGTCGGAGCTTCTCGAGCTCCTGCGACACCTTCTGATCTCGTCGTCCTTCTCGTCCAATTTGCTGGTACAGCTTTACCCTGCTCCTCCTCGTACAGGCCGATTTGTGCGTGTAACGCGAGAATTGACACACCTGTGCACGTCTGAAACATTCAATTGTTATGGTTCTTATTCTGCTTGCAAACTCACAAAGTGCTCGGCGGAATGCGCCTCCCTCCTACTCTATCAGATCCTAATGACTGACACTTCGAAAAGTGGCAGTCACTGCTTGCATCAAGAGTGGGAAGTTTCTTGACTTCTTCGTCATCATCTCCTTGCCCTCCTGCTGCTTGTCGTCGGCCTCTTTCTGAATGCGCGAGTTCTCTTCGCGGATGATCTCCTCGTTCTCGAGCATCGTCTGCAGTGCCTCCTCTTGCAGAAGCACCTGTTGTCGGAGCTTCGAGCTCCTGCGACACCTTCTGGATCTCGTCGTCCTTCTCGTCCAATTTCTGGTACAGCTTTACCCTGCTCCTCCTCGTACAGGCCGATTTGTGCGTGTAACGCGAGAATTGACACACCTGTGCACGTCTGAAACATTCAATTGTTATGGTTCTTATTCTGCTTGCAAACTCACAAAGTGCTCGGCGGAATGCGCCTCCCTCCTACTCTATCAGATCCTAATGACTGACACTTCGAAAAGTGGCAGTCACTGCTTGCATCAAGAGTGGGAAGTTTCTTGACTTCTTCGTCATCATCTCCTTGCCCTCCTGCTGCTTGTCGTCGGCCTCTTTCTGAATGCGCGAGTTCTCTTCGCGGATGATCTCCTCGTTCTCGAGCATCGTCTGCAGTGCCTCCTCTTGCAGAAGCACCTGTTGTCGGAGCTTCTGAGCTCCTGCGACACCTTCTGGATCTCGTCGTCCTTCTCGTCCAATTGCTGGTACAGCTTTACCCGCTCCTCCTCGTACAGGCCGATTTGTGCGTGTAACGCGAGAATTGACACACCTGTGCACGTCTGAAACATTCAATTGTTATGGTTCTTATTCTGCTTGCAAACTCACAAAGTGCTCGGCGGAATGCGCCTCCCTCCTACTCTATCAGATCCCTAATGACTGACACTTCGAAAAGTGGCAGTCACTGCTTGCATCAAGAGTGGGAAGTTTCTTGACTTCTTCGTCATCATCTCCTTTGCCCTCCTGCTGCTTGTCGTCGGCCTCTTTCTGAATGCGCGAGTTCTCTTCGCGGATGATCTCCTCGTTCTCGAGCATCGTCTGCAGTGCCTCCTCTTGCAGAAGCACCTGTTGTCGGAGCTTCTCGAGCTCCTGCGACACCTTCTGGATCTCGTCGTCCTTCTCGTCCACTTTCTGGTACAGCTTTACCCGCTCCTCCTCGTACAGGCCGATTTGTGCGTGTAACGCGAGAATTGACACACCTGTGCACGTCTGAAACATTCAATTGTTATGGTTCTTATTCTGCTTGCAAACTCACAAAGTGCTCGGCGGAATGCGCCTCCCTCCTACTCTATCAGATCCTAATGACTGACACTTCGAAAAGTGGCAGTCACTGCTTGCATCAAGAGTGGGAAGTTTCTTGACTTCTTCGTCATCATCTCCTTGCCCTCCTGCTGCTTGTCGTCGGCCTCTTTCTGAATGCGCGAGTTCTCTTCGCGGATGATCTCCTCGTTCTCGAGCATCGTCTGCAGTGCCTCCTCTTGCAGAAGCACCTGTTGTCGGAGCTTCGAGCTCCTGCGACACCTTCTGGATCTCGTCGTCCTTCTCGTCCAATTTCTGGTACAGCTTTACCCTGCTCCTCCTCGTACAGGCCGATTTGTGCGTGTAACGCGAGAATTGACACACCTGTGCACGTCTGAAACATTCAATTGTTATGGTTCTTATTCTGCTTGCAAACTCACAAAGTGCTCGGCGGAATGCGCCTCCCTCCTACTCTATCAGATCCTAATGACTGACACTTCGAAAAGTGGCAGTCACTGCTTGCATCAAGAGTGGGAAGTTTCTTGACTTCTTCGTCATCATCTCCTTTGCCCTCCTGCTGCTTGTCGTCGGCCTCTTTCTGAATGCGCGAGTTCTCTTCGCGGATGATCTCCTCGTTCTCGAGCATCGTCTGCAGTGCCTCCTCTTGCAGAAGCACCTGTTGTCGGAGCTTCTCGAGCTCCTGCGACACCTTCTGGATCTCGTCGTCCTTCTCGTCCAATTTCTGGTACAGCTTTACCCGCTCCTCCTCGTACAGGCCGATTTGTGCGTGTAACGCGAGAATTGACACACCTGTGCACGTCTGAAACATTCAATTGTTATGGTTCTTATTCTGCTTGCAAACTCACAAAGTGCTCGGCGGAATGCGCCTCCCTCCTACTCTATCAGATCCCTAATGACTGACACTTCGAAAAGTGGCAGTCACTGCTTGCATCAAGAGTGGGAAGTTTCTTGACTTCTTCGTCATCATCTCCTTGCCCTCCTGCTGCTTGTCGTCGGCCTCTTTCTGAATGCGCGAGTTCTCTTCGCGGATGATCTCCTCGTTCTCGAGCATCGTCTGCAGTGCCTCCTCTTGCAGAAGCACCTGTTGTCGGAGCTTCTCGAGCTCCTGCGACACCTTCTGGATCTCGTCGTCCTTCTCGTCCAATTTCTGGTACAGCTTTTACCCGCTCCTCCTCGTACAGGCCGATTTGTGCGTGTAACGCGAGAATTGACACACCTGTGCACGTCTGAAACATTCAATTGTTATGGTTCTTATTCTGCTTGCAAACTCACAAAGTGCTCGGCGGAATGCGCCTCCCTCCTACTCTATCAGATCCTAATGACTGACACTTCGAAAAGTGGCAGTCACTGCTTGCATCAAGAGTGGGAAGTTTCTTGACTTCTTCGTCATCATCTCCTTGCCCTCCTGCTGCTTGTCGTCGGCCTCTTTCTGAATGCGCGAGTTCTCTTCGCGGATGATCTCCTCGTTCTCGAGCATCGTCTGCAGTGCCTCCTCTTGCAGAAGCACCTGTTGTCGGAGCTTCTCGAGCTCCTGCGACACCTTCTGGATCTCGTCGTCCTTCTCGTCCAATTTCTGGTACAGCTTTACCCGCTCCTCCTCGTACAGGCCGATTTGTGCGTGTAACGCGAGAATTGACACACCTGTGCACGTCTGAAACATTCAATTGTTATGGTTCTTATTCTGCTTGCAAACTCACAAAGTGCTCGGCGGAATGCGCCTCCCTCCTACTCTATCAGATCCTAATGACTGACACTTCGAAAAGTGGCAGTCACTGCTTGCATCAAGAGTGGGAAGTTTCTTGACTTCTTCGTCATCATCTCCTTGCCCTCCTGCTGCTTGTCGTCGGCCTCTTTCTGAATGCGCGAGTTCTCTTCGCGGATGATCTCCTCGTTCTCGAGCATCGTCTGCAGTGCCTCCTCTTGCAGAAGCACCTGTTGTCGGAGCTTCTCGAGCTCCTGCGACACCTTCTGGATCTCGTCGTCCTTCTCGTCCAATTTCTGGTACAGCTTTACCCGCTCCTCCTCGTACAGGCCGATTTGTGCGTGTAACGCGAGAATTGACACACCTGTGCACGTCTGAAACATTCAATTGTTATGGTTCTTATTCTGCTTGCAAACTCACAAAGTGCTCGGCGGAATGCGCCTCCCTCCTACTCTATCAGATCCTAATGACTGACACTTCGAAAAGTGGCAGTCACTGCTTGCATCAAGAGTGGGAAGTTTCTTGACTTCTTCGTCATCATCTCCTTGCCCTCCTGCTGCTTGTCGTCGGCCTCTTTCTGAATGCGCGAGTTCTCTTCGCGGATGATCTCCTCGTTCTCGAGCATCGTCTGCAGTGCCTCCTCTTGCAGAAGCACCTGTTGTCGGAGCTTCTCGAGCTCCTGCGACACCTTCTGGATCTCGTCGTCCTTCTCGTCCAATTTCTGGTACAGCTTTACCCGCTCCTCCTCGTACAGGCCGATTTGTGCGTGTAACGCGAGAATTGACACACCTGTGCACGTCTGAAACATTCAATTGTTATGGTTCTTATTCTGCTTGCAAACTCACAAAGTGCTCGGCGGAATGCGCCTCCCTCCTACTCTATCAGATCCTAATGACTGACACTTCGAAAAGTGGCAGTCACTGCTTGCATCAAGAGTGGGAAGTTTCTTGACTTCTTCGTCATCATCTCCTTGCCCTCCTGCTGCTTGTCGTCGGCCTCTTTCTGAATGCGCGAGTTCTCTTCGCGGATGATCTCCTCGTTCTCGAGCATCGTCTGCAGTGCCTCCTCTTGCAGAAGCACCTGTTGTCGGAGCTTCTCGAGCTCCTGCGACACCTTCTGGATCTCGTCGTCCTTCTCGTCCAATTTCTGGTACAGCTTTACCCGCTCCTCCTCGTACAGGCCGATTTGTGCGTGTAACGCGAGAATTGACACACCTGTGCACGTCTGAAACATTCAATTGTTATGATTCTTATTCTGCTTGCAAACTCACAAAGTGCTCGGCGGAATGCGCCTCCCTCCTACTCTATCAGATCCTAATGACTGACACTTCGAAAAGTGGCAGTCACTGCTTGCATCAAGAGTGGGAAGTTTCTTGACTTCTTCGTCATCATCTCCTTGCCCTCCTGCTGCTTGTCGTCGGCCTCTTTCTGAATGCGCGAGTTCTCTTCGCGGATGATCTCCTCGTTCTCGAGCATCGTCTGCAGTGCCTCCTCTTGCAGAAGCACCTGTTGTCGGAGCTTCTCGAGCTCCTGCGACACCTTCTGGATCTCGTCGTCCTTCTCGTCCAATTTCTGGTACAGCTTTACCCGCTCCTCCTCGTACAGGCCGATTTGTGCGTGTAACGCGAGAATTGACACACCTGTGCACGTCTGAAACATTCAATTGTTATGGTTCTTATTCTGCTTGCAAACTCACAAAGTGCTCGGCGGAATGCGCCTCCCTCCTACTCTATCAGATCCTAATGACTGACACTTCGAAAAGTGGCAGTCACTGCTTGCATCAAGAGTGGGAAGTTTCTTGACTTCTTCGTCATCATCTCCTTGCCCTCCTGCTGCTTGTCGTCGGCCTCTTTCTGAATGCGCGAGTTCTCTTCGCGGATGATCTCCTCGTTCTCGAGCATCGTCTGCAGTGCCTCCTCTTGCAGAAGCACCTGTTGTCGGAGCTTCTCGAGCTCCTGCGACACCTTCTGGATCTCGTCGTCCTTCTCGTCCAATTTCTGGTACAGCTTTACCCGCTCCTCCTCGTACAGGCCGATTTGTGCGTGTAACGCGAGAATTGACACACCTGTGCACGTCTGAAACATTCAATTGTTATGGTTCTTATTCTGCTTGCAAACTCACAAAGTGCTCGGCGGAATGCGCCTCCCTCCTACTCTATCAGATCCTAATGACTGACACTTCGAAAAGTGGCAGTCACTGCTTGCATCAAGAGTGGGAAGTTTCTTGACTTCTTCGTCATCATCTCCTTGCCCTCCTGCTGCTTGTCGTCGGCCTCTTTCTGAATGCGCGAGTTCTCTTCGCGGATGATCTCCTCGTTCTCGAGCATCGTCTGCAGTGCCTCCTCTTGCAGAAGCACCAGTTGTCGGAGCTTCTCGAGCTCCTGCGACACCTTCTGGATCTCGTCGTCCTTCTCGTCCAATTTCTGGTACAGCTTTACCCGCTCCTCCTCGTACAGGCCGATTTGTGCGTGTAACGCGAGAATTGACACACCTGTGCACGTCTGAAACATTCAATTGTTATGGTTCTTATTCTGCTTGCAAACTCACAAAGTGCTCGGCGGAATGCGCCTCCCTCCTACTCTATCAGATCCTAATGACTGACACTTCGAAAAGTGGCAGTCACTGCTTGCATCAAGAGTGGGAAGTTTCTTGACTGTTCTTCGCCCTGTTCTTTGTCATCATCTCCTTGCCCTCCTGCTGCTTGTCGTCGGCCTCTTTCTGAATGCGCGAGTTCTCTTCGCGGATGATCTCCTCGTTCTCGAGCATCGTCTGCAGTGCCTCCTCTTGCAGAAGCACCTGTTGTCGGAGCTTCTCGAGCTCCTGCGACACCTTCTGGATCTCGTCGTCCTTCTTGTCCAATTTCTGGTACAGCTTTACCCGCTCCTCCTCGTACAGGCCGATTTGTGCGTGTAACGCGAGAATTGACACACCTGTGCACGTCTGAAACATTCAATTGTTATGGTTCTTATTCTGCTTGCAAACTCACAAAGTGCTCGGCGGAATGCGCCTCCCTCCTACTCTATCAGATCCTAATGACTGACACTTCGAAAAGTGGCAGTCACTGCTTGCATCAAGAGTGGGAGGTTTCTTGACTATTCCTCGCCTTCCGAAGATCCTTGTGGGTTCTCGTGTCCGACGTAGCGAGAGAAGAGAGAGAGAGAGAGTTTAAGTAGGGTGTGGCAGTTTCTTCTACTAACTAAAATTCTAACATGTAAGTCATATGCGCGCAAGAGGTTAACCCCAAAGAGTGCCCGTCTCTGTCTGCCCACATTCCTCTCATCTCAGGCTTCCTTCAAGAAGTTATCGTTAGGGTCACTTGAAGGGATCTGATCCGTAAGGACCGTGCAACTCCGCATCAAGTACCCACGGTCCGCAGAGCCGCCGCCCCGTAGAGAAGGGGGTCAACCACGCCACGTGTAAGGTGGGGGCGGTGATTTTTTTCCTCCGTGACGGGGCAAATCACGTCACGAAGGTCACCGCTGTGGCCCTACTCAGAGAAGGACGTACAGACGGATACTCCCGAGGAATACACCTCTTCTAAGCTATTGTAGTCACATAAAAGTTCTATTAATTCGAAAAAGACACCACTGGTAGGCAAGATTTTGTTTAAAAATTGATCGCAGGGAGAAAAAGAATTACTCAGAAATGTACGCAATTTTTTTACTGTTTGCCACACCCTACACTATGCCCAACTCATTGAGCACCGATCTGAACGACAAAAAGTGAGCATTTGTTCCGGTTTTCACAAAAATACATAGGAATAACAGGACGGTTTGTTTCTACTACATATAGAGGCATCCGAGAGTTCAGCGCAGTTTTTTCAGAAACTCTCCCAAATGTGATATCCTGTGAGCATTTAGAAGCAAAAATGAAATTTAATGCAACTTTTGTCGGATAAGAAAGGAACTTTACAGAGATCACAGCTGAAATAGCTTCGGAATAGAGTGCACTTCACTTCCGTATGGACTTGACATATGAAAGAGAAAAATGAAGTAACGGAGAGAAAGGGGAGAAAGAACAAGTGGAAAAATATCGGATCGATATCGATTAGCAGAGGGTCTGGAAAGTCCGCCCGCCCAAAACGCGGGCAGAACGAGACGATCCGACCGTCCGCCAAGTCGGTATGTCCGAATGAATGGCTATTCTTTCCCACGGGGGTACTTTTATACTTACTCCTCACATATCGAGTAAATCAAAACGGCCCTTTCCCTCCATTTCTGTGTGTAGTCTGTTAGGATTATGAATGTGTAGTCTGGTAGGATTATGAGTTAACAATTGTTGCCTACCTCGAATCTCTTTCAATTCAATCGCATTACTTTCAGAAGTAACTTTCGTTTTTTCCGGTTTCCTTATAATTTTTCGTGTTCTTTTTGCGTTGCGGTGCCATGAGCTTTCAACGTGAGAATGCGATGAGTACGGAGTCTGACTCATAAAACATTCATTAAACGATAAAACTTTCAAAAATCAATATATTCCAGAATGATTAAAAAATAGCGAGGCGAATCCTCTCATTGGAGGAGCATTTTGACACCTGACCTCTGGGTTGGGTGGATGCTCCGCATGATCGCATCGAAGTTGGCCGCGAACTTGTCCTTGATGTCCTTCACGGACAGCCTCTCGAGGACTGAACCGTCTCTCGTCACCAGTAGATGTTTGTGGCAGACGGTGACGGAGCAGTTTCGGTCGTGACGGTACATCATCCTGAAGTTGCTGGCGGCGGCGTGCAGAAATGCGTCCCTGGTCCGCGACTCCTTTGTGTCGTGGAGCTCGACAATGACGTACTGCTGCAAAGCTTCGTGGTCAAAAACTGACATTCTCTTTTCGAGAAATAAACAAACCTCTACGTTATTGCCGTACTCCAGCTGATTGAAGCTGTCCAGGTGTTCTGCGACGGCCCGCCCGATCTTCTCCGCCACTGCTTTCGGAACCTCCACGATGGTCCAGAAGATTGGAGAGATCGGGTGTTGCCGTCCCCGCGAGGCGTTCGGGAACGTTGCCGCGTCCCAATCCAAATCGATTCTATAAATAATGAGTGTTTAGTCGGTTTTTGGCGCTTGAAATCATGAAATCTTACCCAAGTCGGCCCAGTATGTCGCCGATTCGTGCTCGGAACTCGTCGTCCGACGGATCGATTTGGAACTCAAGGTTCCCGAACACGATCTGCTGCCGACCGGGCGCTGGCGCTGAGCATCGGGTTCTCTTCTAAAAAAAACAAAATTTTCAGCTCGAAATTCCGGTATCGGCATTGCTTACCCTCTTCCGGTTCGTCCTGTTCAGGACTCCGACATTGAGCGGAGTCGGTCGAACAAGATCCCTCAGATTGTACACCGTCGCCGTCGACCGCAGCGAATTGTTTGTGAGTGCTGGGGCCAGCGGCGACGGTGTCCTCCCGCAGCTTGGTCGTGACGGCGGCGACTGTGGAGACGGTGGCGTGTGAAAGCCTCTGCGAACCGGCGCCGGCGAGTCATAATCGAGGTCGGACACACGGCGTGGGTGTTGTGGTGTGCCCACTGTATCCGGGTCCTCGGACTCGTTGCTCCGACGCCTTTTCGGTGAGCATGCAGAGTCTTCCTTGCTCTCGTCCCTGTCATCGCCTCCTCCTGGCGCTCCCGCTCCCCGCGCCTGCTCCTCCTGAGCTTCTTCTCCGCGCCGTTGTTCCTCCTGAGCTCTCCGCGGCTCCTCTCTCTCTTGCTCCATCGCCGACTCCGAGTACTCCTCCCGAGCCGTTGATCCACGAGCCTGCTGCCCCATGCGCTCGTTCTGGGTCTCCTGACGGTCCTCCATCGGCCCTGGCGCCTGCTCCTCCTCCATTGGCTCCGCCTCGTCCGGGATCTGAGCGAGCTGCTCATCAGACTGCCCGTCTCTCGGAGCTTCCGCCTCTTCCGGATCGGATTCTGTTCCAGAGCCCGTGAAGTGCTGAAAGTAAGCATTTTCTGTTAGTTTTATTTCAGAGTTTGCATCAACTCACCGTCCGATCGATTTGTGACTTCTGCACACCCGAATCCGCCGTCCCAGCCACTTCTGATGTTGGTGAAGTGACCGAATCCGAATGCGCATTGGCCAGTCCTTGATCGTCCGCCTCCTCGCGAGACGTTTCCGATCCATTCAAAGCTCCCTCCGAGCTCCGAGCGAGCATTCGTTCCACTTCTTCAGCAATCGGCTGCTCCGCCTGCTGATTCGTCTGCAGTTCGTCCCTCGTGGCGTCTCCCGAATCTGAGGCCGAGTAGTTCTGAAAGTAAGATTTTTCGTGAGTTTAGTTCAAACTTTGAAACAACTCACTTCCCGATCGCTTGTTCTCCTGGGCGCTTCCGAATCCGCCGCGTTGGCCACTTCTGATGTTGGGGAAGTGGCCGGATTCGTCCGCGCACTGGCCAACTCACGATCATCCGTCTCCTCGTTCGCCCCCTCCGATCCGTTCGACGCCTGAGCCGAGCTCCGCCGAGCACTCAGTCGTGCTTCGACCTCTTGAAGGCGGCGCTCGAGGGACCTGCGCTCTTCCGCCCGGTTCTCTCGCTCCCTCTCTCCGTCGGCCACCAGACCCTCGATCATGGCCTCGAGCGCCCTGTTCCTGGCGACGAATACCTGGTGCCGAGCATCGAGTTCCTCCTCCCTGACGGCCGCGGTCCTCTCCCGATCGACTCGCTCGTTCCGTTCGGCCGCCAGGGCCTCCAATCTCTCCTCGAGCGCCCGCTGCCTCTGTCGCAGCTCGTTCTCCGTGGCGGCTCTTTCGGCGGCCGCCTCCCTTTCCTCTTCTCTCTGGGCCTCGACGGTCCGCTCGAGGTAGGCACGGGCCACCTGCAAAAGAACGTAAAATTCACATTAACTTGTCTCTAAACAGTTTCTTTTCGTCTCGTTCTCTCCAAAATGCATAACGTTTTTGCTTGTTCCTACAAAATCTCTGTTTTCAGGCACTCACGTCGGAAGGGCAACTGAGCCCGTGCTGCCGTGTGAGACCGTGCATCACGCGGTGGAGTTGACGGAAACCGCCGCGCCGCCCGTTCTCCCTCGTCATGAACTCCACTATGAACGAGTGGAGAACGGCGGCGGTCTCCTGGTGCTCCAGCATGTGCGCCACGATCCCCTCCGGTTCGTCGACGATCCGAGCGGAGCAGCACCCGCACTGCCACTCCTGCTCCTTGAACGTCGACTCCTGCAAAGCGATCGGTCAGTCGTAAGTCTCTTTTTCACGGTGCCGCACCAAATGGGAAACTATCGGAACAGAGTTCCAGTTCGATAGACTCTTTTTGGGGTGGCAGTTTGATTAGAGCTCTGTTTGATTAGAGCTTTGAGCAAAATGTTCCTTGTTCCACTGTGCAGCAGATCAAAGGGACTTCTTTGTACCGAAAGCTTTACTTTTTTTAAAAAATATTTTTCTTTCAAGAAACTCACCAGCACGTCAGCTCGTCGCCCCTCCTCCGTCGCCTCCGCCTCCTCTCGCGTACCTTGGCGCTCCGTCGCCTCCTCCGGCCTTTGCGGCCACCGCCGGTCCTCGTATCCATGCGGCTCCAAAGGGTTCTCCTGGAGCTCGAAAGTGCGCTCCAGAAGACTAGGGCGCGGGCCGCGATGCGCCACCCTTCTCAATAGTCCGTTTGCCTCGGCGGCAATTCTCAACAGAATTGTGAGCAAGACGCTCATTTCTCGAGCTTTGCCTGGAAAAAAACAGGTTTAGATGCGGTATTTCAGTTTCAATTTCACAATGTTCGCAAAAAAGCACAAACAGCAGGTTTTGGAATATCAATCAATAATTTTCCATTGACTAAACGGTAGATCAAGTTTGTGGCGCTGTTCTCTTCCCGCATTATTTTCCTCTTTAAGATGTCGGTCTACTGACGGACGGAGGAATAGGTGATTCACATTCCCCAGTATTGTGAGTCCCTTTCCTTTTGTTTACAGTCTGCGACGTCTCCGCTTTTAGTTCCGATTTCTCTATTTTCTCAAAATAGGATTATGCAGGTACATTGACCAGCAGATATTGTGAAATTGCTCAAAAACTTTCAGAAGAGCAAGAAGAGCATTGTAAGGGATGGTAATAATACTGAAAGTTTCACAATATTCTTCAAGTACTGCACACGGCCCCCGGCAATTCATACTGGTAAAATCCCCGCCCTGGTATCGACTTTAACTACACTAACCTGAAAGTGGGAATTCTACTTCACCGACCAATATGGTTAACGTTAACGGCAGAAGACAACGAATACTGACAGATTTAGTGAAAATTCCAACGCTACAATTGATTTTCGAACAGAGTTCACGTCAAACTCGAAATGTACCACTACCGACGCCCAATGAGTTGTAGAGTTGTGTTCGTTTTTGTGACTTTGACTCTTTTTGAGAAATGAGTTTATTGAGTTGGGTTCATCATGCGTTCCTCTATTGGGGACTACTAAAATGACTCTTATGCGGAACCTTATGGGGTTATTCAGGCTGTGAAAAAAATGATTGTTTTCCGTTTTTTTTTCGTTTTTTTACGTCAAAAAAATCCAATTCAGCGATGTAAAAAAACGAGAAAAAAACGGAAAACAAACATACGCTGAATAGCCCCATTAGCCCCGAGTAGGCAGGCCTCGCCCACAAGGACGGATCTGCCCTGGCCCACGAAGGTATTTATTAAATACTATTTAAGCTCGTCGAAACATGACATTTGCACCATCTCGTACGGTCTTGAGAGAGCCCTGAAAAAGGCTCGTAAGATCAGGGATCTAGGCTATCAAGCCATTGCTTACTGACCAAAAGTTGGGAAAATTTTTTTTTTCAAGTAACTGACCAAAAGAAATTGTTGTCGCCGTGATATTTTTTCTTTCTTTTGAAAGGTGTATAATCTGTTTATTTCGTATTAAACTTTTTGCGGAATGCTACCTCTAATTTAGTGACGTCAAAGGTTTCATCGTACAAGTGGGACCGTCTCTTGGGGTAATGAATTCACTCATAGCATCAAGTGGAATGAATTGAGCATGTTTTGGCAATCATTTTGATATTATAACTTGCCAAGTTTTGTCGATTCGTCAGTGAACTACACTCACTGAAGTACTATTGACAGTGCATAAACGTTTGCAGCCGTGTCAGGGCAGCCGTGATATGTACCTCATCAGCAGCAAGTGCGCTGGATAGAGCAATCAAGAGGATCATTTTTTTATACCATAACTTGCCCCTTTTTTTCACTTTTTTTTCGCTTAGCTGGACTTGCTGACTTTACATCAATTCGTTCACATTTTAGTACGAAAAGCAGCAAGTCTAGGTAATTTTTTGGAACGACCAGTTGCAACTGGTAGATTTAGTCAGGAAGTCTAACTCAGCGAAAAATAGTCAAAAGTGGGCAAGTAAGGGTATCAAAATGATCCTCTAGGATTGTTCTACACAGCGCACTTGCTGCTGGGTATGTATATGTCATGGCTACGGCGCTAGACTTGCTGCTTTTCGTACTAAAATGTGAACGAATTGATGTAAAGTCAGCAAGTCTAACTCAGCGAAAAATAGATGAAATCATTCAAATAAGGGTATCAAAATGATCCTCTTGGATTGCTCTATCCAGCGCACTTGCTGCTGCTAGAATATTTTCAACATCCAGAGTGCTGCTCGCGGAGCCAAAGTTGGAAAATCAACTTTTCCAGTGTTTTCAGAAACATCCAGAATTGTGCGCGCTAAGGATTTTTTGGGTCGATGAACACGTTCCCAAAAAAGCAAGTGAAATTAATCAGCATTCATCCGACGGCACGCATCTGAACTCAGATAATTTTTAGCAAGGGTGGGGCACGCGAGCGGCAAGTGGACAGCAAGTTGCTACGGTAGCATAGGGATGAGCATGTCAGCAGGAAAAAAAGTGGGATGGGAAGGAAGCAAGGTTTTTTTGAGCGGCATAGAAGCAGCCACGGTAGCAGGGGTTCAGCGCGTAGCATGCACGGAATCGGCACCCTTACAGCATTTTGCCGCAGAAAAACGGCATGCATGCCGCTTCCAGTCGGCACCCATGAAGATTCTTGCGGCCGCGCTTCTTGGCTGTTCTCAGACTTAAGATGCGTGCCGTCGGACGAATACAATCAGTATTTCACTTGCTTTTTTTTGGAAACGAGTTCATTATAATGTAAACTAACTAGGGTTGGCAGCGGGGCGCCCCTCGCCCCCGACCGGTTTTTTTCCAAAAATCGAGTAGGAATTTTTTTGAAAAAGTTTTCTCAACGCACGTTGATAGTGAATAAACTCATTAATCTACTAAATTTTTTTTCAGAATTTTAATTACACTTTAAGGGGCCGGGGGCGAACGAGGGTGTGTGGGGCGCGGGGGCGCCCCGTTGCTAACCCTAAAACTAACAAAATGACACAAATAAGCACGCACGAAACAGCCATATTTCGAAAAAAGCTAAATTACTAAAAGCTAGGTCAAAATTCATTTAAAAAAAGACCCTGCTTAGAGAGGCACTTGCTGACCAGCCGGACCTCGCTCACTGACCAGCAGGTGCTTCAGACCATGCGACTTACTGACCACGGACCCCCCTGAGAGTTGGTCCTAGATCCCTGTCCTCAGACTATCTATCCTTGTTCCGGTCATTTTGAGAATCCTCAGAGCAAAAGGAATGAAGAGAAAAGCACACGCTTCTGCGGAACTGCCCTCCCGCTCTTCCTCTCGGTTTCTCGTCAAGCGTTGGTCTTCTTACCGTCCGAGCAGTTTTCTTTTCCTTTTTTCAGCATTTTCCGAATTTTTCACACCACAAAAATGTTTGTGGTTCTTTCTCTCTCGTTCACTCTTATTAGTTGGGAATCATACATTGGAAATGATATGAGAGCAATCAGCTGTTCAAGCTCTATCAGAATATACAACATTTGTTATCACTTTCTCATTATTGTTGACGCCAATTGTGAGTATCTTCACTTTGACAGGTGGCATCGCCGCATCCTAATATCTACATGTTCTAGTGCGGAAAAAGAGACAAACGGACAGAGTCTTGCACGAGAAGGAAAACATATTTCTGGAGGTATGCGGGATTGCCCTCTTTTGAGATATGTACGCTACAAAGGTTTTTTATGAAAAAGTTTATTATCAGGAATCAAGTGGGAAATCAGAAAAAAACATTTTGAGATAATTATTAGATAAGATACGTATAGGGGGAGGGGCAGTTTTTAGACAAGGGTTTTTGAGATCATTTTGAAAAGGTAGAAGAAATTATCCGAGAGAGAGAGGGAGAGAGAGAGAGAGAGGAGGAGGAGCGGAGAGGTTGAGGGATAAAGAGAGAGAGAGAGAGAGAGAGAGAGAGAAAGAGGGGGAAAGGGGAGAAATAAGCACACAAACACGTTACCACCTGTGGAACGAAAGCTCTCCTGGTTGGATATCCACTGTTCCAGTGGTTCCGTCTGGTCGGATGATGTCCATACCTTCACGCATGTACTGCACCATATGAATTTTTTCATAACAACCGTGCTGCCTGAAATAAAATGCATTTTTTGTTTTCAGCGTGTTGGTGAAAACTCACACTAAAGTTCCACTCGACGGATTTCTCGGAACCGCGGTGAGTCCTCGGAGGACTTTCTCCTTGTCCACAATTTTTGTAAAATCTTGGAAGAAGATTCGCACATCTGTCACATTCTCGTTTCCTCCTTGGAGCCAACTGTGCAGAAACTCGTTGAAGATGTCCAAATCGAACCACGTGAGCCCTTCGATATGCAGCTTGGCACAGTTGATGTTTTTGACTAGAGCCGCGCTAATCCATTGCGGATTTTCCAGGTACAAGTAGCCAATCTGCAATTTAGTAAAAACAGTTATTAATAAATGATTTCAGTCGGTTACCTTCTTGTCCTCTGCAAAATAGAGCCTCTCAACGGTTTGAGCTTCCACGAGGATGTGCTCAACATGCTTGACGTCTTCGGTGATCCACTCCAGTATCTTTGAACTGGTTTGCTCCTGTTCCACTTTTAAAAATTTGAGACTTTGTCCTTTCAGGATGAGCTTGACGCAGCCGGCCACATCTCCCCAGTCTAATTTCTCGGAAATCGACAAATCGTCGACGGAAACGGAGGTGTACGTCGAGATGTCATACATTCTCGTCATGAATCCATGGGGCGCGGTTTTGACATACACATTAATTCTGTAAACAATGGATACACTAATTGCTTCAAAAGAGGAGTTGCTTACAAGTTGGCGTCTGCCCTAACGGTTTTGACGCTACTCATTGTGCCAAGCATTTCCGTTTTTCTCAGGACGATCGCGAGTCTTTCTTTGCGATGAACAGACTCGTGCAATCGTATCTCGCAATGAATAGATTCGTCATTATGCAAATCTATTTTCATCCACAACTTCAATTTCAAGTTTCTTAGAGCCCGGATAGCAGCTCTCCGGAAATCCCCTCCGTACATGGCCATCGCTACTCTGAAAACAATCGAATAAGTCAAACTGAAATAGAAGACCTTGCTCACATTTCAAGCGGCTCCAGATTTTCAATGATCACGTCCCATGCGAGGAGCGGGAGCGAGAAGAAGAAGAGGATCATTTCGTCGTTCATATTGAGTGAGATCTGTCCTAAAAATATAATAGCTGAATTGCAGATATGAAAACGGTAAAGGAACGATTCAAACGAGAAGCAGACAACGGATTTCGAAGGTTGTTTTTCCAAAATTTTGTAAGTTTTCTGCTCAAATGCGTAGAACCTGCACAATTGCCATCAAAGTCATTAGCTTATTCTTGGAGCCAGTCAAATGAATGACTTGTGAGAACCCGAGTGGTATTGTATGATGGTTTTATGACAGACATCCTGACTCTATCTGAGTAATCAGGTTCCAAAGGCAATATCCAAGTCCCATAATAATAATTAGGACCAAAGGTCGATTTACAGGTTCCACAAATATACAGGTCCCCAATATCAAGAAAAGGCAGGTTTCAAAGAATATACAGGTCGGAAGCATTTTTTGAAAATTGGCATGAACCATGACCCCCACCCCCATTTTCAAAAAATGCCTTGAACCCGTGACCGTCAAGGGTTCACTCCAATTTCCAAAAAACGCCTTCGACTTGTATATTTTTTGGAGCCTGTTTATTATTATGGAACCTGTAAGTCGACCTTTAGTTTTGATTATTATTATGGGACCTGGATCCTGTCTTTCGAACCTGATTACTCTGATAGAGCAGACATCCTTTCTTCCCATATGTGACCCGATGTAAAAGTTGGCTACGAGAAGATTCGGTAAGGGATGTTGGAAGAGGAGAGTAGAGGAGATATTGAATTTGAGAAAGTAATGTGAGCGCAAGAAAGAGATACATATGAAAGATTTGTTCATGATGATAATGATACCACTCCGAGTTTCCTCAGTCTGAGTTGGTCCCACAGTTTCATTGACCGCCATGTGCAATTACAATAGGAACTTGGTAAGAAGGCCAGGCCCTGTGCGTGTTATTGCAAGTTTAGGTCATAGCCCTGGCGCAATCTTGATGCCGGAGGAAGTTGTGGAATGGTTTCTTATTGGAGAAATCTAACCGGTGTATAATGCAGCAATTGTGAGTGTTCTTACTAAATGGAAGGGGGGGGGGGCAAGATCGAATGAATGAATGGATGAATGAGCTCTATGAGGAACGGTATGCGAGCGGTGGTGAGCACAGATAATGAAAAGGATGGAGAAGACATAAGGTGTCATAAAAAAAACGCAGAGGTCGCGTTTCCAACGCAGAACTCGCGTGGCTAACGTGTCTGCAGAAAGATATTTGAAAATAAGAGAGACAGAGCGCAGATGATGTGCACATCCAGATAGAGAATCAAATGAAAGAGAGACAGAGAAGATAGAGGGGTGATGATGTGCATATCCAGATACAATGCGTTGCAAAAGTATAGGTCCACACCCAAATTTCGCTGTGCTGGGTTTCTTATTTAGTATTGGTCCACCTCTGAAAACAGTCTGAAAAAGGTCAAATGGAGATAATTTGAAGTTGGAGAAAACTCAGAGCGTGTTTTCAACTTCTGTGATGCGTTTCGCAACAAAACAGACTTGGTCTGACGGCAGCCAGGGTCAGTCTGTGCAGTATGGGCTCGTTGCCGCTGGAGAGAAATAACGCCGACCCACTGAGTTCTGATGAACCAACAGCTCTTTTCTAGCACTTGGACTTTCATCATCTGCGTCTTATTGTAGCAAGTGTGCCTCAGTAAACTGTTGCGGACAAATTCCTTTAGAACAGGTCGTGACCTGTTTTTTTTTACCTCTTTCCCTCGAAAAAACAAATCAGCAAGCCAGATACCTTTATTTTTCATGTTTATTGATAGAGAGAATTAAAATTGAGCTCAGAAGTGCGCTCTAGTGATGACGACCTCGCTGCGAGACCGTGCGGCGGGGTGTTCAACCGCGAGTCGTCCCTCTACACAGTGTGTCAACTAACAAGAAAATAGAAAAGTACAGAAGAAAGTGAGTGGGAGAGGAATAATTGAATAATACAAGCTTTGAAAGCAAAAAAGGTGCTTTATAAGCAAGAATGGGGTTCTTGGAGCCAGAGTTGCATCCGTCATTCTCCTGGTTCGGGTGGTCCGTGTTGGGAGGATGAAGTGTGGATGTGAAGCAGTAGGTGAGAAGGTACCGGATAAGGTAGAACCGTCTTCAATACACATCACCCTTGTTGTGCCGCACGGACTGAACCTTCCGCTGGAGTGGAGGAGTGGAGGTAGTAGCGAGGACTTGCCGGATCAGGTGGCCCGTCTGGAATAGACATTTAGTTAAGAGTCTTGAATCACTAAGGTTTTTACTCTCCTTACATCGGGCTTGACCCGGCCACCAGATCGGATTGCTCCTGGATCCTTGCTTGTACAAAAATCGTAGTTTCTCAACGATCATCTGTTGAAAAATAGACCCTGCACGGAATAATTGTGCGGCCCCGGGGCGTTTTTTGCGGGCTATAACTTTTTTTTTTAATGTTTTTAAAAAATGATTCAATTTCCTCGTTAATAATACGAATTTTCGCCAATGCCAATAAATCGGCCGTTAGAAGGCCTCTGCCCTTTTTCTCTACTCCCTCTCTATCTCCGCACACTGATGATCGTGGCCTGTCGACGGATTCGTCGCGCAGGGTAATTCATCTCTTTCTCTACCAGATGTGCGCACTCTCTCGTGTCTGCGTGCGCTCATTACCCTCTTCTCCATAATCTGGACGAGCCCGTTGTGGAAGCGAATGTGAGAAACTTATAGAAAAATCGTTGAATCTGAAAACATTTCTCAGAAAATGCAGGAAATTGATTGAAAAAACTGGTCCTGAAAGCAAACAAGGATATTTAATAAGAAATGTCTTCCAATATTTTTATTTTTGACCTGAAATTGTCGGAAATATAGGCCTGACATGACCGTACTTTAAAAATTTCACTTTCTCATGTGAGATATTAGGTGTACTTTCACATTTTAATATTGCAGGTGGTCCAATAGTCCCACCGCTATTTCCCTCGAATATAAGATTTCGTTTTAAATTTTCACTATCTGTTTAAAAAAATTTTGACAGAAATACGCGTCAGAAACGGGAAAAAAATGAGCAAAAATAAATCAATTCCCACGAAAATTTTGATATAAATTTTTCGCAATTCTTCTGGTCTGACTCTCAGAAAAGGTATATGGATAAGAAAAATGTTCACGCAGACCAAAGACCAAATCTTGTTCATTTTCCTTGCACACGTATGTTATGCGCAGGCGGGATAATCCGACATTGCGATAAGTGCAATGTCCGAAGGAGAATGGACGAATGTGATCTTTGATCTGTTTGTGACTGAATAAAATCTGTCAACTATTTTTCTTGTTCCTATCTTGTAATTCCATGGACAACTTGCTTATTTTTATAAAACTAACAAAAAGAGCACTTGATGAATCCGAGTTTTGAATGTTATACCACTAAAGGGCTCCGTCAACACAAGACATTGGTTGTTAGCAACATTTATTCGGAATTACGGATTATTGTCAAAACAAAGAATATGGAATGAATGGGTAAAACGGAAAAATGGGAATTATGAGTAATCGAGTTATGCACTGGAATAATGAAAGAATATGTGAAGATTGGTGTAATATCAGAACGAAATTCATGAGTCTCGACAACATAGATAAAATATTATGGTGTTCTGTTTGAAAACTCTACTGCTGATAGTGATGCAAGAAAAGACATTTCTCAAGACGTCCGAACTTATCCGAGTCCTTATGATGAGCCCAAATCGCGTTGACATGCGTTGCCACATCATCGTTCATTTCTTCCAGGAAACGAGTGTAGCTGGCGAACATCGTCGGCTCAATCTCTTTGTCTATTTTCTCCAGTCTCCTTTTGATGAAGTTGATGGCAAGATTTTGACCGACTGAAAAATGTGAATAGGTCTCGTTGCAAGAACTCAATTTTTTGGATGAATAAGAAAACCAAAAAGATTTCGACCACGGCAGGATTCGAACCTACAATCTTCTGCTCCGTAGGCAGACGCGTTATCCATTGCGCCACGCGGCCAGACATTAGACACAGGGGTGTTGCACGAAGACATTCTAACCGCGCGCGCCCCTTTCTCTCTTCTCTCTTTTGCGGCGAGTGACATGTGCCTGCCGCCATATCACGTCCTCTCTGGCAAGTGACCGAGAGAAAATGAGTGGAAAAGGAAAGTCTTATCAAAAAAGTGAATTTGAAAAACACCGTTTTAGGGAATTTAAACGGATTTAATGACTACAGGCACATTTAACGTCAGGAAGTTCAACAACCAAGGAAAACGCTTTGAAACTTAAAAATCTCACTTACACTTGCTCCAATTCTCATTGATTCCTTCTTTGTATTTCTCAACTACTTCATGGAATTCGTCCGAAATGAGTGCAAATTGGAAATTCTTCGTGCTCATGTCTGGTGTCTCCGATTTCTCTGAATTCAGTTGGTGAAGCAGCAATGCGTTCGTTGGAGTGCTGAAATTCAAATTGGCCATCTGTCATCTGCATTCCACTCACTTTTCATACTTTGCTTGATATCTTCTGACCCATTCCTTCACCGCCACACACTTCTTCAACTGCTCAGCGGTGAAAAGTGGTTCCGGTTTGGTGACAATCTGTTTGATTTGAGTCTTCTTTTTGTTGTTCGTGCTCTTCACTTCCACTTTAGTCTTCTCTGTTTTGGTCTCAAAGTGTTTCGGATCGATGACCAGAGGTGCCTGCTGAGTGAGCATGTGTCCAATGCCTTGCAGATCAGCTGGAATTCTTCCAGTAACTTTTCCAAGCTCCGGGAAATAGTTTTTCACTGCTATTGCTGGGAAAAACTGCTCAACATAGGCTGGATAGCTTGGCGCATCAGAATTAAATGGCTGCTGAAATAATAAATCAGAAATCGCAATTGAAAAGTGTCATACCTTAGCGTACGGTTTGATGAACGCGTTTTCCTCAAACTTTTCCAGTGTGGCAGCGCCATCTTCTTTCATGATCACCGCTAGCAGTTTGTGCAAATCTTCCCCGCTGTTCACTCGGAGTTGCTTCCAGCAGTTAGCTCTCTGAAAAAAGTAAGATTCATGCTCATTCTCAAGTCCTATCCGCAATGCTCACGTGTTCCAGCTCGGCGGCGCGAACATTGGCGAAATGAAGGATCAAACTTCGCACGTCGTCGGCGTGAACGAACTGTGTCAAGAAGAAGTCGTAGTCAGTCTCCGGATCTGGTAGTTCTTCATCTGACGATTCCGAGAACTCTTCCTCAATGGAATCAACAGAATCTCCCGAAGTTTTCAATGGTTTCTCAGGAACTGAATCATCCGGCTGGACGCCTTCTTCTTTAGTGGTCACTGAAGAATCAACAGCTTGCACTGGGGAGCTGGTCGAATAGTAAGCCTTGGTTTTAGCCTCTTCCACAACGGTTGCTGGAACTTCTTTTGCTGTCTCTTCCGATGAAGAATTTTGAATGATAGTTTCTTTGAAGTCTGCCATTCTAAAAAAGATTTTAGAATTCACGATTTGCGTACTGAGCGAGAGAAGATCTAGACAAACGTAATAAATTTTGATTGATTTGAAACTTGGAAGGATCATTGATCGCAAGTTTCAAACCAATTGGATCAAAGGAAGAAGAGTACTGGATGCGCAGTTCCGGATAGAACGTCAATAATAGAAGACGTTCAGTGAAAACAAGATTAGAGACGCGACAAGAAGAGAGAGCTCAACAGATTCTGCATGTGCCATTAGAGCACATTTGCATTCACGTTTCCCGCCTAAACGGCTCACCACCAAAACAGACACACACACGCCGCCGCTCGTCGCATTATCCTGCGTTGTGCACTCACTCTCATGAGACAGCTCGCCTTCTTCCAACAGAGAAAAAAGGAGAGCGAGCTGGATGATGAGGTGGCCGCGTTGGACAAGAGAGTACAAATAAACGTGATGGACTAGAGAAACTCAATGGATGACTAAGACGGAAAACATCTGAATTGCGCGTTTTTTAATTAGAAATTATTAATTTAATGGTAAATTGCTGGAAAACACGTTTACTTTTCACAAAAAATGTCCTGAAAACAAAGAAACTGATTGAAGGATGATAAATATTACAGATAATATCAACGTTCACTAAATTAATTCTTTGAAAAACCACCAAAATATGTTGGAGGTTTTGGAAGGGAACGCATGGCCTTGGTGCCAGATGGGCGGTGAAATATATACTAATGAAGGAGAAAAAGAGGAGAAGCAAAGGAGACCAATTCAGCGATCGACGCTTTTCGTAATGAGGGGTGTGAAACGAAGCAGGTGTAGGGGGAATAGCCGGACTTATGCTCTGTGTAGTCTAGTTTCATGGGAAGAGTGTTGAAATGGATTTTAGAGATTTAACGGAAATTTTTACGTATTTCAGGAGCATCATTTAGCATATGTATACATAGGAGCCAGAAGCTGGAGCTCGGGGACGGAAACCCGGAAGTTTTTAATGAGAACTTGGTCCCTTGAACTTAATATCAGCAATACTGAACAAATACGATCGTACTGACAACGTTAACAAAAGATTTGCGTACAGGAGCAGAAAAGAAACAAAAAGCTGCTTCTATTGAATACAAGTGTGTACACATTGCTTCGTCATGTTTTTGAACTATACGATGGTACATTGTAATGCGGCGGGACAAACGGAAGACAGCGTAGATTGAGTTTGGCCACTCCCAATACTGTTTTACACCGCGGAGAGCCGAACTTCTTCTCCCTACGATTTATCATTTCTGCAAGCTTTTGGTTGACAACTTCGCCAGTATGTGTGTACTTCTTCATTAAACGGCCCACATTGCTGATGATGTGGCAAACCACGTGTTGTGCAATGTATCTGATTACCCTCCGGTCTGTTCAATGGCTGATAGCGTTTTTTGCACTCTCTTTAAGTACTGTCGACCCTCATCCCTCTGTTCTCTATTCATTTTTCTCATTTTTCTCTTGCATTTTTAAGAAATTGAATTCATATATCAGATTTTTCATTAGAGTTTTTCAAGACTCACGAGTGATTTTCTTCTTCATTTTTTATCCCATTCTCTAGAATTCGCTTCATTTTTTCAAACTTTTGCCATCCATAAAACTTTGAATGCACGGGGGAATGAATATAAACCAGAATGACCCTGTTCTCCTCCAAAACTGGCTTCAGTTTGAATGCCCGCCAAACGTCCGGGCAGACCACACACGAAGAAAACGACAACGCGTCTCTCCCGCTCTGCGGCCGGTCTCTCGTCTTTTCCGGCCGTCTGTTCCATCTCTCCTCTCGCTAAAAGTACCCCACCGTCTAATTTGAATGAAAATCGCTGCTCCGAACCGTTCAACGTCTCAATTTCTCCAGAAATGCAACAAGAAGAAGTCAAAGAGAATTGGGACATCGCTACGACTTACAATACTTGCGATTATGGAGCTAAACTGTAAGTTAAATAAGAAAATCGGTTACAGTAGCACATTTAAGTTTTTCAGGTCTTCGTCGTTAGGTCAATGTGGGAAAATTGTTGCTGTTGTTCCTCAAACGATTCGTTTGTTCAACTCTGTATGCATAGTGAGTCATATTCATAAGCTCAGACGGTGCTCTTTTCTTTTTTCAGGCTGTCAACCGTTACTGCAGAGTCGAATGTGGATTGTTCCGTGACGGAACGCCGAAACATGAATTAGAACACAGATTCGAACGATTACCGAGCACCGACACGCGAGCGCATGACTGGACAAAAGTAAGATGGATGCTCGACAAGATGCACTTGCAGCAAGTGTACGAGTTTGGAATAGAAGATCCAGTAAGTTTCATCTCCAATTAAAAGAAAAACAGAAATATTCGCTCAGTTCGACGTGAGCGGTGAGTTCGCCGTGATTTCGGTGCTAGTGGCAGTGTGGAAAGCATTGACAGTGTTCCGAAAAGACCTGGGTATGTACTCATAAACTCGATAATACATGAGGCACATATTTTCAGACAGAAAAGATCTGATTTCACGACTCGTGCATCAAGTTCTGCTTAGTCGGCACGGCGGACTTGGTCCCGTGGTTTCTGCTATGATTGATGGAAGCCAGGCCTTCTTCCATCCAGCTCGAACCCCCGATATACCTATGGACAGTTGGTGAGTCTTAAAACTATTCTGGTTTTGTTTAAAACTGGTGATTTCAGGCTTATTCCGTCAACGTTTTTCAATGAAAACTACGAGTTAGTCTTCTTCCGAACGAGCTTTCACAGGAACGAATCCAAGACGACGCCGGATATGGAATTCTGCGAGAATGTTCGACTGATTTTCAGCTACAACGAATTGGACTCCGGACAAAACACGTTTTCCGAGAGCTTGGAAAGAAATCCAATCGGCACTCACATGAAGTGTTACTCGAAGGCCCGAGTGCGTGGACAAGCTAGTGAAGCGGAGAAACGGTCGCTTTCTGCTTTCAAAGCTGTCGAGCAAGAGCATCCGGATCTTCTTCTCGGCTATGAAGTTCTCGAAGGAGGGAATCTGCTCTTGCTGCAGAAAGGACAGTTCTCCCGGGACGAGAACGTCCTTCAGAAGATTCTTGTGAGTCTTTTTGAACATTTCTAACAGTCTACCACCAGCCCTCAATAAAAACATCAAACAAAATTTATGCAATTTTCATTTCAGACTGCATTCGTTGTGAAGTTCAACCGGCCAATGAACCTAACATTCGAGCTGTTGGACTCCACAAAGGGAGCAATGATTCTCACAAGAACGGACGCATCGGAAATTGCCAGTGCAAGAAGTGTCGAAGTGTGCATCACGGAATCCCAACAACCGTCCGTCGAGTTGCTCCAAGAAATGACTTTCGAGAGGGAAAGCACCGCGGAGAGCAGCGGAACGGCTAGCAGCAGAATGGTTCATGAAGACACCCATGACGATGACTCGGATGTACACATGTACTAATTTATTGACTTTGCCCTTTTCTCATGCGGTTTTCTTTTCCCCCGTTTTTCATTACTCATTTTCTATCGTTTTCCAATTGATTCTTCCCTCTTTTTTCTTCTCTTGTCTTGCATTTTCTGAACTTGTTGTGAATCCCGTGAGGTGTGAAATGCTCCGCTTGAACATGTCATCCTTTTTCAGTCCTTCAGTCCAATTGCCACTTTCCAATTCCTCGTTAATTCTATTTCAAATTCTTTTCATCGGTTCACATAACACATTCTTGGTGTCGTTTCATGAAAACGTCGGTCCTCTCCTTTCCTGTTCCTTTTTCCGGCCTGTCACCTGAAATTGAGATTGTCTAATGATTCCTTTGAGCCTTTCTCAAAAATTTGATGAATTATACTTCCAGTATCATATTTTATCGTCCATGAGCACTCACACGATTCAAAACAGTCACGTAATCGTTTTTTTTCCTTCCAAACATACGCTGCTGACGTTACAGCCCATGGCACCAAGAATGCGTCAGCAACCATCTGCTGGTATCGCGTCAGCCATGCAATAGAGGCAATTCAAACAGAAAACTGTGTGTGCTGCATTTCGATGATAACTGTGCTGATTTCTGACGTTTTTTCAGCTAAACCAGCACGGATGAATAGAATTTTATGAAAATAGACGACATTCTCGGGAAAATTTGCAGCCAGTCCATGAAAACGATTGTCAGAAGCCGAAAATCCGTCTGAAATTCTTCATTGACTTAGAAATACTGGTATATAAATAATTGAAACGTCTTAATGTTTATACGACAATTGCAGAATCTGCACAGATACTGCCCGTACAAACTACACGTCAGAAGGTCTTCGACAAAGTGCGCTGGTTCGGACCGCCCATTACAACGGTGCGCGGACTCCAGGATATCCCGTCTTGAAGTTTCGGTCAACTTTCTACGTTTTAGAATTTCTTGAGGTGAGTCTTTTTCAATTGTAACAAAGTTCAGATTTCCCATTCAAAATATAATCCCATATGTCTGTATGAAAGTGGTTCATGGTGTTACACCCAGCTGAAACTCTAACAGTTTCCATTCGTCTTTATCATTTCCCCACAGATCGTTATTGACGGCCCGAAACATAGGTTTGAAGAGATCTTCAGTTACCCATGTCATTTTTCGAGGTCATACTGTTCGGAAAAAGAATCGAGAAGGGAGAATTTGCCGTTCTTTTCATCTATAATGCAGTGAAAATTTGGACGAAAGTCGCCTATCTTCTCTTATCAGTAACTAATCCCCGCCGTCAATTCCGACAGGAAGATATGGCTGATAATAGAAAACACAGTTCGAAATCGGCAGAAAAAAAAAGAAAAGAAGGCGGGGTCAAATGGGAAATAAAGGCAGGAAAATTGGATGCGCACCGTTGCCGGAATTAGCAAAATGAACAGAATTCTTCTGTTCTTCCGCGTCCTTTTCTCATTGAGACAAAGGTAAGTTTGGGAGCTTTACAGAACATTCTTCAAATAAGTTTCCTTCATGAATTCAATGTTCAGAAAGACCGGCGTTCTTGAAAAGGACCCAAAACCTGTTTTTTGCGAAACGGGAAAGGATTCGGCTCCTGCGGATAAACCAAAAGACTTTCTACGGAAGGCGAAGGCCACTCAGAAGCAGAATTCTGACTACGTCCCCTTCGACTATGATGGAAAACACCCCCGCATGCTGGATCCCTCATCAGAAGTAGCCAAAGGCGCAAGCAGATATGACAATTCGGGAACTCGTAAGTGGAAAATAGCCCATATAATCTTTCACTAGGTTTATCATTTCAGTCACCGTCCGCCAGCTGCACAGCCAGACACCGTTCTTTCTGTTCGGCAAGAGCAAAAAGGAAGGAGTCAGGATCTTGGGATGCATCAAACGAGCTCCGGGCACATTCCTCGTTGGGTATTCGGGCGGAGAGCACTTCCTCGCTTTCGTAGGCAAGGATTCGTTGATTTATGTGGTCAGAATCCAACGACGTGGAACTGACGGAAACGGCCTTGTCTTTGTTTTGGACAATCCAAACAAGCAATTCGAGTGAGCTCGGAATAGTTAGTATTTCACTCATAATGTTTTTTTCAGAAACCTGATACAACTCACTGCCTATTACAAAACCAAGAAATGCCGTCTGCTCGGGATGAAACTGACCAACGGAATCCCACCACTCAACACCCGTCATTATTGATCAATTTCTATGGGTTTTCTTCTGATTTTCATTCGTTTCTATATTCCCTCCTAAAAAATAGTTTGGCAGAAAATCCCTCACTCACGTAGTTTTCCGATTTGGTTCGATCGGTTGGTTTCTCGATTGTTCCCGCCGCGTCATTGGTTCGACGTTAAACCAATTATCAGTATTTTTTTTGGCTCCATTCCCATTTCGTCGCCACAGGCGGTTAGTCTCGTGACGGCGCCGGCAAGATAGAGCAGACTGTTATCTCAAACTGTAGGAACAAAGTTTTGTGGCTCTCTTCGGGAATTTGACAGCCGAAACTCAATTTGATAAGGTTATTGGCAATCAAAAATGAAAAACGAGAAAAGTGTCGTCGTTGGAATCCGCGGCGCCGAACTTGAAGATGTTATCTCGATCAGTGTCTTTTGCGTGGGAACACACGGCACGCGAAACGGTTAATCGAAATTGATTGATGAGAAACGGTTTCATTAGTTGTTTGTGATCCGATGCGGGAACCTTGGCTAATTATGTGGAAATCGAAAGTCAAAAGAACAGTTCTTGCAAAACTCTGTCCTGGGTTCGATAAGAATATTGTCAGTGGTTTGAAACTCCAGGCATGGAGATGCATTCGGAAACCCTGGACCGACTTTTGCCCAGCCCAGATTAGAATTGCTTTTTGTGTTCACAACAGTAAGCCCTACAGTAGGAGATCCTCTTCAGAACGATATTCATTTATTTCGTCCCTTTTCGGTAATGTCACCCTTTTATTAGATCACAGAACGCTGTCTGTAACCGCTTAAACCCATCGTAACTCTTTCAATAAAAAAGAACGATGGTTTTACCGGCTAACATTGGAAATCGAGAGAATTAGAGAAAAAGAGCACATTAATTTGATAGCGGACACAAAAAATAGTCCAATTTTTTGATTGGCAGGCGCATGGATGATCATGGTACATTGGAAGAAGGTGTAGCATATCGAAAGCAACAGTGTTATCACGGAACTTGACGTGGCTGGAAATCATGCGACTTTGTGGAATTTTAGAGAGAAACTAACAACAAAGTCCAAAGGTCCTAGGTTCAAGAATAAAACTGCAGAATCATGACCGTACACTTTATAGCTTGGAAATAAGGGCTCAGAAAAGCGATGCCAGTTACCCGGGCCAAAGAAGAACTCATGAGATATCAGCGAGACGTTTTTTAGTGGTTTACAGCTAATTGATACAAAAAACAGCCGTAAAAATCACGTGCAGTTGTGACCAGTTGATGATAACTAGTGACCAGTGCTTGTCAGACCATTCCTGGTTGTTTTTCAATGGAGCCAGAATGCTTTCTACTTATGCTTTTCAACATGTTTAGACTCGCGATCGAACAACTTTCGAAGAAGCTGTTTTGCAGCACTTTCTCGTGGACCAGAACCCAATCCAATATCGAGAAAATCGTATCCGTCGAAGGTAACGCATTTTTCCGAGTGAGCCTTTCATAAAAAAACGTATACTTTCAGGTGCACTAGACTTTCCAGCATGTGAGCTTCAAGCTACTGAACATGCAGAAATCACACAGGGTTCTCACAAACAGAAGTAAGAAAAGAAAAGACAATCAACTTGATATCGAAACAAGAAAGTTGTTCACAGATGCCTCCAGCAGCCAGTCCACTTTCCTTCTCAGAGTTCCTTTGGTTCGGATCTAAGCCTCATCTCGAAATGCTCAGTAATATCCATTGATAATGATTATTAAGAAAACAATTCGCCTTTTCTTGATTTTGATTCAGTTGAATAAATTTATTGATGCCTAAACCAATTGTTTCACTTTCTTTCTTTGAAGTTTGATCTAAAACGGTGTATGTGCCTCATTATCGTGTTTTAACAAAATGATTGGCGCTTTTCGACAGGAATTATTGGGCGGAGCTCCTAAAACACCGGTTCTGTGCCGTACCGTCTTAATATAAAAAGACTACTGATCAAACGAATGCATTCTCTTCACAATGTGTGATTTTCTAGACTTTGATTGCAGAGAGAAAGGTTAGTTATGTTTCAACGGATCCGCGACATTTCGGAATGTAGCGGAGCGGTTTGAATACTCATCTTTTATTCAATCTCTATTTCAGATCCGAGAAAGGAAACATTTCGACAGGACGTGGTGGTAGGCGGAACACTGGTTGCAGTTCTTTGTGCATGCGGTTTCTTAGCCTTCATAGTCCTTTTCTTTATAAAATGTGTAAAGATGATTTGCAGAAGAAAAAAAGCCAAAATCTCCGGGAAAAGGTTGGCTTCAATAATTGATTTTCACTAGAATAATTGTAATTTTTTCAGAACACAAACGGCACCGCTGGTAGCAGTTTGAGGAGGAATTTCAACAACGCGACTCATTTAAATTTTCCTTTTTCAAAAAATTTCACGTACTAATAAATAAGTTTATGTTTCAAAGCTGTTATGACCTGGCTGCAAGCTAACTTGAAAACAGAACAGACAGTCTCGATTTTTTTATGGCGGTTGAATGTATGAATTTCAGAGCTAGGCACAGATTGTCAGTCCACTCTTCCTTCGCTGATTTCTCAAACTCAGAGTGCAGTACCTTTGGTACAAGCTTCAGATCGATCGGGGAATTAAATCGGGTGATATGCGGATGGAAACCCGAAAATGTCGCATTTTTTGCAATAAACCTGTTTCAACCCAAATCTCTAAGAAGCCCGCAATGTTTGGGTTTTGATAGTAAAATTTTAATAGGGTCAAAAGCTCGGAAGCCTACAATAATTTCGGGACTACTTCCAAACATTGGTTTTGAAAAAGTAATCGTGGTCAATACAGTCGCCTTAATCGAGTACGCATGGACGCACACTTGAGAAGATACCCACATTGATTCGAACACAGTCGACAATGTTCACTTGTTGTTTTCGGCAAAAAAGGACTGTTCAATAACCTGCGTATGCCCGCGTCAGACAGTTAAAGGATACGCGAATACGTATCTAATTGGGCCGCCCGCAGTCGGAATGCCCACTAACAGCCAGTTCTCTTCGAAACTTGCCCTGTCCGTCGCAATGTTCTCATTATTTGAACACTGCGACTTTTTATCTGCTTAAATAACTTTTTTATGCACTAACTTGTGGGAAAATGCGATTATGACTGAAAATAGTGGCGCGAGGGGACGAGAGACCGGCGCTGACACTGATTTTCGGTGAATTCGTGCCAGTTTACATTAGCATGTTCGAAACTTCCTAGTCAAACCGTTTTTTCTCCTTGACAAATCTGGTTGAACCGCATCACTCCCCACACATAATTCTAAACATCGTTTCGTTATCCGTGACTATTCCCTCAACTTTTCATGCATTACTGTCGACAAGGCCAAATGGAAAGGGGGTGAAACGCGGTGCATTGATAACAGCACAAAGAGCAAAAAAGTTCCGGTTGGAAAAGTGACAGATGCCACTGAATGGTACGCGGCACACTGTTATCGCATGCGGACGCGTTTATGCCCATCGAATCACGCCATATTCGAGAAGATCAGGAGACAAAGTGCGAAGTGCGTGGACTCTGGCACCCAGAGCAGAAAATCTAGATCAAAGAAACAGTCGAATCGAGTAGTCAAACACGCGAACGGCGTAGCGGTCTTTGTTTACTTTTTAGAAGCTTCTTGCTCCCTTAAGAAAAGTTTGAAAAGAATAGAGAAAAAAAAAGTAAAAGCGAAGCGACACAGCCAAGCTCACTAACAACTCTGCTGGCGAATTGAGCTAGTACTGCGAGCGACTGATAAAAAGTGCAAGTAATAGTTTCGGCTCAGCAAAAGTTGCAATTTTACGACCCGATTTGCTTGCAGTTTTAAACACTCGGACAGTTTGAAAATAATTTTTTCAGAACAACGCTTCTCAGCAATCCTTCTTTTTTCATGGGCGAATCGGAGACGAGAGCCGCGTTCTCCGGTGATTTTCACACCGCTGGTAACTTTTTCCCCTTTCGGCCTGACAGAAAATTGTCTCTTCACTTCCAGAACTGCTGTACATGCCCATGTGGGGCAGCTTGGCAATCGTGACTCTGTTCTTCATCGGAGTTCTTCTCACGTATATCATCTCGATCAAAGTAAGCATCCTATGTGAACAGAAAAACAGAAGGAAACTTGATAGTTCATGTTGCAGAAGTCACTGCGCAGACCCGTCAAACCAATATTGTCGCTGATCGAACAAAGGTGAGTTATGTTATGCAACACTTTTTTGACAAATTGACCGGCTTTTGTTGCAGACAAGTTCTAGCCGGTGCAAGGCGAGACAACATTCGGCTCGTGGAGGAAAATCTGGTTTTATAAGTGAATTTTGACTCTATTAAGTGAACGTTTGGTAAATGAATTTGATTCTTTTTCACTTTCTTTTTCTTGAATCCGTTTTGTTCAGATGTCATTGTCTTCCAAGAGTAATACAGTAGGTTCCGACCAATCAGAGCGGGAGGCAGAAAGTGTCGTTGCTCTTGTTATCATTCGCTCGAAATTGAAATAGCACGACGCGTTTAGTTCAGTTTTGATGTCATTGAAACGTTTTCTCAACTTCATTCAGTAATCGGATTAACATTCTCTCTGAATTTTGATTTACAGTATCCCAAATGGATTTTTCGGGATTTCCATCCTTCATCGAGATAGTTTTCGGCTACTTTTTTCCGTTTCTGTTCCTGCAATGCCTACTCAATCGTTTTAAGTACTTGGAACAGGTTAGCAATTTTTAACTGATTCGTACAATTTGTAATAACCCGCACGTTTTCGTTTTCAGGAGAGACTGGAGAGACTGCAGAGACGTGGATGGATCAATCAGGATGAACACGTGGTCGAGCTGGAACCGCAGAATCAGAACAACAATACCTACAAGTTGGACCTCATCATCTGCAAAATAGGAATCACTTTCGGTCAACCGGAGCAGTAACTATTCTGTGCTCGTTTTGATTTCTCTTTTCACAAACATCCCCGACAATGAATCATGTTAAGCTCGTTTTCCACGGTGACTACAAGCAGCTAAAGTATTTAGTGCACAGTTTGTTATCTTTTTTTAGAAAACTAACATTCATCAGTTAATTTTATCACTTTTTGGGTGATAGACGTAAGAAATCACACTTCAAATGGGCGATGCGACCGCTTGGGATAAAAGTTCTGAATGTCTGAAAAGTAGGCTGGTCGAACAGGCGCCTGTTTTTTCAACGGGCCGCCGCGTCCCTGCGTTGAGAAAACAGGAGCCTGAAAAAACAGGCGCAGGCGCCTGAAATCGCCTGTTCGACCAGCCTACTGAAAAGTTTACAGAAATGGATTGGACATACCTCATTTTTAATCCAGTAGTATACTGTTTCTGTTACATTTACATGTTAGTCATCTTCGAATATGAAATGGTGAGTTTCACACTGATTGTGCAGCTGAATTCTCGAGGTCACTTTATGCTATCACAATCCAGACTTTCAGTATAATAATCCACGACGTCATGCAAGAGAATATGCTCAACGCCGGCTCGAACGAGAGAGAATGGAGAGTGCTAACGACCGTCGTCGTGGTTGATCCCTGATTTTTGAATAATTTTGTTGACTAACCTTAAAATAATATTAACTTTCCTCCGCAAAATGTTTCGTACAGTAGTGACCTATGAGACATCTCCAACGGAAAGAAGAAGACCGTCGGAAAGTTCGTCGGTAAATGTTCAATCTCTTTGTGTGGAGTGCACTTTCCATCTCCTTTCTCACTGATTAGAAAATAGTTTCGTCGAGCAAACATTATGTAAAAGTGTCGGCGAAAAATATTCATTTTTTTGTTCACGTTCCCTCCCAGGATATGACACGAATAATATAGAAGAGCATTCTGTCACATATCCTCCTTCTTTCTGTATAATTCGTACCTTTGAAAACGAGCAGTCGTTTCTTCCTTTTTCGTTCTCTTTTCTTTTCTCCTCACACCCGAGAAAGGACATGATTCTATGGAAGGGGGCTCTCTTTCCGTCTCCTTCTCCGCACTAGTACAACCACTTTCGGCCAGACGTTTGCGTGTTCGCATCGATTTTGTTCCTTTTCGGTCAGAACGTTGATGGGGAGCAAAATTTCTCGTTTCTGTTCATTTCTATAGACGTTCCTGAAATTCCTTTAGGGAACGAATGACTAGTGCGGACAGAGTGTATGAAACAGAGGCAATGCGCCTCACGTCTTTGTTTGAGAACGCTTCTTCTTTTCTACCTTTTATATTTCAGGCGCATCTTGGGACATGGACCATAATCAGATATCAACGGAAGAGAAAAAGAGTGAGTTCTCGTTTCTCAGTAGCTAATCTCTGAACATTTTGATTTCAGAAGCTGTTCTGCATGTGCTCAACGTGCGGATTTCAATGCTAGAGCACTTTTCCGGCGAATATCAGAGGCAGTCATTCGATGATCCCAACAAAATCGACGTCCTTTTCGATGCTCTCTGTCAGCCAGTCAGCAGTGGACGTCTGGAACACTTCGAGAGAGGCGTTTTTCTCGCATTTCCTACGGTATAAACGTATTCCTTTCTCAGCAATTTTTGACTTTTTTTATAACACCGAGCTAATGGACCGCATGAACTGGTTCGACCTCTCCCATTTCTCATCAACACGTTTTCCAATCTTGAACCATTTTGCGGATCTTCGAAATCGGTCAATTCCGCCCGGTTTTGAGCCATTCCCTTCTGCTGCGAGCATGTCATTGACGTCTCCAACCCCAGTAAGACAACATATTAGAATATCATTCAATCAAAAGTGCACGCAGCTACAAAATGTGTCTGGGAACGGGATTACTACTGATAGTTTCAATCATCCGAATAAAACGAGAATGCATCTGGATGATATCTCGGCCGGAATTTTGAGCGAATGGGAGAACAATAAACAGATTCAGAAGTGAGGCTACATTATGATCTTTGAAACTCTATTTTTGGAACAGACATGCGCAACCAGTCACTTCGACTTTTGAGAATCCACTGCCATCTGATCAGGTTGCTCAAATGTGAGTTGCATAGATTTCTGGCCGGGTGCAATGTGTTTTTACAGCGAAAAACAATATCATCTGACTGATTTCTTGTCGGAACAGTTGGAGGAGCAGGAGAAACTCGCTTTGACTGAAAATGAAGCTCAAGAAAAGGTGGATGAGCTTAATAGAACTCTAAGAAAGATTGTAGAACACCGCGAACTTGGGTTAAGTCGTGAGTGGTAAAAGACATCAGGTCGTCAGTCAAAATAAGGTTTTTAGAGTGGGCAGTTGATTATGTCGACAGTGCGAAAGAGTACTACACAGCCATCGAACTCTATTCGAAGAATCTGGAACTCAAAGAACCACGTGAGCAAATCAATTGTTATTAGTGTCATTCAACTATTTGTCAGTATCCTTGGAGCTTGCCGTCGAATGCTCAAAAAGAAGGATTCGAGAGTTGACGACGGTAAGTAAACATTTTTTATCTGATTGAATCCATTCCAGAGATGGTTAAAGGGCCGATCCATCCTAGGCCGGCCTTTACTCATTCCTAATCCATACAAATTTTCAGGAAAACAATCCAAACTCCCTTTCTCTATTGCGAGCCTATGCGTACGCAATCGAAGGAATTACCCCGTTATTGGCCAGGGACATCAATGCCATGATGAGTTTCCAGAGCAAAAAAGAGCAATTCGACCGGCTCGAACACTACTTTGCTCAACGATTCGAACGGGAAATGCTCAATCTGAACTAATCGCTGACGTCCGTCTTACATTTGCTCTTTTTCTATGTTCCTCCGCTTTTGTTTTAATCTTTTCTAACAGTCACTCGTCTTTCCTATCTAATTCTTATCAAAGTTTTTTTGATTTCATAATTTCGCCAATATAGTATACTCGCGCTCTGATTTCCCCTTTTAAAGTTTTATTATGAGATTGCAAGAAACATTATGCAGAGAGAAAGGGATTTGGATAGCTATAAGAGGAACTAAACACAGTTTTTGTTCTTTTCAGACAAGAGTGGTGACTAGTAACAGAAAAATCTCAAAAAAAGGTTTTTGATGATGGTATTGGCATAAACAATTTGGTGGAGCAGATCAGATTCAGTCCGTGTTGCAACACCAATTCGGGGAAATAAGTAGGTGTTTGCAACCATTGAAAATCATGAATGACAATTGAAAAAGAAAACGGGGGTAAATGAGTTTGAGAGGACGAAATACAAAAAAGAGGAAAGAAAAGGAAGAAAAATCGGTTGTAGCGGAAAGCGTATAACTTTAGGAGATGAATTTGTAAAATTCAAGATGAAAATAGAAAGAGAGTATGGTTACACAATGGTATGGCAATCGGAAAGATGTTCGTGAGGCAACGGGGGTGAAGTGTCATGCGGGCATGTCTCAGTTTAGTTCTCGCTGTCATCGGCGTAGTCATCGAGCGGTCCCTCGATGTTCAGCGTCAGCTCGACGTTGGCTTCTCCGGCGTCATTCTTGATGTTGCAAGTGTAGGTACCCGAATCCTTGGCTTTGTAGTTCTGAAATCATCCACCATCTCTGCCAGATTCTTACAAATAAATCACTTACGGTGAGTTCCAACTGGGCGGTGAAGTTTCCATTTCCCTCGTCGTTGGTCTTGAACTTGATGCGGGAGGACTCCTTCATCTTCTTGGACTTTGGCGAGATCCAGGTGACTTGTGGGTTCAATCTCGCCGAGTATCCAATGTCGAAGCAAATAGCTGGCTCGCCTCCGGCCGACGTTTGTTGGAGGATTTGTGGCTTTCTGGTGAAAGACGGGGCTCCCTCTGGCACCTCGAACTTGACAGTGAACGTGGCGGTCAGCTTTCCGGACTCGTTCTTGACTGTGCAGATGAACTGTCCGGCGTCCTTGTCCTTGGTCGGCTCCTTAATCTCAAGAGCCGAGTAGTACACGTTTCCGGCTTCGAGCTTCTTCACCGCCTTTATGCGGTCAGAGTTGGCGATGATCTCCTCAGCTCCTCCTCCAACAAGCTTCTGCCACACAAAGGTTGGCTCAAGGATGGACTTGGCGCGGAACTCCATCACCATGACCTGTCCGTCATCTCTCGACGAGATTTGTGGCTTCTCAACGAAAGTTGGGGAAGAGAATCCTAAAAAATAGTAACTTTACTGATAGAGTGTTAGTTCCCACGAACCAGTCAGCTTCAAGTTGAAGTTGGCATTTCCCTTTCCGTGCGGGTTGACGATGGCGCATCTGTATGCTCCGGCATCGGCGTCAGCGAGCTCCTGAAAACCAAACAAATGTGTTTTTGTGTCCACATTAACACTTCAATGTTTCCCATAATCATTGGGTTTAGTGATCTTGCTCGTTTGCTGGAGATGATTCGTCACGACTAGAGTGTGTAACGGAATGGACGTCGACTTTACACACGTCTCAGAGCATAGGCAGATGGCTTCAACGAATGAGAGAGACAAGGGATGTCCCCCGCAGTTCAGTTCACTTCCACACAACGCATAAAACACTAGTTGACAAATGGGACCAACTGGGGAGGTCCGAAGTTGGGTTGTTGATTACCTTGATGGTAAGGATGGCGGAGTAGCTGTCGCTTCCCTTGTTGGCGAGGTTGGCGCTGAAGCGTCCGGAGTTCTCGACCTCCTTCTGAAAATTGAAAAAGGTTGTTTTAGTCATGGCGGTGCTTTTGTATTAATGAGTCATCTTCCTACATTTCTTTATCGAAAAGTTTAAAACAATACTCAATATGTTTTATAAATGTTTACTACGCGAGTAGGTGAAACGCTGTGCTTTTAAAAGGTGTAAAGTGGAAATTGAAATGAAAATCGTGAAACCGTTCAACTTGTATTAAAAAATCGCTCAATCTACCGTAATTCTTCGTCAAACTCAGGGACATTTTGTAACTTACGTTGTCATAGTACCACTTGACTTGTGGGGTCGGGTTGGCGTCGACGAAGCATTCAAGCTCAAGGGAGCCGTCGTCGTTTTGGCGAGCCACCGGCTGTTGCGGGAAGTGCGGGGCCTTTCCGTCTGGCATTATCTCTGAAAATTTGACTGTCAAGAAACTCTGCACGGAACTGAACAGAACACAAAAAGGATGGGTGTTGTTGCATTATTATTGTTTTTATTCGTTTTGTTCGCCTCGTTCTCGATTGCAACAATGCGATAAACAAAGAAGCAACAAGAGAAAAAAAACGGAACGGAAAGCAAAAAAGGAATGCTCAAGGGTGGACAAGTGAACACTCATACCATAAGTGGGGCGATGGACTAAGAGTCAAAATGCTCTGAACCAAGGGTCAAGGTGGGCCTAATGCAAACGTGAGTGATAGCGAGTTATCCCCGCAACGGCGAAGAGAGAAAGAGTGTCCCGGACTTCCCGGATGAGATGGATATGAGGAGTGAGGATCGAGCTGAGCCGATGGCAGCCGCCGCACGAGTAGGAGCAGCTCGGGAGCACCCCGCCGCGGCACTAGCGGGAATCCGCCACCGCTGCGCTGCTGCACAGTGTGACAAGAGGCGCTTCGGGGCGTTACACAAAAATCGGCGCGCTTTCCCTCTCTCTCTCTCTTTCTCTCTCTTCCTGCTCTACTCCTCACTGTGTACTAGCCGTGGGGGGATCGGCAGGAGCGCGCCCCCGCGGGACGCGCCCCGAGATACGATGGCTCCGATTGATGGACCAGAGAAAACGGAAAAAAGTAAAAAGATAGAAGCTATCACTGATTATCAACAGAATTTCGTCTTTCTGAGTGTGAGCGTCTGTTGCCTGATCACCTATCGATCTGCAAGTTTACTGCGTGGGCGGATGAGGAAGGAAGGGCAGCTAGCCGAACCGACCACTGCGATGGATGAATGAGCTCGCCGAGCAACAGGTCCGCCGAGAAGAACCGAACAGAAAAAACAAAGACTATGTGGGAAGAGGGACGAGTTTCAGATAATGTACTTCCCTTGTTTTCCGTATCTTAGGGTATCAGATCGGAAACACATGTTCGTTCGAACCCATGAAAACCGCCAAACTCATGATGTGATCTGCTACGAACATCTGGCACGAACACATTCAAAATCACAGATTGGAAATCAGAAAAAAAACGAGGAATCGCAATTTTTCGACATACGTGCAAGTCTTCGAGCAGAAATGAGTTTTCGCGGGGCGGGATATGATTGAGCATCGAAATCAAATCGCATCGGCACTTATCTCAGCAGTATCTTTTTTAATAGCTCAAGTTGACAAACAGTGAGTCTCCCTAGTGGTAGGAGGAAACGAACGAAAAGCAGTCAAGAAACCGCTCACTCTCTCACTCTTGACAAATAAAATTTCAGTATACTATACCGATCCACGATCCCCCACCCAACCCCCCAAACTTACTATCCCTATCAAATACGAGGCGGATAGGTTGCAAAGTGGGCAAAAGCGGGATATAGTGCCGCGCTACTTGAGAAAGTGTTTGACAAATTAACCTATTGTACTTCTCAAGTACTAGTTCGTCCACACAGATGATATCACGATGCGGGGTTTTGGAGGCCTCGATTCAGATTCAATCTCAGTCGTTTTTTAGTAATATTATTCGAAAAAATTTCCGAGAAAACGATAAAATCAGTGCACCGCTGTCGTCCTACATCCGTTGTTCAATATGCAGACACGGTGTATGATCTCATCATTGCCGCCTCGTCCGTCTTCGTCTTCGGTTTCCATCCCCCACCCACGTTTCATCAATTTTCTTCGTGTTAGAAAGAGAAGCGACAAACGTAATGCGAATCGCGTTGGCATATGTCGGGAAGGTATTTGCTCATTTAGCCGACGGGACCCTCATCACTACCACCGCCACTCACAACTGTTCGGACCTTATGTTCGGGGGGCTCTTTCCTGCCCCTTCTATCATCATCATCATTTGATTTGCGGAGGAGTAGGTAGGAAAGGAAAGAGGGAAATCGGGGAGGCCAATTGTTTGTGGCGAAAGGATGACGAGTAAATTGCTTGAGCACGGATATCAGAACAGAGGTGGAGGAAAAGTTTGACAATTTGCAAAAACTTTGGATGAAAACTGATTTTCAAGTTGGTAAATGGACATGGGTCTAAAAATCTTTCCTAATGCCGGTAGGTCCTTTTCAGCAGCCCAAACCCACTGTTATTCTGCGCAAAGTTAGCAAAAATGCGCAAATCAATTCACTACTAATTGTTGTGAAACAAAACAGTCTTCAGCAAAACCTCAAAGAAACAACACTTATTTTCTCGCTTTGGAACGGAAGAACACTTGCGGAAACAACGAAACAGTCGTCAAAAGCCAGAAAAAGCAGTGCGTATTGGCAAACACCATGTAATTTTTCGAATTTCTCTGCCCCTTCTGTCGGGAACATGGCAATAAAAAAACCGGTAAAGATTGTCGCGAAAAAGTACACAACGGGATGGAGCAGCGTTGAAGTTTGGGAGAGCAGGCGCTATACTATTAAAAAGTAAACGGACAGGGCAGAAAAGAGGGAGTGATGGACGAATCTGCGTAATGAGTCCATAGCATAAAAGAAAAGTGTTCTTGTATTCGCCTACCGACAAGATAATAAGAAAGAGGATGAAAGCAAACAGTTCCGAGGGAGGGCTGTTGTACAAAAGAAGGGTGTACAGTCACAATCGATACAAATGAGAATTCGATCAAAATGTTGAGTCACACATGAGGAACACTTTTTTAGAAGGAAAGCAAAACAAAAATTTTCATGTTCAACATAGAACAGTCTGACCGTCGTCCTCACACGTTACTAACTTCCGAAGGATGATGCATCGATGCATGAAAAGGACATGACAGACGTTTTGTGTCGAAAAAGTATAATAGCAAATCCTGCGCCCTTCTCGTCACTTCAATAAATATATGTACAAGAGGGCCACCTTGTCTCGCCTCGATGTGTTGACTATTCTACACAACTTGTTGCTTTTCGCCACCTTCTATCAAGTACGACATTCCAGTGTTTGTCTAGGCACAAGATAATCCCACGTTTGTTTTGGAGTTCATACAAAGCTTCAAAATGGGTCGAAATGTTCAATTTCTCAGTTTTGTCTGCTTAATACAAGTTTCAAAAATCGCGCATTTTCACTTTTGGAACAGACCACTAACAATGTAAACTTCATAATCCGCTTAAACCCACATAAATGAACTTATGTTTTCTCTGTATCATATTATTAGGCAAATAACTGAATCAGTCACTCACCGATTTTTCTTCTTTTAACAAAGCGGCGGAATGGAAGAACCTGAAAACAGACCATTGATTGGAACGAAAAACAATTGACCACACTAACCGGAGTGGCAAAGTTATCCGTAGTTGCCACAGTGACCAGCATTGCTTTGGATTCCGTCTTAATTTGTGCTTTTCCCGCATTCGTTGTTGCAAGAGCAGGTCTCCGCATTTCGGTACCCTCTGGTTTCTTCTTCAGAGTGAAAGGAAATAACGGCTTGAGTGCTTTCTTAATGGTTATTGACGTTTTGACCTCTTTCGACGGTTCAGGGAGCAGTTTCCGTTTTAGCATAACTTTTCCTCTTGAATCCTGCACAATGCTTGCTTGCACTGGAACTTTTGATTCCATCTTCTGCATGTTCAATTTGTTCGCTTTCCTGATCTCTCGGAGCCGAAGGTAGTCGTCAATCAGAATGTGCATTCCAGTCTTCCGATCAACCACGTAACACTCATTGCTTTCGGAATCATCGCTGTCGTCTCCTGGTCGCACTCTCGAAATTGGGTCCGCATACTGAACCGTTTTGGGTCTTGAGAGCAGTTGTGTTTTCTGCAGAATGCTTGTGATGGACGGTTTTGCTTCGATAACTGTTCCAATTGGAGTCGAAAGTAACATTGGTTTTTTCTCCTCTCTTTTGACGAGAACTCTTGGACGGGATGAAGATGTGAGAATTGCATTTCCTTGGAGAAAAATTGGTGGATGAGGTTTTGCTGAAAAGTGGAAAGTAGATCGTAACAATGTTAAACCAACGCACTTTGGGGAGTAGAAGAGCCTTTTGCAATTGGAACTTGCACCAATATCTTTCTATGTGGAAGGACACCTGAAAAACTTAGAAAATGGTGCACTTTGCTGGTGTGTTTGCTTACTTGTCATGTTTATCTTTTCTTTAGGTAAGACTGCACAATTGTCACACTAGTCGTTCTGATAGTAGGCCTGAAAAGTTAAGATGATAGTAGAAACAGAAAACTCATCAAAATCAACACGTTAAAAGCACATGTTGTTGTTTCTAAACAGCTAAAGTACGCGATGTTTCGTCATGGTGTTTGCGACTTCCATTTTCATTGCACATGTTGCAGTTTTATTCTCCTCTCCGCTTTGCGCACTTCTCCATTTCTTGCACTCTCATTGGCACTGTCTGCTTCTCAATTGCTTCAGTGCGTCTTTTCTCTGCGCCTCTCCTATTCCACCGCTCTTTTCTTGCACTCTGCCGCTCCGTCACTTTCATTTTCGCGCGTCGCTCCTCTTTCTCCGATGACGCTCTTTCTTTCTCCCGCTCTCACTCTCTGAGGACGGAGGAAGGAGACATACGAATGGCAAAGAGACAACTTACAACAACAACAAGGTAGTTTCTTACCCGAAAAGAAAAGTGCTGTGTATTGCTTTCCAGAACACTGAGAAGTTTTGAGGAAGAATCTGAAATTATAACTTTGAAAACCGAGCAGAAGGAACGAGAAATTATGAAAAGCAAATAAGACGGAGTGCAGATTGCGTGGAACACCAGCCGATGCATAATAACACCCGAGACAAACAGCCCGTTGCCACCCTAATGCCAATCTAGTCCACTAGCAAGGACATGTGTTTAATAACACATTTAATTTTGATGAAATTGCATTTCTTAGTGCCTAAGTCTGAGGCACGCACTAGGAGGCAAAGCCCGATTAAACATAAATAAAAAGGTTTCTTTGCGAATGCGGGATGCAATAATAGTCGGAAAAAAAGTGTTATTCTAGTGGGATTCCAGGTACCTATTTCAGAAGGAATTCCAGTTCAATTGTCATACTGACGTTGTCTGAAGACTGCATTCATTCAGAAATAACTGGACGACTGATAAAAATTGATACAGGTCTTTTATACCATAGCCGTCTGAAGCCTGCTGATCTCAATGAGTTGAACCATCATTCGGAACGTCCATATCAGAATTCCAACCGACTTTGTCACCTTCCCAACCCTCCTGACTCTTTTTTTTTCTCAAAACTCGGAAGAACAAATAAATAATACCCGTTAATTTGGAGTGTTATCTTTTCAGCCACTGTATGATCGTGATGTCCACCGTTTTTACGTGCCGTCATCGAGCAGAATCGTGATGACGAATATAACTGTTTTTCGTTGCTTGACTGATCAATCATCAATTGGCCAATCAGCTGGGAGGCGTGCTTCCGGTTACTTCCGAGTCTTCATTTTTCTACATAAATCTTGCTATCATATTTTGCTTAACTTTTCGATTGTACTCAACTCAAACACAACGCTCCCAACCCAACACGGCCACCTACTGATAAATCTTTCTCTTGCCCAACATTTATTGCTCTCCACGTATGCGTTTAGGGCTATAATTGCCTTTCTTCATGTTTGATAGCGACTCATTTTCCGGTTCGAAAATTTTGCGCTTCAGTTTCTTCTATAATTGACAGATGAGCAAACGAGGATCTATTCCGGAGTTTGTGGATGACTATGAAGATGATGAGGAGGTGGAATTGGTGGAAGCAGCTGATTGTAGCAAAAAGTAACGTTATTTTAAACATTCTGACGTTATAGTTTTGTCTTACAGTCTCCAAAGCTTCTGCATCCGATTGCTCATCTCGCTTTTTTTGATTGCATGTGTATCCGGCGCTGTTATCTGGTCATTTGTCAATGGCAAGTTCAAAAACACTCTCTGTTTAGGAAAATAAGTAATTGTCTAGGTGAAAGCGGAACAAGTACTCATGAAACGCACCGAGATGCCTCCAAAAACTTCTCCATCTTCATAGATCAGTACTCAAAGAAGGAAGGACTCTACGTGACAACCTACAAACTTCCGGAAGGTTCCGATGATACCGAACCAGTGAGTTCTTTAAAGTTTCACTGAAAACTTGTGTATTGCAGAAAGTTGAAGAGTTCCAATCATTCTGGTTTCAAAGTGACACCAACAAAACTCTGTTGCATCAAATCACCCCGAACATCACTATTTACGCATTCGAGCACCACGCATACTGGTATGACACGTCCGCTGAAACCCCGGTATTGGCCTGTTTTCAAAAAAAGATTTGAAAACCTTTTGTTATTTCCAGAAATGCACTTTCGACACCAACATGAACTATTTGACATACATCAAGAATCTGGGCATGACCACTCTGGAACGACATCATTCTGAATACGTGAGTGTCTGCTCCAATTCAATCGTCTGGAGCCTTGAACACTTGACAGGAAGAGACACACAATGGCGACAAAGTGTTCGTGTACCAGGGAAATCCGAATGAGGTCTTGTTGACGAACGTCAATCAGAAAGCTTTTCTTGTAACCGCTTATGCGGACGCCTCCACGGGTAGGTTCTGTTTTATCCAGTGATCTATGTATAAACGGGAAAACAAAGGTGCTCACAGCGGGGGTATTCAAAATTGAGATCGTCTGAAAGTCCGGAAGTCCGGAAGTCCCGATCCTCGGTTTTTTTTCCTATTGCCGTGTGGTTCTCTGCCCAGCGCCAACTTCCTTGTTTTCAAATGATCGCTTTGCTCACTCAATGTTTCTTTCTCATGGTCCCACTTTATCTTTTAGGCAAGATGCACGTGTTTATGAGAAAAAACGGACAACAAAAAGATGGAGATGATCCAGTTTTGACCGCTTTCTTCAAAATTTCATCTCATTTCATTCCGCACACGACATTGAGCCCGTCTCAAATTCAATTCAAAATCCATTTCTTTCCATCCGTCCCGCGGTGTACATAGTTGTGTTCTTTTTAGGAGCTCTTCTCGCCTGGGACACCTTCTTCACTTCGGACTCCGACAGCAGCGAGATGGTTTTCAAGACGTCCTATGAGTATCCACATATGGTCCCGGCCAAACCAGACCCCTCTTACTTTTTTACTCCCACCGAGTGTTCACCGTGAAAAAAGGCAGGAAACAATAAATTTGTGGAATGCTTCTTAAACTTGAATCCCGTAAACTAAGCCCATATCTGTTATGACATAGACGTTCATCCTCATTAATTTCATCCAATTCGAATCGTATAGTCATCAGTATGCTCTTTTATTTTCGACATGGAACACGTAATGTAAATGCTCCCTTTGAAAACAATCGGATTCGCCTTTAGTCAATCGCTCCTCAATTTTAGTTGCTTACTGATCACAGTTTAGCTTCAACACAACTTTTGGCACAAAGTGCTTTGCCTTAAACTGAAAAATTCCGATGCACTCACTCGGCCACACACCAAGAGACCACCTCACTTCACTTTTTACCCCAGAAGTTGTGAGCATCACGTGTCCACGTCATGTTGTTCAATCGCACTAATGGCTTTTAGGAAGCACCCCCACTTTGGCACCAAAAAAAAGTTTTATGTGCGTGCTTGCCTGTTTTTTTTTCGGTCGGTGACAAGCAAGGGGAAGAGGGGCACGTCCTCATTCAGTCACTTTCTCACTTGTTTTTTGGGAAGTGAACTGAATAATATTTCTGTGAACCCCTTAAAATTAGGCGATCTAAACCTATTTTTTTTATTTTCCTTCTTCTCATTTCCTTCTCCTTTAAACGCTTATATTCAGTGAGTGGCTGAAAATGGGAAAGAAAACAAACGTAGATCACAACAATCATTTGTAGTTTCTCTGATCTATGTTCAGTTTGTGCCCAGTTGACATTTCAAAGGACATATCATCTTTCACTAATTTCCATCTCACCCCGAATCTTCTTTTCGCATCCGGAAGTGATCCACCCACACGCCCCTATATAACCAGCCACTTCAAAACTCATTCCAACTCAGATTTTTTGTGCCCGCTCCGTTTTCCTTTTTTCACGCTTCAAGTATTTATTGGCGGAAACACATCAAAAGTCATTCGTAGGACCGCTCCGGCACCATGTTCAACTTCAAGCTCCTTCTCGGTCTTGTGCTCTTCCTGTTGATCGCTGAGTCAACCGCCAAAGTTGTCAAGGTTTGTATCCAGACATACATACCGCTCAGATATTGTTATGTTTTTCAGTGGCACCCGGTCTCGTTCAACCGAGAACAACCGTTGTGGAGAACATCTCAACGTTCGAGACAGGTGAGTCGCCACCAGCTTGCAGTGTGTTCAATTTCATTTCCAGAGGCACAATTTTCAGATCCAAGGATACGGTCCGATGTCGGCGTTCGCCGATAGCGGCTCCTCCCGTCCACTCTTTTTCGGTTCATGGCGCAAACGTTTCGATGAGGAATAACAACGGAATCGCTCATTCTTTCCATCCCGATTCTTCCTGTTCGTTTGCTATGAATAAAAAGTTGTTTGTGACCATGTCTATTCTGAAAAAATGAATAAGGCCTAGTGTGACTGCGTGTGTTTCGCTAATGATGAAAAATTAATGAGTAGAGTTTATTAATTGAAAATTCACTTGTGCAAAGTTGAATTGAATTGAATTGTGCGCTAATGAAAAGGTCATTTTCGGAAAACAGCTCGAAGAGTAAGAATGGGATACATCGAATTCAGGTGGTTTGAGATGCGACGATCAGAGATTATGATGCGATTGGGAGTAGTTCAGGCGATCCACTGCACAGGTTCACTGCTATATCCACCATTAGCAGTTTGTTGCATAGAACGGAAGAAGTCTTGCATGTTCTTGAATGTATCGGTCAATCCCACGTTTGGAAGAGCTGCAACAACAACTACAGTTCCTTCCACTCAAAAACTTTTCAGAACTCACATGGAATCATTCCAACGAACAACTCATGAACTTTTAGCGGCTCCCAACGCAAAGGAAGCCAACTGATCGCTTCAATCTCATTTCCATCCTCATCGTTGTTTTTCTTCATCTTTTTGATCTGAAGGAATGCTGCAATCTTATCCTGAAAACAGAATTACAAGCCAACAATCTCTAAAGTTTAGTTTACTCTGTGGGTCAACAGACAAATACTCTGAAACTTATCGCCGAGATGAAAATCAACGACTCTGATAGTGTCGGCAGCGTAAATGAACGGCCAGGCCATGGTGACGCCGTCCAACACGATTTCTCCGTCCATACGCGGTTGCGGTCTGAAAACTACTCACAAGTTTCAGAAAATGGGTTTTTTTTCAATTTCCGTTCCAGACCTTCTCACTTCTATCCCAGTCATACAGCACTTATCAGAAATTGACACCACAATTGTGATATCGCACTTGTCTTTTGTTGTGTATGTGACCACATGCCAGCAGAGTCGTTTGCGGAGGGCTTCGAACTGAATAGCCCAGCAAATTTCCTCCCGTACCTTCTGAAACTCGATGCAAAATCAAAAAACACAAATTGCTTCATGCTCCCCTACTTTTGCTTGAGTTGAGGAGGCGCCTGAAAAGCAATGAACCCTGACGCCGACGCGCATGCACGGAATGCACAAATGGGCGAACAGATCTCGGATTTTAAACTTCTCCACGACGCCGTCCAAATAGTCATTGAACCATAGAATGTCTTGTGAAAGTCCTGAGTGATAAATAGTTTTGCTTCTGAGAATTGAGTTCTTGATCCTACCATTTGTTCTAATAAAAACGGGTGATATGTACGGATGCCATCGTCTCATTTTGAAGGGCAAAAAGATACACTGGATTCCTTCTCTATCGGCCACATTCAGAAGACTCATCACACTCTTCTTCTTCCAAATCATTCCGGTATAATTAAGATCAGTATGAATGATGATGTGCTAAAACATAAAAATGACCCACAGAGTTGGATATCGAAAAGAACCCCGCTATCTTGGAAAATTTCGGTGATCGGTACTTTCATGCTCGGATCATGTTGGATGACAACATAAGGTTTTTGACGAGTGTCAAGAGTGTATTGTCCGTAAGGATCCAGAAGCTCGGGAAGGACTTCTTCTTTTGGTTTTGGTTTGTTTTCCATTTGACTGAAATAACTTTGCATTCATTTGGACACTTGTTCTAAGTGGCGTTCCGCCTTTAAAAGATCTAAAAATGAGCAAATAGATACTATACATATTTTCTCTTAATCTGTGTACCCAGTTTTTGCCTGACTAAAACTAAATGAAGTTTGGATCCTGTCGGATACTGTGAGTCCAAATCAATGAATCATTACAAGTCTCAAAACATTTTGATCTCGTAACAATCCGATAAACCCGTCGAATCACTTTCTACCGGTTTTTCGTAGTTTGAAGTTTCCAGACACCCAATTTTCCTTGACCGGCACTTTAAAACCAATAGGCTGCGGAGCAAAACACAATACTTTTTGTTATCGAATTGATATTTCGCAACGCAGCGGCAGCGTGCGGGACAAACGAAAAAGTAAACACGTTGGTCAGCATCACGAGGAACTTTCACACGGAACCAGCGTTATCGAGAACGACTGGGTTGCCTATGAAATACCTACTCATCTTGTCACTCTTTTCAGTTTTGTCTGTCGCACACGTACGCGGAGACGCAATGTCAAAGGCGCCGATTGATTTCGAAGAAGAGTGGAGTAAGGTACGGAATATCGTTATGCTGCTCATTTTCAAACTCCGTCTCTTGCTTTTGAGCGAATCACCCCTAGATTAGGCCAAACATTGTATGAATATGTAATGATTTCAGATCTCTAATGGTACGCTTGAGATCAAATGGTTCTACTTCCCAACAACTCAAAGCTTGAAAGTCGACATTGACAAGATTCAATGTGTAAAAATCAAGAGCCAAGCGAATAGCTATGCAAAAAACTGGGGATCCGGAGACCTCACCACTTGGTGGGCATGTGACATGAAACGGTAAATCATTAATTCCGGCTACCCTATCCCAGTTTTCTTTATTTAAGTAACTTCCGTAGTCATCCGGAGCGGTTCTACAACGTCAAAGTCGACATCGGAGAGACCTTCAAGAAGGGATTTACTGTTCAGGACCTCGAAAAGTTCCTCGTGGCAATCCGAAAATGGCTCAAGATTCAAAACATTGTGTTTGAGTGAAATGTTCAGTTGAAACACTGTTTCAATCGATGTTCGCCTTTGTACATAAATCTGTATAACCCGTGTATTCAGCGCTGTTGTGAATACAACGTATCATTCGCGTCAATTTTCATGACGCCAGTCTTTTTTATGCGCTTTGAATGTGGAAAATGATGACGTGGATTGAATCCGGCTTTGCAAAAAAGGGGTGAGATGGAAATGTCAAATGAACTAAAGCTCGAATAGCTGATGTCCTTGCACATTCTGAATGTGCACGCGGTCACTTCATTGTCCGCTGAAAGACATGTACACTTTCGAGTCTGCACACATTCGGTCATTGCCCACGTCCAGAAAAAATTAGTTGTTAGTTTTTCAGTTTTGATAAGAAATCCAGCAAAGCAAATTCAGTGATTGTATCAACTTTGCAAAAAGTAACAAAAGTTAAATAAGGAACGGTGAATGAAATAAGACTTAGATTAATAGGAGTCAGATGGAAACCCAAGTACGAACAAAATGAAACAAGAATCTGAGCAGAAAGAAAATTTGTAGGAAATTTGTAGAGCGTTTGTAGGAGAGGACTGGTCCGTAATCCCTGAGATGTATCTGAATGTGCAAGGTGTTCTAGCACATATTCCGTAAAAGTGAATCTTAACAGAAAAGAGTGAGAAAAGAAAGGAAATAAGGATGCAGGATGTGAAGGCAGGTAATGAAATTGAAAGAAACTTAGCTGTTCTGAAGATCAAGTCGTTCGGTTCGACCCAAAGTACTCTTAGTACAAGTAGCAGATGAAGAAATGAGAATACTCCAAAGCTCAGCGACAACGTCGAAATGTTAGTGAGTACTGAAGGTGGAATCGCTTTTGACCAGGAAAATCAGTAGGAACTACAAACACCACTGAATCACAAGCTACGACTCGTAGTCCTTAGGAGACCAAAAATTCTCAATATTTTGGTCAAAAAAGCTATTAGAAATACAAAAAATCAGTTTTTGTGCCGTGGACGGAAGCAAATGCAGAGAAAATTTCAAGGCTCTCAACCGACATGGGAAGTCTGAAGATGGATTGGATGAAAGAATAGGCAATCGATGGGCACAAGTGTGACAGGAGTCGTTCCCTTTTCAACGAACAGAGACGCTCATTTTTACTAGTGCACACCACCCACAAAGAAGAGCGATGAACGTGCCATAACTCATTCGGTGGGGCAAGAGCTTGATGGCTGCTTTTATGACGTGTGAAGAAAATGAAGGGGTTCGGATAGGTATCTTCCTTTGCAGATTGGAAAATGACGCGATCGGGAGGAAGATTGATGCACCTGAAGAGATGATCTTGAAAAACGAATTGGTTCAGTGTATGGCTAGGGATTTTTGTACACTTCAATCCAGACTTGCAACGCTCAAAGTATGTAAAACATCCGGGCCGACCGGGTCAGCAAAATCTTTGAAATAGTCCGTAATCTTGCAAAGTAACTGTTTCATTTAACTTTTATTAACAGATAAAGATGCAATAAACGTTCTTCTGAAGCTGCCAAGTTGTAACTGTATTCCTGAAACTGTTTTTTCGTAAAATCAGGTGAATTTTCGTGCCTCAAACAACGTCAACTGCTTGGCTAACTCTCAGAAACCGGAATTTCACGCTCTTAACACATTCTGAAGTTTAAAACCTGACAACGTGGTCGGTTTCCTGCTTACTTATCATTTCCTAATAGAGATAACAAAATTTTCAGAGTACACTAAATGTGCCGGACAAATGAACTTCGCATAGTTTCCAGGCGGCACAAAATATGCACGTAGAAGATCTTATGGCTGTCTACAGACACAAATTGTGCCAGCTGGAAGAGCAAAGTGTCAGAATATGAAGCAGCAAAAGCAGCGGCGCTCTTCCACCTTATCGAAAAGTGTACAGAATGATAGAAAACCGCTGAATGCATTCGCTCCGTGCAATATAAAGCGAATCGCGTCGATTTCGCCGCTTTATGCGTCCTTTTATGTGACACGACGTGGAACCGCCGCCCGGCACTGACATGGACCGCTTTGCTGCAATAATTGAACCTTTTATGCTCATAAAGTCAAGCTCTGTTGGAGTATTGCAACGAAATTGAACTCTTGTGTCGGATTGTGTCTTGATTGAAAAAATGATCGCCGACATCATTCAGACTGGTTTTGAAATCCGAGAGGGGAGAAGCGGAAGGGTTGAAAGTCTGAAGGAAGGGCCAATGGGAGCACGTCATCTGCATGACACTTGATCTGTTTAGAAGACCAGCTGACCGGGATATAATATTCGAGCCTGGGGTTATAATACGGAACACAGAAGATCATAAATTCTCTTCAGGTCTTTCAGATTTCTGTTTGGACAAGACGGACTTGCTTACATTTCTTATTTTCTGCACAAGTCCATTTTTTTCTCGCTATAGTCATTTGTGTGGGTCGCCTACTACACCCTCATCCATTAGACTATTCGCACTGCTTCCAAACCCATCTTTCTTCCACAGAAATCGCGTCATTTGCATTTTCTCTGTTTGTTTTGGGTGACTCTTTGGAGCACAAGTGTTCACATTTTTCGAACAATTTTCGCTGGTTAGGTAAGGTACCAATTCTCGAAAATTAGTGTGTTAGGAAACAATAATAAAAGGTAGCCAGACGTCTAGCTGTGATGTTATTCTGTTATCCTGCTCAAAGAGCAAATAGGAATAATAGTTGTGCCAATTATTTCTTGAACTTGTCAAGTGTTCAACCCACTGTCTTGGCGCCAGTCCTTGTTCAGCAGGTCGCCAAGTTCGTAACAGGGTACTCTTGCTCCTCCTCCTCATACAATTATCTTTTAAAGTGTCTGTCATCCACAAGACACCAATTTGTTTGCTCTTCGAATGGTTTTTTCGGAATAATAATTTTAGTAATTACTTCAGACAAAATGCTTGGGGGCGCACTGCTAATTCTGCTGATGATAGGTGGCGTTATGGTGCATGACATCTTCGGAAACCGTCCAGCAAAGCGAATTTTTGAGTTCAACCAGTTCAACCAGATGAATCTTGGATACGGAGAAGCGTCCCGACAGTTCATTGCTATTCAGGTAAGGAGTATCTGAAATGGTAAAAGTAGGAATATCTGGCTTTGCCTTTTTACTATTGTAACTACATGATATAGAGTCCTACTATCAACCTCAATACGTTTTCAATTTCTTTTTCTAACAATGACACGGCGATCGAACAGTACGCTATTAAAACGACGCCGCATACATGCATGCAAACTGATAAAAGAACGACGCACTACTGTTTATGTCAGAAACGTGTAGAACGTCAATAGATCGCATAGAGTACCGAATTGATGATCATGTAAGGTTATTTGTGCAAGACTTGCGTTTCAGTCGATCAACAACCGGGAGTTTGATAAGAACAGAGAGCGTCATCGGGGAACACCGGAGGATTGGGCTCTTGGAGGGAAAATTGTGAAGAATGCGATCTTCATGGGAGAACTCTCCTGTCATACTATGATCGGAAGCGATGAACTCACAGACTTCAACAGAATCCCCAACTACGATGAATTCAAAATCCGCAGCTTGGAAGTCATCGACGAAGACAGTGCGTACTCCACAAAAAGCCCAGAATAACACGTATTTTCATTCAGCCGGCGAAAGCTATCCGTTTGTGAGAATAGGAGACGACTTCATCGCCTACAATCCCTATTTGGACACCGTCCATGAAAGAAGATTTATAAAAATCATCATCAAGCACAAAGGATGTGTCCCGTTGGATGTAATTTAGATTAACGTATTCAAATCAAGAGCTTCTGATTTTCAGAGTGGATGCACGGCGGTCACCGAGTTTATCGCTTCCTACAAACCGTCGCATCACCGTCTCATGGGATTCACCCGAATCAACCTGGCCGTTCGCTATTACGACATCGTCTGCTCGTTCTTCGGCCGATTCTTCAACTTCTGGCCGTTCAACTGAACCAGCTTTTCATATTTTCCCCCAACTCATGCATAATGTCATTGCTTTACGAATCTCTCGAACTTTTCTTCTCGAAATGCTGTCCTGATATTCCATCAATTAGCCGCCGGACAATGATCGTTGGTCGGTGAATCCTACTTGAGTTAACGAAAAACAAGTTTTCCTATTTGTCTTTATTTACAAGCTAATTTCGGATTGGAATCGAATCAATCACAACCATTTGCAAATCACATAAACGAATAAACTAAAAGACATTTGGTTGAATGTGCATTTAGAACATTTAGAACAGTCCATCAATGATCTCGGTGATCGGGTCGATAGTGATATCGTAGAAGCATGGGCGGGTGTTGAGTCCTGGCATAGTAGTCATCTCACCAACCAACGGGTAGATGAATCCGGCTCCGACGGAGGCACGCACGTCACGAATCGGTAGGGTGAAGCCTGAATTTGAACAATGAGTAAAGGAAATGCTCTCAGAAACCAACCAGTTGGAGCTCCTTTCTTTGATGGGTCCGATGAAAGTGAGAGATGAGTCTTGGCCATACAGATTGGCAACTTTGAGAATCCCTGCTTGGTGTATCGCTCCAACTTCTCCTTGGCTTCTGCCGAGAGCTCGATACCATCAGCGCCATAGATTTCCTTAGCAATTGTGGCGATTTTGTCCTCCAAAGAGAGATCCAAGTCGTAGAGGAACTTGAATTGCTTGGTGGGTCCAGAAGTGGCAGTGACAAGAGCATTGGCAAGGGCGATAGCTCCGGCTCCTCCCTGGGACCAGTGTTCCGAGACGACAGCGTCGAACGCTCCGTAGGCCTTGGCCTTGGAACAAACCAATTCCAATTCCTTGTCAGTGTCAGTAGCGAATTTGTTGACGCAGACAATGACAGGGATTCCGAACTTGTTAGAGTTCTCGATCTGCTTTCTCAAGTTGGAATCACATCCACCCTCGACAAGTGGAATGTTCTCGTCGAGATATTCGTGCTTCAGTGGAGCCCCGGCGACGACAGCTGGACCCCCTCCATGCATCTTGAGAGCACGGACGGTGGCCACGAGCACGACGGCAGAAGGTTGAAGTCCCGAGTAGCGACATTTGATATTGAAGAACTTCTCCATTCCAATGTCAGCTCCGAAGCCCGCCTCCGTGATCACAAATCCTTCCGGACCGACAAGTTTTAGAGCGACCTTGTCAGCGAGGATACTGCTTTGTCCGTGAGCAATGTTGGCGAACGGTCCGGCATGAACAAAGACTGGGGTTCCTTCTAGTGTTTGCATCAAATTAGGACGAACAGTGTCTCTCATGAGCACGGTCAAAGCGTCGGTGACTCCGACATCGTCAGCGGTGACCGGTTTTCCGGCCTTGTCGGAACCAATGACGATCTTCGCGATTCTCTTTTGCATGTCTCCGAGAGACGTGGTAAGCGCCAGAATGGCCATCAACTGCAGGAAAAACGATTTTGAATTAATAAATAGAATCCGTACAAACCTCACTGGCCACAGTGATATCGAACTGAGTCGTGCGAGTTTGTCCTTTCTCGTTTGGTCCCAGTCCAATTTCAATTTTCCTCAGGAACCGGTCATTGGTGTCGAGAACACGGTTCCAGGTGATGGTGGGCGCGTCGATGTTGAGACGAGCAAACTGCGCTCTCTGGTCAGCATCTAGATCCTCGGCATCGGTGACACGCGGAATCCCGAGACGATCGAGACGACGCAGTTGGATCTCGGAAAGTGGGCGAACGCCTGGAAATATCCAATTAACATTGATTTATATGTACTCATGAGCGTACCTTGTTTGTTCTTTGGGCAAAGCCTATTGAACAGAGCTTCGGTGGTTTGAGTGTTCTCATGGAACATTCTGGCGTCAATAGCAGCCGCCAGAAGATTGTTGGCTGCAGTTATTGCATGGATGTCTCCAGTCAGATGTAAGTTGAACTCCTCCATCGGAATGACCTGAGAGTATCCTCCTCCTGCAGCTCCTCCTTTGATTCCGAAGGTTGGACCTTGCGATGGCTGACGAACACAGGCAAACACATTTTTGTGCAAATGGGCTCCGAGCGCTTGGACGAGTCCAATTGTGGTTGTCGACTTTCCTTCTCCAAGTGGCGTTGGAGTGATTCCAGCGACCACGACGTACTTCCCATTCTTTACCTCATTGAGTCTTTCGAGGATGTCAAGAGAGACTTTGGCCTTCTTGCGGCCGTACAAATCGAGCTCGTCCGGATGGATTCCGATTTCACCGGCAACCTACATGTAGAGTGTTGCGGCGAATTAGCAGCGTGATTTCTAGTACCTTTTCAATATCCTTCGGTGGTTGGGCTCTCGAGATGGCAATGTCCGACGGGACCGGGTTCAGAAGGGTCGGCTTCAGGTACTCAATGTTCCAGTTGCTCTGAAAAATGTTAATCTTTAAACTCAATACAATTTGTTTTGACTGTTTGACTGATTTTGTTATTCCATTTACCATTTCGAATCGTAGTTTGAATTGTCGTAAACAACGAAAGGAATTGAAAGTTGGAAAGATAGAAATCTTGATCGTCTAGTTCTATTCTTATCACACCAATACAGACAGTGTCTCATTTTGCAGAATCACCGCGAAAAAAGAAAACGATAAAACTTGGTTAAACTTGAAAGAAGGACACGTGGTTTTTCTCAGTCCCGCAAAACTCTCGCAGATGTCGAACGACAAGGCTTCTTAATTTGGGGAACTACTTTGCCTACAGTACGGCTTTAAAACTCACCATGATTAAAAACTCGGGTGGAGGCAGAATTACTCGCGAAAACAAAGCGAATGATGCAAACAGCGTCGAAAAACGGCAACTAAATACAAACACCTTGATAAGGCGGTGGGCAGAGCGCGTCGGCGAGAGAGCGCCGAAAACGGAGAGACGCAGAGGCGTGGAGTGCGTGCCCAGTGGTCGGCCCACCGCATCGATTGCAGTCGATTTGTTCTATGATGGCGTGTCTCGTGGGTAGAAGGACGAGCCACGTGCAATCTCGCGAAGACCACGGTCTCTCGACGAATCTCCCTGTCGTTTCTTCACATCGAACTTTGCGGGAATGCCGATAACACTGTTTACTGGTTGTTTCATTGGAGAGAAAAGAAACAACGGTCGAATTTAAAAAGATTGTATACAAACTGAAAAGGGAATAGAATAGAATCACAGAACTTGGAAGAGAGATAAAGTTAACAATAAATTAAACACAATCGCTTAAGAATGGTGAATGGAATACAAAAGTGTGCAAGTGACGCTGATGAAAAGGCAGAATCATTCGTCCTCGTCCTGGTCCTGAAATAAAAACAAAAGCATAACCGCAAATAATGTCGGTAATGGTTCTTTGAGCTAATCACGCCGAGAATAGCTGATACTTACATTCTCACACAAACAGCAAACAAGTGAATTGTCAAAAGAACGAATTTCCAAAGCTCTTACTTACCGTCTTGGCAAGACGCCGTCGCTTGGCTTGCTCGTAAGTGTTTCGGATCAACATGGCGACGGTCATTGGCCCAACACCTCCCGGAACTGGAGTAAGGTAGCCGGCGACTTCCTTAGCGGCTTCAGTGTCAACGTCACCGTAGATCTTGCGCGATGTCGGGTCCTCGCCGACGTTGATTCCGCAGTCGATAACGAACGCGCCCGGCTTGATCCAATCGGCTGGAAAACACGGTTCTAATTCTAATTCTAACTGACTGAGCAATGTTTGATACATGTTTAATGGATGTACTATAGTACCATAGTACATCTGCACTATTTGAAATTTTTGCGGTCCCGTCCCGCATCCTCCACTTTTGTGATCATCACCTAAAGGGGCGTGGTGGCGGTGAAGCACAGTTGAGAAGTGGCCGAGTGGGCGTGATTCAGACTATCCCTATATAAACCGAGTACAACGGTAATTATGTCTATCTCGAAACTTTTTTCGCTTGAGTGTCTCTCTCTTCCTCTCTCCGACATTATTGCTATGCAAGAAGTCAGCTCTCTTCCTTCCCCTGACGTTGTTGTTATGCAAGAAGTCAGCTCCCTCTTCCTCTCTTTGACATTATTGCTATGCAAGAAGTCAAACTCTTAACCATCTCTCTCTTCCTCTCACTTCCAAATTCGAATTTCAAAAATTAGTTTGGGAGGAGGGGCAGATACATTTGGGCCAACGAACCTTTCACAAAGTGCTTGCGACCAATGGCAACGATCAGAATGTCGGCGCGAAGGCACTTCTCCTTAAGGTTCGGAGTCTTCGAATGGCAAATTGTCACTGTTCCATGGTGCCAAAGGAAAAGAGCGGCAGCTGGGGATCCGACAATTTTGGATCGTCCGAGCACAACGACTTCTTTTCCGGAGACGAAATTGGCGTTTTCAGTTGCTTGTTGGACCAAGTAGAGACATCCGAACGGAGTGCACGGGAAGATGGTGCGCTGGAGCTCTCCACGAGCCAGACGTCCGGCATTGATACGCGTCAGTCCGTCCACGTCTTTCAGAGGATCGATGAGGTCGATTACGGAGTCAGCATCGATTTCGTGCTTGCAATCGAGCGGGAGCTGAAAAAAATACATTCTATCAATTTTTCAGATTTTTTACTCGGAATCATTATTTCCTGTTAGCGAAATATGTGTGCTTCAAAAACATTTCGACGAAAACCCATGTGCCGGCCCGTCTCAACCCGGTCCGTTGCAACTATGACTATAATCCGTAACGGTGTTCATAACGTCATCGGTCCGGCCTCCGATAAATCTGTTCAAAACAGGCTATCAACCGTACCTGAATTATGATTCCGTCAATTTCGTTGTCGTGGTTCAGCGCCATGATCTCTCGTTTCAGATCTCCTTGAGTGATCGTATCCGGGAGCTTGATCAGTTTTCCATCTGCACCAATTTCCTTTGCCTTTTTCAGTTTCGCGTTGATGTACACATTTGAATCCGAGCGGTTGCCAACCTGCAATAATTTTTCTTGTTTTCCCTCATTCTTTCTCAATCGGTGTGTTTCTAATACTAAAAACAAAACAAAACGACTCGATGAGTTCTTATCTTATCAATCACAAACCTGAACAATAGCCAACACTGCGTGAAAGTTTGGATGGTGCTCTCGGGTCTTGGCGATTTTCTCTCCGACGTCTTGGAGAACTTTCTTTGAGTATTCCAGTCCACTCACGATCTCCGCGACCATTCTGAAACAAGCGGAAAAGTACATATAGCGGGTTAAACTATGTTGACGATAAACTGAGGAGAAAACGAGGAGAAGAGTACGAAGAGGATCTCCCGTACTTCACTATTCATGAGAAGGCAAGTGCACGCGGGCTGATTGGTCTATTCACCATATTCACATTTCGAAGTGCAGCGAAAGAAAAAAACAAAGAAAAAAGTTGTGTTGAATATGTATAGCGGTTTTGACTGTGAGGGAGGGTGTGGAGTCTCGTTATCTTATTCTGAAGATCGCTATGATTTTATGTGTCAACTGGCCAGTGTTTGTCGATGACATTCGGTGAGATAGACATGTTCCTCCGCATGTTGCAAGCTTCCGCGTTGAAACAAGATTTTATGGGAATGAAAGTGTATCAAGGAACAGAATTTGACGGGAAGAGGAAAGAACGGGACGCGTGGAATGCCCCGGGACAAACCATAGAAATCAATATTAGGCGCGCACACGATTGCATCACACCGGCCACGAAGGGCCGCTACATCCCGACCAGATTTTCTGAGCGATACACATAAACGGATGATCCTTGGGTAAAATTCGGTCGAGATCACAACTTGTACTGCAAGGAATGTAATCTTATCTGTTCAAATCTTATCGCTCAGAAAAAAGACTAATCAGAAATCACTCTACAATATGTATATTTACCTTGACAACTTGCAGACGGAGCAAAACATCTCACAGGGTGTCATACTTATCAGTCTGCATATTTTCAAATGTTCAAAAATCTGCAAGATAAGCTAATGTTAGTAGGTTACATTGGATTATTCAGTTATTCAGTTTGATTACAGTTATTTAAATATTTTCTCATTCAACGTGTAATCACAAGTATTAATTAAGAATTTTAACTAGAAATCTCATCACAGATTAAACAAGTCAAAAATGTGTGTGGAAAGTGTGAAATGTAACGTTTCGGTATCTATTATACAAAGTAGCATGGAAATTCTGCGATAGGCTTGTATAACCGTATCAGAAATAAAGACAATTAAGGATGGAAGGAGGGGGGGCAAATAAAATGAAAAAGGCAATCAGTTATCCTTCTTATCCTCGTCTCCTCCTCCCATGATCGTAGTCATGGACTCGCCGCCACGGACAAACGCTTTGCGGCCTCCATAATCAAACTTCTCTGATTGAGTCTGGACCAAACGGCCGACGGTCAGATATTTGAATCTGAACTGGGTCTCCCATTCGTTGGCGGTGTCCTGAAAATGACACAAATCATAAAACTTCGATTGAAAACACAAGTGATGTTTGGCGAAACGTGCATCAATAAGCAGTTTCGAAAGAGTTTTGTGTGTCGTGTTGCTACCGATGTATGGTTGTGACCAATCGCGCGATATGACCAAATCTAAATGGACGGAAACCTCTAGAAACCATCAAAGATCTATTGCTGGGTAAAAGGTTGTGAATAATTTGTGAATGGTTTCAAGTCCTGTTTTTTTTGATAATTCAGTGCGGTACCGCACAGTTTAGCTCAGAACCGGTCGTCAGAAAAAATCATGGGTTAGTGGGACTTGGATATCTTCCGCACAGAACACAATTGACATCAGAATCGGTCAAGCCATTTCAGAAATTGCGTCATCAGCTTCTATATTCTCAGAATCGCTCCGAACACTTCAGAACAGTATTTGCCAACCTGCTCATCAGTGGACAGTCCAACGTGATCATCCCATTTGTCGGAGACGGCGTTCTGATCCATGGTCCCCAGGGCGCGAGTGGCATCGTGACCAGCCAAAGTTCCGTACGCCTTTCCGGGTCCGTAGAATCCACTGCCGCGAGTGACATCGTAGATCTGCAATAGATTCACATCAGTTGCCAGTTGTCTCTATTCAGCCTGTGAAATAACTCACAGTTCCGTTGAGTCCAAAGAGAATGTGCTCGTTTTTGACGCCATCGTACTTGCGAAGTTCTTCGACCGTCATATCGGTCATTGTAAGAGGAGCAAGCTGAAAAAAAAAACAATTTGTTTTTCCCCAATGGTGAATGTGACTGGGACTCACGTCTTTCGGTGGAGATGGAAGCGGCTGCTCTTTTCTTGTGAGCCAGTAGAAGAAGAATCCGAGAACAACGACCAAGAAGACGGCGTCATAGATGGTGAACTCGAACCACGAGCTGAGATCCATATTGTCTGGCTGAAAATGGACAGAATCAGTGGAATAAAAATAAAAACGGTTTCGGGACAAGCGTAGCACAATTTGGATTGGTTGAATGATCGCGATCAGCACTGGGCCTCACCTCAACAGCCTCTAGCGGATTTATTATATAGTTCTCATCCGATTGATGCGGAAACGTTAGCGAAAAAGATCGAAAGATCAAACGTGATTTTACGAAATTCTACCACGTTTTCATAAAAGGGACGTGATGTTTCAAAAATTTCGTGATGAATGGTAAGTGGGTGAGTGGGTCCTCAACACGGTAAAAATCATATGACCGCATAACTGTTGCCGAAATGAAAGAAACACTCGTACAAAAGCGCACTTGTACCAGAAAAAATGTAGTTTGAATTATAAATCAAGAAATCACAATTTAGGCAGGAAAACAGCAAGACAATGGGGGCGAAAATCGAAAGAACTGTCTTGGGGGACTGTTCGACCTTGCCGTCTGTCGATAAACAGTGCGCGTCAGACAGTGTGCAGTATGTCGTCAGTTTCGGTGTTTTTGCCCGCTGCTCTCTGCTTCCAGTACTGTACGGAATGAAAACAGAGAGAAAAATTGGACAGAAAAGGGATCGATGGCATTGAAAACAGAATGTTATGCTGACGGGCCCGTATTTGGTCGGCAGGTCACAACGGAGGAGACACATGGCCAATGTGCCTTTGCCTTCCCCTTTCTCTTATCGTGTCTTATTTATATTTGTCGTCTTCTCTAGGCACACCTTTTCTCTCGGCCTTCGTCACATCGCGTAGTCTTTGTAGCAACTGGTTTGTGGTCGTTGTCATGATTTCAAGTCCATTTTTTCCCTTTATCAATGAATTTCAACATAGAAGGTACCTAATGTACAACAAGAAAATGAGAGTGGGAGGAGAACCCGTCAATGGGCTGGGAACACTGATATTAGTACAGGAAGGAATTGAATTGCAACTGGAAGAGTATGAAAGAGTTGTAGTCACTGAGACATTCGTGAGGGAAGACAAAGGAAGGAATGCAGAGACCAGAAAAGAGTCCCAAAATGTGTGGTTTGTAGACTAGAAAGTATGGGAATAAGGCAGACTCACAAATGATGTGGCCTTGCGAGTAATTGAAATCTGGTCGTGTAAAAGCGGAGAGAAAAGGTCATGAGGTGATAGCAAACACTTTGACAGGATTAGGATTACAGGGATTCACTTGTGATGCTGATGGGATTATCTCTGACGTGAAAGTCACATAATATGCTGGTTGGAATGGAAAATTTGAATAAATTTGATGTACATCGGGAGTGGAATGACCGAACATCATAAAAATAAAACTAGAGTAATTGGATCAAAAGTCAGAAAGATTAACATGCAGTCTCTGCTGTCTCTTTTCTGTCCGACCAATTTGAACAACGGATTCCTCTCTTGAACCACGAGGGATCACTCCCAATTTGAGAAAGAATGAGTTCGTAAGGCGGCAAAGTAGGATCCGATTTCTTGAGACGGCGGTTTCGGAGGTATCTGAAATTAAAGGATTGGTTGCTAGTGAACTAGACTATAGTACGTACCTTTCCATGTGGATAGAGATGTATCTCTCAATGAAGACTTGCTCGTAAACAATGGAAAGAAAAATTCCCGCGAATGAGATCATAACGAGTATCAAACGGAACACCATTTTTGGAATGTCCACGAACTGCATCATATTTTCGAAGAATGGAATGTTAGTAAAGATGAAAATCATGTTGATCTGAAAAATGAAAAATGAAACTGTTAGACTTCACTTGATATTATGAACTTACAATTCCAATGACCAAAACAGATGTACAAAGGAGCCAGTTAGTGAAGACTAATCGGCGATACGGATGTCCCTTAGAGTAAACGAATGCGTAGCCCAAGTACATGTTACAGCTGACCATGAAGACAGCAGTTCCGATCATGGTTGTGTGGTCGTCCAGAGATTCCTTATTCGGAACGTACCAAGGTTGAGCTCGAATGAGAAGGAATCCAGCCACCTGAAAGACTGATAAAACTACAGATCCGCAATGAATATGGTACCTGAGTGATGATGTTGATGATTAGTTGCCCGAACACGCCGAAGTAGAAAGCACTGTTGGCAAGACGGTCTGGAGGGGGTTTTGCACTGAGCTTAGTTGCTGCAGCGGTGTATCCGAGAGTTAGCGCCACCAGAGTGATCAAGACGAAATCAATGTACAAGAACTGACCATCGGAAATGTTAGTACCCTCCCAGTACAACAGCATAACCGAGAGGAACTCGTTCAGAGAGTATGCTGCCATGTATTTTGAAACGGAGTATGACGTCACAAGGGCACAACGACCTTCCTTGATTACTTCAGGAACACATGTGATGTTTGGAGTAGCGGACGTGAACGGAGCGGCGATGGAAGCCTCTGCTTCTGAGAGAGAAATACCAGAATGAGCGGCTTTTAGGGCAGCACAATCATTTGCTCCGTCTCCGCACATGGATACTTTTGCCCCAATCTGCAACGCATTTTTTAATTTCAAATCAGCTAACGTTATAAGAAATAACAAACCGCTTGGAGGGCATAAATGATTTGGGCCTTCTGATCTGGGGCCATTCTAGCGTACACATCACAAACGGCGGTCAATCTCTCCACAAGCTCGGGGTATTCGTGTGCAATGACCGCTTGAGTCGGTCCAGCAATAGCAAATTGGTACTGGGATTTGTTGAAAGCAAAGTTATTGTCAAAAGCTCGTATTTCCGAATCGGTATCGATGTTGGTCTCGGAGCTAGATACGCTCTCTTTGATGTACAGTTTGGTTCTTCCGAGAAAATCTTTCTCGTCCTTCGAGTGAGTGATCAGGTACGCTTTTTTAGTGGGACGGATGATACCGCACTCTCTGGCCACACTCATTGCTGTCAGCAGATTGTCTCCGGTGATCATGACGCATCTGATGTTGGCCACGGAGAGCTCATTAATGACACCCAATGTTGCGTCCTTCAAACGGTTCTCCATGACAAACAGTCCAAGGAATTCCAGATCTGATTCCATCTGAACACAGTTGACTATCATCAATATTATCTGCGAGTCTATGTTCAACTTACCACGTCTCGTGGCGTTTTCAATGCTTTAGCAAAGTTCATGTGAACCTTCTTGGATGCGACAGCAATCAGACGGAATCCTTGCTGGGCATAATGATCAACCACATCCTGAACATAAAGATGAGGGCGACAAGAATATGACGCAGTACCATGTAATTCTCTGGCAACGAATCATGAACACACAGAGAGGCAATCATTTCAGGAGATCCCTTTGTAAAAACCACCATCTCGTGGGCGCTGTGTTCGGAAGGAGTCGAGATGATCACTGACATTCTTTGGAGAGCCGAGCTGAACCTAAGCTTTCAGAAAGAGTTCAGTTTTCTTAAAAACTACTTGAATGGATGTTGTTTTATAACCGAATACTCGTGATTTTCTATGTGGAATTGTGACTGCTCGGGCGGCGGACGGAGGACTGTCGGTTGGACGTTGTCAAAATCCAGAGTTTCTTCGTCAGAGTTCACCGGCTCCTCGACAGACCATCCGCTCTTTTCGACCAGAATGACTTCAAGAGGATCGCCATGCAAAGAACCATCAATTCTGGTCAGCGAGTGGCAACTGGCAGCGGCAACGACAATGTCCAAGTTGGCATCTTCTGTCGACAACTTCTCCGGGTCGAGTGTTTCGAATTCATCGGTGAACTCCGGTTTTCCTTCGGAATTCTTTCTGACGGCTTTCAAGCAACTGAAGTCAAGTCCGTCCTCAGTCAGTGTTCCAGTTTTGTCAAAGCACGCCTGCAATAATATTCACTTTAACAGAAACATTCAAAATATCTGCCGCCTACCACATTAATCTGTCCGCAAACGTTGATAGTCGATGGAGAGATGCAGAAGATCTTTTTCTTTTTGAGTCTTTTGTCTGCATTCAGAATACCAATAGACATTGCAGCTGGCAGAGCTGGTGGTACCACAATTGTGATAATATCGAGTGATCGGACTATAATATGTTTGAGAGACTCGTTTCGGTAGACCATCATTGCAATCGTGTAGCCAAAACCAAGGAGAGCGATCGAACTGAGAACAACAATGAATTGGATGATATCTTTAAGTTCTTGCGGATCCGCAGGCTTTGGATACATGATTGAGCGCACGAGTTGTCCCTTCAGAGTAGAAAAGCCAGTTCGGAGTACTCGAGCCTAAAAGTAACTATGAAAGATGATGATGATGATGATGATATAACACTAACCATGACTTTCTGTCCTTTGTAGTTTCGAGTCTGGAGAATTGTGGTTCCGGAGAATAATGTGTGTCTGTTGTGTCTTTCTGGGGAAAGTCGAACTTCGAATCCGCAAGCGTCGGCCTCTTTGAGAGATGCCTTCGTCACAGGAACACTCTCTCCTGTCAACATTGCTTCGTTAACAATCACAGTTCCGTTCATCAGCAGACAATCGCAGGGTAGAACAAAATTATGGGATGGAAGGATAATGATATCTCCGGGTACAATCTGAATGATTCTGTCTACACGGAAAAAGTTCTGAAATGAGCAGAAAACCTGTGAAGCGTCAATGTCAATATCTTCTCCTCCTCGGCGCAAAGTGACCATTGGACTGTCACCTACCAAAGTTCGTATGCGTTTCTCTTGTTTTCTCATAGCATACACAGAATAACCAGCACTGCCAACTGTGATGATTATAATAACAGTCGCGTAATACGCATACTGGTCGATGTACCAAAGAGTGACTCTGAAAACACAATGTATTCTTTTTGATCTCGAATCGGTCTATTTTGACTAACGAGAACGCCTGGAACAGATAAAACGGTCCTAAAACCTCTTTGAAGAGGATAATGAGGAGGGGAGTGAGACGGACGGTCAGCGAGTTCGAGCTGTAAATCTCGCGTCGGGAATCAATTTCTTCTTGTTCTAGTCCTTGCGTTTCATTTGCACTGTTCTTGAACAGAATGAAAGGTGCCTGAAATTAAGAAGTTATTTCAGAGGAGTAAAGCCACCAACTGACCGAGCTGTCGAGATCCGCGGGATTCAGCCACTGTTGTTCTTTTTCATACCATATATATTTAATTTTTCTAAAGAAAAAGAAACGCATCGAATGAACCTTCTCCATACGTCCACTACGCTGAAATGGGCAACTGTGCAAATATTCCATCACTTTCCAATGCTTACCGATGGACGAATGAAGCCTTTGGCACACTGTTTGCTGGCGATTTCTTTGATTGTCTTGGTCCCATGACTGTCTTCGATCACAACGAACTCGGCGTCCTCATGACTAGTCTCCTCAAATCTGACGGTCACCAACAAGCTCTTGATCCAGTAGGCAAATAGGCGATAGAATCCAAGCGTCGCGAAGGTGAGCATCCAGAAAATTATCTGAAATTTGGGAACTTCTAGTTGATAACTATTCTGTTTTTGATCAAACCGTTCTTTTTGGTGTACATTTGTACGCGAACATCCGGCAAGCCTCCTCGCCGACGGTCAGTTCTGTCTCATTGAAAGCGGCTTTCGGAGGGGGCTCTTCCTTCTCTTGACCCATATCGACAGTATCCCCGGTTGTTGAGTACACTGCAAAGAAACAATACATACTTGAAAAGTTCTTTGCAGAAAAAAGATTATTTTGTGCAAAATCAAAGTCTTTGCAGTAAAATTTCAGCTCACCTCGTTTCTTGTGAGACGTGTCAAGGAGTGGTGCCGTCTCGTCCTGCTGTAAAACAATATACAGATTGACTGAATGAAAATAAAACGAAAGCCGTTCTGCACACACACACTTTTGTTTTCAATCGAATGTTTTGTCTGTCTGTTACTGTGCCACTCACCATTTTTGTTTGATGAAATTAGTTTTTGATTAATTTATGGACTGGCACGATTTTGCATGAGCCAGTAGTATAATTGAACGTTTTAGGCGTTAGACATGCACACAAAAGTGTAACAATGATGATAGTAATGTTTCTGTGGCAGCATTGATTAGCAGCTCAAACAGAGAGAGAGAGGCCAAATTGATAAGAAACTAAAGAGAAGTAAGTTAGCGTGCTAATTTTGACCAGTTCTCCGGTCAACCAATTACGTACTCGAAATCTTACTGTTTTTCAAATGACCACTATAGAATAAGTACACCCAGAGAGACATTTACGGATCAGAAATATTCAGGACACTAAGAACATAAGAAAAATGAAACAGATCCGCTCACAAAATGGGTTTTTAATTCAGTTTTGATCCCACCCCATTCATTTTGATGTTGATCTGACTAAAACGTTTACACTTTCTCACATCATCTTTGTGTGCATTGGCTTTTCGTCTAGGAAACATTTGTTAGAAGGGTTTGGTTTACTAACCTATGGACTAAATGGCACAAATTTTGATGATGACCTGATTGCTTCAAGAAGTATTTCACTGATAGAGCCGAACTTTAAGCCAAATATACGAAAACGCTTCAGAAATGGGCTTGGAAATGTTAAACGTTCTGGTCCAAATACAGGGTCATTTGCAAAGATTGACGGCACAGCAATACAGATTTTCTTCAAGAAAACTGATCATCTAGAGAGTAGATCAATAAAAAACAGCAAAGAGATGTCAACGTGGTCATCTCAACATCTGGAAATATCTACCTTCTTACAGAAAAACTGACCGAAAACTCTTGCTCCATAAAGAAAAGAATAGATTAATGTGAGCTTTTTGCATGAGACAATAAATATAACAAATTTCAAGCACAGAGAACTGTCGTACTTTCGGTTCCAGTCTACATTCTACTCTGTACTTTCTGATCTCGTCGCATTGACCTTCATCGAGAGCCATAAAATGCAAAAAGCAATTTATGCGTACAAAATGGGCGAAGATAACGAAACATTCCTTACCTCTGAAATTTGGTCGTTTGCAAGCAATGGAAGATGTTTTCATTCACCAATTTGGTCCAAAAAGTTTGTGATTATTATCTGAAAACTAGTCAATATGAGAGAAGAAAACGGTGTTTTGAGTGAGGCAGGTACAAAAAATGAAAAGAGCGCCTTAACGGTAAACGGACAGAAATAGATGAAAACTATCATTTGAGTTGGCGGAGTCCCGGAGCCAGATGAAAAGATGATAATTCTAGCGGCGGATTAGCAGCGGACTGTGCCGTGTGATCAACGACATGACAGACTACCCAGAGAGGCGAAACACAAAAAAAGTTGGTCGTGAATATTGAATATTGGCCGCGGTAGTGTCCAACATGTTGCGAAAAGGACGACAGGACGAAAAAGAAAAATGTACTCTCCAGCAAAAATTTATCAAAAAAGGATGCAGAGGGAAAATGATAAAAAGTGGAATGATTCAGACCTCTCGTTTTGCCGCAAAACGTCTTTGCTGGCCGCTCGAATTCCGTTTTACCGAGCCCTCAAATTGTGATTTAGTAACGATGGATTGGCGTTGATTTGCAAATTAAAACAGTGGGAACAGAGGGAGAAATATAAAAAAGTTGTTTTGAATTGAAATTAAACAGAACATCCAATGAAAAATGGAATCGATATCCTGCAATCGGCAGCTGTTGAGAGAAGAACCCATAGATCACTTACAACTTTCTCCGAACCTTTCTCTTTGAAGGTTATGATCATAAGTGAACAAGACACGCGCGCAGTAACACGATGTTTGATGGAGAAGATGAAAGTGAAGCAATCATAGAAGGAAGTCGGTTCAAAATACACAAAAAACAGAGAACGTATACGTATACTATATAGTTATTAGTATTAGAGAGTCTCCATTTTTCGGCACGACGCACGTATGTTCGAGTAAAACCGACCGGTGCATGAGAAGAGAACAATATGTTGTTGCCACAGACAAGAGAGGTGTAAGGGATAGTGAACGGGACAGATTGGAACCACTGATGTTAAAATATACTTTGTTTCTTTTTTTTTGCTGCAAATTGAGAATTTTGATAACGAGTCCGTCTGATAGCGGTAATCTTGGCAACACGCTACAAACGAGTGCCACGTGAGTGCAAGAATCAAATTAAATCAGTGAAAAGGGGATAAACAAAACAAACTATATTGGAGTTAAAGATGCGAATAATTCAAAAACAACTCAAGATTTCGTGTTTTGTGGTTAGCTGATATTGGTCTTTTTGGCAACTGTAAGGTTTCAGGTTTAAACAAGAAAAAAGTTGAGAGTAAGCGGGTGGTCACTTGACAAGTTGTGTTGTGTGTTATGATGAATCTTCAAAGAAACGATAATAGAGATAGAAGGCGGAAGTGATCTGAACTAATTATTATACTTCCTCATGTGAATCTAGTCATTCAAAGCATGATTCTAGTAGGAACTACATTCAAGGATTCGACTGGTTTCCGAGGCTCTCAAGAAAGACACATGTATTTGCAAATACGTAGCTGGTCCAGAATCGGTCAGCTGCGCTTCGATTCTTCCGACTAATAAGCGGGTGCTTGGCACCTGGTTAACTAGTGAGTAGAAGATGGAAAGGGGAAAAGAGAAAATCACGAATCCAATTACGCAGAAAGCCGTACAAAGATCTCCTCGATCGTAAACATTCACACCCAGTTTGTTCTGAAAGAAAAATTCAAAGATTCATGGGTTGCATCAAAAAACAAACACAGGAAGCAGGTGGGTATTGTTCTGAACTTGCAGAACGCTCGAGAAAAATGAACGCCAGGGACGGCAACACCGTATTAAAACAATAAGCTTGATGAGCAAGCCATTTTTGTCCACTCCTTCATGTTTGCTATAAATTATTTTCCAATTTTCTGATGGTTGTGAGTCATCCAGAAGAGCAAAAAACTATTCAATAATTGTCTCTGTTAATCATCGTAATTTTAGTTTTAATGTGACGCCCTTTAGATCTTTTCAATAGCGTTTTCGATTTGATAATTCGGGACCACAATGTGTAGGATAGTCACGCAACTTTCAACAATTTTTGTGAATAACTGAACTAAAATTGAAATAATAAAGATTTTTGGCAAGTTCTAGTCCCTAACATTCCACCTATGTACAATTAAACTTTAGAAATAAGCAGGTATAGTTCCATCGAAATGGAATAACCTTTTCTGGCTTTCATTGCGTTTTTATTTGTTGTCTCATTTGTATTATTCCCAAGAATTCATGTGACTTCTCAATTTGAAATCTGTGGTTTGTGCTTGGAAGGTATTTTGATCAGAGCTGAGCACATGACAGAAAGCTCATAACCCGTTGTTAATCTGCGATCTTTTCTTTCAAAGGAGCTTTTCGAAAAATGTACTCTGTCACGTGCAATACTCCCGAGTAGAGCCAGACATCAAGAACAAAGAATACCGTAGTCTTCATTCAACCTCTTTTCTGAATAGTTACTGCATAATAAATTGTGAGTCATTTTGGATGATATTAAAAAGAGATGTGTCTAGACGTATTCAATTTTATGTGCTCTTTTCTTGTCTGAAGTTACAAAGGATGTCTGTGGTCTTTGCTAAAATTCAAATTGAAGTGGATTCATCTTACCCCAGAATCTCTCTATTGTGGAATTAGTTCGGGTAAGAACCATGTGTTCTATTGCGATATAACAATTCTTTTGTTCGTTTCGCCGTAACGAAGGCAATTAGGAAATTACCTTTTCTTTTCTATTTACATATTCGCAGTCTTTCTATGGCATAATCCCTCTCTTACTTTATGTCTCGCACTCTGCTGAGCTGAGATACGAGGAAATCCTTTTTGCGCGCAACATGTAGCCGAAGTCAAACCCCAAAGTTCCTCTAATTAGACTGATACGTACCACACACGTCTTTGTTTCCCTTCAGCACCTTTCTCGATCATAAGTTGTATTTAGAATTAGTCAGAACGGAGGCGCCGCAAACGTTCCCTCTTTGTCGGCAACAATTCGTTTGCAAGAGGTGCTTGTGGCCTTCTGGGCATGACAGGACTCCCTCAAAAAAGTAGAAACTTTCTGCTTCTTCTTCTTCTTCTGCGTGCTTCTGGTCGACTCTTTTTCATCTTCATTCATGCGTGACGGCAAGACAAAATCTCTTGTGGCATGATGCTCATTAAGACGACTCACCTCACCGCTCACATACTTAATCCAGATCAAATATCCTTTTTGGAAGGTGGCTTCCATGTGCGTTTCTTCAGAATATCGACAGTTGAATGTATAGACCTAAACAGAAAAATGAACTTTATTTATATACTGTTTTTCTGGAAGGCTCACCACACTCCGCGCATCTCCTCTTTTGCCACACTATTATCTCTTTCCCACCTCTCCCTTTCACTTTGAATGTAAACAACAATCACGAGTCCGCAAAGGACGCGCAAGGGTTTTGTTTCTAGGGCAACCGCTTCAAGTTTTCATAGAGAATGCGATAAACTGACATCGCTGCTCAATTGTGCTCTTTTTCTCGAATCGAACCCGTATTGTTGCTGTAAAATGATTGTTTTTTTTTCAGTTAGCCAACGTTCAAAGACGCGCGTGATTCTCCAAATATGTTGGCTCACGCTGCTAAAGTCAGAGAGTGCGGAAGATTTCAAACTCGTCCACAACGAGAAAGTATGTCTATGGAATTCAAATTTTGTCTCCTCTTTTTTGTCGGAGAGCTTGAATAGTAGACATTTGGCCCAAATAACATCCCCCAAACTGTTTACAAAATGGGAAAGAATGCATAACAACCGGAACCACCTGAAACAATTTTTGCAGAGACTGTCTTTTCTGAAAATGATACGGTTAATGAGCTTATGTGGAACGTAAAGTCGGAAATGGAAAGTAAGAAAGAGCGCCGGTCTCTCAGTAGGCAGTGGTTCACTTTCAGAGGTTTTCGATTCCGTCCGGAACGAGGCATGTCTGTTGTCGATGGGAAACCGAAAAAGAATTTTCATGGTTCGATGTTTTTATGAAGTTGAAGATGGGCTGACCGAGGTGAGGTTGACTTTTAACGCAAAAATATGTGACATTCATTGAATACAGATCGTTGAGTTAATCGCGACGATCAGAATGATGGGTGTGTGGAACAAAGAACGCAAGGCCTGCATAGAAGAAATCGATAAACCCGGACCGAAGAAATTTGTGATTCAATGTCTGAAACACATCTTTAAGATTGGCTGCAGTAGCGACGAATCGACAAGAATGACGGCGTGGCTGAGTAGGTTAAAACATGAACTTCTTCAAAATTATCAAAATTAACAGATTGGTTAAAGCAGGACAATAATAACAATCAAAGACAATCGTTACTGGGACTAGCAAGCACGACTATCAACACCTTTTTCTGTCCACATTGGACTGATTTAAATATTGTGAGTCGACAATTTCACGCGTACTATGCGACCTGTAAAGTCATCTTTCAGATGAATTTCTGCAAAGTGCCTGAATACGAGTTTTGGCGAATTCCACGTGGTCTTGATGGCAGTCGCACAAATTTGGCCAAAAATCTTCCAGTTCTTACGGGAAACAAGTCCACCATAGAGCACATTCTGAGAGAATACTTTGATATGGCTTTCGCCGAAGGATGCAAAGATATTCGGCGTGATCTTGCAACGCCCGAGCAAGCACAAAAGAAGTATCTCCACTACATTGATGCAGTGGACGAAGGGTTCCAATACCTGACCGGGATGTGAGTCTTTGGCACTTTTGTGATGCGCTCTGAATTCAATTTCATTATTACTGGTTTCAGGGATTACAAAACCGCCTTCAGAAAGATGCCTGTCATTCTCAAGGATTCACAGTCGCTCTACTACTGTTTCCTACTGGAAACATACCTCCAGTACGCACTCCTCGGCATGTGCAGAATTTCAGATGACAATGGAACAAAGTTGATTGCTTGGAACTGCTACCTAGAAGACAGATATACCGGATGCAATCGAGAAGACCTTTTTGGATTGGGCTTCGATCTCGCTGGCAATGAATTCTACATGAAAAGTTTTGATCTCTATGCAAAAGTGGCTCAGAGACACCCCCATCATCAGGAAATGATGACGTTGGCCACAGTCGTCGATTGCATTCTTTCGGATGAACAATTGTGTGAGAGGTTGATCGAAAAGTACGAAGAATTCAACATAACGCCCAAAATCTTCATTTCCTTGACGTTTGCTGGTCATTATGAAAAGATCATCCAGTTCTTTGGGAAGTTCAAAGCTAATGAGCAATCTCACGAAAACTGGTTCACTGCAAACGTCTGCTATTTATTGGTTTGCGCTCAAAAGAAGAACACGATAGAAGCAGTGACCACCTGGGCCAAAATCATGAAAATGTGCTCGAAGTGGGGATATCTCGGTGTTCTTCGTTTCTCCAGAAACTCCTTTCGTCTCCCGTCGTTCGTAAATGTCGAGTACGCCGGACACATGGCAACCCGCATACTGCGAAACTGTCTCTGGATCGCCATCATGAAGGGAGAAGGAGAAGAATGGTATCAGTTCGGAGAGCTCACCCTCACCCTTTGCGAATCTCTCGAGGATACGTTTCTCAACCGAAACATGATTCGCTGTTTCCTTGTCAAAATGAGTGTGAGTGTGTTCGAATACTAATTCTAAACATTCCCACGCCTATATTTTCAGTTTCATGCAACTGTGCCTTGCACATATTTCTTGTGTTTTCGACGTCACAGCACTTTTGACACAGCAATCAAAATATTCTATCTAACTAATCCAAAAATGGCTACAAGATTAGAGTAAGATCTGCAACTTCAATTTGAATTATTAAAAACGAGTAATTTCAGCAAAGATAGTCTCAGGCGTGGTTATCCAAAAATTTGGCCCCGGCCAGGTTTTCTCAAACCTTGGGAGCTTTTCCAAAAAAGATCCTTGATGTTCAAAGTCGTGTTTGACGCTGTACCGTCAGACGTATTTGCAAAGGAATCAGAATGCGGTGGTTTGATCGATTCATGTCAGATTCCGCAGTTTAAGTTCACCGACGTCGACTTTGTGGATCTGAACGAAGACGAACTGCGAATGGACGAGAGACAAATCTATGCCATCCCTCCGGAACTCGTGGAACCTAATTCGTTTGTAGACAGAGAAACTCTGATAGATAAGCTGATAAGTTACAACAAACATTTCAACTCTCGCCTCAGCCACCAGCTCGACTGGAATATTGAAATAGCAGAAACGTCTGATGATGAGGATGAGGAAGACGAGACGATGGTTCCGAAGGAAAGAAATGCAAAAGAAAAGAATATGGATGATTGAATCAATATACAAATAAATTGACTAGTCATCGATTGTATTATTTGCTATCACACGTTATCTAAACTTTATCTACTCAATTTCCACTTTTTCTATTTTAAATTACTCCTGTACATCGCTTCCCTCATTTCCATCCTTATTTTCAGCTATTTTCTAGGATTCATGTTCCTAAATTGCCACTCATCATCATCTTTATATCAATTATTTTCTTATTTCCAAGTATTTTTCACTAAAAGAAGTCTTTCCTGTAAAAATAGCAGAAACAATAATAGAATTGAAAAGTTGTCAGAAGATGCAGTGTCTAACGTGTTCTCTCACTTTTCGATCATCCCGTCGATGAAGGCTTGCATTGTCGCAACCGTGTCGTGGAGATTTTGTAATTTTTGGTTTACTTTCTGCAATCAGATGACGTAATAGAGTTTCCGGCTTCAAAAACCTACCATCATAGCAACGGGGTCCCTAGCATAGGGGAAGTCTTCGAACGTCAGTTTGGTGACATGATCGTGGCATTCCTGGAGCATGTCGGAAAGTTGCACCCAGTCGTGGAGAATCGGATTTTTCAGCTAATACAGAGTGATGAAACGTGGAAATATTGCGATAAAACGTACCGAAACTTCAATAAAACTGGCCATCTTATGGAACTCGTTAAGCCTCTTCACAAATGTATTGTTTTCTATCTGAAAAACCGACAATTGTTGATACTTTTCTATTTATGGAACTCACAACCAGTTGAAGTCTTTCCGAATGTTTAGATGAAAGTTCCGACAGATGTCCGAGAGACACCGAATGATTGAGCGACATTTCAGAAATATGAAAGGTTCGACACGAAAGACGAAATATTTTATGTGTTTTCGGTAGACTGTTTGGTTATAAGAACGCGAGGAAACTAAATAATGCGATCCGATTCGAGGGAGGGGAAACTGTTCACCGGATATGATTCAACAATTTCATAACAATCACCAGATGTCTATTCTCGTACGTTAGCTCGAAAGCACGAAAAACCAAAGACCGATACGCCGTTTCGAAGGAGAATCGGGAAACTTTCTTGGCGGATACGGTTCTTTTCAAAATAGGATTATTCCTTGTTATTTTGGCGGAAAGACTCAGGATATTACTGTTCCCATGTTTTTTTCTCGGCGAGCGGACAAATTACCGACTAATATCGTAGCGGCAGCACGGAATTGTACACTGTACGACGGCACAACAAGACACTTTTGTTGACCACAGTCAAAGGCCTTTTTCAGAGTGAATCATAATGTCCCTCCCTGCGGACGCCCATATGCCCACATAACATCGCTCGTAGCATAGAGCAATATGCCGTCTTGTCAGCGCTCTCACATCGGTGAGTTTCCCCCCGAATTTCCTTCAAAATTGATCGTTTTCCAGAAATATGTGACTCGGCGATGCGGCAGGAGCGTGTCCGTCCCTGTCAAATCGTCATTGACAACGAGAGACGGAGAAGCGGCTGTTTTCACGGCCATGTCGAGGTATAAAACCATACTTTATGGAAAAATGTCAATTATTCAATTCAGGTCGTTCGTCCGTTCTGCTGTTTTGCGGATTGTCATGTGAGTTGAAGAGAAAATGAGAAAAAAACAAGGATATTGCAGCAAATTCTGGTGATTATGGCCTGTTCGGCTCTGCTCTATTCCATCGTCGCACTCGTCCTGACCTGTATAAACGCACCAAACCCATTCTTCATATCAATTCTCGGCTACTCGGTTTGTTTCTAATATGAATAACAAAACTAAATCCCAATCATCTGAAGAAAGTTTACTGTGATTTGCGTAAAATCATAGGAAACTTCCGTTATCAACACGAGCGCTTTCGAAATCACGTGTTTCTGGTCTAAGAAACATTTATTTTCAGATCATCGCGATGATAATCATCCTTTGGGCGACAATATCCGGAAAAAACGTGCTGATGAAACTTTCCTTTGTACTGACTGCAATTCTAGCCGTTTTGGTTTGTGCAGGAGCCGTTTATTGCGTCATTTACCTTGTCAATAGTTAGTTCCACTCAATCAACACTGTTTTCAGATCAATCAATATTTTTTTGCAGACTACAACTCCAGCTTTGAGTGGAAATGGAAAGTTTACATCATCAGCATGCTTGTCGCGCAAGTCCTCATGATCTTTTGTACGTTTTCACCGACTTTCGGTCAAAAACCGGTTCACGTCGCATTCTTCTTTTTCAGACGTCGTTGTTCTTCTCTGCCTCATCGCTGAAATCATGGCCTACAACCGTCGTCTTCGAGAAGAGGAACATCACACGCAATCTGTACCTGTATGGAGACGATATTGATTACACTCTTTTCTTTTTTCGGCAGATTTTCTTTCTTTTGTTATAGCCTTATCTCTTTTCACTTTCGTCGTGCGATTCTGAGTGTGATGTAACCGAAAAATTAACCGTTTGAAAGTTTGCGCTGGTTGAGCGGTTGATTGCAAGTTATCAGTAGGCTGACGCCACTTCACAGTTCGACGATACGCGACGTCGAGTTTGCTGGTTGATAAGACGACGGTCCCGTTGGCTACAATTGAGCTGATAAGCGGTAATTTTGCATTCCCTCCATCAGTCCTTTGTTTCGCTTTTTGAACAACCAAAATGTGCGTTTTCTTCCATATTTTGTCTTCAAAAATGCTATCAACGACCTAAAATTTTAATTTTTCATTAGCTCTTTGTGAATATCCTGAAAAAAGAGCAGTGAAAATGTAGCGTACCCTTTCTTTCAATATTTCCATGTAAAAGTGTCGTGAACTGGTCATGGCTTCTGCAAATTCCGCAAACACCGCGACGTCAAACCGCGTACATTGAGAGAAACAAAGTTCCCAAAATTTTTCGGCGTCTAGAACATTCGATGTTCTTCGTGGCGAGAACCGCCTCACAGTTTGGCGCTGACAAATCGGTTTTTGGTCGTTTTCGCCTATCACTTTCCGTCGAATTTTTTCCAATACCAAGCGCTTTTCACGTCTAGTCAGAGATTTTAGGAGAAAAATATTGCGTAACTGAGAAAATGTGTTTCTTGGTAAACGATTTTTGCTTCTTTTTCTCCATCTTTCTTCCAATTTTAGGCGTTTTTTTTTCTCCAAGCGCTGAGAGGAAAAGCAACCTGATTTTTTTTCCTTTTTTCTCAGACTCTCTCCGTCTAGCGTGAAAAGCCGGCGGACTGCTGCGCGACCGCGACGCAATCGAGGGCAAACGTGCAACGTATGTGTATGCCTTCTCCCTACCAACGTGCCGTGTTGAACGCACAATTACACTAATGCATGTCGATCCCTCCTGCCACCGCTGCAGTTACCGATTTCCCTTGCAACGCCCGTCCCGTTATCGCACCTCCCTTTCGCATAAACATTCGTCTCGATTTCAGGGTAATGGCAGATCGACAACCACCAACAATGTCGCAGTTTGCGGACGACGAAAATTTCGCCTACTACTGGAGTTGGCTCCATCGACAGCACCCAGATGGCGAACTCTACCGTGTCATCACTACCACTCCTGGTCTTCCGGATCAAACGTGGATGGTTGAAGACGTGGAAAGTATGAACTGAAATTGGCAACGATTAGTCCAATGACGACCATTTTGCAGAGGCAGCCAGACAGTTGCTCCGGTCAAGAGTCGATCATCTCAAGGAAATTGTTGAAGGCTATGAAATGACAGATCGCGGCATGAACAGGGAAACTGCCGTGCAAGTGTTCAACGAATTCACAGCCGGATGCAGGACTCTTGAAGACTTTGAAACCAGGAACTTCTCCAAAAATAACAGGTACGGAATCATTAATAACATCTTGGTGAATGAGCGGCGCTTTCAGGGCACAGACGAGAGAACAGATTTCACGCTACATCACCCCGAGTCCGATGCTCTCGAAAGCTTCGTTGGCCGAACTGTGGCAGAAAGGAATCCTTCCAGCGACACCGACCATCTACTCGGCGCAATCGGAAGAGTTCTTCTCGCAGGAGGCTAGTAACATGTACTACACAATGATTTTTGGGGACTCGCGCGTTTTCCACAAGATTATCAAGGAAAACAGCCGGTTGGTCACAATTTCAGCTAAAATGATTATTGTTTCTCATTTTCAGTAACCCCAACATGCCGCCGCCTCGTGTGCATCCAATGCCCTACAATCCGGAGTTCCACCAATCGCGCAACTTTGCTCAGTTCGCACCGCCGTACCAGTGGAGACCCCAGTTCGCTTCTCCGCAGACAATGCAGCAGCAACACGTGCCACCAATGCAGCAGCAATATCAGATGCCGCCACGTGGAGTGCAGCAAATGCAGATGCCGCCGATGAACTTTCCTCATCCGCCGCCAGGATTCCAGCAAATGCAACCAGGATTCATGCCGATGCAACCGTACGTCCCGATGGGTGTCCCGATGGCTGCAATGGGTGGAATGGCGATGCAGATGCAGGGACAGGCGACACCTCCACAGGATTCTCAGTTCAACGGCCAGAGCTACCAGCCGCCGATGAACGGAAACGGAAACGCCAGTGGAGGCAACAACAACAACAACCGTGGACCACAACGTGGCCAGAGCAACAACCGCAAAGGCGGAAGAGGAGGACGAGTCGAACAGCAGGCCAGAAACACACAGGGTTACGAGAATATGACAAACTCGTCGTCGTCGTCTTCATCTGCCGGAAATAATGCTCGTTCTTCGGCCAGTGAAGAGGAGGTGCCACCTCTCGAGCTTCCACAGAACGTTGAGGAGGTCTATCCAGCTCTCAATGGACAAGAATCGACTGTGGAAGTGGAAGTGGAAATTGCTGCTCCGTCCGCGGCTCCGATCGCACCTACTGAGATTGTTGTACCAGCTGTGAGAAAGTTCAGCGACGTCGTGAGCAGTAGTGTGACAGTCACTTCAACATCATCTGAGGATAGCGCTCCACCGCCACCGTCGCCAACTTCGCCAATCGCTGAGATGCCAGCGCCTGTTGCTCCGGTCATTGAGGAACCAGCTGCAGCTACCACGGAACTTGTTGTTGATACTGCTGAACAGGATATTCCGATTGTTCCACCAGTCTCTCAGAGAACGGTGGCGGAAGTTCTTCAGCAGAGTCTGGCTACCGTACCCGCTCTATCACCGGCACCGACTGTAGCTGCTCCAGTTCTGATGAACGGAACTGCTTCGAAGCAGGCGTCGCCTGCAGTGAAGGCATACGCGGCTGTGGTGTCGCCGGCCAACGGAGCACGTGCGTCGCAGCCAATCGGGGGACCGAGAGAGAAAACAGTGAGAAAGCAGCCATCCGTGTCCTACGCTCAGATGTTGTATACGACGCCGAGGACTGCATCGTCTACTGCTTCTACTGCTTCTTCGTCTGGATCCTCTTCTCAGCCAACAACTTCCTCTGGATCATCGAGTGCCCCAAGAGCACCTACGGACTGGCAGACTGTTAGACCAAAGAAAGCGGCAGAGCCAATTGTTGTCGCTCCAGTTGTTCACGTGCCGGAAGCCGTTCGCCCTGCCAATGTAAAAGCTCCAAAGCCTGCAGAGCCCGTTGTATCTGTGTCGGACGATGACGACGAGGATGTGCATTCGGACGATGAAGACGCTGAGAAGAAGAGACAGCGCCGCCGCAATAAGCGTCAGAAACAGAAAGAGGCGAGTCGCCTGCAGAAGCTCAACGAGAAGGAGATTGCTAGACAGGAGTCACTGGCCAGAGTTGATGCGATGAATGGAGACGGTAAGAACTGCAAACAACCGCGTAGCTGAACGTCAACACTCATTTTTTTAGCTCCGCGCCCGCCTACTCCACCGCCAGCTTTCGACAGAAATAATTTGGCAGCAAGACGCCGAAAGCGTCTTGAACTCCAGAGAAAGAACGAACAGTCGGAGCCGGCCCCCGCGCCCGCTCCCGTTGCGCCAACTCCACCAGTTCTTTCTACCCCACCTATCATGCCAGTACCAATTATTGCTGCCGGAAGTCCAATGAGTGCCTCGATTGCTGCTGGACAGACTGCTTTGTACGGAATCCACGGCGGTGGTCAGTTCCGGCATAGATCGAGTCCTTTTGCAATCATTGGTCCGAACGGATCGGCTACAATCCCTCTCTATCTTCCACCGCAAGACCATGAAATCGAAGAGTCTCCAAAAGTGCAGGAAATTCCTAAGAAGCCGGAACCCTTTGTTCATCTGACCCGCAGCAGTAGAGATCCAAGATTCAAGGAAACGGAGATTGATGAGAATGCCCGAATGATCGAGCGCCTTCTGATGTTTGACTCTTTACAGAAAATTTCAGTTGTACGTTTCTTGAGCCAGAATGCAACATTGATAATAATTCTTTGCAGCTCGAAATGCCCGAAAGCGATAGACTGCTGATTGCCAAGGGGCTAGAAGACATCAAAAAGATGTACGTGCGTGTCGAGAAAGCTGGCAAGCTGATTTGTTTCAAAGCTGGATCCTCGAAAGTGGCGCAAAAAGTGGAAGACAGACTGCTCACGCTGACGATCAAGCTTCTCAGCAACCGTGTCGATTTGAGTTACAATGATGACCAGACTGTCCATGACATTTCAGTCAAGATTTCTGAAGCGTCCGGAGACTTCAATTACACAAGTAAGCATGGGTTTCTAGGATGGAAACAGCAAGAGTGCTAGTTTGTCAGATTTATAATAAACTCATCATTGCAGACTTCCTGAGCGCTTTGCTGGAGTTCTCGCAGCAACGCGCGAAGCAACTACCGGAAGGAACAACCCTGCGCAAGAACTACGAGCAAACAGTGGTGCTCACCAAAGTGTTCCTCAAGCGGACGAAGACCATCTACGAGAAGCTTCAGAAGTATCACGACTTGGGCTCTCTAGACCCGGAACAATAATTTCTCTGATTCATTTGTTTATCATCCATTGAATCACATTGATTCACCATCACTAGCTATTTGAACTCGAGTAGTATCTACCTAGTGTCAAGTACTCCCCTAATCTAGGTAGCATCTACCTAACCCCAAAAAAAGTTTAAAATTTCACAAAATCGCCAAAAAAAAATAGAAAATTCGAAAAGCCAAAAACATAACCGTCTCGTTTCCCCCACCTATAGTATTTCATTTCTATCAAATTCTAAGAGTTTCTCCCAACCCAGTATGCATCGATTGAAGCATTGTACCTAACTAAAGGCGAAATGGTCTGTGGCCCAAAATTGACTAGTTCTCAACGAGAGTTTCCCTGATTTCGATTGTGATGTGTCGTTTTTGTGTGTTTAGGCATTCCATAGTAGCTTTTCCTAGTATTTGATGCCAATTCGTGTAGTACAATCCCAGTTTCTTTTCACTCTGCCGCTCAAGTATTTTGTATTGTTCTTAGTGTACCATCTCCATCCCCCGATCCCGTAAACGTTCTTGCTGATGTCTGAAATGATTCTCTCCCATTCTTCCCAGGCAGATGCTGACTTTTCTTGCTCATATTTCCCAGTTATTCATTCCCCTATCCCGCGTTTTCATTCTCATTAATGTTACAATTACTATTACCGCCTTTTTTGCTCTGGTTCTGATTTGCTAATAAAAATATACATGCAAACATGGCTTTCATGGTTCCCGATTTGCTCACTGTTTCTGCTCAGAGTATCGTTAACGTTGGACAGGTGCAAGAGAAAAACTATAGGAACAAACTGCAAGAACTCTTGTTTGCTACTCTGATAAGGACTATCACAATGTTGACGTGTACAACAAAAAAGGCAGAATTGTCGACATTCTTCGTTACGCACCACACATCACACAATGCCAGATAAACCACAACTGCATTGGAAACAACGAGTGTGAGACGGGTGCATGCCAATTTTTAAAAATTGTCGCGTACCCGTGACCGTCAAGGATTTATGCCAATTTTTAAAAATTGTCGCGTACCCGTGACCGTCAAGGATTTATGCCAATTTTCAAAAAATGCCCTGTACCCATGACCGTCAAGGATTTATGCCGATTTTCAAAAAATGCCTTGTACCCTTGACCGTCAAGGGTTCATGCCAATTTTCAAAAAATGCCTTGTACCCATGACCGTCAAGGGTTCATGCCGATTTTCAAAAAATGCCTTGTACCCTTGACCGTCAAGGGTTCATGCCAATTTTCAAAAAATGCCTTGTACCCATGACCGTCAAGGGTTCATGCCAATTTTCAAAAAATGCCTTGTACCCTTGACCGTCAAGGGTTCATGCCAATTTTAAAAAAATTCCTTGTACCCATGACCGTCAAGGGTTCATGCCGATTTTCAAAAAATGCCTTGTACCCTTGACCGTCAAGGGGTCTATGCCAATTTTCAAAAAATGCCCTGTACCCATGACCGTCAAGGGGTCTATGTCAATTTTCAAAAATTGCCACGTACCCGTGACCGTCAAGGGGTCTATGCCAATTTTAAAAAAAGTTTTGGCATAATGCATGCATTGCGTTTTATCTGTGTCATATCACTAGACCATTCGGCCGCGTTTCTTCCAACGTATATATCTGGTGTTGTAGGAACGACCCGTCACATGTCCTCTTGTCAAACAACACATCAGCAACAAACCGCCACTTCGATTGACCCATCAATTTTATTTCCGAACATGCGTCATAGTCGCGAAAGAAAAGCTTGTTTTCTGTGGCCGAATGGTCTAGTGGTATGATTCTCGCTTTGGGTGCGAGAGGTCCCGGGTTCAATCCCCGGTTCGGCCCATTCTTTTTCAGTTTTCTTCAGTTTGTTGAATGAGTTACATGCTTAACACAATTTTCATAGTTCAGGGTTCCCTAATAACAATTTGTATGCATTTGTCAAGGCTTCAAATTGCAATATCCATTTGCACATCTCTCTTCGGACAAACAGTCTCGATCCGTGTTGCATTGAGGGTTCGTAGCCAGAAATATGCGGTTAGCGCAACGATCGTTCCAGCAGACGAGGGGGTTCGCGCAATCTCTGTCGTTGTAACACTGTTTGTTCTGAGCTGCTGCATCCGGTTCCAATTCGACTGCCGTGTGCGTCACGTTGCAGTTTGTGACGAGAATAAGAAAGAAAATGGAATAAGAAATAGCTAGGCTCATCTCACTAGCTGAAACGTTCAAGCAGAAAAAGAATTCAAGAAAAGAAAACGTCCAGGATTTTCAATTTCCATTCTATTTATGAGTAATGCTGTTCTATTCATGCCAATGGGGAATTGATGGAAAACTGTTGCGAACTGGAGAAATTGAACAATCGTGAACACTGGTCAGTATGGCTGCTGTGCAACTCTCCCTTATCCTACAGTTTTGTACATAGGAACAGTGGCCGGGGGCCGTTGCCGATTTGCACGGACTAGATCTCCTTCCTCCTCTTTTTTTGATCGCTCAAGGTCATTACTGCTCCTGCGTTTCTCAAAGTCACATGCATATGGACCACGCTCTCCCGTGTCTTGCGCGTTTGTTCCGTTGCGCATTCACACTACCCTCCACTCGTAAAACATATAAACAACTTGCTGCCGTATCGATTGCTCAGTTATTGGCCGGCACAGTAACACATTCTTGCACGCGCGTGCGCACTCACTTTCGGTTATCCTCCTAAAACAAGCGATTTGCGTTTAACGAGTGGTTTTGTTTCATCAATCACTTTGATTGCTCATATCATTGTTTCTCTTTCTCATTTACACCTGGCTCGCACTTTTTCGTCCGCGCGTATATGTGAAAAACACAAATATTCTGATTTGCTCGAAGAAATCTCTTAAAGGACCAGGGAACCCTCCGAGTTTGTGTGTCTGACTGAATTGCTTCTCATTGCCACATTCACTGTCCGAGCCCCAACGTTCAGAAATACCTGTGAATGCGCTTAGTCAAAGTTGTGGCCGTGGCCCAGAAAATTTCTAGGTTTTGTGATCTTTTCCGGATTTTTTTCTTGCGTTCGGCACAATCTTCATACGTTGCAAAACATTCACACAAATCAGCATCCATACATAGTGCAAGAGCATCAAACTGCTAACAGGCAAGAGTTTTCGCACCGGAGTTTCCTAGGCCACGGCCACAACTTCAACTGCATGCTGTTTCGTTCATTGGCATTTCTGAGAGTCAGCATTTCACCAGTGTATGAGGCAATAAAAGATAATTCAAACAGACACAAAAAAATTTCACAAAAAAATCAAAAAATTTGAGGGTTCCCTGGTCCTTTAAATCGAACAAGATTGGCTTTCTGTTGTCGTTCCTTCTTTATGTTCTCTTCTGGTTTACGGTTACTGCTTCTCCTCGTATTTGTGTGACAAAGTTTGAATTTCAGCCATGCAAGAGTCGAAACCGACGGACGTAAGTCTGAAGTCCGCTCCAAATCACACAGACAACTGCAAAAAGGAGCGCAAACGAAGTCATCAAGGAATCTCTGAGCCGGTTACTCAACAGGCGGAAACGATTCAGGTAATAACTTTTAAAAATACGTGTTTAGCAAAATTGAAGCTCATGTCGATGCAAAAATCAGTAATTTACTGAAACTTAAATTGATTACAGAAAAGCGACAACGGTCTCAAGAATCACCTTCAAATGCCGAGCGAACACCACCAAATTGAAGCCAAGCGTACCAAAGGTAAGCTCAAAAAACGCAACGGTTAGTGTTCGCTTCCCCGTTGAGCTCAAATAATCAGTCTATATAATTTCAGATGGAAATGACAGTGATTCGGAAGATGACAAGGAGGGCACATCAACCACTGCTCGCAAACGCCCCAAGAATAGCAGCAGGGAATCGGTTTCCATCTTCCGCCGTCGGAGCACACGACTTTCATTTGGAACAAGGTTCTTGGCCGACCGTCTGGCACCTGTTCTGATGGAGATCCGGGCACTCTGTACCATAGAATGTGTCACGCAGCAGATCAAGGAAGTCGAGAAGCGTTTGCACGAGACAATGTATCATACCTTTGGAGATTTCATGACACACATCTGGAATATATTCGACGAAGCCAAACTGAAAGTGACCACAGAAGCGGAGAATCTCAACATCAAATTGGTAAGGCCTAAACAAAAATAATGATTTCGAACTAATGAATGTTTCAGATGTACGAGAAGTTCATCGAAGTGGTCGACCCAGTCCGAGCTGAAGTTGGGTACTGCTGTTCTCACAACCTAACATACCCCGATCGTCTTCTGTTGTGCGGCTTCCACACAAAAACGGAATATGCGTGCGAGATTGAAATTGGAGACGACTACTACCTGTTCGATAGAACCAGCCAGGTCAGAGGAATGACAGTCACCGAGAAAGTCAAGTACTGTGTGGATCACTTCATGACGTTCAAGAAGAGGGCCAGCGGAGTTGCAACGAGTCTATTCGTCAGGCAAACCAATAGTGCAGTTTCCATCCGAACGCTCTGTTGCAAGTATTGTAAATCTCGTTGGCATCACTCTTGCGCCATGTACGACGGAGAAGTGAATCCCAACGATTTCGTCTGTCAGAAATGCTCTCAAAACGACAACTCATCGGTCAATACAGCTGGAAAATTATTGGCCAAGGACCTGCCACGCAACAAATTGTCGGATTTTCTGGAGGAACGAGTCAAGGCTTTCCTGCAGCAGAACTCAAGTGGGCACTGTGATGAAGTGTTCATAAGGAATGTCTTCTCGATGCAACAGACGCGCGAAGTTCTTCCAAAAATGAAAGAAAGATTTCCGCACTTTCCGAAACAGTTCGAATGCAGACGCAAAACCATATTTGCGTTTCAAGTGATCGATGGAGAAGAAGTTTGTTTCTTTGCTATGGACGTCGAGGAATACGACAACACTTGCCCGGAGCCGAATAAAGGAACCATCAACATCTCGTTCATCGATTCGGTCAAGTTCTTCAGTCCGAAGCAGCTCCGTACGGGGCTGTACACGGAACTAATTCTTGCATACTTTGAATATTGCAAAAACATGGGCTTCTCGAAGGTGCACGTCTTGTCGTCTCCGCCGACAGACGGGTATGACTACTTGTTCCACGCTCGTCCTCCCACTCAAACACTTCCAACGGCTGATATGCTGGACAATTGGTATCGTGAACTGTTCGGAAAAGCGAAGAGCAGAAACATCATTCACGGCTGCAAGTCCTTCCTTGAAATGAACTTCACTTCTCCACAAGAATTCCCATATATCCTCAATGCCTTCTGGCCGAAGAAATTGGAAGCGTGTTGCGTCGCCGACAATTTCCAACTTGCTCTTGATGAGTGCATCGCCGAAGACAAAGACGAGGTGTTTCACATCAGCTTCTACTCACCCGATGACGAGAAAGAAGTGAAGAAGCGTGTGATCAAAGATGAGGATGCGACCTTGCCGTGGAACTTTCTCGGCGATCTGAGACTCTTTCTCATTAAGTGCGAAGGAGACGGCTGGCAGTTTTCGACGCTCGCACTGGCAAAGTACTCGACGATGCGCATTGTCCGCCAGCTGCACGCCTCTTCAAAGGTGAGTTCTGCCCATCTTTCTACCAAGTTTCCACATTATTAATATTTTTTTGTTTCAGAATGAACACACCCGTACACTCCGTAGCTGATAGCACAATTGCAACACGATTGGTCAGGTTGACGTTTGATGGTCTACGGTTTCGACTTCAGTTCTAATGACCGAACCCTCGTTTTGTGAATACTGTACAATGTTGTTAATTTTGAGTCTCTGATGGAAAATGGTCGTTACCTAAGCACAAATGCGCCCAGAAATTGGAAATGTTTTAGACTAACAATTCACACTTCACATTTTTTTTAACCCTTTCCGAGCCTATTCTTGACTGAAAACCGTTTGTTTCTATTATTTCAGTGTCAGATTCTTTTCTAGCACCAACATTCTAATCACCACTGCGGAAGTCACGTCCTTTTCCATTTCAGATGGCCATCTGCCCAAAAACTTTCTGGAATGCTTCTTCACTTTTTACATGTCTTTTTTCTGGACTCTCCGCCCCTGTCTTTTTCATTTCATGATTTGATCTCCGAAAGTGTCACTGCCCTTTCCCACCTCGGATCATGCATGTCATTCATTCCTCCATCTCACCTCACCCGATTCTTTAAAATATCTCTTTGCATAGTTAATTTCTGTTCTTCTTATTTTGTCTGTGTTTTACTTTGAATTATCCGTTTCTTTTCAGGCTGAAGAAACAAGAGAAAATGAAAATCACAGTTGTTTCAACCCATTGTGTTTCTTCCCAACTCGTCCATCTTTTTACCTTCCATTTCGCGGTGATTTTTCAACGCGCCGAACAAAGAAAAGACAATGAATAACGGTTTTCGACGAGCCCTTCCTCCTCACCCCCCGTCCCTCCCTCTCGGCGAGCGGGGGAAGAGGCGAAAGATGCTCTTGTTCGAATGACTCCGCCCACTCGGAGTTAGTGCTACCCGTCGGATAACTTCTATCCATTAGACATTCCGCTTTTTAGGCTTTACACGAGCCCAATTCATTGTTTTTTTCTTTTTGTCCGATTACAACATTTGTCTGGTTTCCAGATGGTGGCACGTAGGAAGGGAGAGCGTGTCATTCGGAAGAATGAAGTGGAAAATGTGCAGCAAAGAGCATGTGCCAACCGGCGGGAACGCCAACGAACCAAGGTGAGTGACGCTTTCATTTTTATTGCCAAGATGCTCTTTTTCCCCTTCTCGCGCTAGATTTTCCAAGTTTTTCACTGAAAAATTAGAAAACACTGGCACAACTATCTGGAGAGATGTTTTCTAGAGTACTTCTCAGCAGCATTTCGTCATTTCGTCACTTTGTTCTTTGTTTTCTCATTACTGACAGATGTCTGCGCTGAAATTTACAACATAACTGCTTTCTCTCATGCTTCTCAACATCCTGGGAGGTAGAAAATTTGGTTTCAGATTGTATGTGATTCATCCGATTCATATGATCTGAAGAAAACTCCAGAAGTTCTCAAATTAGACGGTTTCATGGCACTAAACATTGTCTCCTTAACATTTCGAAATCGCAACCCTGAACTTTGTCAGTGCAATATACGAAAACGTTGCGGTTTCGAAATGTCGGGAGCCTTATCAATTAGTAGGGCAGAGCCCAATAAACAATTGGATATTTGAGACAAGTGTACACTTGCGGGCAGCCAGCTTCCGTTCCCAACCCATATCTCACATCTTGACACCTCCTTCTCATAGCAACTTGTTTCACATCCAATCACCGCTCGCCAAGCGGCAGCATTTATTGTTTCTGCGCACAATGTTTACGGCTCATCATCTGCTCGATCCGTTCCATTCCGCCACACCAATCTAGCACCCGGCGTCGTTTATCGCTAACATTAAACCACCCTCCCCTCCCCTCTATCCCTTCTCTGACGTTTTTGATTCTTTCTCCTAAGTACGGTAGATCGGGATGAAGGAACCCACGGCACGGGAGAGTAATAAAAGAAGAAGGTCCCTTCTGGCTTCTCCGACATCTGGAGCCGATTTGAAGACACCGGGGGGAGTCGGAGAGACGAAAACTTATTTTCCCTGGGTCCCCCTCCGCCAAGTTCTCGACGCGAGTTGCTGGCTAAACAAACCGTTTAGAATGGGAGACAGAAATGATTACAATCATGGAAGATTTGTTTAGTTTAGGTTTGTTACTGTACTAAGTGGTCAGCTGTCACTGATATAAACAATATCTATTTATGCGCGAAAAAAACACAAATTCTCGAGGATATCATTTGTTTACAGGAACTTAATGACGCCTTCACACTTCTGCGTAAACTGATCCCCTCGATGCCATCGGACAAAATGAGCAAAATTCACACTTTGCGGATTGCCACGGACTATATCACGTTTCTTGATGAGGTTTTGCTGGAAAAACACTGCAAAAAATGATTTATCTTGTGTTTCAGATGCAAAAGAACGACTGTAAATTGTACGGAAACTCGATTTTCGACGAGAAAAGCGGATATAACCTTCAATCAGCGTTCAACATGTGGCGGGGAAACAACGGATACACAAACATGAACGGCCATCCTCCACTTCCACCTTTGCAATCTGGTCAGTGTGATTCTATCGAACCCAATACAATATTTTCAGTTTCAGGTCACATTCCACCGCCACCTCCGCCCAACAGCATTCCTCCTCATTGTCTGATGCCACAGCCGTGGTATCTCAACTGCCCGCCAAAACGTAAGTTCAGTCGGTCACTTTGAGTAGATTAAAGAGTAGGTCATGTCGTTAAACTTCAAGTTCTACCACTAGCAAGTAGTTTTTATGACCACTTCATTGACCAATGCTTTGCTGAATCAAAAAGTTTGTCCGAAAAGTTCATAAAACCAAAAATGCAGCCGAATTCCACGACCTCTCGTCTACTCCGATCCCCAATCTGGCTGTGAACCCGAACCAACTCACTCCGATCCATTGGCAGTGAATCAGCAAGTTGTCCCGACCGCTTCTATCTCCGATTTTGCATAATTTATTTGACGTTTTGAACGACATTTGATCAGAATATAGTCGCAATACCCTAGTGCCTTATCCACTGACTCAACGAAGATTGTATATTCACTCAACGATGTTATGAACCTTGATGATTCCAATGAACTCAACTGAACATGTACTTTATACGCAAGCTTGCAAAGTAATTGTGACCATTCTATAATACAAACAAGTACACTGAGATTTCACAAGTCGGTCTTCCGTTTCCCAGTTCATTTGACCACCAATCCGTGCAAAGACGATCCAATTGCAACCTGGCACTCGCAAGCTGTGGTCGTTTCCACCGACCCCTTCACCCAATCGTCGCCAATTTTTCGCATCACATTGATTGCCCTCGTTATTGGTTTGCACTCGCCGAATCCTGGAATAAAAAACGTGAGGAATGGATGGGCGCGTCCGAGTGATGGATGGAGCCCAAATGTCGAATACCTGAGAGGCATCCATCGTCGTTCTGGTCGCAATTGACCTCATTCAAATAGTTGGGGTAGTAGTCTGAAGGTAACTTCCGCCATTGCCAGCACAGATTGCAGAGGCCGCACCACTCGGAGTCGGATTCGAGGGCTTCACCACGACGATACTGGCAGCCGAGACTTGTGACTACTCCGAGAACTGAAAAAGAAAAACTGAGAGCTGACAGAGATTGTAAAGTCATTAGAGTACTTACTTGGTTTGCTCTGTTTGGCGGTTGAATCCGTTGAATCCGTTGTGGAATTGTCAGTTGAGGTATTCTGGTCGACTGTGTTCGAGTCAACGTCATCATCATATGCCGGATCAGGTGTTGTGTTCATGAGAACGAATCGTTTGGCGAGACGCTAAAAAGTGTGTGTTTTCATTATACCAAAAACTGGGAAAACGACCTGTCGAGGCCTGAATTTTTTGATCAATTGCAATAATACGACTCTGCAGACGTCTTGAACTTGGATATAAGTATATTGACTCCCGGTTTTAGACCGCGATCATCTGGTCCCGAGATATGTGGATCGGAGTCCGGAAAGGTCGCAATACTTGCAAAACCCGGCCTTTTCAGAATCAGACCAGTATATCTCGGTGCCAGATAAACCGATTCGATCGGTCTGAAACTTGGACCAAACATACTCCAATCCAAGTCCAAAAAGCCTGCAAAGTTTGGGTCCGATTGGAATTTTGTAAGTGTTTCAAAAATTGAGATCTCGGCAGGACTATGAGAAGCCTGAGCCGGCCTTTCAAGGACTGAATGATTACCTTCTTGACGTTGAGTTTGATTTTCTTGAAGCTACTTTCGTTGAACCGTTTTTTCCTCGTTTGCTGATCACATGACCCTTGATAAGTTCCTAAACTCTTTCTCTGTCCCAATTTTTCATTCTACTTGCTCTAACCAAGTTTCAAAGCCAAATCGTTTCTTTGAGCGGTCATAGTGGCATTATCAGATGACCCCAAGTTGGGGTTTGAGAGGAAACCATTGAGTAGAGCCATTTTACAACTCATACACGCTTGTGTAGGGCATTCTCCGTTTGCAGCCATGTCCTGAATACTAATCGGTGGCGTCGACAGAAAAAGAACAAGTTCTAAACTTGCCAGTGGAGTTCCCGCGCCGAAAGCGGCAATCGACACTTTTGTAGTCATCACCGATGAACCAACAGCCTGAAAGTAGCAGGATTCGGCTGAGAAATAGATTTAAATACTAACTGAAGAAGGCATCACAGAGTTTTCTTCTTCACTGTCTCCAGTATGCACGCGTCTGTTCTGATCCCCAGCCGCTTCCGCCGTTTCAGCGCTTGCCACAGGCGACTTGAAAAGAGTGGCTTGATCTGGAGAAGCCAGATTCGGAAAAGTGAACATTGCTTCGTCCAAAGTCTCGGCCATCACCGAACTGTCATAGGAAATACACGGTTGGTCTCCATTCCGTTGTCGACAACACTGAAACATGACACTTGGTTTCCGTTTGGCATCTTCGCTAAACTAGAGTTGAAACTAAAGTTATCTTGAGACACACCAATGTCAACACTGAGAAGTGCAAGTGCGAGCACAGTGTTTTTTGTGGCGCAGAAACCAAAAAGTCAATGTCTTTTGAAGAATTTTAGGCAAAGTGCAATTATTATTTCACGAAAGACTTTAGTTCACAAGCAATTTGGCATTTCAAAGAATCTTGAGGGATAAAGTTGTGCGCGAACGTAGTTTACCTTAACAATGACTCACCTTATTCACAATTGCCGAGAACCGGTATTGGATGAGTAAAACAAAGAGGACAACAGTCGTGAAATTGTTCACGCTAACTGAACGCATGTTCTTCGGCACAGTTGCAGATTCAAAATGTAGTCAGACCGGAGGGAGACAGTAAAATCGCCGACTACCTGATTCTTTCTATCTCTAGCCAGGGCCGCCGATGACTTTTCTCGCCACGCTCGGCCGTTTTGTTTGATTTCTACTTTTAACCTTTGCCATCTCTTCTCTCTTTCTAACTTTCATCGCAATTTCTTCAGAGCCCAAGTGAAAAGGAACTTTTTTATGTGGAAAATATTTGCACAACAATGGTAAGGTATCGTTTCAGCGATTTGATCGAACCAACTTTATGAAAAGAAGAAGAAATGTGAGAAAAGAATGTAGAAAGAGATAAAGCATATTCTAGATTGGAATTCATAGCACGGGGTGTGGGTTGGAGATTTATTGGGGTGGGATTTTATGTACAAAGCACTGAAATCACGGCGAAACGGACAAAGTTTGGAAATGAAATCTGAGATCAAATTCAGTCAAAACTAGACAATATAGATGCGATTTGTTGTAGTTTTCCGAAAATCACTCAAATCAAGACTTCAGTAGGTGGTAGACACAATTTCACTCTCTGGGGTGTACGGTTATTGCCGTTCTGTTGTGGGGCTCGGCGGTTGAGAGCGGTACGCACATAATGACGGAGAGTGCGCCGGAAGTTTGACCCAAAAGTGTAATAGATCAAAAAGTTGCATGACGAATTGACGACGACCATGAGGTTGGAGAGATCAATGAGGTAGCTGTTGATGATTCCGAAGAGCAGTTCCAGAAAGTTCACAGTTAGTGGCTGAAAGTTTCGGAGATCAGTTCGTGTCAAACAAGAGTATTGACTTGTTTTACAAACGTGTCAACAGTCAGCCGTACCGAAAGATCAGAAAAAGATCATATGGGTTTTCTAGCGTAGACTTTTCATTTACACCTTCCACCTACCAGAATGTTGCACGAAATGAACAGGCAGACCACCAAAACTAAAGTGATAATGTCCGATTCGCTGTTCGGCGACGAAGACCTCCGCATGCTGACCACTATGGCCGAGTTGATGATGATGAGCAGAAGGACTGGTCCGACGGCCATCACGATTGTATACATGTAGACGTAATAGATTCGGACATAATCCTGAAAAGGACAATACGAGACTCTTTCGGAAACAGGAAGATGATGATGTGTGTTTGTGTGTGATCCCCTCCCGTTTTTCGACGTTGGCGGTGCCCAAGTAATCCAATATAGATTATTTTGGCTCGCATGCGTTTTGTCTGTTTATACACATAGAGGATTGTTCCCAGTAATTACTAGAAAAGGGTCCAACGCTAACTCTCATTGCTCATCATCATCGTTAGTGATGTTTGTGTTAAAAGAGCCACGTCACTTATTTTTACTGGATCCTCCCTCACCTGATTAGCTCTAAGAGCCGTTGGGCAGACGTCTTTTGAAGCGGTATTGTACATGGTGCTCCAGCAGTCGACGACGTATATCTCATACATGTGGGGAGAATTGTAGAAGGTTCCTAATAGGAAAATTTTGATGATTATCTGGAACATTGAATATAGTGTAATGTTATTTTAGTGATGCTTACAAGAATGGAAGTATTTACTGAGCAAAATTTGTTCTTGAACTTCTCTCCGGCGGCGACAAGGACCAGACAATCGAAAGCTGAGGCGACCGTGATGAACACAGACATTGTCTGCGCTGTGAGACCCAACGGGAACATGACCGGTGAAAGCACGGCAAAGTAGTACGTCGCCCACTCCGACCTTTTTCTCATGTTCTCCAAGAAAAACAGGAAGAATGCGGTGAGAATGATAACGATATCCGAACATGCCAGAGCGAACAAGTACCTGAAACAATCCGATCACATTATGCACATTTCATGTTGCCATATTCAAGACATGCAAAAACAAAACACGAATTGTTTTATCTTCAACACTTTGACCGAGCAAATATTTGCCCCGATCCGCTCATGAAATGGGTCCCCATGTAAAAAAAGAATCTTGTGTTTCTCTTTCCCCTTCCTGTCTTGCCTGCCAAAGAACAAAAATCAAGATGTTTTAAGAGAAGGCCCCTGTGTTGGAGTTTTCCTATGGTGCGCTTTGCTCGGCAAACATTTGATACGTGACACCAGATTTTAGTGGTGTCTCCGTGACACAAACGCTCGCCCGCGGCAATTTAGGAGGTGAAGAGCGAAAAGAAACAAGGAACCACCGAATTTCAATTTCCGTTTCATTCGCATTCCATTTCCAGAAAGGGCAGTCCCTTCGATCACTCACACATTCAGACTCGAAATCATTTCTCTGCGCGAGTACGTGAACGCCGAAAGAGCATTGCCAATCAGTCCAAGACATCCGATGAAGGGAAGCATTAACCCGATGACAACCTGCAAAGAAATGAGGGTTAGTGGTACGATCACTTCATTCTAATCACTTTTCTCCGCTTTTCCCTTCTTTTACCCTTCCGAACACTCGTTTTTTCATGCTCCCCAGGGACATCATGGACCAAGAGGTTGCGCGCGCGTGTCAAGCGTCTTAGAAGACAGCAAGCACCTCTTTTTAGTCGTCATTAGAAAATGAGTTGAACTAATCAGTCTTCGGAAATGTGTGTGTGCGCTCCTTTGAAAGAAGAGAAAGACTAAGGACGAAAAGACTCCTAATCGAGAAAGATATGAGAAGGAGGCTGTTTCATTCAACCTCCTGTGTGCATGATAATCTCATCGTTCATTCAAGGAGAAAATTTGTAAATTTAAAGTGTCGTGTTGCGTTGAAGTGAAAGAAAAGGCAAAAGGCCAATGAGACAAAAAGCTCTTCCTTTCCATGTCTCTTGTTTTTGACAATGTCAAACTCAAAAACAGCCGCTTTCTGGAAAAAAGGGAGTTTCAGCCAGCACCTCTTTCCGAAAAAATGTGGTGTTGAGGTGTTGACGTGGAAAATATCTACTGACACGTGGAAGTTCTAATTTCATTTCAACACAGACTCACTGTATTTTCGAGCACGAGATCTTTCATACATTGTCTGTTATGCCCCATCAATTTCCCGAAATTCGTTTTGCTGATCTGTTCAAAACACAACCAAAACTCATTAGTCTAAGCGGTGCGTGTGTTCCGTCAAAACTGGAAGTCGGTTTGGCTAAAACTCGTTAAAGTCGGTGGTTGTCGTTTGTGAACTTCTCCAAGCTTCTATGCGAAAAAATCATCAAAAAGGAACTGCGCGGACCGCTCATACTTTAACGTGAGCTGAATAACAATTTTGGGCACGGGCACGGGCACGTGATGACACGACAAAAGAGCATGTGCAAGTTGGGCATCTTCAGACTGCAGAAGGTCATCTCAAGGTCTAATGATCATGCGCATCGATCATACTAATGTGCGGAAATCCCTCACGTACCAAGTTGAACTGCTCATACTCTTTCGAAACTTGACGCGTTTCTGCGAAATCGTAACAGAAACCACAGACCGCCAGACCGTAGCAAGTTCCGTTCGATCGACTCTCCGGACTGCATTCTAAGCTCATGTTGAGGCCTTCCATTTTCAGATCTGTATGAGCTAAAAGAGAAAACCGTAGTGATTGGAATAAAGGGGGAGGAAAACGTAAAACGTAAACCGGAAATAGTTTGACACTGAAAAACATTTGCTATTCTAATTAGACAGACACTATAGAAAAAGTAGCGACAATAACACAGAACGGCGAAGAATACTCGAGAGAACATCTGTCGCGGCCAGTGATTTACGATTGAGGAGTCTCGAAGATGTTTGGAATAAGAATAACCGAGAGTTTGAAACGATGACAGTCTGAAAGAGGAAAAGAAAGAAGAAGAAGAGGAAGAAGAAGACTCCATGGTGGATTTGTACGAAATTAGAAAATATATGGCGAGAGGGGTGGAGACTCAACAAAGAAAACGGAGAAAAGTGGGCGGGGCGTTTCATGTAAGGAAAAGGAAAAAGCTGTGGGGTGCTCCCTCTTTTTCAAGAGAAAAAGGTCGCGGCAAAGGAAAGGTGAAGTGAAAAACTGGGAGAATTTCATCAAGAAGGTTATGATTCACCGAGAGCCAATTCAAATAAAATGTGTTTGAAATGAATCTCAACGTCCATGCTCTCGGAGGATATGTCAGTACGTGTGTGTGTGTGTTGGTTTTTGCTGAGAAGCCTTTAGGCGATTCTCCGCAATAAGTAGTGATGTTTTTGAAAAACAGGAGACTGCATCTGGTTTAGGTTTCCTCGATCCAAATGTTAATCGTGTCTGGATATTGCAGCAAGGAAAGATTCGAGTCAGAAGTAAAGTCTTATCGTGTACGTAATACAGTATCTCTGAATTGTTGGTCAGTACATCCTCCCACTTCCTGAATGCCAAAAATAGCTCTTGTTTGCAAGAAAAGACTGGAAAATGAACGATACGTGGACTTTTCAAAACGAGAACGAAACGCGACGAAATGTCGTTCTATGAAAGATGAGATGCTCCGGTGAGCACGCGGAAATATCAAACTGACACTGAGAGGTCACGTCGTCTTGGGTCGCGATGAGACGGTGGCGTGTCTGCTGTCAGTACATTCATTTTACGCTATAAATAAAAAGTTCAGAATTATGATAGAAATGTGTGATCAGAGAGAATGTATTTAAATGGATAGAAGTCGGTCGAAAATTTCACTATTTCCAGCTGCAGTTTGGGTCATCTGGAAAAGGGAAGACGGAAATGGTTCCTTAAAAATACGTATACTCCCGATAAAACTAAACAGGAAGCCATTGGACACCTGTGAATGACGCTATCAATCTTTTTCGGCTGCAATACGATTTCGATTCGGTTTGCGTAACAATCAAATCAGTGAACGTGCGCATTTGATAACTTTTCTCTCTGAAAGTTTGCTCCGGATCATTTGTGTGTTGGAATGCCAGCGAGTGATTTATGTCCTGTTCAGTTATTTTTGTCATGGAAAGGCAATATATGTACATGTTGAGATACTACATGTACTCAGTACATTGTACTGCGTTCAATTACTACCAATTTCAATTACTTCTCATTTTATCAGATACTACAGTCACGGTTCTCTTTGTAGCGGCTACAGGAGCGGTTTTTGAAAACCTTTCTTATAATTGTAACCGAATCTGGCCTGGATATAGTCCGTCATTGTGCTGAATTTATTGTCGACTCCAACAGCGGTGTTCTGAAAAAGGAGAAACCTCGACGGTATCAAAGAGCGTTTGATTGCAGGCAGAAGTTTGAAAGTTTCCTCTCGTTGCCGGTGAATTGAATATGTCTGTCATCAGTGCTGTTTTGACTTCAAAAACTCATATTTTGCTTCACGTGATGCCTATCGACAGTTAGCTGAAGCTGTGACTTTCGTGCAACGCTTGTGAATCCCGTGATGAGAAAATCTGGAGAAAAGAATCCGCGTAAATCGTTTCGAAGCAAATATTCTCTCAATTCTTTTTTTTCACTGTTTATCATTTTCTTGAGTTGACAGCAATGATAAACGCCCTGCAAACACTTATTTTATTACTCTGAGCCAATGCTGTTGGGTGCGCTGCGTGTCGCGTAGCGGTCGCATTCCCTCTCCTTGTTTCCTCTTCTTCTTTCTAAGACAGTGTTCAGCGAAAGATGGGAGAAACAGAGAAAAAACAGGGCAGGAAAGAAGAGGACCCGAACAAGATGACGAAAATCGGAGAAATCGGAATCGAAAAAGGAAAACTGGCACGAAAGACCAATCAGTTCGTTGAATCCAAGAGACCAATGTGCTCCTTTTACATTTTTTATTGGCAAATCGTGAATAAATATAAAATCTCGTGAGAAAACCCAGTTTTCAGCCCCATCACTACAAAACTCCTATTCCTGGATGAGCCCCGAACGGACCCCCAACCCCACCAACCATCCTCCGCTCACCCTGTCACCCCCGCACTCAAAAACCAACTTTTTCAGAAAGTTGGCTAATTTTTTGATCACACGGGATGGGAATCCAATTGAGGCTCATCCAGGGAGAAGGTTTTTGTAGTCATGGTGCTGCTCAACGGGATTTTTCACGAGATTAAAGAAAAAAGGCACAAAAAACTTAAAGAAGATGAAGTTGGGTTGAGCGATTTGCCGATTGAATATTCTGCAAAAACGGATATAATTGCATGCTTTTTATCCAGATGAACACACTTTTTTGGTGGTTTTCGTTTTCGTTTTGTTTTGATGATTGGTGCGTCGGGGTGCGTCGATGGCGGTGTTTTTTGAAGGCAACTGAATTATCTATCATGTTATCCAGACTCGAGCCTTCCTTGGTGTTTACCTTGGTGTTTTAGAAGCTGGGCGAGCGAGCGTTTGGGCAGGAAGGCATAGCATTGTGCTGGAACTGCAAAGGAAGTTGCAGTCAGTACACCTGAAATGATAAAAATGTTGCAATAATCGATTTTAGTTTAGAAAATCTTACATGTTCTGGCAGTTGGAAGTCAGTTGAAGAGGTTTTTGTAAGGGAGCTAGCAGTAGTGCATGCTTAGGGCAAAAGTCGATATGTTCAGAAGTGTCATGAACGCAAAATTTGATGTTGAATGACCTTTGATTATATTTTTTTTTTGCATAATTTCTAAACGATTAGTTTGAAACGGATAAGAAAGTTCTTCAAATTCAAACTCACTTTTGATTTTTTCGTCATTTTTTTGGGTAATTGCAAATGAGCAGAGCCCACTCACAATTGGGTATAAATGTTTTCATTACGCCGGGAGCATTGGCCGGTCTTTCTATAAAAGTGTAAGTTTGTAGAAGAAAAACAGTTCGGGGAACACTTACTTTTGGTATTTTTTAAAGAGAATTGTTTTCTGTGTCGATCCCAGGTCCCGAAAATCCTGTTCCCTGGGGGACAATGTACATAGTGCCGTATTCTTGTGAAATTGAATTTTTCACAAATCTCAGGTTATTCTAAAAAATACACGAATTAAAAAAGGTTTCCCATTGAGCCTGACGCACTTTTGATTATTCGAGTGATCAGAATATTCCGGAAGCATTAACCGGTCGGTTGGACCGCACATGAACCTTATCTGTAAATTTAACTAATTCTGATTTTGTTGTTCTACATGTCATCCTACTTTTTTGATTGAGTCGTTAATATGTTTTAGTTTTGGGCAGTCTTTTTCCAGGATACTCGTCTTGTAGCCAACTTCAGTCCCGTACAAAGAAAACGGCAGTTTCAATGCCATTTCCAGGGAAGCATCAATTTTGGTTTTTGCCTCATTGAGCCAAAATTTGATAGAAACTTGCAGAATAGTTGAACTTCGCGACGTTCAACCACTCCTCTGTCACTCCGAAATCGGCTCAACTTGGCTAATTTTTTGATTTCTGAAAGTTTCATGAACTTTTGTCAGGCAGGTCGTGTTCTGGCTCACTTTTTGAGTTTTTGGTGATGAATGTTATCGGAGAAAGAGGAGCAAGAGAGAGAGAGAGAGAGAAAGGGAGACAGGGGAGAAGAGGACAGGAAAGATGGAATGATGAACAAAGGGGGAAGACACCTGAAACGCAACGGGACCAGGTTAGGGTGACTAGAAGTGAGAGAACAACCAACTTTTTAGGATTTTTGCGAATCGTTCCAGGTTTTGGCCAAAGAATTCGATTCGATTTTGTATTTTCTGAAAGATTAGGTCGTATTGTCTTGTTGACCGGTCGATTAGCTTACTTTTGGATTTTGATAATCGCCTGTTATCATGTGCTGTAATATGGCACGGTGGCGGGGGTCCACAACTTACTCTGCGGGGGGTCATTTTTGGGCTGAAACAAGAAATTTTGAGAGAGAGAGAGAGAGAGAGAGAGAAATGAACAACTATTTTTCTAGAGCCACGTTTAATTGACTTATGAACTTCCTACTACTTTGTTCTGAAGGTTCTGTTCTGTTGGATTACGGTAGTCCGACGTATATTTTACTAAAATAACTCTAACAGTGGAGATTACGAGCTCACGCGCCGTCGATTGTAGTTATCGCTTTAGGTATTAGCTGAGGATTACTGAAATCAGAAGGAAATGGAGTATATCATCCATAAAAAAGCACAAGAGGACTACGGTAGGACTAGCCAAAGATCTTAAAATAACATGTTGCGCGAGCGCAATGGACAGGAAAGAGCAAAATAATGAAGTGATTTTTACGATTGGAACCGGAGAGAGATTACAAAGAACGATTTGAGGCTACTCACATTGTCGGTGAAGGCACGAGGCTTGCAGAATCCGATAGGAAAGTGCGCCTTTGACTTTCCGGACTTTAAACATTTTTCGACTCCGGGCCATCGACAAGACACGGGAGGTTTCTAATTTTTTAATTTCTGCAAACACTTCCTGATTAAAACACTACGGACCCGGATTACACTTACTTTTTTAATTTTTTAAAGTTTTTTCGATTTTTTTGTATTTTTGCGGAGTGTCCTGTGAAGAGTGGTACCGGTTCGTCACATTCTCCTCCTATTTCGGCCTAATTACCTGAAATACATGCCATTAAGGTGGAAAACGAAGACAAACCGGGAAAAAAACGGAACGAAAGTGATCAATACTGCGACGTATGTAAATGTGGTGTGTCTCGGCACGAATAAAGGTTCTCCGCGTCCAACAGAGCACTTCTGCCTGCGTCTCTGACTAACAGAAGAAAACGCGAGCGACACACCCAGCGGAGACTGCGTCTGCGGCTGTGAAGAAGGACATGCGTCACAGGGAACTGCGGTCCATATCAAATCAGATTTTCTAGCTGGTTGGAGAGAGGGTTTCAGGTGCTTTTTATATGCTACGGATGCTCTCCCAAAAACATAAAATGTATAGCAACATATTTTTCGTGTGAGTCACAACTCGGAGCGGAGAATACGCCCAACAATAGAAACTGTACAGCCAGAATCGATGTGGTTCTCATGGGCTTCAAACAAAAATATTACAAAGAATACAATACTCGGAATAGTCACCTTCCCAAAAAAAGATTGAAAAAACACGTAATCTTATTTTTAGTTTCTGGAAAGACGTACAGAAAAATCATCGTATAGGCGTTATCTTTCGTCAAAGTACGGGGATCACAGTTTTGAAAGTTGATATAGCGACTGAGGCGTGAAAATTCTAGCACAAATTATATTCGTCTAGTGAGTCTGTCATGTTTGACCGGTCAGAAGGTTGATTGTGTCCGCTCGCTCGCGTTGACCGCTGAGCCAATGAAAACAGCCGAAGCCGAGCACGTGTCTTTCACCTCAACACCTCTAATTTTTGAATCTGTGATCACGAGTTGTGCACAACCGCCAATTTCACTAATGAGGACTTGTGCGTGGGTGAAGCACATAAAAGTTTTTTCAGAACTTCTTGTCAGATGATAACACACAACAGATGGAATGAACCGTTGTCGAACAACTCCGCTGAAACGGGATAGGAGTGGGAATCTGTGGGTTTTGGCTTCCAAGAAGGCGGGTATTTAGTGGGACCGTTTTAGATGTCTTTGAAAGAGGGAACGTAGTGCCAGCTCTAGAAGATCCAAAACGTCGAGCCGTTTTTGAAACATTTGTCGAACAGATTTCTCACAAGATTTATAACAATATTTATAACATATCAAAAGACTGGCGAGGAAGTACCCAACCCACTTTTGTACTACTGACCTTTAAAGATTGACGCCAAGCCCAAAAAACCAACCGGCGTCTGGCACTTTTCATTGCCGTGATTTAGTGCTCTCCAAAAGTGGCTCAAGTTAAGCACATGAGAGAAAATGAGAAGCGGTGCCGAGGCGTGACACTCGCTTACTCACGTGCCTGGATTGATTGAGTACACCTTTGAAAATACATTTTTAGTCGGGGACATAAAGAGATTTTGGCCGGAATGAGCAAATGTCGGACTAGTCTGTGCATACTGATGAAGCAACGCGAAGCACCAAATTAACAACTGGAGCTGGGACGGAAAACACTTTTTCATAGTGTTTCGATGCTCATGAAGGAAATCAAAGCTCGTCGATCCGGCGTTTGTGATTTTGGCCGAATGAAAGACGAAAATGAGAAGACGAGAACATATCACAGCACAGATTAGTATAATTTCAAATGTAGACAAGACATGTTCTTTAGTCAAATCGTTCCTTTGTGATTGAAGCTAATCACAAGTGCGCCAGTTCGTGTATCATTGTGCATTTGAGCGACCGAACAAATTGGACGCAATTACAGTAGGAAAGAGATGAAAAACACTAGTTGTGGAGCGGAGACTAGCGCATCTTTGAGAACAATCAGTAGGTATAATAAAAAAGGTTTATTGGCAAATGAATGAAACATTTGAGGTTGTTTGGCTCCAAGCTCCTTGCAGTCTCTGCGACTTTTCCGTTTTCGAGCGTGAGTGGGGGGTTGGCTTGGAGTTGTCGTACGTAGCGGTTCATTCCGGTCATTTCGCATCTAGAATGAGAATAACTATTTCTGTTTTGCATTCAGTCAACAGACCTTCGGTGAGCGAACATCTTTGGTCGTGCTCGGAAGCTTTGTTTCACTGCAAAGCACTTTCTTGCTGGGCGGCGGATCCTCATTTCTCACTTTCTCCACAAGTGTGTCCGGGACGTATTCAGGTTGCTTTTTAACTCCGAGGGCTTCCGCACTGGCGATTATTTAAAATCTGCAAGAATTATCATTTTAAGGGATGAATATGAAATCTCGTTTCTCTTACCTGATTGCGGAAGCCGGTATGCGGAGTTTGCTGATTAAATATAGTTTTTTTTTTTTGGATTTTTGTGGAGGGATCCATGAAGAGCACTAGCTAGCTACTCATCACAGACCCCTCCATTTTTTGGTGAGGAATCACCCACCAGCGACGGCTTTTATACTATGAAAACCAATAAAAATCCGTGGGCGGCGCTGTAAAACTGCATAATCGCATCGGAGTTTTAGTATCCATAAACGAAAATCGTTGCGCGAATGGGCTCTTTTGCACGGAACGGCGCTGAACATTGATCGGAACAACCAGCGGAAGAGATTTTATTGCAAGCAAGGAAAATGATGAAACGATTACGGTACATGGAAACTGAAGAGGATCTGTGGAATTTTGTTTAATTTTAAGTTTCAGGACAATACGTTTTCCTCGTCGACCCCGAAAAACGAAGCTTGCGTTCAAATCTCGATTCTCTTTCAGACAAAACGAATTTATTTTTGTGCTGCACGATTATCTGCGGCTCAGACGCAGTAGAATCTCTCCACGTCGTGTTTTGCTTGTTGTGCTTCTGATCCTGGATTTCGATGTGAATTACGGACAGATGTTCTTCGTCATATCAAGGGCATTTTCTCTCTCTTTCCCCCCGTTTTTACAAAAACATTCACATTCATCAGGATGCGGATGTGTGTTTTGTCCATCCGATGCTCAAAGAACGTACGGGCGGCGTTGAAGTACTGAACATCTCTTCTAAAATTCAAAATATTTGATGTCAAGTTGTCAACATTTTTCTGATGGTTTTCATACGCAAATTTGTTATTCTGCGATTTTGCGTCACATCCGCCATAGGAACCAGAACCAGCTCTCCCTTTTTCAATCCCACATTGTAAATTCATACTCTTTTTTTATTCCGTAGATCCCCGCCCCAACTTTTTTGTAATAATGAGTTTTGTCTGTCCACTTCAAGCAATTAATCGTAGAAATTATGAGGATGACGCGTGCTTTTGTCGCATTGAAACCGTCTAGACTGAATCATTAGAGAATTACTAGCAGCCATACTACGACTTTCGTAAAGTGAACACCTAGAAAAGTGGATAACAAGACCCAAAGAAGCCATACTTCGCAGTCATCCATCAAACTTGTGAATGATACTTGATGCTGAAATTTTGGTCAAACCATCATAACATCTTCTTCGTTTAATGACCTCATTTTCTCTTTTTCCCAGATCCTTGGCCAGAAAGAGTCAAATACATGTTTTATTTCATGAAGTGTTGTGCACATCCATGTGTGTACATTCTAGTTGTTGAAACATCAAGGATTCCTCCATCATAATGATCATTGAGAAGGTGTCATACGAGCTAAGATCACTTTCCGACCTTGCATCGCCTGTTGAAACTTGAGAATTCGGGGACAAACGCTCACGAAATCATACTCTCAATGAATTTTCGATCAGAGACGCGGAAATAAGAGAAGTGACGGGTGCATGTTAGGGGAGGCTTGACGAATCTTTCACCTGAACGCACAATTCGATGCTCTAATGTCGGTTTTTGCTTGCTGGGTCGAAAATCGAAGAGAAATGTTCTGAAATTTTTGGAATCGGGTTCAGACGGCCGAAGATGTGTGTTTACTGTAGGGCGTTCCAAACGACCTATGATTTCTGAGAAATTTTGTAGACATTCGAAACAAAGTCCCTGTTGCTGCTGAAATATTTACGTCTTTTGCGCTCCCGCCCTCCCTTCGACGTCTCTTTTGTTCTGAAATTCGAACCCATTCTAGACGCGAATCGGACCCAAAACAGGGACAATCTTTGCAGTCGGATGGGAATTAATGTATTCTTTGGGTTGTGCGCTCCCATGTTTCCACGTTCGATCGTATTTCAATCCCGTGTGTTTTGAGTTGCTCTCACCCTTCCTTTGTTTCCGCCCACCCTCATTTTATCTCCTGCTCATCGCTATTTGCGCAACTCGGTCCGAAAAAGTCAACAAATCAACGGCAACTTGTGTGTGTGTGTGTGCAGCAAGCCACAAAAAGGATGCAAGGTTATGAACTATGTGCTGGAAGTCTCTGAACTCTCCATTCACGAACAATTGCATACATCCATCCATTCTGTCTGGTTCCGCCCCTTTCTCATCTCTCTGGCGGCTATGGCTAATCAAATTTTGAGTTGACGTAATGGGACTCTCGAGCATCGGCCTGGCTCTGTGAATTGTTTACTTGAAACATTCCCCCTTCTCTTCCTGAACCAGATTTCTTCCTCCTTTTCTCATTATTCTGTTTTTATACTGGAGGAGTTCACGGAAATACATTTGGAGCTCCTCTGAGCATTTGAACTTGCTACAGTAGTCTTTCATCGAGAACTTCTTCGGACTAAAGAATACTTGTTTCCTTGCAGACACTACTTCGGCAATTAGCCTCATTTCGCGACCTCCTCCAAGCTCTTCCCTATTGCTGATACATCCTTTTTGTGTGTACACACATGTTTCGCCATTATCCTCCCTCACGTCATAGGTCCATCCTTTTTTCCCCACCGGAAACGATCCTTTTATCCTTGCTGCTTCACAACACTTTTTCCATCAAAACCCAATCACCAACAAGACATTTTGAATACCCGCAATCTCGTGCCATTTCTCTTATTTCTTTGCGTCAAAACGAACACTTTTATGAGGCAAAAGAGGCTCGTTTCGCTTTCAATTCTGCTCGTCAGACTGGCGGAACCAGATCTTTGATCTGATGCGGGTCCATAGGAAATAACGGATTCAGTACCTGTTGGAAATGGAAGGGCTACTCCATTTTTCCCTATCATTTACTAGTTTTGATCGTTGATGCCGCCGGATATACGGCCAGTCGTGAGGTCTTCTTAAATTTCAAGAATTACATAGTTCGATAACCAAATCTTTCCTTGAAACTTCGCAAGAAGTCCCACAATATTTAGTGAGGATGTATTCAAAATTTGCATTTCTCACTTCAGAAGACCTTCGATTTCAAAAAAAGCAGCACACGGGTCTATTCATTCCTTGTTGCCCTTACAAGACATTCACGGAACAGGAAAGCTGAGAAACGATTAGTCCGAGTCGGAATTCTAAACTTCATTAGTGAAGTCACCCAGGGATATTTGCCGTTATTCAATTCCGAGAGTTTCGTGGAATGAACCGGAAATAGGGAAACAAAAATTTCATTAAAGGTGTATATGTATCAGCAATAGCCGGAAGTTTCTTTCCAGTTTTCCCATTCACGCAATCAGTTTCTGTCCTTGTTTTTCATCTGGTCAACAAAAGTGTACACAACACGAAGTAGGAAAGATAAATTATAGTATTCCTGCTCGTCTCAATTGCCTTTCTCGCTCCATTTCTTCCTTTTCCTCCTTCCGCCACCAATCATTCTTCATCTTGTGGTCCGGTCCTTCTTTTCTTTTCTCATGATAGAGCTCTTCTTTGGCTGAGCAGGAGTCGTTCAGTTTTCGGTGAGTCGGAAGATATTTGTTGTGGTTCGGTCTGAAAATAGACGTGAAGTGTGAAAAGAGGATGAATGACCGGAGGTGCCCTTGTCTAGCGCTTTCTAGTGCAGTCCGTAAATATTATTGGGAGGGCGAGCGCGCGGTGTGACTAGTTCTCATCATCTGTTCTCGTGTTTTCATTTTGCAAGCGCAAGATGCTCTCAATTTTCTTTTCTCTAAAGAATTATTGTTTTTTGTTAAGGGAGTAGGGGGCAAAACTCAATTAGCCGATCTTTTCCAACATTGTGTTTTATTGTGCAGGGGGCATCATAGCACAAGTGCACACGGAAATGAAATGAGCTATCATCCACTTTATTTATGAATTTTTCTTCAATTTATAGCACGATTTTCGATCACTGACTACCGTAATTCCAGGAATTCTCAGGGAAAACTGAAAGTGTATACAAATTTTCATGTCAATCCTCCCAAAATCATAGGGTGGATTTTCTTTTCTGCACGAGAGCAAACGTGCGCTTCAACGGGTTCTTGGTCCTTCCTATTGAATCCATCACTGCTCTTCTTTTCTCTTCTTCTTCTTCTCATCTCCTCCCATTTTTTGCTTCCTCTTTCAGTTTGACGAATCTGTTAGTGTTTTCCGGGTTCTTCGCCCTTTTTCAGCCCTTTTGTTTGCTTAACGTGCTCGACTTCTATTTTCAGCGCAACCATGAACACAAACGAAACTTCGACATCAGACACGGTTGCAGAAGCGCTTTTCAATGACACAAAGTAAGTTGGCAAGGCGGGAGCGAGCATCTCATTAGGCTAATTCATATTTGTAATGGGAGTAGGGGGTGTTAGCATGCCACCAGAAACATATGAGTATCTTCTGCAAGTACGTTCTTTTACGTGAAAAGGGTACAAACGTTTTGCGGAATTTGGAACAAAGAGCACACATACAGAACATATTCTTGTTCTTTGCTTCCTTTCGGTTCAGCTGCAGACTCCGACCTGACTCTTCTGTCCAGTTCTGACTTACGAGTGAAAAAAAGGTAAAACCTAAAAAAAGAGACGACAAGTTCAATGAACATTCACCCGAAATATCCGTTCTTTCCCGTCTTTTTTTCATCCCGGAACTTATTTCTATGTACTTTTGAACTAGGATCTCTTATAAATTATGGATTTCGATTTGAAAAGCGAGTAGTAAACGTTCAAGATGATTTCGATGAAATCCCGACTCAAGAGTCAATTGACTGGTTCATATTCCCACACTTGAGACATGATTTCCAGTACTCCCAATCGAAGTGATTGTGTGAAACTGTGAAGTGATCTCTCTGCTGGGCACCAACATACGTGCAAATAACACATTTCCGTCAAGTGTTTTTCTATACTTTTTGTTTCTTCTTTCTTCTCTTTCCTTCCTAAGACCTGAAGATGCTTCCTGTGTTCCTCGTGCTTCTTTCTAATCGCATTTTCTGCTGTCCGGAACGAATGCAACGTTTCCTGAGTTAATTTTTTGTCTGTTCTTTGGTATGCACTAAAATAATGCCTTTATTTATCCAAACTTCAGCGAAACCCAGACATGAACCTTGTTTTTTTTCTTCTACTTCGTGAACCTCTAGGACAAAATTCTCGCAAAAAGATTCAATTTCTAAACACGAAACAGCTGAATGGAATGCGAAAAACGCACCTCTTCCTTTTGAATGGCCCAAGATGAAACATTTTTGCTCGTTTCTCGACACTTCATGTGGAAGTTGACGCTTTAGTGTTGAGTTTAGTTGCGAACATTACTTTTTTGCTGCTCTGTTCATTGGGAGCTGCGAGCAAGAGCAAAAGTACTTGAAACACACAGAAACAATCAAATACTCTAGTGCTCGGCGCTTTTGTGACTAACCTCGCCGATCCAAGCTCAGAGCTGGAGAAAAAAGGGAAGATTTCAGGTTTGGCTCGACTAGAAATTGCATTATTCTAGGAGAAAAGGAAAGAAAATGCGAATCTGATTTGGTAGGCTCGGCTGTCTGAAATTTGTTCTGGAAGGGAAACCCAGTGAACTTCTCGCAAGTGGTTTGTGTATGTGTGTGGTTCTTTCTCTCAAAGTGATTTTTGTATAAAGACGCACGAAATTCGACACATGTTCGCTTGTTTACTTGTCCCTACAGTCAAAGGAAAACGAGCGTAATGACCAAAAACCTGACCCACCCACACCTCTTACGCGGAAATGTTCAAAAACCCGCAGATTTCATGACAAACCGAAACATGCGAACTAACTAGTGCAACATTCATAAGCTCACTGAAAGTTCCGGAAGCAGCCATCTTTCTCATCTTTTTTGTTTACCCCAAGATCTACTAGAAATAGGGGGAAGGTATGAAAAAGTTATCCACCCAATAACTGTGCACATTCTCGGCATTAGCATGCCATCAATCCTTAGCCGAGGAGAACCTCCTTTGTTGTTTTTTCTCCTCTTTTGCATGGTCCTGTTACTCACTTAACTCAACGTTAGTGTGTTTTATTTCGCCCGTTAAATTTGATTTGTCTCTGGAATTTTACATCTTCTTGAGCAGGGAGTAAGTGAGGAAAAAGAAGGAAATCGTGACCGATATCCTGTTTTGGCGGCATTACTCCTTAGAGTACGCTATCCAAGTTGTGGTGGCCCCAACCGCTCCCAAATATTGTTCCTTTTTGCATCTCACTCTCTTCTCCACGGGTATCCCACCAAAACCTACAACTTTCATTTATAATTCATGTTTCTAGTAGGTTTGAACAAAAAAGATCATTGCCACCCACACTTGGTTCATATTAGTAAGTTCTTTGTGCTTTTTGTGCTCCGTCTAGTTCCTGTAAAGTTCTAAGCAATTTAGGTTAGCTACCGTACATCGAACGCATATCCGTTCGGAAATCTTGCCGCTAGAACAACAAAGTAGCACGGATTTCCATTAACTTGCCAAATCAGCTCACACAATCTAATTAGACTTGCATACATCCAAAGACGAATCTTGAATGAGTCAGTCACGTGTTGGGGCAACGATCGGAGAACGATAATACTTGCTCATCGAGCATTGCATATGTACAAGACCACTGAGAATTGTCTGAATGCCACGTCAGCCCCACTCCCCAACGATGTCTCATGAATCCGTTATTTGACGTCATCTTTTTCTGCATCTTAGGAAGACCTAAAATTGTGACGCTTGCTGGCTCTTCCTGAAAATAAATAATGTGCACCCGTCGCAGAGATCACGTTTGTGACCTCGTGTTTTTGAACATTTGGTCATGAATTGCTCTAAATTTCATCTGCCTTATAAAAATTCATTTTTTTTTCATATTCCTGCATACTGCCGTTCTTTTACACTATTTTTTCGACAAATTGAAAATATTGGTTGTGTTACAAATTCCAACATGACGTAGACTTGTCGAACATTGGCCAGGCTGATTTTTGAGATCATTTTCAACTTTTGTACTGAAACGCAGGCCGGACTGGCTCCCGACAAGTCTGATCTTCCTCCTTGAAGAGCCACGTGCTCGGATGTGCGTGCACGCAAGGAAATCTTTCATTTTCGTCACAAAACGGCCTGAGAAATGTGCAACTGCACTCATTCGGAATGAAATTTCATTCTCATTCATCACTCGATTCCCAGGACTAATTCAATGGAATTCGAGAAATAAGATCGTCTGGATTCGGACTGGAAAGCTAAGAATGGGTTCGAAGGCAACCAAAAAAAGGGGAAATACTTCAGAATATCCCGTGGAGGGCACAAATATCCTCTATTTACTCTATTCTTGACTATCAAGTGCTGAAAATGTCTGAAGGCAATTGAGTCATGGAACGGACAGAGGACATGCCTAGGGAGACGAACAATTTCAGTCGGGTGGCTTGCAGAGCATTATTATACATACAAATATATTGTTTTTGAAAACAACGTGGGGGATTATGCTTCGATTATTATTATGATTGAATGAATAGTTTTTCACTACTCCTCATCTCTTCCTCATCTGGAAATTGTTTTCTCACCTTTGAAAACCAAATTGAACTTGATGAGCTTTCGATGACTCTTCCACCGGCTCTGCAATAGCTTCCAAAACAACATGTTTTTCATCTTCATTCCGTGTCTCTGTTTCATGCCGTCTTTCTGAACTATACCCCCATTTCTTCCGGTTCATAATATGCCCCGCATCCGATTTTTCTTTGCGTTTCTTTTCGTCTTCGGTAAGACATTGCAAGAAGAAGAAGAAGAAGAAGAAGAAGAAGGAAAGAAGGTTCTTGGCATAGGCAGAAAAAGAACAAGGAACGGCTGTGTTTCGGATGAAGATGGAAAATAAAATAATTGAATTATGGACAGAATCTTGGTTCTTCTCTGAGCGACTCCACGCCTACTCTTCCTCATAAGTGTGTGGGCCAAATGCCAAACCTGCTCGCTTGAGCGCGCTTCCTTCCTTTCCAAAAAGTTTTATTCTTTTCAATTGAACTTCTTCTCCTTTCCTACGCCCTGCCTTTTTTGTCATATTCCTTCTTTTCGCCCCGTCCACCTTGACATCATGTCTGCTGCCTGAACTCAAGTACACAATGCTCGTCGCCCCGCGTTATTATTTTTAGAAAACATATGCCATCCCAGAATGGTCCGTTCTCCTGAAACATTGAAAGTTGAAAACAAAACAATAATCATTTCTCATTTTTCATTTGAGATCAGCCTCAATTATCTGTGTTCTGCTCCCGCTCCCCCGGCTTTCTCAAATGTCACCGAGACAATGCGTTCATTTCTTATTTTTGTGTACCAAAGATGGCGTAACGGAAGCTATTATGGTTGCTTCAGTCTTTTTGAAAAATCACCTACATCATGTTGGCGTGGCCACTTTTCGTAGGAAGCATCTTAGTTCGAACATTTTCATAAATCATCTTTTTTAGCCGAAAAGCAGTAAACAAATACAGCCAAGTCACTTTTCGCGAGCAAGATTTTGATCATTAATCAGTATGAGATGCTCATAAGCGTTCAGTGCTTTTGTCTTTTTGATGCTCTTCTTTTTCACTTTTCATCCCACGTCAGTACACCCCAAAAAGGGAAAAAGAGACGTTGTGAATTACGAATAAAGACTCCGCCCATACTCTCGTCCCGTCTGTTCTCCCCTTTTTCTTTTTTTTTTGCAGTAGAATTTAAGAGAAGCGTTTTCATCCCCCTTTTCTTTGAATCATTCAGTTTCTCAGTCACTTGTACTTTCTTGTGCCGTTCTTTTATCGTTTCCTGTGTGACGTGTTGTTTGCCGGCTATCGGTTTCGCCACATTTCCCACACGAGCAGGTCTCTGATCGACTTTTGAATAAATTTTTGTGCGCCTCCCATGCCACACTTCCCTGTACTTTCCTCTTTCTATTCTGTAAATATTTCCTCATACATTTTTTTCAGCGTGGATCCCGGCATGACACCTTCTAATCACTGCATTGATATCCGTGCTTACTTGTGGCAAACGAAACACGATCTGACACTTCATCCACTTCCAATCGCCATCCTTGCCACCATCTACACAATTATTGTCGTGTAAGTTTTTAAAAAATGTGCGAAATGGATATGATCGTGTCGTGAGCGAAAGTGAGTGAAATACAATATTCTTTACGCCTAAAAGCAGGCCAGACTCAAAAGGGTCACAATTTATCAACATGTGACATAGATCCTCTCCATATTCAATGTCACCATTGCTCATTCATTGTAGCCGACCGAACCGGCGCCAGAATTGTTCGGAAATGATTCAATTAGATTGTCAGCTTCTTTGGGGGCTTGTTCACTTCGCCCTCCACGAATTTCATTAACACAACAGTAGGTCCTCGCAGAGACAGCCAAAACTCAATTATCTTCTGGAAAGCACCAGATGAGTAGCTGGTGCATCTTCACTCCGTTCTTGTTGTTTGATCTCATAAGGAAGGCTTGCACAACTTCTAATTCTGCTGCTCGAAATGCTCCGCTTGATCGGGATATTAGGATCAGACTAACCGTGTTTACTCAGCGATATTGCGGAATGTTCATTGCTGTTTCTGCCCTTTTTTTTGCATTCAATTGCACTCAAAAATCAGAGTACTCTCACCCGTAGACAAGTGTGGGCTGAGAGTAGATCAGCGATCTATCATGAAACGAAACGGATAAGGTTATCATTAACTATAGTGAGAAGATGTCAAGTGACACTTAGCACATGCATACGTATTGCATGCTAAGTACTGGTGTGTTGCGCCCAAAACGGAATCCAATTAACTCAAAGACGTAACTCTAGATCCCACTCAAAATGTTTGTTCATTTGTTCTTCCGGAAACAGAGGTCAAGACGCGACGGCAGACACAATTTTCTTTTCGGAGATCATAGATGAGCGGTCTCATATGAAGAGGGAAAAAACCAACTAAAACCTTCCAAGTGCTTTTTTTCAGTTTTTCATCACTAAGGGAATTGCAGGGTCGGAGTGACGGGTAATCTGTTGGTCGTGATGTCGGTGGTACGATTCAAAGCGCTCCAATCTGTGCGGAACATGTTCATCGTGTCACTCTCCATCTCAGATATCTTTGTGGCGATTGTCAGTGGTTCAGTGACACCTATCACGGCGTTCTCAAAGGTTTGGCTGTTTGGCGCGCCGTTATGTCACTTCTTGCCGTTGCTACAGGTAGGTATTTGATACAAAGTCAGTTTGAAACAAAAGTGGAAAGAGATTTAGGGTACTGCTCTCAGTTTTTCAACATTAACGCTCACAGCAATTGCGATCGACAGATATATTCTCATATGTCATCCAACCAAAGAGTAAGGAGATGGTGAAAATCACGGAAACGGAATTTGTTCTCTTTCAGACCAATCAGGAAAGATCAAGCGCTAAAAATGATAATCTTCAACATTAGCATATCTGTCGGACTTTCCGTCCCTCTTTTCATGAAGCAAGAGCTCGTTCAGTACAGAAACTTCTGCGGAGAGTACTGCACAGAAAACTGGGGTCCGGATGCCTACCTGAGAAGTATTTACGGTAAGCAAGATTTGTAGGAAATTTCTCTTCTCAACTCCCACGCTTTTTTTAGGAACCGTCGTGTTTGTCATCCAATTTGTGATTCCACTTATCACAATCACTTTCTGCTACGCTTCCATTTCCATCAAACTGCGTCGCGGAGTGTTCGTTCGTGGGAGCCAGAAAGAACTCATGTCGGAAGCTCGCCGTCAGCTCACTCAACGACGACTTCGAACCAACCGGATGCTGATTATCATGGTATGTTACTTTTATTTCCAAACTTATACTTATCTGAATAATAATGGGCTTCTATTCGCAAAAGAGTCACCGCAATGATCTGCTTTTGAGCGAGATGATAAAGGATTTGTGGTCAGATTGTTTACAGCTGAACTATTTGCAAAAATCAGAGAACAGAGGGATATTTCCTGATTTCAGACGGCAACATTTGCGCTTTCTTGGTTGCCAGCGGTCGGATTCAACTTCCTCAGGGACTATTCGGCACTTCCGCGAATTATAAATGACCAGGACTATTTGTTTGGAATAATTTTCCATTGCATTTCAATGACGTGAGTTCACCAGCCCTTATTCAATTAAAGTTGTCTTTAAATAACTTTTACGCCTACCGAAAACATGTTTTCGGTGCTCTCATTTGCACCCGATCTTCTCGTGTGGGTTTTTGTGACTTCCTAGAATTGCTATAGTTTGTGCTAAGAGAAAGTTTATCGGAATTGAAAGTTGAGTCAGGCATAGTCAGAAAAAGGCGGAAAAGTTAGTAGAGTAGAATGACCACGGAGATGTCGATGAATTTCTGACGAGCTCGTGAATGACAATGACAATATTGGCGAAAAAATGGGATGTGCAACGAGATCATTTTTTTCATTAATTTTCAATTTTACAGGTCAACAATCGTGAACCCATTCCTTTACGGTTACTGTAACGAGCACTTCCGAGCCGCGTTTGTTGCACTCTTAGATTCGGTGAAGACGGCGTGTGGAATCAGACGAGTGAGTCCGGTACGGAAATATTTTGGAGGACGATGCACAGACTGGCGGACATAATTGAATGTTCTTCGGAAACGTGCTAATTGGTTGTTTTTATTTTTATGAGGAAAATCATTTCAGGGGAATCCGGCATGCTCTCAGCTCCTCAGCACGCATTTCGAGAGCACCACAAGACGGTCCATTGTGACGGTGCCTAGCTCAATTTGAAGGGGGATGTTGAAACGTGATTGACAACTTGAATACTTGTAAAGCAAACATTATTCATTAAACCTAACTTTTTCTGAAGCTACTTATATGTATGTCTTGATTTTTGATTCATCCGTGACAAAGCCCTGTGGAAATCAACTATCCTCACTTGCTCCTGGCTAGAATACGGTATTACAACTGCTTTATGTGTTTTTGTGATTGCTTTAGAACAATGATTATGTCTTGTAATGTTCTTTTTACAAAAAAAACGGATATGTATTTGCTGGACACTTTGTATTAATTCGTTTGTGTAATGTCCAGTCATGTTGTGAACTACTGTTTGGAAATAAAATGCCTTTGATGAATAGACTGAAAATGGATCACTCTAGAAGCTCTACAACCAAAGTAGTTCCGCACTTTCCAAATTCTTTTAACCAGTTTCCGTCTACGAAGTCTCAATTCAAGTGCAGTTGCTCTTTGTGGAAGAAAAGCCAGGGAACTAGCACAAAAATCCCTGCCCAAATATGTTTCTATTGTTTTTCGGGCCTCCTAAACAATAACACCGGTGTGAGATGAGGTCAAAACAGTGCGCGGTGGACAGGATAATTAGAGGGCGCAACTCACTCGAACTCTGGGCGGAAGGGCCAGGAGATGAGCCGGCGTGAAGAGCACAATGTTGCGCATTTGACACCCCCCAAATAACCTCTTGACGGACATTTGAGACACTTTTGTTTTGAATTGAGAACCATGATTTCTTGGTCAGACTTGCAACAGGAAAACAGGAAACTATTTCATGCTTTTCTGATGGCGTTCTCACAGGGTGTGAGACCAAATGATAATAAGTGCCTGCCATACATGCCTAATCCCCATGTCAGGTCTTTGTTTGTCCAAATACATAGAATTCTAATTTACAGCCGGCCAGTCCTCATTTGCATCTCAATCCTCCTCGATATCACCCGAAAAACAGTTCCCATCGTCATAAAAACGGCTTGAATGAATGAAAACTGTCACTTTGCTGTTTTCCTCTCTTTTTTCTTCATCTTCTTCTTCCCAATTTTCTCCGAAAACCGATTACGATTTTGATGATGAGGTCGGTAGGTCTTTGGCAAAAAAGAGAAGGAGGCGAAGCGGTTTATGCATGAGAAATTCCGTTAGTCTTTGCCGTCGTCTGAGTGGCAGATGGTGGCGCGAGGATACGGTATGGAGAGGTGGAGATGTGGAGAGTGGGCATTTCTGAAGAGGTGCATTGTTTGTTGTCTTTGATTGGACTGTTTGATCTATGCACGACCGCATGGGTGGAAACTGTGTTTTAGAACAGGAAAACGGAAAGTTTGAGTTTGAAAAGTTGGAAACTGGAAAACTTCAAAATTCATCGACTGGCATCACTCGGCTGCTCACAGATGACTTCTCAAAATCGGTCCAACCCAGTCCTGGTTAAAAATTTAAAAAAACGAAAAAAAAATGCTCTTCTTCATTGATATCAGCTAGGACAAGTCTGAAACTGTATTTTACGAAGTCAAAATTACAAGAGGCCACGTTTTTCGTTAAAATGTTGAGTTAGAAATCATGTTTTCTAACTTCAGTACTGAAATCCGTGCCGGGCCAGTAATCAGACCCCTGGCTCACAGTTTGAGATGAAATGGCAAGTCCCTCTGAAAAACTAGAAGCAAAATCAACCCAGCCGAGAACTTTCCCATACCAGAACCCTTTTTATTGACGTAATCGATTTGCCGAATTTGATGACATCTTCCTTGGGCCCCAGCACCCTTCTAACTGCTTCTCTCGATTTTTTATGTCTCTCTTTCTCTCTTTCCATCGTCGATTTCTTTCAGAATAATGTCTTGCGCAAGTTTAAAAACTGCAGAATCGTCGGTGCGTGCGAGGGTGGGCCTCTTCTATTCTCTTTCTTCCTTTGATCGACAAAAAAATAAGGAGAAGGAGAAGACATAAAACCAGTTCGGTTAAATCGGCGCCCCCGGTCTCCGTGGGAGGTGAGAGGCGCTTCGTTTTTCCTAACAGAAGAAGATGTACCTGGGGGGCTACCGATATGCTGTGGGTGACGACGACGCCGTCTATTTTTTGTGCGTCGCGCCGCGGTGTCGGAACAATAGTCGACGTGGAGACGGAGAGAAGTGAAACAGGCGAGGCGCCATGGGAGGTAGCTTCCTCTTCTTTTTGTTTGATGATTGACATAACACTTTCCTTTTTTCTTCTGGGCACTGTCAGTAAATGTGAAAAGACGAAAAACCAGAGTGGTTCTTGATTCTCAACCTTTTAAGTGAATGATTGGGAGGAAAGTGCAAGTCTGTGTAGGATTGAAATTTAAAGAAAAGAAGTTTCAGTTCATCTGCACATACAAAACAATGAAATGTTGGTGGGGAGGGGAGAGGGGGGTGAAAATTCAGACATAGTACAAATATATTAATTGCATGTAAAACAATTATCCGTTTCAAAAAAGAGAACAATTTTAAAGTTTTGGGAACGAGAAAAAGAAAGGGCCGAATGAATTTTAAGCAAATGTGACCTAGAAAAAATGGGGTGCTATAAAAATGAACGGGGAGTAAAAAAATAGCAGAGATTCAAGAAAAAAGATGTTCATGCAGAACACAGTTAAAAGCTGGCGGAGCTGGGCACAAGGATACACACACACACATGAAAAATGGAAGGAAGAACGGAGCGGGAGCAATATATTTGTGGAAATGAAAGAAATATGAAATGAAATGCCGGATTCGGATTACAATGAATGCATTTGAGAGGGATTCTACCGACTGAAAGCTGACACAACACGGAAATGCACAAAAATCAAAGAAAAGATCTTAAAAAGAAAGGGATACAATGAGAAAGAAAAACGAAAGTATGATCTTGAGGTCTTGAGATGGAAATTAAGTAAAATACAATTTCAAAAAGACAGGACAAAAGAGGAATGGTCAAAAGCATCGGTCCCGTAAAGATTGAGCGAGATCGCTTAACGGGTTTGAGTAAAAAAAAAGAGAGAGAGAGAGACAAGGGCTTTCAGCTCTTTATAATCAGGATGTGGCCATGTAAATTGTATGTGATGGGGCATAAGTGGTTTGGATTGGAGGCGGTGGAAGGTTTTGAATCATGACATGAGGATGAGCATATTCTCTCTTCCCTCTCATTTTTCCTTCTGAAGTTCTGATCATTTCAAGAACCAAGGAAGCGTTTGATCCCATGCTGTCCCAGGTTTGTACTCCGTTCACCGACAGCTGCCACATATGTATCTGAGCATCGTAAGCCAGACGCCTGAAAAAAAAGAACACTTAATAATGACTGATTTTCTTTTCCATATTCATTTCTTTCTATTCATATTCATAAGTCAAGAACCTGACAGGACAGTTGTTGTTCAGTGCTTAGTACCACCTGCTGCGCAACTATACCGTATACATATTGTGCTGGCTGCCTCCTAATCTCTTCTTCCACCCTCGCGCACCTATCCAACCAGAATAAATGAGCCTCATTCTTCTATTATAACTTTTTTTTCTTCTTCCGCAGTTCTCATGCTTCCTCCCTCCATCTTTTGTTCCTTCTATACAACAAGTTTTACGGGGTGAAGGTGGGGGGATAGGTGGGTAAGAAAAGGATGATGGGGCAGGGCGGGGAAGAGGAGCACTAATTATACGGGACGTCGCTAATTTGGTGGATGGGGGAGATTGATTGGATTCCTCGTCATCAAGGACGAGTGACTATTATAACGGTTTTGATTTCTTACTTGATCTGCTCAAAGACTTCGATGATTGGCCCGATGGATCGGACTTCGCCCCAAGACTGAAGGACTTGACGGTGAACATCCTCGACAAGTGCAGAGTTCTGCAGGGAAGGATCGAAGAGTGCCAGGAAGCGGAAGGCACAGTAGTCGTAGTTGGTGAAGCCCATGGTGCGGAGTCGGGCCACAATATCATTCCAATGAACCAGATTGGACTGGTTTCCACAAACCGCCAGGTATCCGACCGACACGCTGCAAAGAAAACGATTGTGCGCTTTACGATCAAAGGTTTTATTTTATTGGTGCCATGAACTTTTGAAAGACCCTTATAGTATACTGCCGGCCGCTTTCTTAGATTACGTGAACTGCGGCGGCGTTAAGGTTCACACACGCTTACCGTAATCCTTTATATGATAGTATAAATCACCGCCGATGGAAACGTGGAGCGCAATCCCGTTTATGGTTAGCGGTGAGCTCTCGATCGAGATTATCAGAATTGAGAATCGCGACCGACGTTCATTTACGTCATACCGGCACCTAACGGTAGGTAATCGGGAGGGTGAGTCACAGTCAACGAGAATAAGATTTATCGGTGCGGTCCATCTTCTACGCACCGCCGCGCTGTTTGTTTATAGAACCCCATGTTGCGCAAAAGTTGATTGACTAATCAAATGCATCCGTTCCCAAGACCGCCACTTACTCTTCTCCGTTTGAGATTTTGTACTGCGGGGAGAGATCACCGCGAACCATTGCATTAGTGATATCGATCATGTGGATAAGGGTCCACGACCCTTGCAACAGTGTCATCTGATCATCCATCTGGAATAATGCACTTTAGTACTTATCTTTCTCAATGCATTCGAGTGGTGCGCGGACAAGAAGGTGCAATGCAATTATGGCCCGGAAATTGGCACTACATAATGGGCCCGGTATGGAAAACAAAAGAAGAGGTGTTTGTATGGACGCGCTTCCTTTTTTGCGAGCGGCATCGGTTTCTTTCATGCCCGGAAGCGGGCAATCTGTCTTTCTATCATTGGTGAGAAATAGAGGATAAAAAGGGTGTCCGGAACAAGTGTGAGAGCCATCTAGATATGTATGTATAACCTGTAATTACGAACCTTCAATTCACAGAAGAACCGATTGTTCTTGGCCCAAGTCACCAGCTCCTTCAGGTTCTCCTCGGCGACATGAACGGCGAACGTTTGCGGGTCTGGTTTACAGACTCCTTTCACAGATGTGATGATTCGGACAATCTGAGCCTCGTCCGGAAGTGACTTGCACATCTCGGCAAGAGTACTGTTGTAGAAGTGATCGACCGTCTTCTCGGTAGGGATTGGGCAAACCGGAAGGATTGGAGAAGAGCTAGTGGTGTCCGTTCGACTGGCGATCGCTGAAATAAATTTTCTTAAAATCATAAGTTACAGATTCAGAACTCACTGGAAGATGTTGAAGTGACCATGGACTGTGTGCTGGAGACAGTAGTCACCGGCATCATGGTGGCGTAGTTAGAGTTGTTGGTGGAGTAGTTGGTGTACTCATGAAGAGGATGGTGGATGAACTGTTCAGTGTAATCGAACGGCTCTTGCTTCACTTCGGCGAGCTGGTAGTTATTGGGGAAGTTGGTATGACGGAGCAATGGATCTTCGATGGTGGTTCCCAGTAGAACTGCCAGACTGTCGTGATGATCGACCAGGTAGCCGGAAGGTCTCATGATAAAGTCGGACACTGCAAAATCAGTCAAATTAGATTCATAGATTCACCTCTCTACTTACATTGCTGGTTAGTGCTGCTCGACAGCGTTGGGCTCTGTAGATGTGCGTCATATTCGGTCTTGATGTACTCAGTCTTCACTTTCGTTTGATCAAAGTATTGAATTTGAGTATTCTGATCGTTTGTGCTGCTCGACACTTGATGATCTGGCGGGGTGTAGAATGCCTGTTGTGGTGCCCCTGGGTTGACCGGCAACACCGTGTTCACTCTCATCGCATTTCTCTGCATTCGATGAGCCCGATCTCTTTTATAAAAAGAGCCAAACTTGTTTCTTCCGCCTCTCATTCTATCGGCACGGACCGCTGAAAAAAATAGTATTATAAAGACAATCAAGTGCGCTTTTCTTTTGCCCCTCCAATTAGAGCTTCGCGCCTTTTTATTCTCCGCCAGATGACTGCGCACGGCTCATTTGACCGGCTGGCAAGTACAGGTCTTTTTGCCGCACAGTACGTACCCAGAAAAGGCCCCCCGACACCCGGCAATTGAGACTCTCCACCGCAATGAATGAGTTCGGCACTTCATGTTTTCCAACAAACGCGCGCGCGCGGGGGAGGAGGAGGAGACCTATAATTATCGAGCCGGCTCCTATTCTCTTTGTACTTTTCTGACGATCCGCCACTCTCATTCCGGTACAACTACCGTATAACAGGATGTGATGTGCGCCTCTCTTTGTGTCTCCGGAAATCGGGTGTTCGTCGTGAAGTTGAGGAGGCCCTGGGGGTGCCTACTGCCTCATCTTTCTCTCCCATTCAAAATGATCGGGCGCCACCGTCGCCGACGACGATGCTGCCTGCCGCCGGTGAGATGCGCACTCCCTCCCCCAGGTACCGGTTTTAGGCGCCTCTGTCAGATCTATGTCTCTTCTCCTTTCATATCCAATTTTGCATCTCTCACTTTCAATATATCGTTTTTGTTGTCATGCAAAAACGAAAGAAACGAAAAACGATGCAGCAGCAGAAAAAGGAGAAGAAGAAGCGAGAGAAGGAACTGAGAGAGAATCCATAAAAACGTAAACGTTGCGCGATTATTACAGGAAACACGCTTTTTCATAATGATGTAAGCGGGGGAACTTTTGGAAGACTTGATAAAAAGCAAAAGAGACACGGACCCGGATAACAGTTACAACTACCTATCTCAATCATCAATCTCCTAAAGGGCTGACAAAACAACTGGGAGCTCTGCCGAACACTTAACAATGCGATACGATTACCTACGATCAGGCGGTCTTTCTTTTAGAGATAGATATCTTGAGTGACAGTACCTTCCATTTTCATACCCATCGTCAGGCACTTCTGGAATCGGCAACTCGGACATCTCTTTCTGCAGGTACGATCCACGTGACAGTTGGCTTCGGCAGAGCATTGATATTGCTAAAAAAATTGAAATATAAATTTGGAAAGGAAACGAGAAATTGTCTCGAGATAACATCGTTACAGTAACCCGTGATGCCCAGTCACTTACCTTTTTGTTTTGGACAGTGCGCTTGAAGAAGCCCTGCAAAAATAAATATTAAATAGAAATGAGAGGAAAAAACTAGAATCGGAAATGAGAGAGCGAAAAAAGTGGCGACCGTGAGGGTCATGTGGCAACAAGTGAATGATTTTGGCTGGCCGTAGGGGTGAGAGTTGTCTGTCCTTGAGGGCTCGAACGTGTCCCTGAGTCGGGACTCTCACTAGCTACAAATGACCTTATCATTGGCCCTTCCCCTTGCGCGAAAAAAGTGAAAGATGAGAAAAGAGATGAGCGCGGGAAGAGAGTCGAACTAACCTTGCAACTTTCACATGTCAGGAGACCGTAGTGATATCCGGATACTCGATCGCCGCAAACGGGACACAGCTCGCCCTCGTGATTCGGTCTCATCACCATCCTTTCGACGTCGGTCATTTGCTACTGATGCACACGCTTCTGGAGCAACGGAACAGTTAAGGTATGGCAGGAAGGTAAAGGAAGTGGGTGTGGATATGCGAGGACCCGGCCGGCCAACGGCACGGTACAGAAAGTAGGCGGGGCCGGGAGGGGGAAAGTGAGAGTAAGGGGTTCGTGGCTGCTGCTGCTGCTGCCGCGGATGGACCGAGCGGACGATCCCCTCCGTTTGACGGAACTCCTCCCACCCGTGGACTGTCGGCACGTCTGCTCTCTCCCACAGGTTCCCCGCTCCTTACCGTAAGACACGTCGTCGTCCGTCCACTAAAATCCGCCAACGGCTACCTGTGCGGGGACTGTCGGAGGCGAGTATGGCGGGGGGGAGACGGTTGAAGGTCGACACGGAGGCCTGAAAGAGTGAACGTCGACGGGAGAAGGAAGGGGGGGAATGATCGAGAGGGAAAAAAGCGGAGAATGAGAAGGAAGAGAAGACGTCGGGGGGTCTTCGCAGGAGGCAAAGAAAAACGACGACGACGGAGAAAGCAAACGTGTGAGTATGGCAATTCACTGGCGTGTCGCCGGGGGTCGTGCCTGGCACCGCTACAGTTCGTTTTTTTCCAACATCAAGTTGTATCTCTTGTTCTCTACCTACTCCCGCGCGCGCGCAGCAAGTGCGGGAAACAGTAGCAGAGAAGTAGCCTGTGGGGTCGGGTCTCTCGATTTTTTATAGCCTCGTCGTTTCACTCGCTTATAGACGTGGGAAAAGAAGCGAAAAGAGATGAGAATGATTTTTTCTTCTCATTGTTCTTTACTCCATTTATATTACCAGAAACCTACCGCTCGCTTTTTGATTCATCACTCGTCTCTTTCTCTTTCTATCTGTTTGGATCTCCAGCATCGGGACTCGTCTGATTGCGCAATCAGCCGGTTCGCATAACATATCAAGATAACCCTTAGCCCTCCGGTATAAATGATATCAGAATGAGGGGACCACCGATACAAGTTGGGCTTGAGGTTTGATTATCAAATCAAAACAGAGAGAATCTAGATATATAAATTAGAGTGAGATTACAGAAGAGTACACACTTGGTTTTGTTTCAATCCAAGTTTCAGCCATGATAATAAGATTACGTGAAAAATAAAGGCAGTTTGGAACCACTTGAAGTTCCATGGATGATGGCGCAAAGATAGCAGAAGACAGTGAAAATATGATAAGGCAAGTGCAGGTAAAAAAAGTTGGCGCGCGACAAGACAGTGTAAAGTAGCAGAATTGGAAGTATGTCAAATGACGCCTTCAAAAAATACCAGATTCAGACGACCCGACAAACTTTCAATTTCGCAATCGATTTTCAGTGGCGCCTTGCGCAAGAAGCTTCACGAAAACTCTGGATAAGGTACAGAAGGGGGAATCCTGGTCGGTTGGCAAACGCAACAAGGCAGGAGAGGGGGTGCGAAAAAAGGGAAGGCAAGAGATATGGAGTGAATAAGATGAAGAGAGAATAAGAAAAACTTGCGCGCGCACAAGATGAAAATGTCCCGCATTTGGGGCGGATGGCGCGGATAAAGAGACAATATTGAATTGAGAGACTGTACGGCATCGGCTGAATCTCTTACGGTGTTGCGCCGTCGGTGGTGTTGCATGATTTTGTTGGAGGGGAGAAAGCTGCCGTCTAACGTCTAACGCAATCAAAGACACAGAACCGATCGACGACGCCAAATTGAGAGAGGGCGACAAGAAGAGACATGGCAAAAGTGAGATGGAGAAGATGAAGATGAAGCACGTGAGAATGAAACACTCCGGCATAGTTCCAACTTACTTTCTGATTTTATTTGAACAAAACCGTTTTCTCTTCAAACAAAAAAGCAAAGTATCTTTGCTTTTTTTCAAGAAGACATTGTTGACCCTTCTAGAAACGAAAACTTCTAGTGGTCACCTGACAACTGAGTACGATGCTTGTTTTTCATGTAAATTCTGAGACACTACTGTAACAATTTTGAAAACAAAAGCGGAAAACGTAGAAAACGCACCTGACATCAGCAGCCGAGAGAAGTTGGTTGTACGAAACGTTCTCGAAGAAAGTAGTAAAAAAGAGGATTCGATAAGAATCACAGTACGCAATAATATCACATTTGATGACTTGACATGGGCAAGACGCACTGTAGACGCTATAAATATTACCTGTCATCGACGTCAGAATTTGTTGCCATACTACTTCAAACTGTGTCCACTCTCTTTTTTTCTCTACCTAGAATTTCCGCGGGTGATGTGGTGATGGCATGGCGAGAAACTGAACGAAACGAAAAATGAAAAAAAATTGACTCCTCTCGCTTTTTTCTCCTCCTGCCACTGACAGTCTTACCCACATCATCGACATACCATCACAAAAAACCTGTCCGATGGTGTCGCCCCACACTTTCATACTCGCACACGCAACCGTCACTCCCGTGGGAGACGGGAGGCAAAAAATGATTGCCCCTCCCAGAACATTATCAAAGCCCTGGGGGTGGAGTCCTGTGATAGCGAAAAAAAATCAAAGTTCTCGGTGGGGTTCCAAATTGAGGGGGAAGAGTTAGGTTGTTACTTTAACCGATGATCCTTTCAGGTTTTGGTGGGTGGAATGGAATGATGATGGCAGTAGAAAGAAGACGTTTGGGATGCAAATGGGCGAAAAAGGTAATAGAGAGGATGGGGAAGGAAGGAGGGAACAATGATTGGGGAACAGGTCGTTTCATGTTTGTGTATGTTTCCAAATTTTCAGAAGAGTACAGGAATGAGGGCGCAGCGCTAGGTAGATAGCCTTTTTAACGAATTTCAGGACACTGCCACGTCTACAAATAACTAATTGACAAATTACGTGTGTACCAATTTCGAGGAGTCAGTTTGAAATAGTGTTTTGAAGGTAGTAAAATTCAAACTGTTTTCTTCTTTTCTCTCTTCTTTCCCCTCCCAAGATCGGAAATGGCGGATGAATAGAGATAAGCGATCGGATCGGTAGAGTGTGTTTACCGGTACATCGGTAATGTCAGTAGCTCATCCGCGATAGAGATTACCATCAACTCGCGCGATCGAAATGAAGCAGAAATGGAAATGGAAATGAAAATCGAATCAGGAACGGCTAGTGAAATTCGCGAGAATTGCAACTTGGCCGCGCGCGCGCTGGCTGCTTATGACGCAACACTTGCTTCAGGTGAATTCGTTGTTCGGTCATTTCGAAAGGGTGAATCACACCTACAGTACTCGCAAGCCATCTGGCAACAGGGGGATGGGAGGAAGTAGTGAGAAGGGAAAAAGAAGGAGTAAGAGTGATCAGATCAGATCAGTTCAGCAGATTTTTGAATGATTCCTCTCCGTTTTTACTGCGCCAAGCTATTCATCTTTATGAAACAGGTGAATGAAGTTGGAAACGAAAGGAAACTGAATGAAAAGAAGCTCGCAAGATGTCGATCGACGCCCCGGGGGATCCGGAGGAGGCGGGAGAAGAAGAAGAAGCTCCCACACGACCACCCAGGTGGTATGATTGCTTTAATGGCATCTTCATCTTCCCTTTTTGCTGCATCTTGAATAAATCCTTCTGCGCGAAAAAAGTGCGAGATGGGAGGAAGACACATACAGACGCGATTTGCAAGCTTTCTCGTTTTTCTAGTCGGCACTTTCGATTTTTTCGCCAACATTTTCATTTTCCATCTTCCCACCCCCAGACCACTTCTGCTTCTTCTGCCATCGGCTTTTTTCGGTCGGCCGAACGATCCAGTATGATTGGCGGAAAGGAGAAAAGAAAAAGGAAAGAAAAGAAAAGACAAGAGGCGCAAAAACGAGAAGAAGCACGACGCTTTTTCGCTTTTTTCGAGTGAAGGAGTGAAATGCGCGGAGAAAGTTGGCGGGCGGTATGTTGCATTCTCTTATTACAGTCGTTTTTGCCGCATGCTAATGCGGGTTTTGTTGGGGTTGGCAGGGCACGAGAACCGAAGACGAGAATCGGAGGTTTCTGATGGAAAAGGGGTAGTTTTGAAGACTGAGAATCAGCGATTCATACATTTTTTTCAAAATTTGGGCCTACTATAATGATCTCTCTAAGATCCACTTGTCCTCATTAATCTTCTTACCCCACTCGTATCCGGAGTTGACCTGATGCACACTCCAGATACCAATCTAAAAACTGATACGAATTAGCAAGTTTGCATTGCATCATCACGAATCGCTCCTAATCCCTCATGTTGAACTTGTCAACACGCGACGGGTTACTGTAATTACGCGTGTATGAATGTGTGCATTCTCCGTTCTATTCACGTGGTCAAGTTTGCTTCCGAGACACGTTTACGGTACGATAATCCCGAATAGCAATAATTGGTTTGAGGGGACGGGGGGCTCATGCTAATTGTGATTGCTCTTGTTTTATGGTATTTGCCTTGCCAACTTTGAATTTGAATTTGAATTAGAACTCTCGGATTTGTGGATAAGCTTTCCGAAATTTGTTGAAACAAGGTGGCAATAAAAGTGCAAAAAGCAGGTTTTTTTTTGCTTTGCCTTGTTATCTCGTCTCATGTCTGGCGTTCGAATCAGGACGTGCGCATCTTTCGCCTCTTGTGCAACAGATGGTGCCATTTGGAAAGATCGGGGTGCCCGCCGCCGAAAAACTAGTTTATAGGTAGATAGGAAGCGAAGATTTTGAGGAGCGACAAACGGTCGACGTAAACAGTTTCAAATGTTATGTACATAAAAAACTGTCTCATCATGAAATGACAAAAACCCGGATCGCTTCAAACTTCAAACAGTGAAATACGGTAATCGGGCTTCAATTTCCGCGTCTTCCCAGAAACCGAAACCGTCTATTTGCTATTTACTTTCTGTGCCGTGTTTTGCTAGGGTCCACCGGTTTTTGCATTAGAATCGGAAGAAAAAGTGGCCTTGGATGCAAGAAACCGAAATGATGGATGAGAAAACTTCGGGGGGGAGGAAGACATCCGAAACTGTAGGCATAAAAAACGTGGAACGAGCTGTTTTTTGCCGCGCACCGATCTGATTTGCCACCGTCGGACTTTCGTTTGATGGCGTGTCCCAAGGTTATCCGGACAATTGCGGTGTGTCGCGACGGAGCCATTGGCGTCAGACCGGACTGAACCACGGAGGAAAGAAAAAACTTTGCGCCGCCGTTGCCTCCTACCGCTTATTTATCTGCATATTTCGCTCTCTCTCTCTCTTTCTCTCTCTGTGTTCGCTTTGAGCGTCTGAGCGATTTTAATTACAATCTTCAATGGTCTGTTCTGAAGGTGAAACCTATTAGAAAGGACCCCCTACTGTAGGAGAGATCGCGTGAGGAAGCGAAATGGAAAGCAGGGACTAACGAAATTATGATGCTCGTAAAACAGTCATGACTGACGAGAATTGAAAAGAATGTGAAGGGATTGACTTGCAAAATGAAAATAGTTGGGGACTGATAATCAGTCAGACGTATTACTATTATCTCGTTATTCTAACTGATTGAAGAGCTCAATAATCGTTGTTTGTCTTAGAGCAACAACGTCTGCATTACTTTTACAATGATTTAATTAAGGTGTTAAGCAACAAATTCTGATTCTAATTAGGGAAATTTCAACATTAGAAATTAGAAACAGCGCACGCACACGCGCACGACCTTGTGAAAACGTCTCCTGGCCCAAGCGCGTGGAACACGTGCATTCAGTGAGACGAATAAAAATGCGAGAAATACATATACATTTATCAGTAACAGTGTATTTCACAAGTACCGCATACATATAAACAATCTATTGAGCAATAGTGGACGAGAAGATGGTTTCCATAATCTTTGGAAGTTCCGCGGTGTTTTTGAGCACAAATGCTTTACCCGCCGGCAATTCTTGTTGCAATTGATTGGCTTCATCACTCAGCGAACCAATGAAGATCACGAACGAATTGATGCTCGGATCCTTGAGCATTTCCTTTTTCAGTTCACTCGGTTGGATGCCATACCTGCAATTTGGACGATCGTTAAGATACCAGACTTGCAAGATTCCGGGCCGAGTTTAGCGGGCTTGATTGCGGAAAAATGAAAAAGAAAAGTGCGGCAAGTTCTCTAAAAATGCGGTAAACTTGCTAAAAGTGGGTGCTAGGGTTGCTATCCAACGCTCTGCCAACAGTCCGTAAAAAACAAACCGTTCAAGATTCGCATCTGATACCAGAATAACAACTGTTTCGTCAAAGTCATCCTTCTTAGCAGCCAGTTCCTTGATGGCAAATCGCAAACTTTCGACGGTATTATCACCGCTCACACAGTACTGCAAATCTTTTGTCTTCAGTCCACGTTCACATTTCTTTCGAAACATACTTGAGTATGCGCCATCATCCGTTTCAGAGTGTCCAGTCGTTCTTTGTTGTTTCTCGGATGCTGATCCGTTTTCACAAATGTAACGCATGGTGAGTCTCCGGAATGTCCAACAATATCATACTTCACTTTGTCCGTTTTCCCATCTAGTGCAGTCATTGTCATCAGAGTTGCCTCAAGAGTTTTAGCCAGTCTGTGGTCGTATCCATTGAATCTGTACATGGATCCAGACACGTCAAGACACAATTTCAGTCGCTTTGGTTTCGTCTGTGGAGCTCCCGGATCTGGTTCCTTATCGACACGGCGTCTGGACAAAAACGTTTAGTAAACTTGTAACTTGATACTTTCCGATCAACCTATAAATGTTCTGTTCGCCAGTGACACCCTCGATCAGTTTCCCGTCGTCCAGATCTCCGCTCGTCTGATGCTTTGTCCATTCTCTCTCCTTCTTTTTGGCCTGACAACAAAAACCGGGTTGGTCGATTGTCTTTTTCCACTGTCTCACCTCAAGTTGATCGATCACTGAAGCCAGCTTTCTGCTGGACGCCTGCACTTTTTTCCAAACATTCTCGTACGCTTCCGCATCGTAATCGGACATGTTGATCTCCTGAAACTTGCCATCTCAAAGTGCACTTTTTCGGATCAACTCACACGCAGTTTTTTCGCGTATTCCGTTTTGGCAATTTCGCGCGCCTTTTTCAAAATGTGCGCAGGGACTTGATTCTTTGCAAAGTCGGGCATTTGGTGCACATCGTGTCCTGCATCAAGTCTAGAACGTTTCAATATTGAATATGTACACGTAACAAAATTGAATGTTCACCGGAATGGTCCTCCGATTCCTCCCAATCCAGCAGTGTTGTATCCTCCGGTACCGCCCATCCATTGATTTCCGCCGTGATGTGGAGCGTTGTTCGGATCAAATCTTAAATAAAACAGATAATTACGTTGCAGAGCTAAACGGATCTTACTTTCCAAGTTTCGGCTCATCAAGCTTGTCGAAATTCACATCATCTGGTTTTCTGTCAAACTCCATCCGCAATTTGTCGTCATCTCCTCCGGAAGTCATCCGTTTCCATTCATTGAACGAGTTGGCAAGAGAAGACATAGTCAGTTCGAACGAACGGATCACTCCGGAACTGTCGACGGTCAGTACTTGGTCATTACTCCATGGAACAACAATGAAAGCGGATTTCGAAATGGATGCAACCCAATCACTGAAAACACAAGGGGTAAAACTGAGCGGGAACAAAGAACATACTGATAAAGACTAATATTTCCTTCATGTGGCACTGGAATGTAGCAAATTTGCTTCTTCTCAGTGTCGACAGCTTCCAAGAATCCAATGCAGCTTCCCGGTTTGATTTCTGAACAAAATAAATTTAGAAAACTTCAAGACAAGAAGGACTTACTATCATCAACAAGTGCTTTAGGTGTGAGATAGCCAGGAATGCCGCGGACCAGAGTTTTTCCCAAAAATGTGACTTCTCTCGACAAATCATTCGCAGCAACTCGTTCTTCTGAGAACATAAATGCTCGTCGATGGAACGTTTGTGCTGCGGGCTTTCGGATGACACCATTGATTTTACCCGACTGAAAACCCATAATTTAAAAATTGGACTGTGAACGTTTTTTCTTCACTTTTTCGCCATAATTTCCATGAAGAAAATAGTACGGTTCTGATACCAGCGTCATCTGACCACCATTAATTTGTGCGCCGACCGCATCCAAACCACCCTTCACATTGTGATTGATTTTCTCGAGTGACCAATTCCCGTTCTCGAGTTGCAGTATGTAGTTCTCATTATTCTGGCGAAAAAGTATTTGTTGAGATGACAATTTTGTGTATTCACTCACAGTTGACACTACGCTCCATTTCTGTGGTTCCGTAGCGAACACGCGTTTGATTTCAAAAGGAACCGTTCCGCTTTGCACAGTTACTTCACGTTTTTCGTCAGTGTACACGAGAATTTGGTTGCCTCCGCTGCAAAAATGCATCATACACATCCGGTGCCTAATGCCACTTACCACTCGTAGAGCAAAGCGTGATTGCTCTTCTGGTTGGACAACCTCCACATATTGTTTTCAGAGAACACTGCAAAATTACAATATGCTCCGAAATTTTGGAATAAGAATTACATGATCCGATTGTCTTACTCAAACTTGACTCTTTCTTGACAACTGCAGCCATTTTGTCGGGTAAACTGAAGATTGCAGTGAAGTTCGCCTATAACCGTGAGTTCGATGGGAATACTAACGTTTATGGACTGCATACCACTTCTTCATGGATCAAAACATTGTCTCCGCCAAGATAAGCAAGTCTGAGTCTTGGGCGGTAAATAGAACGAGCACGTGGAATGAGTCCGTTGATGTTTATTTGATCTACCTGAAAATTGGAACCGATTTGAAAGATTCCGGGCGGTTGGCCCAGAAGCGAGAAATGAGAATTCACGCGGCTAAGTGTCTAAAAGTGGGTGCCAGGGTTCCTCCGTTCACTTTTGAGCACATATTCTTATTTTTTTTCAAGCTTTCGACTGAGCCGAAAAAACTTTAAGTTTCGGCTTGATCCATTGTCAGTTTACTAACCGTTTCAGTATTGATAAAGTCTTTGCAGTGGAATAGACACGGAGGATTGACACTGGCGATCAATAAATCGTCATTGACACGAATACCGTCCGACACAATATTGGAATCATCAATAGGTAACTTCCAGATGGAGAACTGCTCCGAAAAGGTTTGGTTTCTGTTGCCCTGTTTATCAAGCTTTGCAGTTTTCATATTCAATGGAGAAGGCTGCTGAAAATTCAAAAGTTGAAGCCGATTTGTCTCATTTTCTTGTGTGAACCTCAATTTTGACAGAGGTGGCCGGGTGAAATCCATAGTCCTTTGAAAAGTTGATTTTCTCCCTCCACCACTTGCCGACACTTTTCAACTCTCCCAATGGAATTCTCTCCGACAGCGATACTGATTCGGTGCTCCGGTCAACACCTGAAAAAATACTGTTTACGTCAAGAAAAACAAGTTGTTCAGTTAAACTGTTCATTATCTAACAAAACTCGTAAAAACAAAAAGAGGAATCAATTCTCATGTCAAAAAGCATAAAAAGACTAGCCTAGAGGAACTCCGTGCTTTTGGAAAACTTGATGGATAGTCGCAATTGTGTCTTCATTGTAGGAATCGAAATCGAAGACGTTTCGGCAGACTTCTGGCAATGGGTCGGTCGGGAACTCCTGAAAATTATTCAAATAGCCGGCTTTCAGAGAATTCCTTCAACTTACATTACAATGACGGACAATATTCACCAGCTCGCGAGTAGAGTACGGGTACTGAAGAAGACCTTGGTCCGTCTTTTCGCGGAGTTCATTGAAGATGGTCAGAAGTTTGTTTAGAGTCGCATCCGGCACACCTGGACCGTATTTCTTGATCATTTCAAGTTCGCTGGCTCGGCCCGGATGATCGATCATGTGGATAGCGAAGAGATCTCCCAGCACTGCGAACAAATTGTTTCCTAAAAACATTGGCTGTCAGAACTTTGTGTCGTTGCGGATGACTCACCTAGGAATGGGAAGCCTGGTCTATTGGCAAGCATGATTATTCTGAAGTTGGGGTCAATCGGAACAATCCGGTCGTCCTTCTTGTCTGCCTCAGTGAAAGACTTCGCAGGACGGAGTGTGCGTCCATCTCCCAGCACAAGATTTCCAGTGTCCAGAAGACTTTTGAGGATGGCGATCACGTGGAGAGGTGCCTTGTCGGCCTCGTCAATGACCAGAATCTGTCCGTTTCTGGCGGCCTTCACCAGAGCACTGTCATCGTGTCGGATGATGCCGTTCTCAACGACCGTCTGCATAGTCAACGTCTGAACAGTGGTATCTCTGTGCAGTTGCATGTACTGCCTCGGGCGGTTGATGAGGTGAAGGAATCGATCGGTGAGCTTGTTTTTGCCCACTCCTTGGTTTCCAATCAGCAACAAGTGACTTCCTAATTTCATATCTCTGGCCATATCCTCCAGAATTTCAATGTGCTGCTCATTGTCGTGAAACAGTACGTTCGGAATGAGCGCCTCGTCTTCCGGTCTCTCCGTGGGCGCTCGGATCATATCAATGTACTTCTCGTTCTCTCTCGTTCTGATCGCCGTGTCATTAAATATCTTTGCAACGTTCAGCTCGTGTTCGAATGTTTCCTTTGTAATTTGAGGGAGAAACTTCGACAGAGCGGCCTTCTCCACCAGTTCCCGCAAATGTCCCGGCTGCATTGAGTCCCTCTTTGCAATATGAATCAATCGTCGAAGCGACAAGGAAGTCGACGCGTTTTTCAGCTGAAAAATATGTATAGGAAAATGTTGTCGCTCAAAATAAAACATACCCCAGAATCAGCGGAACTTTTGATTTTCTGTACAAACTCAGTGAGCTTGTTGACTGATTCTGTGTTTGATCCGTGCGTGATTTCGGAAATGATGTTGAGTTGTTCTTCAAGTGACAGATCCGGCACCGTATAGAAGGGAAGGATCGATAGCACGTTCTCATTGATCCATTTGTGCTCTTTTGATTGCGATTCTCCGACAAACAGAACTCGGAAAGAGTTGGGAATGCGAAAGACACCTCTGAAATATAAAAAACGTCTTGGAATAGGAACCCAACTATTTTACCTATCATTCATGGTGGTTTCGTCAATACTATCTCTTTCCATAATCTTCAAAAACTCTTCTTCCCCAATCAGTCTGCTTCCATTAGGCAAATCGAATCGGCGGTGGTAAATGAGTTGAGAAAGCGACATAATCACACTCGGATGCACCATTTCCACTCCATCCAGCACACATACATCACCATTCCTAGCCGCGTTCACCAGAATAGAGTCTTCCCACACCGTATCTCCGTTCTCTTTCATGTGACGGCGTTGAATGAGTTCTCTTGTGTTCATGTCCTGATGCAGGACCATTGTCACATAGTCAAAGTTGAGGCGCTTTGAGAGTTCTCCAAGGATTCTCGATTTGCCCGATCCTTTCGGCCCAATCAACACAAAATCACCTCTGGCAAAGGCCAAAGCAAGATCGGCGAGAAGTATTTCTTGCTTTTGGGTCGGAATCCAGACGGCGGAAAAAGAAGAGGGGTGCGAAGGTTGCGAAAGGTCCAATCGGATAGTGGTGCCTTCCTCCGGAACACGCACATTTAGATTCCCATCATGTGCCACAAGTTGACGAGCGTGCTCTTGCGTTTTCTGGACAAAAATTGCGCTTTTTTACGAAACAAATGAGTGCGACATACCACTTCGAACTTTGTCTTGAACGTCTCAATCAAGTCCTTTTCACTATCCGAGAGCACTTCTTTTGCTGGATAGGCCATGTTAATAATCTCGCCAGCAGAATACGACGGGTTTTGGTTCTGAAAAAACCTTGATTGTTTCAATTACAAGAATTCATGTCTAACCCAGATCTTCAAAGTTCTTTCAATGACCGACGTAGCAATCCGAGGTCTTGATGTGGATGCATCCGAGTTGTACGCATAGGTAAGAGATATCAAGTCGTTCAGCTCAGATTCTTTGACCTTCGGCGCAATCTGCTTGGCTTGCTCCAAGAATGTGTTAAAAGACAGTTCCTGAATGTTTCTGCATTGAAATCTGCTTCGGAATGGAGGATCCAATGAATTTCCCGGAAAGCGTGGCACAGGAAGACCCAACGCGATGACGTGGAAATTCTCGGACACTCGTTCCATTCCCATTTTCTTGAGTGTTGCCTCGTCGTACTTCTCCTTCAATTCATCATATTTGTCGTGTTTCATCAAAAATCTGCCGTCATCCAACTGCATCTCTCGGTTTTCGAGAAGATTGTTGAGGATCGGGAGCACATTCCGTTCGGCACGTTCCACTCCGTCAATGACCAGAACTCTGCCGTTGAGAGCGGCTCTCACAGCACACTGGAATACGGGAAATTGTATTTTTATTCATTTTTTTTGAGTAAATTTAGTTTACCAAGTCAGTGTAGTAGGCGGTTCCATCTCGAATCTCTCTTCTTTGTTTGATGTCGGCCTCGGTGGTGTCTCTGGTGATCGGGAGGTACTCAAACTCGCGGTTTGTTGCTTCCTGAAAGTTGAAAATGAGATGAACAAAAAACTTTTTGTTGCGCCATACCAAGTATCGCAGAACAAGTTCCAGACGAATCTTTCCAGGTACTCCAAGCAGAAACACGTCCTGCTTCAACTTGTCCTTCTGAATGAGCCATCTCAAATGCGGCAGCAAGTCGTGTGGTGGCTGTCCCTTGAGTCCATAGTACGCCGGCACAAAGTCAGGATTCTTGGCGTCCTGGAGCTTGACACTTATGCTACCAATAGTCAATGTGGAGGGTTTCGAGCTGGTGGACGCTGTAATCGAAATTTTCATAGTTTGGAGCTGGATGACAACTATATTCTGACCACGAGTCGCCATTATTTTCTGTGCATGTCGTAGTTGAAGTTGTAGAAGTGAAACCCGTGTAATCATTCTGTCGATACCTGTATCACTGTAAAACATTCAAATTTTGATAAGGAAACAAAATGAAAGCGATCATAGAACGACACAATTGAAGGAATAGAAAAATTAGACCGACATTTACTTTATTGGATTTCACAACTATAAGAAGGAAAGAAGATCGCGAAAAAAGCACTATTCAGGGCATTTAAAGCAAAGAAGAACACACCAAGACAGAAACTGAGTATCGAAAGTTTTCAGAAACGTATTATGGCTCCCAAAATGTGAAAAAGTAAGAGGTCGACAATCATCTGGAGACATGGATCACTTGCGGAACAAGGAAAAGAGCGTGACGACGGCCAGTCCCGCCAGTCCGGCCCACATGTACTGAAACAATGAAAAATCGATGATGAGTGCACAGACTGCACCACTCTCGCGAGATCTAGTGACCGTTGGTGTGCGACGGACGGCCAATGAGTGATGTATGATGTGTGCGCGAATAGGCTACAATCAAGACTACATCCAGCAGGTTTGTACTGACTGTGATCAGTGATCTCTTTGATTCTTGACAAGACCTGAGGGACCGAAACCTTGAATTCTCATTCCCAGAACATATGATTCAATCCAAATGGATTGAGAAACACAACTTTCCGAAAGCAATCAAATGCAAATAGAATGAGAAAAACAAGAGTCTCCCGTCATTGCCATGTGTTTTCCTAAGACCGCGGTCAATCAGTCCTCCGCATACACACCCCAACGTTCTCCGTTTTGCAAAGTTTTGAGCTACCTGCTCGCGGCGGTCCCTCTTGATATTTTCGTCGAGCAGGCGGTCAAGCGTGCCTCCGATGTCTTCTGAAATAAGATTTCTCGCTCGTTTTTCGCGTCTTATTGATACTCACTCAGATGAGTTCGAACGGTTTTGATCTGACGAATCGGATCCACTTCGCAGTGCGCATCAATATCGGTTTGATAGTGCTGAAAGAATACCGAATTTTAGTAATTTGTCTATCAAACCTCTGTCATTTGATCCACAAATGCGAGGTAGTCATCCGACTCGTAAAGCGCGGTCATCGCCTCCTCCGGAATCTGAAAATACAGTTGTAGCTTCTCATGGATACTGTGCCCATGCTTACAAAGAGACGTGGGTCGTGTCCTGGTTCAATCGCACGGCCAGTTGATGAAAACTGCGCCTGAAACTGTTCTTCGAGCATTTTCCGGAGAATCACTGACTATCTGCTGCTTTACCTCCATTCCAGTGTGCGACAATGCGTCTCCAGTTCCAGATATATGCTCTGGCATGTACATTTTGTCGTTTTTAAAGCTCTGTAAAGAGAATCAATGAGGAATGGACCGACGAGAAAGGGGTCCGACAACGATGCTCCGCACGCTCCTGGTTTAGCGGGTTCTCTCGACTCTCTCACTCTCTCGTCGTTGTCGATTTACGAGCTTGTTTTTGCCTGCCGAAAATACGTAATTTCACTTGTTTTTGAGTCGATTTTCAGTAGATTTAACTTGTGACTCGACGGAATGCTTATTTTATCATAAATTACATTTCAGATGGCTGAATCAAAGGAAGTCGCGCAGAAAAGCGACGTAAGTGCAAAACTTGAGCAAAAACTGTGAGCAAGTGAGTAAAACCACGTTTTGCAGGTGTATGTGATGCCGAAGGAAGAATTTTGGAACGATATCAAGGACTCTTATTGCCAAAAGTTGGCAAATAGTGACCCGAGTGATGTTTATCCAAGCAACAATCCAGGTTAGATTTCATACATTCTATATCAAATATCATCGAAAATCGTCGGCAGTCACTCTCAGTCGACTACACATTTCTTCACAAAAAAAAACACCGATTTTTAGGCCCGGAGTTGCCCGATGGATCGGTCAATTTCGAATGCCACTGTGTCGGGCACCTTGTCGCCAGCCCGTGCGGATACGAATTCAGGTGAGAATTTCAAAGTTCAATGTCTCAAAAAGCGTATCGCATTCAGAGAGGCAATAACGTGCCAAAAAGCGTCAAGCGAAAAGGAAATGGAGAGCGGCGCGTGTGGAGAACAATTGATGGCGTTCATGGAGTGCGCGATGAGGACTCAGTGCTTCAAAAGTGAGTTCAGCTAACTAAACTTCACTTATGTTTGTGGAGCACGAGTGAAAAGTGAAACCAGATAGAATTGTGTCGCATTGTGACACAAATGACAAAACGCTGAAGAGATCTGAATGCGAAACGTGGGAAAATGTTCTTGATCAGAGAAATCTGAACAGAAATTCTGCACGTACACCAAATAAGAAATAGATGTATTCGGAGCGTGAGATTCATTAGCAATGAAATGTGCTCTTCTGATCTCAGCATTTTGCAGAGAATATGAGAATTAATGTTTTCAGCAAACGACTCGAACGACGACAAATCAGCTGGCAAGTAAATGGATGCACCATAACAACGTTCGATAGGAAATTAGTTCCTAGCACCTCATTATATTTATTGTTCGTTTCTGTCTTCTACTATTTCGTTTTGACCGTATCACACGGGTTGTAGTAAACTGTTGTTATCTTTTTATCGCCCATTCTCTCTCGGTTCAAGGTCCGAATACGTTACTTACTACTTCCTCTTGTACCGCGTATATGGTTTATCGATTCAGATCCAAAGTCCAGATGATGCAAGTGCCGGACCATCTGTCCGTCACCGGCGCTGACCTTATGCAGATAGACCCACTCAACAAACTGGTCGGTCGTCGGTTTTGAATAATTTCTTACAAATCTCTAGTTTTCAGATGAACAAATTCGAGGCGACACGTAATGCTTTGATGGAGAAGATGAGTGTTCCCGAACACATTACAGTAAACGGGACGAACGCTTCGCTGATCTTTCCATTAGACCGTCGTGTTCACAGGTCGCCCGTGAGTATCGACTTTTCGAGAAAATATGTAGCTATGGTTCTTTTTGATTGTAGTCGCTCATGATGGAAGTGCCGAATCATTTGAACGTGTTCGATTTGTCGGACGATGTAATTCAACGCAACAATAATCAAAAAATGGTAAGAGATCTCAATCCGTGTAAATGGTGCCGGGTCGATGGAAAATTTACCTAGGCTCAAAAATCTTTTTTTTTTTTGAAAATTTAGTACTAAAACCCGGGCCGGGCCGCGACAATCTGTAAAAAGTATTGTTTGCAGTCTGTTCCATCATCACTGGAGTCCTCAAATGTTCAGAATCCGTATGAAGAAGTGAAGATGATGCAGAAAAGGATAGGTGAGATTGATTTCCTTGTGACGTGGCTTGAATTCATTTTCAGTTGTACTGATGGCTCGACTTGGAGTACTGGAGAATCAAGTGGTAGTGCAAAAGCGACGTGAGAAAGGACTTCTTTTGGCACTCATCGGAGCTGTTATCACCATGGCATACTCGTACTTCCGCCGTTGATCATAACCCGATTTCTCATCTATTTTTAGATTTATGTTAGCTTCAAACTTTTAACCAACTTTTTGTATTTACCACTTCCCAATGTATGCATGCACACGCACACTTTCATTTTTCCACGTGTATTCTTCTACAATCACGACTGTCACAAAAATTGTACAATATGTAGTTTTTATTTTTTATAATGCATTGAGATTAGCCACACTTTCCTGCTTTAATTGCATTTTAATCACAGTACCGTTTTCCAAATAGCACTACAGCTTTTTTGTACTGCACCCAGTTTTCGTGGTTTTTTGTCTTATTCTATGGCATGTCATCCCTTCTTCCATTCTTTCTTACCATTATGAATACTGATAACTTTGCACACTACTATTTCATGGGCCCGTTCTTTTTTCAAGAATTCACTCTTTCCGGACAGAGTCAAGGTTTTCCGGGACTCACTTTTCAGACAAGTTTAGAGCGGTTTTTATCATTCATTCTCAAGAAGTCCAACCAGGAACCATTGTTTTTCTGAGGGTACCCTTGTTTATTTTAGGGGGCCCATGTTTTTCCTGGAGGTCTGAGAGGGACCTTATTTTCTTATTTATTTTTCATGAACCATCTCTCTCTTCCTTCCTCTGACGTTATTGTCTCTCGATATTGTCCATCTCCCTCTCTCTCTCTCTCTCTCTCTCTCTCTCTCTCTCTCTCTCTCTTCCTTCCCCTGATCTTATTGCTATGCAAGAAGTCAGCTCTCTCTCTCTCTCTCTTCTTTCCTCTGACGTTATTGTATGCAAGAATTCGGCTTCGGGACATTTCGAATCCGGACAATACTTTGCCCATGTCGACAAGGTAATTTTTCGCCAGTCCCCAATTCTTGGATGCAGTATTTGGAAAAAGGATGCAGTATTTGGAAAAAAATGAGCGTAAATGAGAACTGGAATAAAAACTGATTTCGGGTCCACGATTTTTTCGAATCTATGAAACCCTTGCTTCGGTCCACGATTTTTTTTTTGGTCCACGATTTTTCCAAATGGTCCACAATTCTACAACAATGCCGATTATTGCAGATGTCTCCAATGTCCAGAATCTTTTTGGTGCCGGTCACATCCTATTAATCCTATTAAATTAAACCATGCCTAATTACTCCACTACTTCGGTTTTTTCTCTTTTTCTGTCAAAACAATATTTATTTATGCATTTTGAGAAATGTAATTTACAAATGATAACAAGTGAAACGAATCAATAAAGATCGCCGGCTACACTCCATGAAGGTTCTAACCTTCTCTGGTACAGAACGAACGGTTTCTCATTTCTTTTCCTTCTGAAGTACAAGAATCCCCAGAGGAGGACTGCAAGTATGGAAATGGCAGTCAATCCGATTCCGACTCCAAGGATGATATTCGGAAGTGTCACCACATTGAAATACACGTAGTTTCTAGCGTAGTCACGCATCTCAACACTGATTCCTAGCCAGAAAGACGGCAGAAGTGCGTTCCTTACGTTTGACATAGTTCTGAAATTCCATAAAGTTTGCAACATCCTTATTCTAATAAGCTCACGTCCAGGCCGAAGAAGTGAAGACGGGAATTGACATCATCATTTTAAAACTGCCACCGATTGAACTTCCGGTTGTCTGAAGTTGATAATGATCGACGTGAAGCTATATTTTGTGACATACTGGATTAATGTAGAAAGTTCCGGGATGATGAATCTCGGGGTCGGACTGAATTCCAACCATATTCTCAAAAACCTCTTTAGGCGCTCCGTAAAAGTGAGGCGCGGAGAGAATGGCACCGAACGGAACGGGAATCAGTTGTCCGGCAAGGCACTGCTGTGGAATCATCCCTGGCGGCAGCAGGTAGGTCCCATTTATGTGCGCTCCGTCGCAACAGTTACTGCAAAAGTTATCCGGGATGTTGCAGTCGACCATTCCGCAGTTTCCGTTGTCAGACTTTGTATGGTTTGGACCACATGGCCAACTTGGGAAGTAGTTCTGAAATTGAGACGTGGAAAGTTGAAAGTCAGCCAGGAATAAGTAAAAGTATGTACCACTTTCTCAAGGTTATCGTATCGGTATCCTACATGTTTGACTGCATCGTACGAGTCATCTTCAATCTTGAATCCATATGTTGGGATTGTGTTGACTGTCTTTGTCTCAGAGTAATGAAGATTGTACGTTCTGAAATCTAGTGGTTGTTTATAAAGATTGTATGCATACTATGTACCTGCAAACAAATGACTGGAATTGTTTCAAGTTGTCCTTCTTCTGAAGTCCCGGCTTCTGAAAAGTTCCATCTCCGGTGTTTCTGATGTCCCTGGTCTCCTCCGTTTTCCACCACGACAAATGAGTCATTCCATTCCATGTTTGAATCAAAGCGGTGCTAAAATCTCTGTGTTATAGTGCTCCTTTTCATGCCTCAACTTACTTATCGCTATTATCTTTTCCTGTTTTAATTGTATAGTTTCCGTCGCAAGTGTGATTGTACTAAAAAGTAACAGTTTTCAGGTGTGACACCATTTTCATTTGTACCTGAGGGAAGAATCCGCCGCTCGTGACTTGCGGGAATTGAATAGGATTTCCCAAAATGTTCATGAGCGCCTGCAATCAGGAAACACGTTGTTATCACGTCATAGTGGGTGTGGGCGAAACAGGAACAGTTTCGGTGAGAATTACCTTGACTAGCGGGCTGTTGATTAAGTCGATAAGCGGGTCGGAATAGCCATCAAAAAGAGTTCCGGAAGCAGTGACAGTTCTGCGGTTATTTTTCGGTTTTGTGGTGTACCTTGGTACCCTACCTCAAAGGTTGCTCGCCGAGAAGAAGAGTGAGAACATCCATACCCAATCCGATTAAAGGAGAAGAAGAAGGCTGCTCGATTTGCATGAAGACCGTGCTCTGAAAGTTTTTGAGTGTTACTCCCAATTTCCAGCGCACTACACTCTTTTCTCCCAAAATAGAACATTCCTTACCATGAAGGCAGTGTTGGCAAATGAAACGCTATCAGCTTGACGACAATCTTCGCACGAGCGTGATTGATCAAAAACCTAAAAGTTGTGGGATGATCTTTGCGAACTGCTGTCTGATCTTCTCTCACCCAAGTCTTATTGTTCATATAGAATATTTCCTTATCATTGTTCCGGAACTCGATAAAATCTTTGAATTCCGTCTCGCTGAAAGAGTTCAAAAGGATTAGGTGTGCTCTGCTGAGCCGTAAATGTCGCCCCATGTCACAAACGATTTTTTCGTCGATCATGATACGTTGTCTCAAATAAATCATAATATCTTTACTTTCAAGTTCAACATCCCACATTTGCTATCAATCTCTTGCAAACAAGCATAAGTTGCCCTGTATCAGCATGAAATCATATTTCAAGTCGAGTAATAGACTTTTCAGTTGCAATCGTTTTAACGGTCCATTTACAGTCGCTCTCTTCAACTCAAACACTCTCTCCGTAACTATCACAGCACATTTTTCCACTATCACAATTACAAATCAAGTATGGTTAAGGCGCCTCGCTTATCACAAAAGGCACAAGGCAACTACCGGGAGATGTCAATTTGTCGTGCAAACTCACGCGTAGGTATATGGTCCGATTTCGAGCATGTTCGGCGTGGCACCATAGTACAGTACTTCATCGGGGTTAGTCACGTTAAACAGGTAGAACGTCCAGTATTGTACTGCAGGAATTTTCGACCAGTAAAAGGTACCCGTTGGGAATTGACCGTCGGATTTGCGTCTGGAAAAACAAAGATAATTTGAACAAAACCATAAAAAACTGGAAGAAGCAACTTACTGGAGATAAACTTGCGAATCGACGATGGATTGGAAAATGGCTATAGGGAATGGGATAAGGAGGAATATGCCTAGCGCAAATACTAGAAGGATAAGAGCAGCAAGAATGACAGCAACGAATATCCTCATTTTCATGTACCAGTAGTCTCAATGGACACACACCTCCGCTGTTGTCAGTCTGCACTCCGACGCTTATCTGTTGCGGAGCCGCCGCACAACTCTCACAGACCAACCCCGCGGCCAAGCACATGCTTCCTCTCCTCCCCCCTCGAGCGTTTTACCGCCTCTTGTTCACCAGCTTCGGGCGACCCTGTTATACACGCCGTTTTACGAGTTTCAGCCCTGTATCAACCACGTTTTGGAAGGCAACTGATTACGGGTTATGGCAACTCTTGTTGCAATAAAATCGAGCGATAAGAGAGTACTTCTGAAATGTTTCAAACAAATCAGGTTCGATTTTCTTTGATCTATGAACTGATGTTTGTTTGTGAAAATGAGAATAGAAAGAAAAGATATTTATTGAGCACTTTAAAGGATCATAAACAAGTGAAAACATCATGTTCAAATAAGACGAAACTCTAAAGACATCTCACAATCTGCAATTGTTGTTCGAATACACTTCCTGTTTTCCTTTAGCTGGTGTAAAATTGTTCCTGCTACTCACCATCTTGTACATTAAGAATATGGTTAGCAGAGCCTGAAATGTGAATTAGATAGTGTTTTACGACATTTTCTGATACCGAGAGAACAAGTAAAACTATGGACATAATGAAAACTGCTCTTTGAATGACCACAACAAAAAAGTAAAAGTAATCCAACGCGTAATCCAACACCTCAACATCTAGCTCCGACCAGACGGTCGGAACTATCCTTGTGGGTAATTTGTTCCAAACAAATCCAATATTCGGATACAATGGAACATTGAATTGGATACGGAAATTTGCTCCGACAGTGTGTCCGGAAAACTGAAAACGGATAGATATTTGGTTAAATTAGGTGAAGATGCTACAAACTGAGTTCAAGTGAAATATTCCAGGATGGTGCATAGTTGGATCAGGTTTTAGACCTTTCAAACTGTTCTGCACAGATTCGGGGGACCACAAAAAGTGAGGAGTTGATAGGAATAATCCTACTGGCAAAACTATGTTTCGAGCTGCAAAAACGCCACGTTTTTCAGTGAGATACTCCAGTTCTCACATGGCTGACAGCGTAAAGCCATGATACCAGGCGGTAGAACCCATGTTCCGTTAATAAAACTTCCATTACAACACTTATCACACCAGTTTTCAAAAACGTCACAGCTGACATTTATGCACCTTTCCGTGATTTCCACAGTATGATTGGGACCGCAAGGCCAGTCTGGGAAATAATTCTGAAAATCTCTCTGAACCCTCAATCAAAATCGTTTCAAATTCTCACAGCTTTCTCTAAATTCTCGTACCGGTACCCAGGATTGGCAACACCGTCATAATTATCACCGTCAAAACTGAAGGTTAGCGTCGGAATTCCGTTCACGTGTCCTTCATGACCGGAGTAACTAAGACTAAACTTCCTGCACGCCAATGGTTGGAACATTTCGTATTTGTCACTCTTCCCGATTCCCGGTTTTTGGTTAATTCCATCTGTGCGATAAGAAGCGTTTGATGTAAACCTATAGATCAATCGTTCGTGTACCTCTTGAACCTGCCAGTGTATTCGCCTCGGGAGAAGTGTGCCATGGAAGTTCTGTCATGTTATTCCACTCGACAATTTGGCCAATGCTAAAAGCAATGTTTTCATTATAGGGAGCAGTTTCACTTTCACTTTGCGATATCATCTTTTCCCGTCTTGATAAGGAAGTCACCGTCGCTTGTTTTGTTATACTGAAAAGTAATCATTTCAGATATCGGGCTACATTGTATTTTATTTGACAAAACGAACCCTTGGGAAGTAGCCCATTTCATTGAAATCAGGGGCTTGAATGTTGAACATCTTCTTTAACTTTCGGTAAAAAGAAGTATGAATAAAGTCCAATGTTGGATCTTCATATGAATCGAGCAGAACTCCACATACACTTACTTCTCTGTAACTTATACTACAATATCAATCATGAAATGGAAGCTCACTTGATTGGCTGAATTTTCATAGCAATGAAAAACAGATCAAGAATGAATTTGAGCAGTTTTGTCTTCCGACCGGTTCTTTTGTAGTAGTTGACAGCCTGGGCTACATTTAAGCAAGTTTCAAGGATTCGTTCTTACCATAAAAAGAGGGTTGGGCAAGAATACAGTATCATTACACGAACAAGTCGTACATGATCTCTGTTTATCAAAAGCCCACGTCTTGTTGCTCCGGAAAGATACTAAGGTGCCGTCTTCCAAATATTTGATATTCTCTTTCCTTTCTATCATTCTGGAACGATTTGTTACACATATTTATAGCTATATCGTAGAAAAAACACTTACGCATAGGTATAAGGTCCGATTTCTTGTAAAACGGGATCATGTCCGTAGAACATCACGTCTCTAGAATTTGTTATGTTGAACATGTAGAATTTGAAATAGTGCACCGCTGGTAATCGTTCCCAGAAATCTGTTACCGCCGATGATTTTCCAGAATAGTCTTGTCTGAAACTTTTTTCGTTCTCAACCTTTCACTCAATGCTTCTTACTGTAAATACATAGTGTTTGCAGCTATCTTTTGGAAAATCCAATTCGGAAAAGCAATAGATAACAAAAGACCGGATAAAAGAAGAATTCCATTGGTAACGAGAAGAATAGAAAGTTTGAGCCACTTCATGAATCGAAGGAATGATTGGCATTACAAGATTGAGAGGACTACAGTGATAGCCGTGTCGAACATGACCACGTGCTGATAACGTTTTATTATTTATTATTCAAAACACAACTAATATGCCCTTTCAGTTCCCTTTCTTCCTACGTCACAAATACTCCAATTTGCTTTTTTTGGAAAAATGATGTGATTTTTGGGCGATCACACTAAACTAGACATTCCAAATTGTTCAGTTACCTTGTCTTCCGCGCGTGCCTGCGTGTCGGTCAATGATTATCGGCGGAGAATCTGATAAATTGTTTGCAACGTGAGCAGTTCCCGTCAATGTCGTGCACATACATACATTGTGGTTTTATTAGGAAAAAAGCGAGGAGAGCAGGAAAAAGGGGCATAGAATTTGGCGAAATTTAGACAGCGAAGAAAAAATAATTGTTGTTATTAAACGATGAACTGCAGGACCTTCTCAGCCATTGTCGAAGAGTCACGGAACACGAAAGAGTGTTCCATGTTATCCTTGTCAATGACCACGTGTCCACGTGTCAACCTCTCACTCATTCGCTGCCCGTGTTCAATCGGACACCACCCATCATTCATTCCGTAGTAGAAGTACACCAGATTCTTATGGAACAAGAGCGTTTCGTCCAGAGTGTCAATCTGAAGAAGGTAAACCGATTAGTTCTTAATATTAGGCGGAATAAGTTGGTGTCACCTTATCTAACTCGTCGTTACACAGGCTCACAATGTTGCGGAAGACGTGCATATGCAACAGTTCAGAGACGCATTCGATGAATTCTGGAGTTGACTGAAAAAGTGAACGTTTTTTTAACTTTCGAAGCCGAGTAACAGATTTTCTACCTGGTCTGAAGACAGTTTCATCGAGATGAGTTTGCGCTTTGCTGCCTCTGGCATCAAGTCAACCCAGAATGATAGAGTTTTAGCCAGCCAATCGTTTTGTTTCAATGTCTGAAAACTTTTTTCTTCTGCGTTCCCAAACTCCGGAACTATTTACCGAAACAACTTTTCGGAGTCGAATGCCGTGTGGTGATTCCGACATCTTTTCGATAGTGGGGAACAAGCAAACCGCCTTTTTCAGATTGAAGTCGTCTTTGATGTATGGAAGAATGCTGAGAAGCATGTACGCCCCCGCGCCATGTCCAAACATGTACACTCTGTTCCCTCTGGGCAGATATTCCTTCACAAAGTCCAACTTGTGTTGAACTTGGTCGCCGAGACTGAATCTCTCTGAAACGTCACACTTTGAATGTCATCTTTTGGATAACTTCTTGGGAGTTGCCTTTTCAACCCGTCTCTTTTCTTTCTTTCTACCGCACCAAACACCAAGTCTCCAGGGACTTACTTTTTTGGAATAGCAATGGGGAAGGATGTCAACATACCATTCACAGTGTGACTCTCCGAACAGCGAAGATCCGCTGGCAGAAGAACATGATTCAGATGGGAGAGCGTGTAGAAAAGGAACTGGACACGTCGGTGGCCAAGTCGGTCTTCGCGCGCAATCAGATTTCGGATGAGGCGCCTGCCAAAGTCAGTGTAGAATCCATCATTGCCGGGGTTTCCTGGAGAAAAAAAAGAAAGGAAAACTTGATAAAGCGGGGCGAAAAAGAGAAATGTCAAACGGCAGAACACGAACATGATTGATATGCGCTTGGGCAAGTGGAAGAACCAAAAATGTTGCAAATTCAGAGGAGAGTGTTCCCAAAAATAGATGGCTCACCTGGAATCAGAAAGATGATGATGCGTTCATCCTTCTCTCCTTGGTTCTCCTTCACAAGTATTTCAGGTGACAATGAAGTTCCCATGATCTGTAATCATTTGAGGTGTCACTTCGTTATACATTCATGATATTTCCAATTATGTGAGTCACGTTTTTCTATTGTATACTTGGACATTCAACCGTCGACTCGCGACCAACTCTAACCTTTTACGAATGGCCGATGAAACGGTCCATCATTTTTATGGTATTTTGGATGACGATTCCGTTCAAAAAACCAGCAAAGTCTCAATTTATTCATATTTATGCGATCGATTCATGTATTGGACGGGAAAAGTCAGTACAAACACGATAACAAATTCAATTCAACACACTAATTACAGAAAAACAACAATCAGGTTACAAATGGCACAACGAACATCAACAGGTACGTTTGCTCACCGACATTCTCGTCCATCTTCCGCTAACTTCCACCCAATCCACAATCCGATGGATGTCAATCATGTTCACTGATCCGCGCACTCTTCCAGTAGTACGGTCAATCGGGAGAACATCATCTTCTTTTGAGAAGCTCATGGTTGTTGTCTGAAAATGTCCAAAATTTGGAAGGAGTAGAAAGTAAAGTGTGCGGAGCGGAGCGCAACAAATGCAGTGTGAGGAGGTCGTGTGAAAGGCGGAAGGACGATTTGAAAAATGAATGGGCGGGAGGGGATGGTCCCCCTAGGCCGTGTCGAAGAGATAAATCTTGCGAATTCACTTGGGGGATGGTTCTTTGCGAAAAAAGTGAGAAAATGTCTTAGTGGGCAGAGATCAACATGGGTTTTGAGGGGTCAACTTTGGATGACAAATGAGGAATACGTTGAAATCAGAATTGCAAGGACCAGGCCAAAACTTGAAACTCACAATTATATGAAATTTGGATGTGTCCTGACTTTTTAAAATTTGGTCAAAATATGTATTTCAGAAATTTTAACTTAATTGAATGTACGATGTTCAACAAATCTTTTCTGACGATTTCAACCAAATTTAGGAAAAAATCACATTCTAGGCTATGTAGAAACGCTGTAAAGCCAAAATCCTTGTAAAGTTCACGTGTAAAAATCAAAAATGGCACAGCTGCTCGTCCATACCGCGAGTCGTGTTTGCAATCCAATTAATCGATTCTGCTCGTCATCTTTTGGTGTCCGTCGTTTTATTCAATTCCAGTTTCCAAAAAGAGAATTCGAATCACATTCCCGTCCTTCCTCTTCTTTTTCTCACTCCCACACATAAAAGTAGGGACTATGTACGCATCGAAGAGCAGTCGCGATACTTCCGCGTTCGCTCTGTATTCCCCTTAGCAGCGTTCGATTTTCTCAAGAGAAACAATGGGTGTCCCCCTAATTAACGCGACAGCATGTTGTCCGTTAGTCGATTCCTCGGCCCGTCGTCCCGCGGGCGGAAACAACAGCGGGAAGGAGGCAGAAAGTGCGCTCCATTGAGATAGACCTCCGTTGTTTGCGCACTGCCTCGCCGCTAGTTCTTTCCTGCCGACCCCTGCCGTTTTAGTGGTTTGATCTTTCATTTTCTCAGTGCTATACGCTCGGATTAGTCTTCTTTCCCTCACAGACATCCTCTAGTATTCTACAACTCTTCCAGACTGATGGGGGAAGCCGACGAATTGCAGTTTTTCGAGAAACTCGAGCCGCCGCCCGAAGAAGAGGAACCAGCGCCAGTAACGGGTTAGTTTTCAGGTTTTGGTGCAGAAATACTCAAAAAATGTTATAGTATCTACAGGCGGATACTTCTCAAGCTTCATTGGGCAGATATTTCGGACCGACGGGACGCCGCAAGCAAACGGAAACGTGGTTCATCCAATTCCAGATGGACGACAGAATTTGGAACGGACAGAGTCTGGCGGTTTGTTTTCTATTTTACAGGCCGGAAGTTCAAGGTTTACATTTCAGAATCACGTACCTCCGAGGAAAGTGGATTCCAGAGATCGTTGACGGACAAGTTCAGCGGATTGCTCAAGTCCAAACCGAATCCAAAACTGAAAAATTATAATGACAGCAATTTCAGTGAGATCTTGGCTTCAGTAGACGTGAATAATGTGCTCATCTTTTTTCAGAGCAGTATTGGATGCCCGACTCAACGGGAAGGGAATGTTATCAGTGCGAGGAACGATTCACCACTTTTCGGTATGAAACTTACTCTCACAATTAAAGGAAGACGTAAATATTTCTCAGACGCCGTCATCACTGTCGTCTTTGCGGTCAAATCTTCTGTGCCAAATGCTGCAGCAGTCACATCGACGGGGCCTCGTTAGGTTTTTGTCGAAAATCAATGTTTGTGTGCAAAAACAATCCAATTCAGGTTACATGGGCGAGCTGCGCCTTTGTGATTGGTGCGCACGAAAGGTGCAGCGGCTGGCCGAGGAAGGGAAACAGAATCCGACGAGGAGTCAGACACCTGTGAACAACAGGAAAATCAGTTTCGACAGAAGCAATTCGCATAAAAACTCGGATGCTGTGAAGACCGTCTCAAATGGTGAGTTCGACGACTCGCGCAGCTCGCAAAGTGCGTTTTCTCAATTTTTTCAGGGGCAATATGGTCTCTCTGTCCTCCGGAGTCAAATATTCCATCAGAAATCACTTCACCGCCACAAATCGATAGTCGTCGTCAATCGATCTCAACGGGTAATAGCCCCGGCATTCCGACGATTCTATCAGTGACCGATCTGTGTGCAAGCAACTCGGCAATGCTCAAGAACGACATTGTTCATCCGACAATAGCGGAAGAAGAAGAGTCCGGTCCCGATTGGTTCCGGAGCATGCACCCGGGAATGGACGGTGTCGTTAATAATGAGGTGAGAGTGCAAGCTGCGAATTCATTTTGTATTCACATTCTTGATTCAGACATCTGATTCCGCGGACGTGTTCGCTTATGCCAACATGGCTGGAGCGATCACCAACGAGTTCACCGACATGATGGAAGCAAGAGCCGCCGATGTGACGTCAGACAGAAAGATCACGTTTCCATCTCTCTCGCCTGACGAATCCATTATAAACGCAGCGAAAGAAGAGCAAAGAGACAATTTGGAAGAGCTTTTCCGTCGGAACACAGAACGAGTGCTAGATGAAGTATTGAAACGGGAATACATCCGAGAGGACAAGTGGAAAGATCTCATCCTCAAAACTGTCTACGATGTGGTCGAAAACATCGATGTCAACGTGCCACTCGGCGATTCTATGAACATTGCAGAGTACGTTCATCTCAAAAAAGTCCATGTCGCCGGCGGAGAAGTGAACTCGGAAATCATCTGGGGAGTGGCGTGCAGTAAGAGCATGCTATGTGAGCCAGTGGTTAATGAAGACGATGACCGGACGACAGAATCCATCATGATTGTCAGTGGGTCAATCGAGTATGAGCGAGTCTCCAACAAACTCTCGTCAATTGAGCCGATCATGGTGCAGGAGGAAAAGTTTTTAGAAAAGCAGGTTAGAATAGAGTTAGACTAACAAAATTTCGGGCAAAAACCAACCATTCTTCAGATTGACCGCATTGCCACCAAACGAGCGTCACTCATCCTCGTGGAAGGAGCCGTCTCTCGAATCGCAGCCCAACTTCTTCATAAAAAAGGAATCAAAGTGGCGGTGAACGTGAAAATGAGCACTCTCCAAAGGATTTCCCGAGCCACCGGCGCCGACATTGTCTCGAACTCAGATGCACAACTCGTCGAACAGAATTTGGGGTGTTGTCCTGAATTCGAGCAGCGGAACATGTTGCAAGAAGACGGAAGAATCAAACCGTTGATGATATTTGCCGACTGTCGGAAAGAGAATGGATGCACAATTCTGCTGCATGGCGACGACTTCAAAGAGTTGGTGGCTGTGAAGAGGGTCGTCCAGTTTCTGGTCACAATTGCCTATTCAAATCATCTGGAGCAGGCTTACCTCAATGCGTTCAACACGACTATCGCGAGAAGACAATCGGATTGTATCGTGTGTGAGAAACGGAGAACAATTGTGTATTCGCAGGGCGAGAAGGTAGGATTGAGGAGACAAGTAGACAGTTAAGAATAGTTTTGCAGACAGAATTCGAGCAGAATTTATATGCGGCAATGCTGACGAGCTCGCCGGTCGTAGAGTTTGAACCGCCCTTCCTGGAGACTGCAATCGGAAGGTGAGTGAATAAACAAAACATAAACAAACGCAACAGCAGAAATAACATTTGGGCGTCTGCAAACACTGCCACGCAAAACTGCACATTATGGGCCATTACGAAACGTGTACACAGTTAAATTTTGCAAACAACTTTTCTTTTTGTTGCAGAGAATGTCCACTCATGGCTTACTTCAAGCAGCCGTTGTACAAACTACTCAAACCGGGTGATGTCGAGTTGATCAAAGAGGGATATGAAGAAGATGTTCCTCCGGTTGTGAAGAAACCACCACTGGTCGTAGAGCCCCGGCATGTCTTTGCACAAAGCAATCGGGGAGCTATGCTCAAGAGTTTGGCCCGCTCTTTCCGTCTGTTTGGAGGTATCAACTTCCGCAGACGAACTGAACAGATTGTGAAGCATCGGAAGATCGAGCAGACTGAGAAACAGCCATTCCGAGCGAAAGACGTGCTGGATCCTCGTGTCCATCAGACCCTTGCCGTCCTCTTTGGGTCATTCTCCCGCAAGTCACCCAATGCGCCGTACTTCTGCGTCCGTCCATGGGTCGTCAGTATGCAGTACTATAAAGATCACGACATGACTCTTGGGGAGTTTCTTGTGAAGTACTGCTTCAATCGCAGCTACGAGTGTCCGTCGTCGAATTGTGAAGTGCCGATGCTCGACCACGCGCGCAAGTTGGTCTACGGACGAGTTTGTGTGGAGATTTCTACTCAAACTGTAAGCGATACTGAAAATGTCATCGAATCGGATCCACAGAAGACAATCATGACATGGAGAAACTGTGGAAAGTAGGGGAAAAGCGCATCGGAGTTCAATTGAAATTTTGTTTTTTGTCAGGTGTAACTGCTCCTCTCAGATGGTCAAGTTTGACAAAAACATCTGGCATCTCTCGTTCGCAAAGTTTCTGGAGTATCTTGGCAATTCGTGCTTCACAACTGACACCATCTATCCGATAACTACACAGAATCAGTGTTCGCATTGTTTCTTCCATGAAAAGCTGTACTTTTTTGCAATGGAGAACCTCGTGACGACTTTCAAAGTGATTGCGGTGAGTTTTTTTTTGTTTTTTTTCATGGTCAACACTGTTTCTTACAGATCCGTCCGTACAGCGTCGTCTTCTCACCCATCATCTGCAACGTAAAAGTGCAGAAAGTGAGCAAAAAAGAATTGGGAGATGATGTGAGCCGGATCGCAACTCTCGCATTGACCGCCTGCGAAGAGACCAACAAGCAATTGGCGGACCTTGACGAGGAAGTGCAGATCACTCCGGTTGTGGTAAAACTGGCGGGAGCAATCAGGAATACAATGGGATTGGCGAGTGAGAGTCGCATGTTCGCCAAGAAAATATTGGCCGGCGAGGAAGAGCTCATTCTCTCCAATGATCGATTGTACCGAGAAGTGACGGACACGTTCATGAAGGTCCGAGAAGTGACTTACAATCTCATCGCGCTTTGGAATGAGAACTGTTCGACCATCAAGACTCCAAAACGAACTCCGGAAGATATTCAGGAAATTGTGGCTCTGCAGAAGTTGGAGAACCCATTCCCCTCGCACCTTCATCTTTCGATCAAATTGCAACCAAGACTGGGAGTAGTTGTCCGAGACATTCAAGATTCTCGAGGCAACTACAAACCAGACATCGGAAGCATCATTGCCTACGCCCTTTCTGCCGTGGATTACAACAAAGTGCCCGAGCAAGCGGACACTATTTCCGTGGATTCTGCGAGCTCCTCAAAAGAAATTCCAGTTGACGACGGAGAGAATCTTGCTTCCAATCAACATCTTGAGGTGGAGTTTGAGGATGAATCCGCGTCTTATTACGTGAAAGTGAGTCATATTTTCAGGCTATTCGGTAAAATCAATGACTTTTTAAAGATGTTCTACGCGGAAAAGTTCCGTAAGCTCAGGGAACTGCTGATCGCCGAAGGAGAAGAGACGTTCATCAGATCGCTCTCCAACAGCACGTTTTGGACACCTCAGGGCGGAAAGTCCGGATCCTTCTTCTACCGTACTCAAGACGACCGTTTTGTTGTGAAACAAATGTCGCGCTTTGAAATCCAATCGTTCGTCAAATTCGCTCCAAACTACTTTGACTACTTGACGACGTCGGCGACCGAAAGCAAGCTGACCACTCTGTGCAAAGTTTACGGGGTTTTCCGGATAGGATACAAGAGCAAGACGACGACGTTGAAAGTCGATATTCTGGTAATGGAGTACTTGTTCTACAATCACAACGTCAGTCAGGTCTGGGACCTGAAAGGGTCACTCAGAAATCGGTGAGTATTCACTATGCTCGGATATCTTAACGGTTTTCAAAGTTGCAGGTTGGCGTCTACGGGCAAGAGCCCCACTGAAATGGTCCTTCTCGATGAGAACTTTGTGAAGGACCTTTGGAATCAACAACTCTACGTGCTTCCCCATTCGAAAGCCGCCATGAACCAGGCGATCAGCAACGACAGCCACTTTTTAAGCTCTCAATACATCATGGATTACTCGTTGCTCGTCGGCGTCGACGATGACAACGGAGAGCTAATTCTGGGTATTGTAGACTATATGAGGACTTACACATTGGATAAGGTACGGTCACTCTTTTCCTCAATATCTATGGTCCATTTTTCAGAAACTCGAATCATGGGTCAAAATCGTTGCCATTCCGGGAGCTCATCTTCCGACAATTCTGAGTCCGGAAATGTACTGCGCCCGTTTTTCGGAAGCCATCGACTCGTATTTCCCTGTTGTTCCCGATCAATGGACCGGTCTCGGATCTATCCGATCTTATTGATTGATTTATATTCACTTTTATGTACAGAATTGTCTAGATTGTTTATTGTTTCTTTATATTTATTGCATTTCTTTTCTCTATGCTTCCGAATTGATATCTCAACTCAATCTGGCAACTAACTAATCATATCACGCTGGATGCTGGTGTGTCCCAACCCATCAAATTCATTTTATGGCAGCGGTGTGTAGATATTTGAAATGCTGGTCTGTATATCTGTGATTCACTTCCAAGATTAGTATTTATTCATGTGTATAAACTTATTTTTCACAAGACACAATTGCGTTTTTTCTGTTAAATTAATACAGAACACAAGGAACCCAGGGTTTTTGAAGCGGACACGTGAAAGTGTGAAGCTGTTATAACCGACGAGACATTTTTCACCGAAGTTTGTACAAACGGGGGAAGACGATCGAGGGAGAACAACCGGTTTGAAAACTATTAGAGGAAATTAGGATCTAGGCTGAAAGCGTTGAAAGTTTAGAGACTACTCGCAATAGGATTCCTATTGAAGAGTCGGATTCGGTGGTCGTGAAGAAGTGGGAGACGAGTGGATTTTGGTCTCCACAGACGCTTCATTCTGTCGTAGAATGAGGTTCGGAACTCTTCGGACGAACCCATGTAGACAAAGAAGTTGGCGGTCGCATTTATGACCACCAAAAAGTTTCCAATGTCAATGAGAACCGCTTCAGCTTCGAAGGTCATTTTGCTGGAACATCAGTTTTAGAATAGTCCAGAATACGTTCAGTGACTCACAATTTGAGCATTTCGAAGACATTCACTAAAAGAGATGTCAAATTGCAACAAAGGAAAAGAAGGACCACGAGGAGCAGCACGACCGGGTTGTTTCCGCCGTCTTCACAGTCTGCAAAAAATGTGGACTTTGCGCTCATGTTCAGCTCATTTAATTAGAAGGTCTAGACTTTCAAAGATGAATAAACGGGTTCTATTTGAGCAGAGGAGGTCATACAAAAACAATACCGATAATAATTAGATATTAGCTAAGGCCCAATGATTTGTTTTCGTTCACGAGGCACAAACACTCATTCACGCACGGTGATGCATAATTTAGTTAAGATCGAGTCTATGAGCAATTGCGAGAAGACGAAATAACAATCCGAATGGTCTTACGCACTGCGTGCATTGAAAATGAGGGAAACTCGCATCAAATTTCAGAGAAAAACTTTTTTTTCTATTTCTGGGTGGTTCTGGTTATTACCCACCCTCTTTGTCTCCTTTGTCCATCGTCTCCTCGTTTTTCCGACGGAGCATGATGATAATGGAGACGGTGAGGAATGTGAGAAGGACAAATGGGAGAAAAGCCATCGAAAGTGCATAAAGATACCCTCTGAAAGTGAATGAAATCAGTTTAAGTGTCATAAAAGTTTGGTTCATACTTGTACACGATCACATAAGTTTCACTTATCCTCAATTCCGTAGGGCACAACTCAAACAGTGTGTAGTTTTCTGGGTGGAGACATTCAATCGCCTAAACATAATTCATAACGAAATATTTTTTGTTTAAAAAACACCTGTAAATCTCCAAATTGAACAATGTTGTAGGCGGCGACAGAAATGACGACAAGTGCAAGAACGCGAGGAGCCCATGTGCTCCGTTTGGGCTCACATTTCGTACCACTGAATTGACAATATTGCAGTTAGGAAATAAAGTCGATTGCTCTTACCGATAAACCGAATAGAAACAGTCAAATGCGGCAAGGACTGTTATGTACACACTGAGCATCTGAAAGAAAGAGACGTGACTTTTTCCAGACTCATTAATATTTCATGTTTGTATTCTGTTCTTTGCGTTTTGGGAGCTCCCCGGATTACCAGCAGCATCCTTTTCTCAAGTATCTTCGGCCACTTGTGTTTCGAAAGTTTGCAAAAAACCTTGAAAAGCAGTGAAAATCATGTAGCCGCTCGTGCAACAAAGGAAAACCGCACGGATTGTCATAATCGATCATTTTTTGGTGCGGGGCCCGTGTGCTACTTCCGTTATCAAGGGTGCCATTACTCTTGCGCATTTCAAAAGTGTGTATGGACTGCTAACTACCAAAAAAAACATGACGACCCAAACCAACCTGAAAAAAGAGGCCCAGTGGGATGATTTTGGGCAGCAAGAACACGAAGGCCTGGTCGATGACGAATGAGTGAGCTCGCAGAGAGTCGGAGCAGATGACAAAGATCCCCGCCATGCATACTCCTGGAAAAATTGACTTTAATCTGGTGATTGTAAATGTGAGAGAAGAAGCGAGCGTACTCATTACTCATTTCCTTTCTCCGTTCGCTAATCTCCGACTGACCTACGTCACTGCATGAGAGAGCTGTCAAATACTTGGCGGCAGTGTTCTTCTGATCACAGAATATGAAAATGTTGAAAAAGTTGAGGACCACTCCGACGAAGGATATCAGCGGGAGCAGCAGGACAATGAGCACCTGGAATCGTCGAATTTAATAAATAGTGTTTTCGAGCTCGGATCCAGGCGAGCTGAGAGTTTATTGAGCTCAACATGAGGCAAGAAAAAAATGGTAACATACCAAATTCGCGATGCCCGCATAGCCCTCGATTGGCTCGTGAAGACATTCACACTTACGCATAACTACCGTATGATTGAGCATCCTCAAATCGCATAGCCAATTCTGCAAGAATCACGTTTCAAAAGCTGCCGACCTTCATTTCTTGGACTCCCAATGTAAGTGACACATAATATTTTGCAGAATAAATGAGGATTGGGAAGGAAAACTGCGAGTTCGGTCGGTTCGATTGGAACCGAGGGAATAAGGAGAGGGACAAAACACATTTTGTATTTAGGACACATGTGGTGGATAAGAGTGATTCGGGGAAAAGTCAGAAGGGGATTGTATTTGGATTTTCAAAAATCCAACGGACGAGAGGCGAATTAGATTGAAAATCTTCAGTGACGAAAAATATTTATTATTTCTACAAAAGCGTATCATATGTATTTGGAGCTGAACACAAAACCGCGTATACGGTACTTTTTGATTGAGAAGTGCTTTGGAACACGAAAGAAAGTGTAGTGAGGATTGGAATTGTGAAAAACAGAATGCCAGACAGAACCCAATTATCTTAAGCCTATGCCATGCTGTGCATATTTGTTGGTTGGCCCTTTTGGTTTCAGACTCGAGTAAACAGTCGAATGAGGATAGTGGAACGGAATGAAAAAATGAATGTCATCAATAATTTTATCGCGTGAATCAGTCAAGAGGAATCTAGAGAGTGAGCATTCAGAAATTCAAGCCACCCGTCGAGGCGCCGTCCCTTAAATCCCTTCCCTCTCGACGCCTCTTCCTCAAAACGGAAAGTGGGGCGGGGTCTGATAAGTTTCAGTTGTTTTCTTCCCCTTGCCAGAACAGAACACATCTCAAGGACCACACTCGTGAATCCAAAATCCAAAAAGACGAAAATGTTAGCTGCGAGGTCCCGACAGACTAATGAAATAGTTTTGAATATAATTTCCTTCTCGGAATGCTTGGCTCCAAGTAATTTACTCTATTTTTCCGGGAAAACAGGCATCTTTGAATTTTGTGCAAGAATAGAGAAGTTATTGGAAAAATGTAGGTTCAAAAGTGCTGTAAATCTACCATAACAAAAGGTACCTGGCTTGCAGGCTGAAAACAAAACATTGGAGTCAAGAAAAACGACTTTCAACGAGCCGGCAGGGTCCTATACTTTGAAATACTTCTAAAATGTTGTTTGAAGGTTGGCGGAGCGATTGGCCCAAACCGGGGCGGGCCGGGAATCTTGCAAGTCTGCAAGAGACTTTTCGGGATATCGTAAAAAAGTGCAATTAGTTGTTGGCAACGAAACACATATCCCAAGAAAAAACACAAAGCAAGCATGCACAGCATACATATTCTCTTTCATGTTTTCCGGGATTATAGGCTCGACCCAAGTGAGAAGATGCTGAATGCCTAATGAGTTTAATGTAATATGGATGGGCGGAAGAGAAACGACCGGCATTCCAGCCAGATGATGACGTGGCATTCAAGTGACGCCACATGGGAACCCCGTTCTCTGGTAACGCATGCGTTAAATACACCCTGTTCATGAACCAAAAATCTCGGAATCGGTGCTGGCTGCAAATAATAATAACTGGATGAAAACTGTGTGGGGTAGAAAAAAACACACATTGAGTTCGATGTGTGGTTTTTGAGCATAATAGAGTACAAAGCGAGTGGAGGCCCAAAAATCTGTAACTCGAGATCGTGTGGAATTCTAGAAGAGATCAGAAGATCTCTGAAAGGAACCAAACATCTTGTTTCTATGAGTTTTCACCAGACTTGTCAAATTCAGGGCTGGGCCAGCCGAATCATGAGAAAACAGTGAAAATGTTCAAAAATCTCTTGTTTTTACAATGCTTCATCTATTCACGCGAAAATGTGTGCAGCTTTTTTGTCAAGAATAGAAACCGTCAGATAAAATTTAAAAACCGGAATTTTTAAATATTTTGAAGCTGACCGGGCTGTCCCGGCCCGTGACAAGACAAATTTGTTTTTCAGCTTCACGAATACGTACAGGGAGCAATAATCTCGACAAAAAAACATTCTGTTTCAATCATAATTCGGAAAAGCACGTAATTTAAATAACGTGACGAGACGTTAAGGTTTCTCCCTACAAATGTTGTTTTATGACGAGAGAATGTAGGTGGACCAAGTGGATATGTGTATCTGATCAAATTTTTATGTGCTTTGGAAGTGAGAGGTGTTGGAACAGAAAACACAAGGTTCTGGATATAAAACGCGGAGAAACCTTGAACTTTTTTGCTTTTGATTTTGCCGACAATTAAAAAAGAGATGAAAAGAGCCGTAGTTTGATTAATTGAGCTGGAGGATCCTACTAAACGGATAGAGTGAGACAGAAAACACAAAAACTTGTTCACAAATTGATAGCATGTGTTTTTAGTGAATTCCCCAACGCGTTTTAGGTAGAACTCGTGTCTGTCTGCGTGTTAGGTGTAAATTGTGTTTCCAGACTTCTTCAGGGGCAGTGGCAGCTCGGTTCTTTGGTGAACGGCAAACGAAATCAGTGAAAAAACGTTCTACCTGATGCTGGATTACTCCAAAGACCACAGCGAGAAAACAGAAGAAGCTGACGGCATAGAAGAAGAAGAAAGAAGACCGGGGACGAAGAAAACCAAAACAATCTGGAGCGAAATTATGAGCAATTCTGTGAAAAAAAAGGAATTCAATGACCTCCAAAAAGAACTGATGGGAGGAAACGAAAGAACAGAACAGCTCGAGTCGGTGCTCACATGGAAATGATCTTTATTAGTGTATCCCTTCATGTGGGCGATGATGAATTAGTAAATATATATGTATGACATCTTTTTTTAGTTGTTTGGAAACCTTCAAAGCATGGGAAGACTGAAAACGATCAGAATACCACTTTAGATGTGTACTGCTTTTGAATCAGGTCTTCTCTGACCAAAAAATTAGAGAAATGGCGACTGCGGCCGGCAGAATGTGTAAAACGCCACCGAGCAGCAAAAACCATTTAAATTTGCGTCACTTGATACCTATCCATCAAATGCAACCCTAGCGGGACCTCGAATGTTCTCTGTTCTGTTGCTTGAAACTTGTCTTTTGTACAAACGAGAAAATTCTTCGGCCGATGACGTAAATGAAGAAGTGTGCGATAAATTTTTTGTTCGAACTGATTGGCCTCGTCAGAAAGAAACGCTCCATAGGCTTTTATGAGTTTAAGAGTCAGAAAATGTCTGTCTCCATGGAACACCAACACGAAAACAGAATCGTATTCTCAGTAACAATCAAAAACGATTATTGATATGCCTCCCAAAAACGTCATTTAGAGCATTACTTCCGAGTAAGTTTGGAAAAGTCACCAACAAACACTTAGTAACAATCAAATTAGAAAACGACCGAGAACGATCTGGTTTTAGAATTCTTTGAAGGCCACAAATTTCATGAGCTTGGGAGAACCCTCCCCATTTTTTTTCTTGAGCCTGACGAGACTAACTTAACCAATTTCGCGAGGACACGAATATTCAAGGGTCTTACTTCCAAAGATCCGTCCAAAATGAGTCAACACACTTGTGCAGTAGTACAATTCAAAGTTGAGATTAACGAGATCAAAGACAGAAGAGTGATGTGAGAAGATTAGAAAAGAAAAAAGGAAAAAACGGAGACGAAATCTTGGATATCACACGTCCTTTCTTCCAATTCACTCCTCCACTTTATATGATGCCGTTGATCGAGGGAGGAAGCTAACCGCGCGAGACTTGTGTCGCGAAGGGAAGCGCAATTATCTATCTCAGCCGCGGAATATTTTTCAATGTGCAGAAGAGAGCATGATCCGTTGTGTCTTGTCATCTGTGGCCGCAGAAATTGATGGAGGGGGGAAGCGGGCAATAATGTCAAATTACCCTGGAAGCCAAAACGTTTTTTGGGGTCAAAGAATAATGAAATGCGTAAGAGTGAAAATGAGACTACTGATTGTGAATCAGACAACATTATGAGAGGCAAACTCTGAAGTGCGTAGAAAGCTTCTGATTGTGAGCACATCAGAAGGAATTGTGAGAACGAGTCGTTGGAGTACAACTAATGATTGAAATGTAGCCGATGACGCACGTCACTCGCCCGCCCTTCTTTTCCTTCTTTTCCTACCTAACCGAGCTGTGGGTGGTCTAGGCCCATAATTGGTGGCGAAGAGCAGCGAGATGAGCAATGATGATGCGCAACTCAGACGAATTCGATTTACTTTGATCACGGAGAAAACTACGTCGAAATGTTGTTATTTGGGTATCTGGATTTTGGGCCCATGATGATGATGATGATGAAAATGAGAAACATTTGGAAGTAAGATTCACACGTAAGCAGTGTGGACTTAGTGTCAATGTTTGGAAGGAAAACGATATGTGCAATTTTCACAGCTTCGTTATTCTGGTTTTCAATTGCTTTTCAGTGACGCGTTGTGTTCGCTCATTTTCATTTTCTAGTGTTCTCAGTGCTTTGAATTTCAGTATTCTTGGGAAACAGACGGAAAATAGAGTAGAAAGCAAATTGGAAAATAAAGAGGAAAATAATAGAATTGGCAATTTGAGCTAATCACGGGAGCCAAAACATCCCCAACGATTCTAAAAACTTCTGATAAGCATGTGAATTGGATTGCATATATGCACAACCGGTCAAAAAATCGTGGGAGCCAAGAAAACGTGATTTGTTTAATATGTAAACGTGACCGAAAAGTTTGAACATCACACATCTTTGCAATGCGGAGCACCGTCGCAGCTCGGCCCGATTCTAAAATTTCAAAATCTCTCAAACACAACAATTAAAGAATATAGCACATTGGTTAAAAATGCAATACATTTTCAGGTTTGAAAAATTCCGCAAATGCTCTTTTTTTTCCCACAAGCGCAGAGATCCTTTTCTTTTTCATTTCTATCTGTCAATGAGCCGTGCCGTGTGAATCATGTGATGAAGAAACAGCTCTATTTTGCAGCTAAAGTTCACACACTTTCTCATTTGCAGTATGTACATCAGATGAACTAGGCATCACATCAGACAACTCATCTGACCTCTGTTCAGTTCAGTCGACTAGAAACAAATGAAAATTGAAAATGCCACCCTCGCGTCTGGGAATCAAGCATCACTCGACACGATTCGCAAGAAAAATTTAAATTCAACTCTGCTCGGAACCGAAATTGAACATTAATTTTATATATAAGAAAAACAAGGGGGACGAATGAGAGAATATAGAAAAATATGAAGTGAGTGGGTGGTCATTTAAGAGACGGAACATCGGGATCGGAAGAAGAACGAATGCAAAAATAGATGAGGAAAAAGGGTTAATTTATGTATTTGTTAATGCTAGTCAATGAAAGATGCGGAACCTATTGTTGAGAGCATTCTTACTCTGATTTTGAAACATTCGTCTTGAGAAAACAATAAAATTACGGTCAAACTTCGAAAAACAATGAACAGGTAGTGTTCATCTAATCCATAAACTTCTCCTTCTCCTAATCCGTTCAGTGCTTTACAGACAGATTTGTTAAAAATAAAATGGAAATGTGAAATCATACGAAGATCCAATTTTGGCTTTCACGGGGCACGGCCGAGTATCTTTTGTGTCAAATGTTTTGCAGAAAGCTCAAACAAGTGTAGGTATAGTAAAAATAAACTAATTCTTCTTTTCGTTTCCCACAGCCACTCTTTTTTCACCGCCAAAAGGTTTTGTTTCCACATTTTTTGTGGAAAATCACGTTTTACTGTTGTTTGTTTATTCTGCAATATTAATGTTCGTGAGAAAGCTGATTGATAAATCAGGTCTCTTTGCGAAGTGAATGAAAAGGGAACGCGGGACCAGAAATCTAGATGAATTCAACTGGTGGGCTGATGTCTCGTCAAAATGCCTTATACCCGACGCTTTTGACCTGAGCAGAAAACGAAAAGTACCAAAAAAACTAAGGAAAGCTGCTGATAATCCTTAAAATGAGCCTATTTGTCAAAATAAAGACGACCGAACTTTTTATTTTGAGTGTGGTCCAGGCCTTGTGGATTATTTTGCACGGACCTTTGAGTGCATTTGTTATCAAAACTCTAGCAAAAAACAGAAGAGCACGCAATATTTGGTCCACTGTTGTGCATCTTAAATGTATCCGCAAACAAACAACCTAAATATGTGTTAATTTGGGCTGTCCGGGATGTCTGAAATTGAGTAAACGCTCGAGTTTTGTTTTCCGGAACCTATGAGAATTCCTAGAAGCAATGAAACTTCCTGCAATACAAAATTCTAACGCGACATCTGGAAACAGTTACAACTTACAAGCGATGGTGTAAAACGGAGGGGGAAATGAAATTCTGTTAGTGGAAAGAGGGAAAAAACAAAGGTCGTCGAACCTCCGGGATGTCCGATCGTCCAGCAGATAAGTCTTCGATTAGAAGGTCACGTGAATGCTCGATGTTTTTCCAGATATATAGAGAAATCGGAAGTTCCCAAGAAAAGCGACTGTGACGTTTTTTGTGCTCTCATCGCGGAAATCAACTGTAAACTGAGCAGACATGTTAATCCAATAAATGAAGTATAATAAGATATCTAAAAACGGCATCAACAGTATTTACCGGTCTGTTCAGACGTGACGTGGGGGGACTCTGAAAATAAGAGCAGCTGAAAAACCGTAATACACATTCCACCGACAAATAATCAAAATATGCATTCGTAAAGATTGGTTCGGTTTCCCTCCCGGCAAAATAGTCAGAAACGGCACTTCAAGCTATTTATTTGAAACAACTTCATTATAGACTTCCGGTTCCCTTACACTATGTTCCATTGAAGGTGTCAAGTTTTGTTCCAAGAAACTTGCGAGTGTAACTGACACTCAACCCGCACATCTTCAATTCGCTTTCTCTTTTCAGTACTTTCCCTTTTGTCTTTATTTTTGACTGTATATAGAAAGTGTATATGAACATGTCTTCCCGGATTTCGCACCAAACTCAAATTCATCCATTAGTCACCAGATCTAGCGTGGGCTCTCAAGTTTCCAGAAACAATCGAAAGATTGCACCTGTCGCTTCTTGGTGACGTTTCTAGGTAAAAGCGTTTTGTGCCTTTTGATCTTTTTCGCTTCACCGCAACAATGCAATTGCGGGAATCAATTGCGGGACGCTGGAACTCGGGGTGACATCAATAATCTCGGTGGGGTTTCACGCAATTTCGAGAAACAAAAATGACGCTGATGACCTGCCTGGAGTCCAAAAGGATTAGAAAATTAATGAATGCGTCATTATGAACTTCCAATTTTTGTGGAGGAAATCTCGCAAACTACAGTATCCTTATGAAAAACTTGTTTTTAAGACGATCTGCAAAAAATGTGCACAACGACAATAATTTCTGTTTTTACTGACAAGATTTTTAATGCAAGAATAACTACAAAAGTGTTAACGACGACATGTAATTTGATTTCTCTTTCCTAGAACTCACCTTAACTCATTTGGACCCGATCTTTGAAACATTCGGCTCTATTTCAAGTTATAAAAAGATGTGTCGGAAATAACAAGTTTACCATAAATTAACATGACCCACACAGAGCCTAGTTGCTACTTAATTCTGATCTTTTCCTCCTCCCATCCCAGTACCTCTTTCAATTTGAGCTCTGATCACTTCCGACCGCCCGGGCGCGCGATCAGCAATCATTATTCCATCTGCCGTGAACTCGTCATCAAAGTGTACACGTGCGATTCCGTTCATTGAACATTTCCTTCCCGGAATAGGGCAAATGTGTTTACTCGTTTTCCAGGCCGCTGCTCTAATTACTGCAACTTACTGGGACCTTTAAGATCAAGCTGCATACGCTTCCAAGAATTACTTTTTTATACATGACGCCAGTTCATTGTAGTCAGAGTGGTATTTGATGTGGGAGTATTTTTGCTTCGGACCCCCACCAAATCCATCAGAATTGCATACTCATCTTGAATAGATGATCGTTTCCCTTATTCTTAGTATCTTAAGCCAGACTGAAAATTATCATGCACTTTTTTACGCAAGCAGATATTAGCCTGACGCCGCCCATCAACCACCGTTTAAAAGAAGAACAATGCTCTTGAAGTGAAAACTTTTTTCTTTCAATTTGTCACGTTCTTGATCCTCTCTTTGAATGTTAATGAACAAGTCATCAGCATCATTATTCACTCATGTTTCGGTTGCAAAGCCCTGAAAGATCTATGGTGCATTTTTTAGGATTACCAAAAACTCACTTACAATGCGTGTCGAGCTCAAATAGTTACACCCCCATGTCTCTAACAACACCTTTCAAGATCATTTTCAGTGGACTTCTCATTAATAATTCAGTTGGGAAGGATGATTAGTGTGATTTTGCAATTAAGCATCACGTCATCTATTTCTGGACCCTTTTTCTTCATCATCATTCCTACCACCCACATCTTCTCACTTTTTAGCTTTGTTGTGACCAAAAGTATTGTTTTGAAACAAAAACACCATCGAAATTTACTCCACCTCATTTCCCTCAAAATTTTCAGCGACCACGCGACTCTCGCCCCTCTCTTTTTTCCGCAAAAAGTAGGCCGAAGTCCCCGCCTACTCTGGGTGGAATTGCAGGTGAAATCAGTGTTATCAGCCGGCTTATTCCAATCATTGTGCGTAGTCGAGTCCGTTTGAGATCCAAGTGACTGGAAAAAATGCAGTACGCTTCCCTCCTTCTCGTTGTTTTCTTCGTCGGAATCGTTTTCAGCCAGGTACACTTATATGACAGTTACGTCACTTAATTCATATTTTTTCAGGAGGACTGGAACCTTGGAAAGTTTGAAGACGTTGACGGTGGAGAAGATGAGTACCTGGATCTTCATGTATGTTGGAGCGGAACGTTTCAGAAAAGCTCTAATATTTTCAGAGGTATATCACCAACAAGCGAGCAATCAATGGGCAGCTCCGACGATCGAGCATCCGATGGGGAAAACGAACAACAAAGAATGCTGATGATCAGGTTGGTAGTCAAAATATGCGCATGATCACACCGCTGACCGTTGTTCTCATTGGACACGAGTCTGAAACAGGTGAAATTGTAGCCGAAGATAGCTGTGTGAATTTGTCATGACGAATTTCTAATGAAAACAGGTGTTATAGCTTCCCGTGATTCATGCGTAACTCACCTGAATGATTCATCATTTTACTTACTCCAAATACTACAATATTCATTAGAATCAGTGATTTTGCAGGTGGATGTGCCCTTCTTAACCCCCGACGTGATGAGTCTCTGGCCAGCACCAGCACAGGTCCTGACGGTCCCAGAGAAAACGGTTAATAAACTGCAGGCGGTGGAATAGAATTCTGGAATATTTGATTTCAGGCCACTGAGGCTCCGAAGGGGAACCAGGAAGCGCGCAAACTCGCCGAAAACGGTATAATGGAGCGAGTGGCGAAGGGAGGAATCCGGCCAAAGCTTGCGTTGAGCAGCCGTCTTTGGGGACGTTGAAACTGCGAGTCAGATAATAGTTGATGCAATTCCGTCCGTGCAAATGCAAATTTTTTGGTGAAATAAAGCTTGTGATCATGTTTGTTATGTTTGAAAACTTGCACAACATCAAAGAACTGTCCGGAGACCTTCAGTAAACTGGTTGCATAATATGCATAATAAATCGTACAGAAGTTGTGCGCGCTAATGTATCGTAAGGGATTCGATTGCGCGTCATTTCCTGATTTATCAAATGATTCACACCTATTATCTTGCTAGGGAGGGATAGGCCTTGACAATTTCTCGTTTCTAAGCGACTGTCTATTGTCTTTCTTTCTATCCTTCGTTTTTCATCGTCCCCTCCTCCTTCTTATTCTCCATCTTCTCCTACTTTTGATGACGAGTGATTGTATTCATATTTTCTCTGTCCATTCTATTAATGTGTTGCCTACACTAACACTTGTTATTATTCGAACGAACGCCACTACTTATTGACGAGAACGAGGCTGAAGATGGATTTGCGTGTTCGATTGACTAACCTTTGTACCAGTTCTTTCAATTGAATTGAAAACAAAAATTATTGGGTGGTGTCGGACTTATTCGGAGACGGCTTACACATCTTTAAACTACCTGTTTGATCTACTTGAAACGGTGAATACACGTCACACTATTCAAGCGTGAACCTTCTATTCAAGTGCACTCAACCAATTCGCCGCCAAGATAGACGACTTATAAAACCGATTGGAACTGGAGGAAAAGAAAAAGAAGGGCGCGTCCCGGCCGTCTTCTGAACTTTAGTTTCAGTTTCGTTGAATATTGCACTATTTCTTGTTAACCGGTTCGTGTGACATGTGATCTGAAAGGTCCCATCCCATTTTGTGGACATTCTCTGTTTGAATGGTATGGCATCCGCCCAATCAAAGACCAAAACGGACACTTCCTTCCTTTTTGCCCAGTTTGTTTCTTTTCTTTCGTGCAGTCTACGATTTGCTACAGGCATATCCGATACCCCACTTCTTACGCTTACGTAACAGGTTCCTTATTCGTATCTATTTCTCAGTCGCATTATCGAAGCTAGCGATTTTTTCCTCTTTTCTGGCTTCCAAACGCGCCATTCTTGACAAATTACTCAGTTTCAGAGCGGTGATGATACAGACCAGCCTTTTATTCTTGGTCGCCTCGTTGTGTCTGGTTTCTTCACAATATCTCAACCTGAACCTGCACAGACATCAAAGTTGCGCATGGAGAAAAAGTGAGTCAGCACTGAGTTTTGAATTCTTAGAAAAATTTTCCTGTTAGTTATTGTTATTATCCGTCGAACAACACCCTTCAATTAAGGCTCTCACTGGAACAGAAAAATCGAGTTCCAAGGTGGTCATTCGGATAGCGGAGCCCTTCTCAAATCGACCGAACAAAAAGGATGCTATGCCATTAGTGTAAGAGGCAGTCGCCGAAAACAAAAGTCTTGACGCGGCCGAAATAACAGGGATTGTGTTCAGGGAAAAGTAAAAATTCATGAAGATGTGAGCGACGAGTTGTTGATCTATTTGTCCGTTTCCACGACCGGCGACACCCAGAGACCTCCGGAAGTGTGCAGGGACGCGAATCCGGAAACTGGATGCGGAGGAGTTGGTTCATGGTAAATCAAGGAAAACCAATTGTATTCTTTCATCAAAAACTTTCAATGAAAGATGAGCGTACGTACATAGCAGATAGTTTTCAGTCTTTATTGTCGACCATGTGATTCTTTGGACTCTCTGACCAAAATTCTTGGAGCCCAGCTTGTGGTTAATGGGAAGCCAGCGGGATGCGAGCCATTAAAAGTATATATACATCAAGCAGTACTGATCACCCACAATAGTTTGCTTTTCGTAGAAAGGAGAATATGACAACGTGGAACTCCGCTTCTGCCTTCCAAAGCTTGCTGCTCTTCTGGAGTGGCAGGGTATTTCTGAAGATGCGCTGGACCACATTCTCGCTGCCACTACACAGGTTCGCTACAACTAACACCGAACCTTTGATGTACTGGAGAGTTTTCAGGAAGGAAACGGGCCCCCAAAGCTCAGTCTTTTTGTGACTGTTTACCTGTTTGACAAAGATATCAAACCACTTCTTGTGTACGTTTACAAACACAAAAGCTCAAGTGATCAAACCAAACCAAACAAAACGATTTTCCAGATCTCAACGCAAACTCGAGTCACGTATTCGTGAACTCCGAAAACTGGGCAACGACGAGCAGGTGGATTCGCAGACATACTGGAACTTGCCTTTCAATCAAGTCATCAAAAAACAATCGGTATTTGTTGGATGTCACAAACTGTACGGAACGATCAGTCTGAGCGATATTCAAGCCAAGAAGAAGAAATAACTTTTTGTGTAAATACACATTTTTCAAATTGCGGGTTTGCTGTTTTGTTTCTGTGAATTTGAGATACAATTTTGAATACAATAGATAACTTGTCTTAATGGTAATTTCACATAAAGTTCAGAAAGTTACTGTCTTTGTTCTTCGTCTTCTCTTCTTTGCAGTTTTTGTCGAAAAAAGATCAAGCCCAAAAGTTCGTGACGTTGTTTAACCTATACAAAAGGTTGCAAGGGACACCCTGTTTCTGCTTGTTCGTCAGGCCGGGTCGTAAGCACATATAAAAACATGTACTGCCTTCGCTAGCTTTCCCTGAATCTCCACTTCTTGAAACACTTTCTCGACCTTTTCATGACCTCCAATCACCGTCTCCCACATGTTGAGGTAAAAGTAAGAAGAAAAAGAAGAAAAGAGAAGTGGTTTTGATCACTGTCTGCTGTTGTTACACTTTTGTACAATTCCGCGTCACTGTAAACCATCTCTGAAATCCAGCTGGGGGCAGGTCCCTGCCTACTTCATAAGCCACAACACCTATTCATTTTCGCATCGGTTTCAGTCGCATCGCTTACTCCCTTTCGGTGATGCTGGTTCTAGTCGTTTCTTCACTTTCCGTTCTTATTTCTACTGTCGGCGCGGCAGAAAATGTCGAACTTGGTAAAGATCTCAGTGTAACTCTGGATCTGATCAAACATCAACCGTGCAGAGGTTAGTCCCTTCTACCTGATAGTAATATAGTGAGCCTTTAATATTTCAGACGGAAAATGGACTAAAAAGTTAGAGTTTGAGCCTGGCAATGATAGAAAAGGTCCCAAGTTAGAGCCTCAAGCAGACAAGCCGAACTGCTTCACAATCGGTGGAAAAGTGGAAGTTCTCGAGGTATGTTTTGAGTAGCAAACTTTTCCTACGAATTCGAGAACTTTAGGATTTTGGAGGAGAGTTTTCCATTTATCTTGAGCTCAAAAACACTGCCAAAAAGAACACTGTGCCAGAGAAATGTGTGCGGCAACCAGAAAACGGATGCGGAGGATTTGGGTCTTGGTAAGTACGGAAATTAAAGTTGCTTAACAAACTACATAATTATTAGCCTGTACTGTAACGCTTGTGAAACGTTTGGCGACAAATTGGGAGTTCAAGCTCAGTTACTGCTCGACGGAAAGCCGATCAGTTGCGCGGTAATTCTTTATTTTCAATGCTTCCAACTGAACTTCTGGTTTCTTTAAAGGATGGGCTCAAAAAAGGAAGTTATGACAACCTCAAATTGGCTTTCTGTCTTCCTGACATTGATGACGTCATCAGCTCGCAAGGCCTCAGCAAAGAATCATTCTTGCAGTTGATCCAGGCGGATGTAAGTTATTTTGTCGGAACAGATATCACCGAACGCTGTATTTTTGAAGGATTCAACCGCAGTCAGAGCTATGGGAATTTTCGCGACAGTTTACGTTTTTGACTCCGACGTCAGCAAGCAAATGGCCACGCAGATCAAAATCGAAGGAGTTTATAGAAGAACAAAATACAGCTTCTTCAAGGTTTTGAAAGCAAATCTCTCACATAATTCATATCATAATACGAGTTCAGGATCAACCACTTCCAGCTGAGGTGTACTGGTCTCTGCCATTCAACCAATTGATCAAGAACCAACAAAGCTACGTGGCATGCCATAAGATCTACGGAAACCTAAAAGTGAACAGAAAGTGATTCGAACTTGAAGTACTACCTCGCCTATGTGTTTATTTGTAAATAAATGATTTATAAACTTGTCAAATAAGCTTGATAATCCATTTCGTGTAATAAGCAGATTCATTCCACATTCCAATCTCACTTACGATTCTCCAGCTAATTTTTGGGATTCGTTCTCCATGCTCTCAAAGAATATTGCTGCTGGAAACTGAAATTCAAATAAAAGCCACCTTCAAATTGGTTGGGTAGTCAGTCAATTCCTTAGTTTGTACATTGTACTTTCCACTTATTGGGCCATTTCTCTGCAAATCCGGTCCGTCAACCTATCTTTTCATTTTCTTTTCAGTTAGCATTGCGCAAAGAGTTTCGCCGAGCGCATTTGTAGTATGCCCTCAGTCACACAAAACACTTCCAGTAACCGATTTGTCATCTTCCCGTGCTACTTGTTCGGAATGTGCTTAAAAACTATACACTAACAAATTGATTTCTAAATTAGTATTCGAAGAAATCAAAGAATTACTAATGCAAACAATTTCAGATGTCGACGGATAGATGGAACTTCCTATTGATATTGTCGGTCGTCTCGTACCACATCTGAATACGTGCTGTTTGTTGAATTCAAGGGCTACCAGTACTCCCACGATGATCGTAACGTTAAGTCGGTTGTCAAATCACTGCCAAGAGAGCTTTTTGTGGTCCAAATCGTCATTCAATGAAGAATCAACTTTGGTCTGGTCAAATTCTTTAGACTCAACGACGAATATCCGTAAGAAAGTTGGAAATCGTTAATGCTGGTCATCTCCATTAGCCATAAAAAAAGAGACCAATCGCAGACTTATCTCTGTTTAAATGACCGCATCTCACGGATCGCAATCGTTTTCTGACGGGCATAATGATGGAAAATGACCGATTGCCATCTAGAACGTTTTATGCTGAGGGAAGGAATTGCGTTGGCTAGTGTCGTGTTTCTGTGGTCACACAGAAAACCTGAAAAGAATTCGAGTTTCAAAAGAAAGGTGGTTGACAATGAAACAGTAGCCGTCAAAGTATGCATTCAATTTCTATTTGTGACCCTTTCTTTGTTCGTGGTTAACCTTCTTTGATGCTTCTGAGAAAAAAGAGACGAAATGCATTTCTCGCGCAAGAGGGTCGTTGATGAGTGACGTAGGCAGTCGCAATACAAAGAATCGGCGAATGATACTGCGTCGAACTTCTTTCTTATTGTTCTGTTCCCTATGCCTCTTACTCGTACAGCTTTCTTTTTCGTTACACATCGACATTTTGGCGCCCAAACAGTGTAAAGCTTGCGATCTGCACTGTGCAACTTACTCGTACTCCTTTACAAATCACGAATCAAGAGGAGAAGTGTAATATCGTTTCGAACAACGTCAAGAATGGAAACAGAAAGAACAACCTGTTGTCCTAGCTACCTGGAGACTACATCTAGATACAGAGACTAACAGTAATGATGGATTGGAGAGGGATGATGTCACTGACAGAACTTTTATTATTGACAGTTTAGTGGAAGTTATTTCTGGTAGAATTCGTCCGATTCGAGGTTTCCATGGTTTGTGATTGATGTTCACAACAAGACACCACACTTGCCAAACATAGTTAATCGTGCTTCTGAGTCTCCGACGATTCTCTCTTATTTCCCACAAAAGGTCAGCTATCTGGTGTGACGAAATTGTCGCGACGTGGACAATGGCATCAGATCTTTCCCCCCCCACCGGGACGACGGGCGGGAGAGGAGGTCGGTCGGTCGGGGGGTCGCGTGCCTACATAGGTAGGGTGGGCAGCCGCCTTTCGCGAAAGAAACTCACTCCGCCCACTCTCTTCTGTCCTATCACGTCGTCGACTCTCCTGTGGCCAGTGTGTCGAGAAACACGACTTGCGTTGATGACGACCCGAAGAATCGTACTGTTGTGCGCCATCGCCGCGTGCGCCTCGGCCGCATCGTCGGAGATCTCTGTCCGCATCGAGCGACACTTCCCGTGCTCTGCCAGCTCAGGTTTGTATTCTTTTTCAGCTATTTGGAAGCTTTCGTTTGATTAAGGGTGGATTCTGTTCCCCCCGTGGGTAGAACAACATAGCAGATTGTAAGTCTTGATGAATTCTACAAATGGGACAACAAACGGGCCGGTTTTAGAGCTGGTATTGTGGCGCTGGCCGACCTAGATTTCCCGGGCCGGCAAAAAGTGGCAAAAACATTCTAAGTCGGCTAACGCCACATTACCGGCTCTAAACCGGCCCGTTTGTTGTCACATTTGTAGGACTCATCGAGACTTACAATCTGTTATGTTGTTCTACGCACAACTGTGATTTTAAAACGAGTTATCAGTCGGCCCCGTGTCGGCCCATAACAACTTTAAAGCATAAAGTCTCTCAGAAGCACTCTTTACTTTCAAAGTTTGTCCAAATTGCTCAAAAAACCCTCTCTCAAACGTTTTGTTTCTCTGTTCCCAAGCATGGTTCAAAATACAAAATACTCTACTTTCCGCTCAATTACCCTTCATTTTTGCACTTTTTAGTCGTAAATGAAATTGGATCCAGTTTTTTTTTGGCAATTCAAATTTGTCTGACCACTTGGGTTGTCCACTCGATTCAATTCGCAAATTAGAGTCTGACCCACGTCATCTTCGCTCCAGAAAAACCTGTATTTTTTGCTTTGTCAAGAAGCGTGTCACTGAAGTCAAGAATCTATGACAGAGTTCAAAGTTTCAAGGAGAGAGATAGAGAGGAGAAATCAACGTTTCCGCTTGTTCAGTCGCGACGTTATTGTAAAGCGGCAAAAAAAGTTTGACCGAACTGCGGGTCTAGGAAGTGCGCGGCCTTGGAGACGTGATACTGTGCGTCGGTCATAAAATACCGATAAAAGAGTAGAGGAATAGGGTATCAAAAGAAAAACGACCGCTCTGATTTCCTGTTTCATGTCTTGTTTTGTTTCCGCTTCGCCAAATTGGAAGAGGATACGGATTCGCAAAAAAACTGATAATAAGTATTTGAACTGAAAGAGTTTGTTTTAGGACCGAAGAAGGACACGCTGCTGATCAAATTCCCGTCGTATAAAACTGCCGGAGTCGAGTTCCACGAGGAGATTGGCGAGAATGGACACAAGTGCTTCCGAATGTCCGGAGGAAAAGTCGAGGTGCGAATTATTTTCAGAATTGAACTCTGCCACAGTTCCTTTCAAATTGTCTATTTTTTCAGGTCTACGCTCCAGGACTCGATGGATCCAAGAAATACTACGTTCATCTTGAGACCAGAATTGGAATCCACGGAAAGCCGGAGAGATGCGTGAACGCTGATGCCAACGGCTGTGGAGGAATCGGATCATGGTACTAATATTGAGCGAGAAATCTCGAAAATGATTGATTTCAGTGTTCACTGCGACATCTGTCACACGATGGGCGGATCTCTCAAGAACTTTGTCCAGATCTTCCAGGCTGACAAGCCAGCTCAATGCTCAAGCAAGGTAAAACAGCAGGGTAAATTATGTAACAACTTTTGAATGTTTCCAGGGGCTCCCAGCCGGTCTGTACACTGATCTCTCGCTCCGTGTGTGTCTGCCAACTAAGAATGAGCTGCTCCCGTTCCTGGACCAGAATGCGTCCCGCGCCGAGCAGCTCTGGGACCTGTTCGTGAGCTCGCGTGCTCGTTCCGGAGAGATCCCTCTGGTTATCGCCGCTCGTCTCTTCGACCGGCCAATCAACAACATGGACGCGAAGACTCTGAACACGATCCTCCACGACACGAAGGAAGGAATGATCGGATGCCACTGGATCTACGCCACTGTTTCCCAGCCGAACTAAAAAAAAAGACCTTCAGTGCGAACAGAGCTCTAACTTTTCTTCTTTCAAATCGTCATTTTACATCGATTCTGGTTGAGTCGGTGTGTATCTGTATGTCAGTGGACGACCGGGTAAAACCAAACCTTTTTCACTTTTTTTTTCACAAAATCATCTGAATGAACCATTCTAGAACTACTCTTCTCGATGTTAGGTTCAATTTCACACAAATTCTCCAACTTTCTCTCTCTTTTCATTGTTTTCTTTATTCTTTCTTTTTCAACTTTTTCAAGTGTATGAATGAATGAACTTCTTTATCGAAACAATGGTGAATAGAGTGTGGAGAACAGAGAACATAATCGTGTCATACAAAGAACACCAGTTCGTGAGAGACAAGCTTGAAATGGACGGGTGGGAGAAACAGAAAAAAACATAGGAAAGAGAAGGAAGAAGACAAATAACTAAAGTAGTTTCATTTTGGCAAAGGAGATTGCACAGGTTTTCTGGGCGAAAAGGGAGAGATCAAAAGATGAGAAGCTACAATTACAGACGTAAAGCATACATCATTATCGAACAGCTATTAGTTTGCGTTTACGATCGACACGACAATCGCGTCGTTTGTGGATGGTGGCGGGCTGGGAGTGACTCGTCGCCTTTGAAAACAACTATCGAATCCCAACTGAAAAGGGAAAATTAAAGAATTGGGCTAAAAGTTTCAGCCGGTTACCTACCTTCATAACTCTGACAATCCACCAATCTCGGTTCTCAGTCTCCTCCTTCTTGATCGAGTCACTGCTGGATTTCCTCGTTTTGCCGAGAGCATTCGCCTCTTTCTCCTTTTTACTCATTTTCTTCTGCTTTTCAACATCATCGCTCATCTTGGATCCTCTCCGCCACGCAATGAAGGAATCAAAGTCCATGTGGACAAGGCAGTCCTTTCCGGAGTACGTCGTGTTTCGCCTGACCAGGATTGGGCGTGCTGTGATCTGAAAACTAATATTTCATAGAACTAACTAATTAGTTGAGAACTTGTTGTACCTTTGGAGGGCACAAATCATAGGTGGTCTTTGCGATATCCGGATAGGCCGGCGGAGGTACAGTAACCGAGAAAGAGACTCGTTTCGTTTGAGTTGTCTCCCGACAATATATCTTTCCGAGTTCCACACAGGAATAGGATCTTTTCATGCCGCCTGAATCAATCACAAATGAATGGTTTCCAGATGGAGAGGCTTAATTCAAAATATTTACGCGTTTCTAAATGGTTTCGTGAAATATGGAAAACTTGATGTGTGGTTCGACTTGTGGTTTCGCTTCGGGTGGTTAGCACGTTTGTTTTGGGGCGGATTCTCGGTTGCCGATCGTAAAAGTACGTCATTCGGAAGAGGAAAACGAGCCCAAAACAAAGCGAGCCAAAGTTGAGCTTTCAAGCAGAAATAATGAAAAATCGACGAACCGGGCAAGCTTAACTCTTCTTTGTAGTTGGCCATAAGTACGGAATTCCTCCTTTTCAGTTGGAACTCCAACTTCTTCTGTCTTTTCTCACGTTCGCTTTTCGGCATCTTTGTGTCGTTGGCGTTGTTCTAAAGAAATAACATTGAATGGATGGTACTAAGGACGGATTACACAGGACAGGAACGGAAAAAGAATGAGGAAGGAGGGAAGTGCAAAGGATCAAGACACTTACGTCAGAGAGGCACATGTAAATGCCGCCAAAAAGGTGTTCGCTGCTGGAAGAGTTGGAAGGTAGATCCGGTTCTGAAATAAGGCTTTTCATAGGGTTCAGGGCCGTAGCAATTCGAATAATTCACTTTTGATTCGAGCTCTAAGTCGAATAATGGACTAATGAAGAGAATGATGCGGGAGCTTTCTAGATTTCTAAAAATAACTTTCTAATGAGGTGGTTAGCTAAATGATAGGGTTGCAGTTCTCATCGCAGTATACAAACGTACGTCAAGCTTACGCACGAGGAGAAACCGAGCGCTTGGGGGATAACATTTGAAATGCAATCAAAATCAGACAGATTACTCATTTTCCGACATGACAATATCACCATTTTGCTCTAACAAAAGCCTGTCTGATTGGTCTTCCACAAAATCATCCATAACAACTACGTAACCGAATAGTGGGCTTCGATTCTTGAATTTCTATGCGTCATAGATACTTTTCCCTTTTCTCCTTGAAACTTTCTACTCCTCTTAAATTTACAGATTATAATCGCTCGACTTATTTTTTTTCCTATTTTATTTCCTCTTGTTGACAGACAATGAACAATTGAGAGACTGACTAACCTCGGCCAAAGTTCCAGCTGCGGAGGAAGTTGATTTCATTGGGTTTGATGAGCACCGGATCCGAAATCGCCGGCCGCAGCATCTTTTTGCTGAAAGGAACGAACTTTGTCAAAACGCCAGAAAAATTAGCTAGAAAACACAAAGAAAGTACGAGGCGAACCGGTTTTTTTGTGGTATCATGCGGGGGCTAACACGGGTTCACACCGAATTCATCTGATTTGCAGCTATTCGTTCTGGCGTCCAAAACCACGTGCAAAACACAGCCAAACGGTGTTTGTGTTTGCAGGCTCTGGTTACCTTGGAAATTAGATTCCTGATTGAATGGAACGGCGAACAATGTTTGTTGAAGTTCTTTCTGCTGAATAATCATCAACAGTTTTTGCAAGCTCTATTATTTTTCCGCTTTACATTAGCCAGATAAGCTTAGGCCTAATGAGAAGTGAATAGGAAAAAAAGGTGCGATGATTCGGTTGGCCGGATATGATAATCGGAGAAGACAAATTCAAAAATTCGCGGACAGACAGAACTGAACGACGATGGTAAGGTATTACCGGAACAAAGAAAAGAGGATTATCAATGTGTCCGGGTGGACTGGAAAGCTGTTGGACCCGCTGCATTCAGCTCTGATAAAAATAACTATTTTTTCTTTGGACTGAGCACTAATTTGTTTGGGAAAAAAAGCGGTGGGAAAGTTTGAAGGACGAAGGTATTATTTCACGGAAAATGTAGGCTGTGGGAGTCTGCGGGTGAGAAAGAAACAAACTGAGCTCTATGATGAATTTATGTGCTTGGACTCTTTTTTTTTGTCATCCTACCCTCTTTTGTGGGTTAGAAGTGAAAAAGTAAAGAAGTGACTACACTTTCCCCAAAAAAATACGTATTTTCAGACAAAAACACATGTACTAAACAGCAATGAAATAAATGACAAATTGAAAACAAAATTACTTCAGGCTGATTTTTGACTTGTTCCAAACCGGGTGGGCTACAAATAAAGTAAAGAACTGTCGAAAAAAGTTAATCAGCGACCTGTTCACCTATGAAAATGACGTGTAGTAAGAAACACTATCATTGTGACCCAAAGAAGAGATCATCGGAAAGAAGAAGATTAAAAAATCAACAAATATGAAGGTATCAGACGATTGGAAAGAAAGTGTTTTAACTTTGGCAGTTCAAGTGAACGACCCAAAATAAACTTAAAGAAAGAGAAGAAAAATAAAAATAAGGGAAGGATTGCTGTGGCCCGAGGCCCCAGGCCCCTAACATGCAACAGATGTTCGAAATAGAAAAGAAAATGAAGAAGAAGAAGAAGAAGATGAAGAAGATGAAGGAGCATCATGCTCACAAATCGGACAGGATCCTTAATTTTAATTAGAAATAGATTGCAAGAAAAATTGTCCACCACCCCCATCGTGTGAGGAAGAAGAAAAGAACGAGCACATTAATTATGTGTGGTCAAATTAATCACAAACGTATGGCGCCTCTTGCTTCACCAATAAATCATCATCGTTTTTGCATTCATTCATTCATTTATTGTAAACAGACGTCACGTCCAGTAAACTCGGCAAACCACCGACACACCATGTCAGGGAACTATACGAAGTGCGAGCCTGGGGTGCGACGGTGGCAAGAATCTTCACTACGTACTTTGGGCGTTTTTTAACCTGAGTGTCCGCCCAAACCGAAACTCCTTAACCCAGGATTCTTTTTAGCCAGAGCTGTCGGATATAAAAGGATCTACTAGCTTCTGACCGAGTTACCGGTCTGGTGCCTCGCGGCCATCGACCTCGCAGTCTCAGACACTTGTACAATTGCTAAAGTTGCCAAAGAAAACGGAAGTGAGAAGGAAGAGGAAGAGGAAGAGGAAGAAGAAGCAGAAGGAAAACCGGTCGACTACCAGTTCTCCGGAAGAAAAGTTCAAGTTTTTCTCCCAACGAACTACTAATCTTCTTGTTTTTTGTCCGCTTTATGGAGAATTGCTTCCTTGCTTATCTAAAAGACAGGAAAAGAAGAAGAAGAAAAAAGAGAAGAAGAAAACGAAGAAGATGATGAAGAAGAAGAAGAAGAAGAACGCCGTTATTATTCGGGTTGAGCACCAGCAGTACACGTTATCGAGAGGATAATTGGCTTCGGATTGGGTCATGAGAAACGGAAAGCCAGAAAAAAAAACGGTTGGGAAACGAAGGAAATGAGAGGTTTTGCAGAACAGTAGAATATATGAAATTGAAAACAAAAGATTTCGATCTTACATCAAGATAAATTCGCTCCTCGACCACTGAAAGGGGCGAATGGTATTGTGTTACAACCATGTATACGCAAAAGTCACAAGTCGCGCTTCGCTTGATAATTGGCGAATTAGAGTACTGGGAATAGAAAAACCAACTACATCAAATTCTTAAGAGCACACATTTGTTGCAGTTTCAGATGAGCAAAATATTTCCAGCCTAATGAATATATCATCGTTTGATGTGAAACGGAGCAAGCAAGCAAGAAGAAACCAAATAATGAGAAATGAGAAGATCAGTAGAACTCCAGTCATCTGTGCATAGAAACTGGAAGATATTTATACATATTGATTTTACAGTAATTTTAATGACTGTTGCTTCGACTCACTGATATTCGGGCTTTTTTGGAATAGATCCTCTTTCAGATCAGAAATTATCTTTTCGGGTTCAATCCGTTCCGTTCAAATCCTTTAAGAACAGATTCTTTCGGGTCCGATCCGTTCTGTCCGATATAACGGAAATAGATTGATCATTTTGAAAATGTTCCTATGTATGTTCCAACAATCTTCCCATTTTCAACCTATTTCCGCTACCGAACGAATCGGACCATACCGATCATCAATCATTTCAAAAAGTTTCGTTTTCAGCTGGGACCGATAGTATTGGGGCAGTGAATGATTAGTGAGTCCTACATTACGTGGCTTTCAGAAATAGATAAATTCAAATTAGAAAAGTATACTCAACAAAAATCATTAGATATCGTGTTCTGTTTTTCTGTGTTTTGACCGCAGTGCTCTAGTGCAAGAAGAGGCCAAAACTGTTCTGTGCAAGAAACAACATTGCGCATGTCCAATCCCTTTGCTTGACTATTGACTTATAACTAAGGCCTGGCACCGACTTTTTTCTCTCTCTCTCTCTCTCTCTCTCGAAAAAACCAACAACGCCACACCAACACAACGTGGTGATATTGATCTTTGCCACGTGCAACTTAAACACTTTTTGGACCGACACGACTTTTCTTGTTTTACCAGCCTGTTCTCAGCACAGTGCCGCTGATTGTTCGCAAAGATTTCCGTTGTAAGGATTACCTAGGTGGTCTTTGAAGTTGGTCTTAGTCAGGAAATTCTTTCAAGAATATTAGTACTTCACAAAAAAAGTTACCGGGGATAACATCTGAGTTTTAACTTTAAAAACATTAGTTATGTCAGTTTCTGTCAGTGAGAATTCAGTGAAGAAGGGAAAAATCAGTATTGCAAGAGTGAGGAAGAAAAAGTAATAGCTAGTAAGACCTTATGATTTTATACCGTCAATAAGTCGAAAAAGAAAAACAGATAAACTCGGGTCGGTCCCACCAACACACGCGGTCTTCATCTCTTTCTTCTTCTCTCACAATTTCCTTCATCTCACCTTCTTCAACTTTGAACAACATCATAAAAACCGACGAAAAGTGGGCATCGAATGTCTCCAAATCGGAAAAGTACACAAGACACCCGTGTTGATATCACATTCATTATACATGTAAAAGGAATGTTGTGGAAGATTTTCATTTAGGGGAAACGAGACGAAACGTGAAAAGAAAGCGAGACTAAAGAAAAGAAGCGAGGTCCGGCCATCCACGACATTTGAATAATTGATGATGAACACGAATATTCAATAGAAAACTGATTGAAAATTGGATAGCGATGGGTGTGAGTAACAAGGTGAAAAGGGACACGATGTATGAAAAAGAAGACCAGAAATGGGAAGATGCGAAGTCAAAACAACAGCCTACTTAAGATTGAGGGAACCTGAACAAACTTTCCTTCTTTTTTCCGTTTCGCCATTCAATCTTCGCCGCGTGGTCGGTAAAGTGTAGGTGGAATGGGGCGATTGATACAAAAATCAAACAAGGTCAAAATTGTTTCACAAATTGCCCTCGCCGATATTTCAAACGTGACTGCCGCAATCGAACTTACCACATTTCTCATAAATTATCCGCTTTTTTTGCATCACAATTTTCCATCCAATAGGCATAATATGTGTTTCCTCTTATTCTTTTCAAGATTTATTTGCTTCCATTAAAATATACATACGTTGAGAGTGGAGTATATTAGGGGTACATTGATAGAAGGGGAGGGGGGGGACACAAAAATTTCAGGCGGGTTTTGATTTTAACGAATTAGCGATACGGCGCTATCTAACGTACATTATTTGTGTAGTTTACTTGTTACCTTAGGGTTTACGAGGACTGAGAACTGGCAAAAGTTAAATACGAGTGGAAGGAGGGGAATAAATACAAAATAGTAGAATAATGAAGAAGCAGAGAGTTGATATTTTGAAAAATTGGGACAGAAAAGCAAGTGGTGGATGAATGAATCGGGGAGAAGGGACACATTGGGACGGATGGTTGGGACACTGATTTAAAGATGGGAAATGGTTGGAATTATAGGTTGCGGATGAGATGGACAAATGACAATTACGGCAATGGCTTGGATCGATGCACAGACCTAGCTGGACGGGGGGTTTGGGGGGAAGGGAAGGCAATGTTCCTATTTGGACACGAGTGTGACTACTTGAATGAATTTGGATGGGTTTGGGACAAACAAATTTTTGAGAATTTGAAAAGTGGAGGGAGGTTTTACACAGTAAACATTGGGGGATTTCGGCTCCGGAGCACAGCTCGCAAGATGCAAAGTCACTTGGGGAATGACGTTTTGGTTAGTGGTTGGAGAACTAATACTAATGAGCTGGGGGTTAGGTTATTATTTGGAATGGACGACAATAAGGTTACTTTTTTTGCGGTTTTTTCGTGCTTTTTTGTTGAATATTGAACGATTACATGTAAGGTTGTTGTAGACGTATGGGGTTACCAGAGGACGGGTATTCAGGTTATAATCTTGCAGGCACTAAAATACTACAGAAGTGAAGGCGAGATGAGAATTAATGCATCGGGGGACTAGATGACTGGTAAATTCGGTTTGAATGCCTTTAGAAAAGGATTTGACGAACGAAGTCGATAGTAGTCTGGTTGGCAAAGTCGAACTGAAATTACGATATTCCTATCAGGTAATCTCTTCTTCTTCCTCATACCTGCTCTCCACATCTTCCCAGAATCGCAAAATCGTGGACGGTCAGCGATTTCAGGTTCTCCTCCAGCTTGTCGCACGAAATTGGGAGCTCAGGGTCCTGAAATCAGAATATTTGTTAACATTATGCATACGTGAATTCTTTACCTGCTGGTCGTAACATTCGTTTGGGAAGTCCAAACTGCATGCTGAGCTAGTGCTGGCCACACTCGAGATCGGAGTGTTCTGGTTGACTTGTGTTCGTGGAGTATTGTAGCCGTTGGCTCCCATCTCTGGCTGACCGGCAACAGCCTGTTGGACAATCGGGCCTCCCTGAGCCATTGCTGGCTGCTGTTGTTGCTGCTGGACCTGTGGCTGTCCCATTTGCTGTACTCCCATTGACGAGGACTGTTGTTGTTGTTGTTGTTGTTGTTGTTGATGGAAGTGCTGTTGCTGCTGAGCCATCTGGGCGTACTGTCCCGTGAACTGTGCCATGTGGTTGCCGCCCATCATCATGGATGGATCTTGCATCGAACGCTGCATTGGTGGCTGTTGCTGCTGTGGCGCGGCCGGAATACGATCTGAAAATAGGCGAGATTGAGATTCTAGGTGTCAACAAGTGAGAGGAGAGTCGGGGGAGGGCGGGACCTGTCGAGCTTCCCTCCTGGCTTCGTCAGAATATCTGATTGTACATATTAATGTTTGTTTGCGTGATCTACGACGTTTTCAATAATAGTTTTAAAGAAGAATTTCAGATCTAAAAAGGCTTCCCCCGTTGTTTAGACGCTCCAAACAGACGTGTTTTCCACCTGTCTGTAAAAGTGGTTCTCCAAAAAAGCTCCCTCTTATTTTTGTTTTAAATTTGATTGAGGCTTGAGCCGTTCACAGAACCGCACAACCCTTTTGTTATTTCGCAAAAAAAAAAACTCAAAAAAGATTAGAAGAGGTCTATCAATTCTCAAGTGTTTATATAAAGATATAGATGTGTATCCCCAGCGTTGTTCTGGAAAACACAATTAAAGTTTTATCGGCGTCCACATAAGGTGGTGAAATTTGACAAAACAAGCGGATACCTTTGAGAACAACGATCTGTACAACCGCTGGAAAAACAAAAGGCCACGCCCACTATCCAGAGTTGGTTTCTAGAAAAAAATGGGGGGAAAAGCTCTGTTGTTTTCAGACATGTGAGAAAAAAAAGGAGAAGAAGATAGAGTGAACGACAAATAGCCTGTTTGCCGGAAAAGACCCATTTGTTGACCACAGCAAAGAGAACGGCCGGACCCGGCGAGCAAGCCAAGACGGACATATTTTTGTCATGGTTCTGTGTGTATGTGATACGTGTTTTTCACACGTCAAGCAGTATGTGTGTGTGTATGTGTGTGTGCTTCGGTCCGCAAATCCAAGTCTTGTTATAGCAAACACACAGACACACCACGACGGACGGACAGCCACGAGTTTGCCGGCGTTCTGACGACTACAAAAATATTTTCTCGACCACCACCACCACTGGCTGGCTGGCTGCCACGTCGACGTTGCCGTTCCAAGAGAAGCGAACAGAGTGAAAAGAAGGAGGGGGGGGGGTCTATGTGTGGTCATCAACATGTTTTTGTTTTTCATTACTACATCCATAATTGCTCTATTCGGCTGTGTGCCGTGTTCTTTCTTTTGGCCCTCTTCAGCCGAAAACTTGTTAGTCGGGAAGGAACTACTCCTCCCCACACTTTGTGAAAAGCTCTATGAAATCTTGATGAGTGGACAACAGCCGCCTAGACACAACATTTAGAGAAGGAGGGGGTGTCTAAGCTATTTGGCACGGCTAGTAGTATCCATAAACCCGCGTATCAACAAACCGCCATTCCTCCCACTTGTTTGTTGTTTACAACATGTTGTTGATGCGAGAAGTGAGGTGGTCAAGAGTCCGGAACAAAATTTGTAGCCAATTTGAAGGAAATAGCAACAACTACACGCTTCCGGTGGAAACTTTCACTAGCAGTTTCATTTTTGGAACTGAATTATTGGAATAACAAATAACACGAGTGCCTTCGTATTATGAAGGAACAGAGGAGAACAGAACAGGATATGTATATAAATATGTCCTTTTATTTTTATCTTCCCTGGCCATTTCCTTTTTGTCTGGGACTTTTGTGTGGGCCCCGAAAATATTTATCCCAAACTGGTCAAAACATGATGTCTGGGCATGACCACGTTCCGAGAACCTAAGTCGTTGCATCCGAAAGTGCGGCCCCGCGTAACCCGATCAGATATACATATAAACATCACTATTTATCATTTCCGCTCTTCTGCCCCCTCCTTTCCGCCACGAGCCTAATCGCTGAAACTACGTATCTCACATCATGATCATAAATAACTTTTCAGATCCAAAAATAACTTGACTCTAAAGAGTGTGTGGGAGTGCTCCGGGCCGAGGGACCATCAAAAGTGAGGAAACACGATCAAAAACCACTCACGTTGCTGTTGTTGATGTTGCTGCTGAGCTTGTTCGACTTGCGCCTGGTGCGTCAGGTCTTTCTTTTGTGCTTGCTTAGCCTGGATAGAGTTGCGCAGTTCCATGCGCACCATTTCGGACCTGCAAACAATAATTAGTATCCGCGCGGAAAGGCAGGCAGGGGGTCCCTCTTTTATGAGCCACAAGTACTAGAAACTTACGCTCCAAACTGATTCTGCGAGCCTCCGGGTCCTCCGGGCCCTCCGTGCACCATAGCGTGGTGTTGCATGTGTTGTGCGCCGCCCATTTGATGTCCATTCATTTGATGTCCATGTCCTCCCATCATGTTCTTGTTCTGAATGGAGAAGATTATACAAAGAATTGAAAAGTAGGAGTAGAAGTAGAAGCAACAAGCAAAGTACGCATGACATGTTCTCAGACATGTCCTATGACAATCAGTCGCCCACATGTCATGGGACTAAAAAGTGCACGAACTTTTTGTTGTACCTGCTGATGTTGATATCCGTATGGAGGAGGCGGCTGGTAGTGATGGTTCGGCATCGGAACGTCTTCCTGGGTCTTGTTGTGAGTACGCTTTCTTCTGGAGTTTGATTTTGCTGGGGCCTTGGCCTGGGCTTGGGCTTGAGCTTGAGCCTGAGCTTGCGCTTGAGCCTGAGCCTGAGCGGCGGCAGCAGCCTGAGCAGCCTGAGCCTGTTGCATTTGTTGATAGTTCATCTGGAAAACAAAGCTATGAGTGCATGTTTTGAAAATTTCGAAAAAAAATTTTGTCTGTCATTAACTCGGCTAGACAAAAGTCAAGTTTCTATGTGTGCTGGCGAACGAAAGGAAAAGAAGGGCGGATCAAGAATATTGAAGCGTACATTCATGAATATGCAGGCAATAAACACTTTACTCAAAACGAGTAAAGTGGGCGGATTTCATTGCGTTGAACCCTCAATAATCGCGAGAGCAAACGAATCTCGGCCCAACACCTCTTCCGCTTCTTCTTTTCCCATAAGACTTTTAATGGGGCGTGGAAATGGGGTTGCATACTCAAATGCAAAAGAAAAATGTGGGTCACCTGCTGTTGCTGTTGCTGCATTCGTTGGTACTGTTCCCAACGTTGTTTCTCATTTTGTTGCGCGTAGGCGGGATTCATCATGCGTTGCATATTAGTAGTGTTGCCAGATCTGTAAAATAGTGGATAAAATAAGAGAATAGGGGCGAGACAAAAACACGTGTGATCCGTGAAAATAGTGAATCACACACCAGCGGAACGTGAACATGGGCACGAGAGCGAAAGAGAGAAAGAGTAAGGACCTGCCTGCCAAAACATGTTCTTTTTTCTAAGTCATGAAAAACACAGATATGGCCACGCCACTTATCTGGAAACGCGAACACAACTTTATGTTTATATGTGTGTGCACATGTAGTATCTGTGGTCAGAACTGGATGGATGGATGGGGACCACTCGCGAAAACAACTGTGGAACAGCGTTCGTGTTCACTCAATGACTAACAGAAGAGAAAATAATGTTTTCTTCTCTCGGAAAATGCTTTTAAGCGACTATATTTTGTGTGTCCCGTTCGTGGACAAAAAATAATGAGTAAAGAGGAAGAGGGAGACTGTTTGTTTCAGCATCAGGTTCCTGAGAGGGTGGGGCAAGAGAAAATAGAAATGACTGACAACTGGAACTTTATTTTTCGAAACATCCGACTGTGTTCTAGCGGTTATTTTCTGCCCGCCGTCATGCTGCCAAATGATTTGTTTTCAAAAACATCTACTCCGGTCCTGTTCCAGACAAAAAAGACTCAAATCTTTTCCTGAGAGACACACTCGCAAAAAACATGACGATGACAATAATGATGGAGCCCATCCGGGATGAGCAAAATATTATGAGGCTCCGGCGCGTACGTGAAAAAAATCTTTTCGCATCAAAAGTCGTACGGCCACCCAGTGACATAAACTGATTTTCGTGATTTGCATTGCGTGAGTCAGGATAGATAAACAACTCTTGATTGCACTTACTAGCAAGTATTATTCGATTGTGTGGCTCCGCATACACGTGACTCTTGTTTTTTTTCTCGAAAAGATGTATGATCTTTAAGAATGACCATCGCGAAAGATCTTTAATGTTTTGCAAAAGATTAGAATGAGCAAAAAATGTTGGGGCAATCAGGAAATGTGAGGAAGTGCATCACGCCTCTTGATATTTCATCCTGACAAGAAAGAAAGCGCAAACGAAGTCCGGAAGAACTCACGATTGTTGTTGATGTTGCTGTCCCATTTGATGTTGCATTTGATGCGCTGGCATTCCCATTTGAGGCTCTCCGATCGGTACATTCATGGATCCCATTCCGGCCATCTGGTTGTTGCTCATTTGTCCCATGTGACGAGTATCCATTCCTGGCCTTCCGTCCATGTTCCTTCGATCCATCTGATTCGGCGGCATCTGTGGCATCGGCTGGTTTTCCATTGGTCTTTGCTGCATTCCTGGGCCCATGCCTTGACCGATTGCTGGGTTCATTGCTGGCGTCATACCGGGAGCCATTCCAGTAGGCATTCCAGGATTTATGTTCGCTCCTATGCCAGAATTCATAGTCGGAGCCATTCCAGGGTTCATTCCTGAACCCATGCCTGGTCCCATGCCAGATCCCATCGACCGATTGTCCATTGGCAGTGGTATATGCCCGTTGTTGCCCATTCCATGATGACTCGGCATCATCTGACCGGATCCAGCCGATCGTCCGTCCATCGACCCCATCGCCATTTGTCGTTGTCCCATCGACGGGTCCATTCGTCCCATTTGATTCCCGGCCATGTGTCCCATTTGTTGCTGCTGCTGCTGCATCTGCCGAGCGTCCATTGGCGCCGGCGCCATGCCTCCATTTCCACCCATCGGTCCCATTTGTCCTATTTGACCGTATCCTTGAGGCGGATAATTGTAGGCCGCTTGTTGTTGTTGTTGTTGTTGTTGTTGCCGTGGCTGTTTCGGTTGCGGCTGCGAGGGCGGCGTAGAGGAGTACATCCTTACAGCCTGAAAAAAAACAAATTTAGTTGGCTTTCAGTGCGTTTCACTTTTTTCAGAGATCCATTCTACGAAGAAAACAAGATATTCGGGAATTTCGGAAAAAAAAACGACTAAAACGGAAGGGATAGTGGGCAGTCGTCTCCTAGTGTATTTTTGAAAATAACAAGTTCAAATGTGTTGATGATTGAAAACATGTTCAAGTTGTGAAAACAATCAAAGGAGACAAGGGCGGTGGGAGGCAAGTCCGGCCAAGAAATGAAGAAACTGGGGATACGCACAGAAAACAGTGCTGATCCGAATCGGTCTGGATCCATCCGAACGTACGGACGCACCACAACAACAAACCGTCCGTGCCAGTATGTGTGACCCCTCTCTCTCTCTCTCTCTCTCTCTCTCTCTTCCGTTCTCCCTTCTCTCCCCTCCCTTACTTGTTTCTCCGTATGTTTTGAGAAGACTGTTTATATCCGATAAAATGCCAACGCTCATACGCTCATGATAGTAACAAGGCAGTCAAAAAGTTGTATAAGAGTTTTTCAGTGTGGATACATACTCCCAGCCCACACAAACAGACTACTTGTTTTGTTGTTAGTTGTTAGCTTGTTGTGACATGGAATAAGTGAGCGATCGTAGTGGCTAAAGCTATTCGCGACTGCCACAAACCGATGTGTTTGCTGAAAAATCGGTGGGAAAATGATGTGGCTTGTTCACAAGTCGAAAAAATCGAAACGATGATTGCCGATTGCCCGAATTGTTGAACATTCGAGAGAAAGTTTCAATTGAATCGACGGAAATGCATTGCATTGCTTTCGAAACGCTTTTTGTGATTAGTGAGGAGAAGAAAGAAGGAAGCCGAAGTGGACAGGTTTCAAGACGACCGAGTGCCTTTTCCTTTCTCTCTTTTCCTCAGCGCCCCCCATCACATGAGTATGAAACATCTCGGACTTGGTGGTGGTGGTGGCTTGTAAATGTTTACTAATAAAAACCATCGGAACAACTAGGACTGAACTGGTGTGAGATGGGAACTGGAAATGCAATTCTGATTCTGATTCTGAACACGGTGGTCTGAACCTAAACGGGTTTAAAATTAAGCGAGAAGCTTTCGAGAAATGCTGAAAATGTTGCAAAATCAAAATACAGTCAAAAATGGAATTATCGACGTGTTATCTCTAGTTGAGGGATGGTCAATGCACATGAAAATAGCGAGTCGCGGGTCGGACGGACAGGAAAATGAGGGGAATTGACAATACAAGAAAATTTAGACAAACGTCTTTTGTTTGCTTTTCTTATCTGGACTCAAAAATCTTCGCGTGATTCCGCCTTGACTCCCGCAATTTCTCCCTTTTTCGCCTTTTCACACCAGGAAGGAAGAAACCATTGGATTGCGAAAAAACACTGGGTGATCTATCTATTCTACAGTGTTACCTTGCAGTTCTCAGGGCACTGACACACTGAAACATTGTATTCGTATCTAGGCGCGTGGACAAGACGACGAAGTAGTTTGGCCGCATGCTCGGCGGTCAGGTGCTCTGTGCTCACAGCCGGTAGATTCTTGCCCGGCACCATTGAAACACTCTCAGATGAGCCTTCTTCGGATGATAATCGAGCGACAAACTGACGAAATTCTTGAAGCGGATCACGGTACTTGCTAGAATCCAGTGCGGGGCTCTTAGCCTGTGAGCAAAACTTATCGGCTAGTTCAATGAGAACATGAAACCAAACCTTTCTCTTGATTTGTTTAAATTTAGACATGGAATACAAACAGAAATCGACTACAATTCGCTGGTTCCCTTGTCTAGGTTACTGACCCCAGAGTGATGTTTTAGTGGGACAATATTGGTTTCCCCTTGTCAAAGTCCAAAATATATTAAAACATCACGCGAAAATTAATTTTGTCTATCTAGCCCCGGAATTCTCGTGAATTGATTGGAAGAACAACGAGAAGAGGAGGAAACTGACGTGAAGGGTCAATGTCCCAAAAAAAAGTGACGCTTTTCTTTCGGAGGTTGTGAGGGAAAACGGCGAAAGTTAGGAAGAAAGCAAGATAAGGAATTGTGAAAATGAAAAGTGACAGGCTGTTTCGGTTCGATTCCTTGCAATTTCACATTCCTAATACTGTCGAGAGGGAAGGCACTTTTTGCATCGCTCCGCCGGCTGAGATGCGACGCGGCAGCTCGACAGGAGCAGTGTGCCGATTGTTTCGATATGTGCGTGCCTGGAGCGGAAGAGCGCAAAAAAAGCACACAACAACTGTTTGATGAACCCAATGATTCGTATCGATGGGCAGTTGAGAGGAGAAGGCTTCCCCGCCCTACATTCGAGTTCAGAAAAAAAGCGTTTCGTCCGGAAGATTTGTTCAAAGCGTTTTAGTTAGAGTTTTAGTTTCAAATTCGTTTCAAAGAAACAAATAGTGAATTCACTTGGGACCGAGTTCTTCTAACCTTCAATACAACTTTGTGAACGACTCTAGTTTACAAAATCTACATATAAAAAACGAGTGCAAACAAGTTTGAGTTATCGATTTTCATTTCCACGTTCCTATTCTGACAATGATAATTTACAAAATCGGTCAACACGAAGCAGCAAAAGTAGGAAACTATTGAGAAAAAGGCAGATTGGGGTATAATAAAAGAAACATACAAGCAGTCTGCCTCATCGGTTCGTACGAAAGGATGCGTTTTGTGTGTGCGTGTAGTCTCTCTATACGAGCGGCGTCATCTGTTCAGGCACCCTCTCCGCGGATATGCGAACGAAGGTCGTACAGTGGGCGCCGGGCGCCGCCACTCGGTGCGGGGGGAGCCATTTGGGTCACTATTGCATGTACTAAGGCGGTGGAGGCGTGTCGGTTACGCAAATTTGGACGGTTAGTTCGATGGCACAGGTTAGGACCACAAACTGACCAAAGTCGGAGAGAAAAACTCATTCACGTGATTGATTCGATCGGAACACAGCCTAGAAACGAAATCACGTGCGGAGAAAGCGTTCCTGGTCGAAAAATTGACAACACTCTAGGAAAACTACATTTTAGCTTTCAACAGTTTCGGAAAAAAGACTGATTAGCATTTTGTATGTTGCAATGTCCTAGAAAAATGTCAGTCGTTACGTTGGTATCTGTTGTTAAGAACAACAACAAGAAGAGTCAAGAAATAAAAAAGAAGAAAGGTCAGCGGCATCATCACACACATCTTTATCAACAAGCACTCATTCCGCGGAAGAAGAAGAAGAAGAAGAAGAAGAACGACTGCAACCACCTTCTCCTTCTTCTCTTCTCTACCCGCTCGCACAAACAATTGATCTCCGAAACTATGCGGCGGCACGGCCTGCCCGGCAATAGGTCAACAATTCCAAAGTATGAAGATGCAAGTGTGTTTGTGAGTATCGGTGGAAAACAGAAACGCAAGACTTTGTTGAAACCAAACTAGAGAGTTTACGGATGGACGGTACAAAAAAAGAAAGACGGAGAACAGATATGTGGTGAGGGGTGAGCACACCACTCGCGGAGGATGTATCTCGGTCATATTCATTACACTGTGTGTGTGTTGTGTATTTGTTGTGATGGTTCGTGATGATGGCAAGCTTTGTACTTCTTATCCGACTAACATCCGGCCTACTGGTGCCAGGTTACATGATGCCAAATATTTCTAATTTCCAGCTTCAAAAATTTGAAATGACGTAAGATGTACTTTGTGGATATGAACGTTTGGACCAACTTGAGAGACGAGGCAACATGTTGGGACGGATGGAAAATTGGAGCGAATGGGAAGAGAAATGGAAAAATGGCTGTTTCGAACTGCTGCCTCTTCTCTCTCTCTCTCTCTTTGAAAGTATCGGATGTTGGCCTTGCTCTCCCTATCTCTACGTGAGAAACCGCACGGAGCATTTCCCCTTGTAAGGGCACGAGCATGTTCCTGGACCAAAAAATGTTTGCTCGCCTTCTTAGACATGACACAAACAGCGAGATTAACACCTTTGTTCTTCCAATTGATTGAAAAGAAGACCGACCGGTCGACACAATTACATATTTTAACATCAACTTGATCGACCGGTTAGTTTACATGGCTCCTGAAACGTATACCACCTGGCACCATCCGGGACTCTGTACTTTGAGGTCATCGCCTGTTTTAGCTACAAGTGGGAGGCCCACCCTAATGTGGATTTCCTGATTATTCGTGTAAATCAAAAAGTTTCGAGTGTAATCCCATCAGGAGTATGTGAAACTTACCTTTGACTAGATTCTCGACGCAAAGTTGCGAGTGGTGATAAAGAAGTTTGAGTCGATTTGTGCGGAACTGAAAAAAAGAAAACTAGAAACCGGTTTGGTTCGACGATAGCGGTAAATGATAAGAAAAAGTAAGAAGAGAAACCAAAAAAAAAAAAAGAAAAGTATAAGACAATTGGCCAGCAAGCATGTGATTTCGGTGCAGTCGAGAAAAGGATAGAAAGAGAAAAAGAGAAACAAAAATGGTGATTGGCCACACACAGTTTTGAGTGTGAGAACTGGAAATTTGGACGGCGTGGGAGGAGAGGACGAGATGGAAACATTCGGTAGCCAAAGGGGCGACGAGGAAGAGGGCAGGCAGGCCATTGAAAAAAGTGAGGCGGCAGGACATTTTCCCGTTGAATTATACATGTTATGTGTATTCTTCACCACCACCGCAGCTTTCACCCATTTTCTATCTCGCCGGGCCACTAATCTAGAGTCAAATGACAAAACGGCGCATAATTTTCCGGCAAACATGACGGATGAATGGACTGGATAAAATTGGTGCACACTAAATAAATCCATGTGTGTGTGTGTGTATCTGAGGCGGGCTGCCTGACTGACAAACTCTTTGACGCGTCTTGTCTTCAGGATTTAAAAATTTAGATCGAATGACCCGGAAAAGAAGTGACGGGGAAGCCAAAAGCACCTGCAGACTGCCAAAAGTGACAGCACAAACTGGTGGGTGTGAGTTAGAATTAGAAGCCTGATGATTGTTGATGAGAAAGGAATTCAATTG